CCCCCCCCCCCCCCCCCCCCGTGTCCACCCTTTTCCCGTACGCTCTATCGTCTACACTCACCGTTGTTTCTGGCTTCTGGCAAGATACCGTCCAACACGTCGTGACTGTTCCACCCCACCATTGCCATGTGAATCGTTTCAACTTGATCCCCGTTCGTTTCCCTTGCACCTCTTTGGGTGCGCGTACGTTGATTGGGGATGATTCCAGTCCATCACCGTGTCCGATGCAAGCGCGGGATCGTTCATGGTCACCCTCGACCTCACGGCTAGTGGGGGCTCCGTGCAAACGTCGGGGGAAATTGCCTACAATGCCGACGCGACCGGCGGGCGTACTAGCGTCCAGGGCATCCTCGAGGTAAATGGTTAATAGTTGTTAGCCTAACCCTTTGTCCTGTATTGTGAGCAGGGAGTGGGGAAGGTAGCCGGGGGGATTTCGTTGTTCTCCAGTCGATGTGTTGTTGACCGTCCACGAACTTGGTGGATGAACATATGCTTGTGATGACGCCGCTTTGTTCGCTTACCCAATCATGTGGCTATTGGTTGGTTTGTTGGGCTCAGGTAGCTCGTAGCCTCGCAGACCAACTTTGTTTCCGTTCTTCCTCGCTTCAACCACCACCGTCTCGGATAATCGTATCAGTACCGTGATTCACAACGACCTCGTGTGCGGCAGTTTCCTCCACCGAACCGTTCGCTCTTATCGGAACCCCATGTTTTGATCCATGATTATTCGTTCTACCTCTACATTTCCGTTTTACAACCTGCACAGGCGATGAAAAACCTTGGCCCGGATTCCATTCACAACGTCACGTCTACCTACGACCTCGTATCCGGGTCGACCTACACCTACACGTGGAACGTAACCTTTTCGGCGGCCTTCGGCGATGTCCCGGAGATGTTTATCGGAGAAGCTGATGCCGACCTTTCGTCCGTCGGTGCGGACGTCAACATCGCTACCGTGCAGGTATGCCGTTGCACAGCTGCGAAGTAAACCCCTGGGTGTCCCTCGTAGGTAGGTCTGGAAACGAAGGGAACTGTGAAAGGCGGGGCACAACGCTTACGCTATTGTTTGTAAAAGATTGTCGGTGCCTATCATCGTAGGTCTTGGCAGGGGAAAAAGCAAGCGTTGATGTTCCTTCACTTAAGAGTGTGGAGGGGGTCAACATCGCCCCGGCCATCAATCGATGCAGTAGTGGTAGTGAAGGAATAGCAAGGAACATTGAGTTCGACGTTCAAAACCTGAACGTGTCATGCAGCTCCAATGGTCACCAACATCTGCCCTTCGCCCACAATAAGCGCCTGACACAACGATATGTACCCACAGGATGGCAACGTCATCGGTGGAGACTTTCGCCTGGGCTTCAGCGGCTACACGACATCGACCATTTCCTACGATGCCACTGCGTCTGAGCTCGGCAAGGCTCTTGCTGACCTACCTAGCATCGATTCCGTCGATGTGAGTACCCGACAATTTCAAACCAATCTCTTTGCGATCATGCGATCAGAGTACCAGTACACTCTGCAAATACTGTCTAGCCGCATGCAGGGAAATGGTTTGGTGGATCACAGCTTCGGTGCGAAAAACGTACTTGCATCAACGTGCCACAGCCTTTCGTTCCCCCTTCATGCGGGCACAAAGAGTATTTAGAATAGCTAGCATGGACGCCCACCTTGCTTGCGTCACGAAATCCTGACCAACTACATTTTTCTGCCAAAAACAAACAACAGGTGGAGCGTTTGGGCCCAGATGACCAGGGCGGTTTCAACTGGACGGTAACCTTCACCAGCGACAACCAGGATGGCGACCTTCCCCTGCTTACCGTTGAAGCAGACGACATCACGGCAACGGGCGCGTTCATGGAGGTGTACTCGCTGGAGGATGGCAGCTATCTTGGCGGTTTCGTGAATGTTACGTTTGCTGGGAATTCGAGCCAGGTTGCGGCCAACGCGACGGCGGAGGAGATGCGGGTTGCCCTAGAGGCCCTCGGCACTGGAGGCCTGGCTGTCTCCAGAGAAGGTATACCAGTCAACCGTATGCTAACAGATTTATAAATTTTTCTTTTGGGGTTCATTGAGGTTCGCTGGGATGTTCGAGTTTTGGTCACACCACAGCTGGTGTAGCGAGCTGTGCGTTGGTCCTGCCTGCCTGCTTTATTTTTTCATCTTGCATCACACCACTGCTGTGCTCACATGAACCCACTCCAACAGGGATTTCTTGTATCCTGTATTCATTTTTCCTGCTTTGTGTTTCGTTCTCAGCTTCGAACGCTGGTGTTTTCTTCGTCGGCTAAGATGTGTTGGTGCACAACCTTGTTGCTTCACTTGTCTTGTTCGCTGAGGTGGGAAACACCCCAATAGCGCAGCAGCAATCTGCAGCAGAAAGCTTTGGTTTCTCGGTGGAGGCTGTAGCATCGTGCGAGTTTGCAACAGAGTCCAGGCCCATTTGATCAATGTGGGATTGGGTTACACAGTGTTCAGAATGTCTGCCCTTGCATTATCGACTGATTCCTGATGCCCCAGAGAAAGTTGGTAGAACCGCCGGTTCACTGCTGCAGGGCAGCAATGGCCTGAACCCACACCTCCAAACTATCAGGTATATAATTGAGCTGACTAGCGTTACGGTAAACCGAGTAAATCAAATATTTTCTCGCACGTCTGTCTCTCCGTGCCGCTGGACTGGTGAACACGATGGATTAATGGCGGGCAAACGCTTCCAGGCCCGGATAACCAACAAGGCTACGTCTGGACGGTGAGTGCCAATTTGTTACAGGTTTGACCCGTTGCTATCGTCTCTTGGTTGGTATCACTATGTGAGTGCTGTTGTTTCGGGAGCCTGGTTGTGGGGGCGTTCCTAGTGTTGCAGTTGCTGTAGCTTCGCTGGCGCGGGTGTTCGTAGCCTGACGCCTTTCTCTCCGTCTGGATGACCGATGACCACCCGATTTCACCGCTATCTAGGTGAACTTTCTAGAGACGGAGGGAGACGTTGACATAATCGAGGTGCATGGGCCAGACCTCACGGGAGACGGGAGCGCCGTTGTTTCCGAGGAGGTATGACATCAGGCGCAGTCTTATCTGCTCTCTACAAGTGTTGAAAGTTTACCGCGTACAGGTTTGCTTTTCTTTAGATTGCCAAGACCTCGGTACTAAACCTCTACAAGCACGTGCAGACGTCGTCAAGACGAAACGTTGGATGGATGCCTCTGTGGGGAGAGTAACTTCGAAGCACGTCGCATCTTCCCCACCATGGCGGGCCTGTATCGTTAGACATGCTGCTGCCAAGAAACCCTGATATGTTGTGCAATGGCATGCCAAGAACCCTGATTGTTTTGCAATAGCACACGACAGCGGATCCGAGTGGACGTGGCACACCAACAAGCTGAGTTCAATCATCACATTTTGTAAGGTATCCATGTTGGCAAGCTCAGGTCAAGATTGTTTTTGATCTTGTTTTCATGGCGTTTCAAAAACCCCGCGACAGGTTCGCAAGGGTACCTGGCAGGAGATCCAGACCATAGTGGTCACTGCCGCGAACGACCTGTTGGCCGTGGACAACTCTACGTATTTCGTTCTTTCCTTCGGGGGTGAGGTGACCGGTCCTATCTTGGCCAACGGCAATGGAAGCTGCGAGCCCGCCGTTTCCGAGGTTCAAGTTATATCAACGTCCACATCCGGTGAGGGCAACGCGCAGCCTTTGCTGTTTGTCGGAAAATGCCTAGCAGTGTTTGTGTTTCGTTGGACTACTCTGCACTACTTGTAGTACTTGCTGCACGTGCAGATAATGGCTGTTCCCGCGACAAGTTACAATGTATAGCCCGTGTGTTGTCGCATGATTTTCAATGCCTCTGTCACCAACAGAGAACAGCTTGTTGAGCCCAGAATTCGTCTTTTCAACCAATGTTATTAACGAATACTGTTGCTTGGGACGATCGCCACATTCGTGGTTTCTTGCCAAACCTCGAACCTTGCTCCGTGGCTCTAGAAACTGTGACTAACTATTATGGGTTCCGGACGCACGCGTCCCACGCCATTTGGAGAGTTGCGAGCTGGAACGATACCCATGCTGTTTTCGGATACATTTTTGCAGAAAACATACCATATGTGAGAGGGCGGGCGGCGTGCACAGGTTCCACAGGTTTTCTACCGATACATATCCATCCAATTGCGCTAGTTCGTGTGTACACAGAGGGAAGAGAGTGCTGAACTCTTCTCGCATTAAAAGTCGAAGGCAAAGCACCGCAGAAGGGGAAGGTAGAGAGTACTCTCCTGTGTGGCCACGGGTTGGAGTAAAGGGGACTAGTCCTGTGAGCGCTGATTTGAAGTGAAGACAAAAAAAAAAACAAATGTCGAAAGCGCAAACCTCGGATCGTGTGGCACTATTGACGCTTTGATGTCCTAGGGTAAGCGGTCAAACTTCTTGTCGTGCTGCTACAATCCGCAGATACTACTTCTGCGGGCGGAGATGCGCACGTCTCATACGGCCTAGCTTTCCAGCTGGTGTTCTACTCCAGAGACGGCATGGTGGCTTTGAGCGACACCATTGATGCCAACCCTTCGTTCGGCGACTGTTCCGAGCCTGCAGAGTCCATCCAAGACGCTCTAAGAGAGGTGCTTCCCACAGGGCGAACATCTGGTTTTGCTGTGTTTGTCTCGAGCGCCCCTGGGAATTCGTCGGGGTTACCTTCCAATGCCGTTTTCGTGTGAAATATAGACGGGGTGATCCAGCAACATTTCCTGACCATATTGAAAAACTACGTACAATGTGCATCATATGGCCGTTCAACTAGTCGCGTTGCATTCAAGCGCAACGACAGAAACATCTGTCGTGGTGGAGAATGTATTTGCATTTTCTTCGTGTCAAGCGGCAGCATCTACTGTCTCGGCTGTACTCTTCCAAGTACGTGACACCCTTGAACATTCCGGCACCTTTTCGTGGACGGAGATCGCATGGATAAAAAAAAACAGCGGCGTGGATACAACCATTGCCTTCACATCGGTGCTGCTACTGCTACACACAGGTGGAAGGACTAGCAGGCGTTACCGTCAGCTCCAATAGCACCAGTGCCGGTGACTCTTGCGACTGGTTCGTGACCTTCACGGACACACCCGGAAATCAGGACCAGGTACAGCGGGTGGTGGATGGCTGGGAAAAGATGGCGGATAAAAACGTACATGTTCGGGTTGATACATTGTCAATACCAATGCTGGTGAGCGCATTTCCATCGTCCGTGAGCTTTAGTTGAGAGTGCACGGTGCTTCTGAGGGGTGACGAGATGTTTGTAGTCTTTGAATGGTCGGACAGAGCAACGTTCTTGGTTTACCATAGGGGGGAGAGAATCAACCATGCCCTCTTCTTCGCAGCCTGACCCGCCATTGCAAGCAGAGAGGCAGGTGCCAGTGCCAACGCACTCTTCAGCGAACGGCAATCATCTCCATGCAGCTGTTTTTTTTAACACTTACATGAAAAAAACGTACGCATGTTGTATGGATACACTGTGGCAGATGGCTGTGGTGATTGACACCGAGGGACCGGCATCTTCGGTAACGTTTGGGGATGACACCGTGACGGTGGGGACGCTCATCAACGGAACCGTTGACTCCATCAAGCTTGAACTGGAACTGCTCCCTGCCGTTGGCGAGGTATGTCCGCGCGCTTATCATCAACGCGCTCATGTCTTACTGTACCGATCACAAATTGCAGCCGCTCGAACCCGACAACGCCCTCTCTTGTATAGAAGTATGCTTGGATTCTGACACTCAACTCAAAGCTTGGTTGTTCCGTATCTGTTTTCAGTGTGCTTCTTGGCCGTCTTCTCCCATCGTTGTCGCAGCTCTTGTGCGACGTCGCCGTAATGACATCGGATGCAATCTCCTTTCCGGCTGCCACACGTATGTTCTCGCCCGCGGTATACCCGTAGCCTCATTGCTGTTGCATATTGCATTCTTCCCCTGCCCACTACACATGTCTCCTATCCCCTGTCCTCCTTCAAGGTAACCGTTCACGCTCGAGAGAACGAAACCACCAGCGAGACATGCACCTGGGACTTAGTGTTTGAAACAAACACGGGGCTGGAAGGAGACGGTGGCGAACTGCCCCTGATCACGGCTGCCTTCTACAACATCACCAACTCGAGCTACTCCGATCTCGACACCACCGTAACACAGGTACCGACACCACCGTTGGGCTGTGGGAAGATGCTCACTTTGTAGCTTTGCCGTAACGATATATTGTAGTTTACGTACGTACTGCAATGTTGGGTGTGGTGTCGATAGTTCCTCGTGCTCATGACGGCTCTCTACGCAGCATCTTGTTGTTTACATCGTTCCTCGTAAGTAGCTAATCGAGCGGGCACCAGCCAGCCACAGAAAACAACATGAAGAGAGCCGTCCGCACTATAACGGTCTGGGCCATCTCCCGGTCATCTTTATCGCCGGTACTCTCCACGATGACCCCATCTCTATACCGTACAAGTAGAAGTGGCAACGGGAACAGACTATCAGAAATACATTACCAACAGTATTCGGCACCCCGTTGGTCATGTGTTGTCCGTCACAACCTCCTGGTTCCATGTTGTCCGTTTGGAGACAAAGCGGTCGGCAGGTACGGACCCGGTAGCACTGCCTCTATCGCCAATACGCAATCAAGGTTGTCTGCCTGCTCCGAAGTCTACAGTGTGTTAAGTTTCCAGTAAGGCAGCGCATCGAAGTGAAAGTATTTTTTCGGCACGGCGTGACCCTTTCTCGGGTTTTCCCATGCAGGACATGCACGAGATAGTGGTCTCCAGGAACCGGTCTGGAACTAGCGTCCACCTCGGCGGAGATTTCGCCCTGTCGCTAGATGGGTCGAGGTCTCAGTATCTCCCCAGCAACGCATCGGCCAGGGACGTTAAGCTAGCCCTCGAGGCGCTTGACACTGTGGGGACAGTGGATGTCGAGAGATACGACGGCGACGAGGAGGTGAGTGGAACGGTTCTCCTCCAGCACTTCTCTCAACACGGTTCTGATTCATTGAACCTTTTTTGTTGAACCCGGTCGCAGTGTTTCCTTCAATACATCATGCGAAATCGTCGAGCGGTTTTTGCCCACCACATATTCAAGAGATTGTCGTTCAAGACTGTTTACCAGCAGTTCAAACGACAGCGATGTTTTCGGTGGATTTGTGTAACCTTTCCGTGTGTAACTGGCCGTTTGACTTCATTCCGCAACCCGGGTTCCGAAGAGTCTGCATCGGATACACTCGTGGGTTTCGCGAGAAAGTCGTTGTTGTTCACGGTGGCATGTGGAAGTTACGCTTCATGCGTAACAGCGAAACGGGTCCGGCCCGGGGCGTTCACAAAAGTCGTGCTTAGCGCATGTCTGGTCGAACAACCTATGGTTCTCCACGACTGCGACTAGGGACTAAGAGGCAATAGCAGCCTGAGCTTGGTCGCCATTGCAGACAGCCCAGCTACACACCCAACTGACACGCACAGTTTTCACGCCGCCCGTGAAACCACCATTCAACGAATTTTCGCGTCAACTTTCGCTGTGTTTTGATAGGTGTACGCCGGATACACGTGGATAGTTACCTTCAACACCGACCTCGGCGACGTCAGTAGCCTTACCGCTGACACCATGTCCATGACCGGTTCAGCACCTGTCCTCGCGGTTTCTGAAAGCGTCAAGGGCGTGGGCCCCTCCTTCGCATCCCTGGATCCCTACAACTCCTTGCCCCTGGGCTCGGCCACTCTGACCGACCTGTCAGACTTGTCTATGTCCGTGGCCGGATTGGAGGAAGGGGTCGCGTATTATTTCCGCGTGACGGCGTCCAACTACATCGGATCAGGTACGGCTTTGTGGTAGTGCTTATTGTCGTCTACGCCTTTGTTTTTGGATCTGATCATCGCTTTGCCGCCATGGCTTTGCATGTCGGTGTCGTCTCCACGCTGAACATCGTCGCCCCACCTTTTTGGTTGTGAGGTTAATCCTACTGGATGCTGCTGTCGTTGTTGCTGTCGTCCTTGCTGCTAACTTCGTCTTTGTTTTTTTGTTGCCGTGGGGTTCCTTGCAGGGCCTCCTGCGGTGGCGGAGACACCATACGCTATTCCTCTCCCGCAACCCAGCCAGCCCCCGTCCAACATCACGTTAGAGGCTGTAGATGGCAGCACCCTTAGAGTCGACTTCAGCCCTCCTTCCTCCACCGGTGGAGAAGAAGTCGACAGGTAACACGAAACACTTGCTACACGAGTAGCACCGGAAATCGAGAGCAAGTTGTGATACAGGGTAGTGTGTGTTTTGAAGATGATATTATAGCGAAAGGTCTGCAGTGCCCTACAAAAGAAGGAGGTGTGTCTTCAATCTTTCCTTGTCCACCGGCGATAATCGCCGGCAACACGTCTATGAGAGATACATCACAGGTAGCAGGCTTGTAACAAGGATCACATACGAGGATTTTTTTTTCCTGTAGGATTTGAAAAGGTGCCACTTTTTGTTCGCAGCCACCATCCTGAAGCTTGACCATTCGTCCGGCGTGCAGAGTCCGACATGTTTCCTCCCCCAAAGGCCCGTAGCCCTCACCGACTCCCGCAGTTCTCCTTGCAAGAGTGAGTCACCCTGCACCGTCACAATGCGTTTTCGATCATCGCTACTCTTCAACCTTACCTCGATGGGCTCGCCCGAACCAGCTACCGCGTGGAGTACTCGACGTCCCCATTCTTCGAGGAGGCCCAAGCCCTGACCATCTCCTGCGAGTCAGAGCCGGAGGTGCAGGTAGTCACCACCAACGCCACCGCCGTGCCTGAAGTCCAGCTTTTGCACCTCAAGATGGACGACAACTTTACCGCCGACTATCCCGGGACGACGGTCTTCGAGGTCCAGGCAAGTGTGACTCTAAAGGAAACGTGGTGTGGCTCTCAACGGTGTGTTCTAAATTGAAGTACAGGATAGTCGACTGTGCAGGTGAATTCCGTTTGCATCATGAGAGCATATGGGAGCGGTGAATACTGTCGCAGCGGGACGTACAATGGCCCCACGGTACATGGCCTACATTGTAGCCGCATGCCGAGGTCGTTCTAACAAGCAACTCCGAGCCCTGCCCCGCATTCAGAAAGAACCAACACGAGCGAAAGTTCGTTGGTGGGGTTCACACTGAAGCACACGCCCCGGCGCCAATTTGAGGGACGTCTCCCCAATGGCCCAACTTTCAACGGCGAGCAGTGATGACTTTGCCCCCGCCTTCAACCTTCGAATTGAACAAACAGGAAGTATCGTGCGACGCTAGCGCGGGCACGTTCACGCTAACCTTCGACGGTGCAGAGACCGACAGCATCAGCTTCGACGCCGATGAAGCCGGAGTGATCTCCGCTTTGGAAGAGATCTCCACGATCTCCGAAGTCAACGTCACCTTCAAAGACGGAGTTTCGCAGGCCTGTCAGGCCTACCCTTCGTCTCTGGGTTTCAACGTCACCTTTTTGGAGGCTGTTTACTACCGGGGAGATGTCCCACTCATGACTTCAAACATCGACAACCTAGAGGTATGCACATCAGACGTTGACTGGAACATCGTTTGCTCAGGGTTGAAGTCAGGCACCTCATGCGTGCTGCCTTCAGATACGCCGCGTCGGTTGGGTTGAACGTGATAATTCCTCTTGACGTACTATCTGTCGAGTTCTAGGTATCCGATGAGGCGGCCTTTCTGCCTTTTTCGATCATCAAGGGGAACGCAGGATGACCCTACAATAACACGGTTCTCAACCACTGAGTAATGTACCTTCTCAATAGTTGGGGAGGTTTGCAGCTTGGGGAAGGTCACCTCGCGCGTCGGTGCTCGTGAGTTTGCTACAGCGACGGTAGTAGTTGGAGCTCTGCAGCACACAGCGAGCCCAATAAGGGCGGAGTTTTGAGAAGACTGCAGTTTAAGATATTTCGACGTTCTGCATTTCGTACTACGTTAGGGTGCTCGGCGCGCGGACGTGACGGAGGTGTCGAAGGGATACGCCAGCATGGGAGGCACTTTCAAGCTTACCTTCAACGGACACACCACGGATATCATCAGCTACAACGCCGGCGCAGCCGATATTCAGGTAGAGTATACCCGGTACCTGGGGAACTGTCTTTAATGCTACATGACTGTAGCTGTAGTACCTCATTGAAAAGGGATCGATTCGGTGATAGGCTGGAGTTCACAGAATGCCTGGCAAGGCTCGTGAGGGCGAACTATCAAAGGTGACAGTCGAAGCCTGCGCCACAAGATGTATGTTTGTTGGTGTTTCATTGGCTCTCTCTCTTTCTGCGTAGCCCAAGCCCGTACGGCCGTCCCATGCACGTTCTCCATGACGTCCATCCACTAACCATGCCGAAGTTGGAGCCCAAGGATGCGATTCGAATAATGGCAGGAATGTCATTGAACCCTCCTTGCAGCCAATCTATCTCGGAACTGCCCAACATATTTTACACTGTGACGACCGTGCTCGAACCGTTTCCCCTTCACTCTCTGGATTGTGCGACTCATTTCGAAACCTAGGCGGAACTCGAAGCCCTAGACCCGATTGGCTATCTCGGCGTCAACGTCACCTCGGCGGGTCTCAGTGCGCAGTACGAGAAGATGTGGCGAGTGTCGTTTGTCGGCTCCACCGTGGAAGGCGATGTGGAAGCGATGCAGGTGAACCATTCAAACATACTTTTTCACCTTTGGCGACGCAAGAAGGTGCTGTTGTTTGTCACAACATATTGCGGGTAGGTTACTGTGTTGCTTGTAGGGGGGTGGTCCGGAAACAGATGAAAAGTGAAAGTTGACGGCGTTGTTTCTTCACGCGGGAACCAAGGTCGGGGCTGCGTCAGTGGTGCATCGCAGCCGTTTCAAGCTCGGAGGCTTTACCGACGTGGAAGGAAACAGCGCGATTGATGCCAGGAAACTTCGTCCAAACCATCACTACGTAAACCAAAGGAGAAATTTTGAAAACATATAGAATAGCTTGGTCTTGACGTTCGTATTCTCGACTCTGTTTTGCTGATGACTGCTGCTGCACGCATAATGTCCCACGTAAACGTTCACGGGAGATTCTAGAAATACAGCGACACCTTGGCTAAGTTTGTCCCATATTTTTTCAGCTCAACCCGTCGACAGAGAGTCGATTACTTCACTGCTGAAGTACCAAGGTTCAGGTTTGAGTCGCTGTTCGTTTTGCTTGCACGTTCGTCGATTTTTGACGTTTCGTACACACTGAAATTTGCCACGTACTGTTCAGGCTCTGGACTACAACACCGCCTTGACGGGCAACGGTGCTGCAGTTGCGATCTACGCGGATGGAGAGGAGACTTCCTCGGACAGACGAGGCGCAGACCCCTCGGTTGTCGGCAACCAGCTGTCAGGCACCTTCACGCTCACGCTGAGAGGATGGGAGACAGAGGTAGGAGCATCTGAGGGCATCAACGAATGCGGACGAGAGAAATAAACACCGTCCAAGTTGCAACGTACTTTCGAAACGCTCACGGCAAGATCCTGAAACATAAGAAATAATGTGTCCGGGGGGTTTTACCAGAACGTCTCGGCGAAGAGGAATCACAGCAACTTTGTCACTACTAGTGCTGGTCGTGGGGGGGTTCTCTCAGGTAGGATTGCGTGGCTTGGTCGGTGTAAGGGTGGCAACAAGAAAGGGTGGGAAGACACGGCCAGGATCGCAAGCATGTTGAGGAAGAGTACGGCAACGTTTACTCTGATCAGCGAACAATCTTCTAGAATGTCTGATTGTGTTTCGAGTAGAGCACAAAGCCCTGAATGCGGCTGGCGCAGGTGGGTATCATGGTGTTTCGGCATGCCGTATCCAACATCAGCATGTAGCCAGAAACGTCGATGAAAAGCACAACCAAGTTTCCGGCTTCCAGCCCACAGAGCATGCTCACCGACCACCTGCTCCCCCTTTCGCCTTGTCCTATAACTCTCAGAGCATCGACTTCAACGCCGCCGACACCGAGATGGAACTGGCTCTCGAAGCCCTGCCCAACGTAGGCTCTGTGTCCGTCAACCGCAAGGGGCCCGACGGACAGCTCGGCTACTCCTGGTATGTCACGTTCGTGGAAAACCCTGGATCATTCCCAGCGGGGTCCGGGGACGTAGCTCTCCTGTCTACGGACTCTTCTTCCCTGGGCGGGGACGGGGCCTGGTGTACGGTGGAAGAGATGTCTGCGGGCACCCCGGAGCTGTCGGGAGCGTTTGTCCTTGCGTTTACAGCGAGTGACGATGGTGGCAGTGGCGGAGTGACGCGCTACACGGACGAGCTGCCGTACAACTCCTTGGCTGAAGAGGTGCGGCCTTTGGCATTGGTCGTACATGTTCATGTGTGCCCTCCGACCTGCCTTTGGTGTAAACGATACCTTGAGCTGCGGCTCTCCGATATCAATGCTACGGGCGACTTAGAGACCCACGACGTCGTTGATACGACCAGACACGCTCTCAAACAGTCACACAAGTCACACAAGTCACACATTGTGCACAGAACTTAAGGTCCCGACTTCAAAATAACTGACGGGTGGCCTGTTGCCAGAAACACACGACGTGGTGACAACCATGCCTTTGATTCCACCACTATTCCAACCGCAACTTGAACAAGCATCGCCTGCTCGTGGTAGCAAATCATTCTTGTAGTATGTGTCCGATATTCTGCGCGTCAAAGCATCATTCGTAGCACCAGATGATAAAACACGAAATTACCGCAACAGGTGGAGGCAAGCCTCGAAGCCCTGGACGAGGTGGGCAACGTGGTCGTCACGCGGACGACGCACACCGACGGTTACACGTGGACCGTGACCTTCGCATCCTGCCGAGCAAATGACACATCCGGTGCCGACGTGTGCAATACCGGAGACGTAGAGCTGATTTCCTTCGCGGCCAACGGAAGCCTATCCGGGTGTTATGGCGGGAGCGGGCCGGCGTCGTCGTCTATGGTGGTGGTTAACGGGTCTGCTGGGGAGGAAGTCGACATGATGGATCTCTCGGACGGTCCCCCGTACAGGTGAACAACAAACTTGAACTGCTGATTGCATTATTTGAAATCGAAACAAACACCCAGAACTGAGTTGAAGGACACATAGGCTGCTTGCATGATAGCGACACTGAAAGCCACACAGCAGATGCCATTTTCTGTTTTTTGTACCGCTCCGTGTGCACAAGAAGTTCGACATGATGGGCGTGCGACACGACCCTCCATACAAAATCTGTTTTACTTGGTTGTTTTGAGCTAGGTCCGTTCCCCACACCAGGTATAACGACTAGCAAGGGAAAAAATCGTTGTTCGCTGGCGTTTGTCACGACCACGTCTGGACATCGCTGTCGTGCCTTTGGACGCCGAATCGTATCCAACAGGCACGACATTACGGGATTAGAAGCCGGCACAGCCATTTACGCGAGGGTGAGCGCCCACACGCTCATGTCCTACGGGTACGCCGGCCTGTCCAAGCCAGAGTTTGCGACTCCTTCGAATGTGCAGCCAGGCCCCCCCGCGGCCGTACGCCTCGTGGAAACCTCCGAGTCATCGATCGCGGTTGAGTGGGACCATCCCACCGTGGACGGAGGGGCAGACATTGCCGGGTACGAGCTGTGGATGGGAGAATGGGCGACTTCTAGCTTCCGGCTTGTGTACGATGGAGTGGATGACGAAGATACTACGTCCTTCACCGTCGACACCAGGTAAAGTTGCACGACATATTAGTTTCGCGCAACATGTCACAGGACGATGTTGATCTAGGGGAAATTGTTTTGCCCGTGGAACATGTTTATTGATAACGATCCGATCCCTCGGTAGAGGGTAGATTTGGCAGAGAGAATCAAGATGTATGGTGGCATTCTTCGGCGACAAAACGATAGATGAATATTTCCACGCCAACCTTGACTTATTCAATAAAATGCAGTGTACGAGACTAAACAGGGCAGCAGTTACGCTTGGAATAGGAGGGAATTCCTGTAAGGCTGTCCAAAGTTGTATGATCTTCAACAGTATAACATAGCATTCCGTAGACAGCCACGTTACATACGTGTGCAACGGTTCTTCGCCGCCAACTGCCCCCCAACCCACCGGGGGGGTAGACCGATGAACCCGGGGAAAATGAAGTTAGAGTCTGACCTAACACCGTTTGTGCTTACAGCAACTTCCCCGAGCTGGAGAGCGGACGCGCTTACCGTTTCAAGGTGCGGGCAGTTAACTACTGCTCGGCAGTGGACACGGGCAGCATCTGCTACGGTGACTTTTCGCCATCAACGGCCTACACTGTCAGGTGAAGTCAGTATCTGGTACTGTAGTCGTGCCGTTGTTTCGTCGTTTATCGTGGAAACGTTAATGGTACCCGGCATCCGTGATAGAGAAACTATTCTTTGGGCTTGTCCTAGAACAGCACATTGTCGCCGAGTACGCTTGCGACGGACGAAGTAGACATATACCAAGCACCTCCATCTCTTCTTATGCCTGCGCTCTGTGCCGTCCGTGACTTGTTTTTCATTCAGGGAACCACGGATGCCCAGCGCGCCAACACAGCCCCTTCGGGATTCTTTGACAAACCTCGGGACTGCTGCGTACGATGATGCAGAGGTGATTCGACATGACGGTGTTGCTATTGGCATTCTCTTCGCGATCATTTACGATTGCATGGGTTGTAGAGTAGTGCGAAGTATTTGTCGACATGTGGTGGTAAATTCCTACGCTGACGTCAGTGACTAGACTTTACGCTATCTTACGCCCATTTCCTCTCACGCAACCCCAAATCAGCCTATATCTATTATTGTAGCCTCTTAACGCTAACCGCCTTCTCTCCCGTTGAGTGCACTTCTCTCCCCGTGGGGCTCCACCCACCACCCTTTAAATACAACCCGGCGGATCGGTCCAAAACGAACAACAGGTAGGGATCTTGTGGTCAGCTCCCATGGACAATGGAGGCTCCGAGGTGCTGAGTTACAAGGTGCGGTTCGAGGACCAGGCCGGAACCCTCACCTCGGTTGATGTCGACGCCGGGGACGTGTGGGGGCCCCAGGAGCTGCTGGTGTCCAGCCTGTCAGAGGGGGAACTGTATACGTTCTACGTGCAGGCCGTCAACGCGTATGGGACGTCTGGGGCTAGCCCTGCTCTCACCGTCGTCGCAGCCCTCCGTTCAGGTAGGATATCGCTACGAGAGACGAATCCCCCGATGGCAAGCAGAGAAGAAGAAGCATGTCTCCGTGGAAAGCGAAAGCAAGTACCTTTACTTTCTCCGTTCGCTTGGGATAGATACGGTGCGCTAGCAGGGTTTGGCGCACTCAAGGCATGACCTGGCGAGCTGGTCCCGCCGGTCGTCGAAACCAACCGCTTTCACCCTCGTCTTATGCAAGTCGTAATCAGACTTGAAGATGCAATACAAATGGGAAAAAACGAATTAACGCCGATGACGTCTGCCAATCGCTAGCCTCATTTATTATGGGGTGGTGTGCAGCACTGTTCCTCTAGGGGTGACACCATGTGGTTGTCCCGGCGCCACCTACTGAATGATGTCACAGTCTTGCCGGCTCTCGTGACACAAACCCTGACCATCCTTCTGCCCAGGCATGGCGGTGGGGGGTAACCAGACGTACGCAACCGTTTCGCCCACGGTGTTGGCGGTTTCATCGAGCGAGGTAACTCTATCCTGGGCAGCACCCGTCGACACTGGAAAGTCTCCGGTCACAGGGTACCACGTCTACATGTTCGATGGCGTTGGTCTCAATTCTCAGGCCGACCCAGAGCCTGTCAAGCATGAGATTCAGGTGAAGTGGGGATTCGAAGCTTGGAAGCTTCCGGATAGGTGGAGATCATGCCCAAGCCTAGGAACGAGATGTACGCCGAACTGCATGTTGAGACAAAATCCAAACCGCCCCACGGGGGCTGTGAAGATGTTTTGTCAATAGCAGGCGAATAGACGACTCCTGTTCGCGTGCCCCCACGAGGACTTAGCGCGTCCTTCATTGCAGGGCGTCCGTCAATCATCACGCATTGCATGCAACACACAGGCCTTCCTGGACCACATCCACCACATCCACCCGGTGACGTGGTGGTGTCAACGTGAAGGAAAATCACGTTACGGTCGATGTTCACTATCAAAGGCAGCTCTGGAACGCCACTTGGACAAGCAACAAACCCTACCCGTACCCCCCACCGCCACGTGTGTTTGCCTTCACCGCAGTTGGTGTCCCTCAGTGTAGATGACCCTGTGCCAGCCATCCAGGATGTGACGATATCGGACGTGGCCGGTGGCACCTTCACGTTGAGGGTGATGGCCGACGCTCTCGGAGGAGAGATTGATGTCGAGACGGCGGAAATTGGCTACAGTGCCTCCGCCGCAGCTGTTGAGCTCGCCCTCGAAGCGGCGTCTAGCACGCTGGGTGACGTCGAAGTTGCGAGGACCATTTCAGGTGACTTCAAACGTGTTGCGATAGCTCTCGATTTGTTGCTACCACTTCCTCCACCCATCGCACCAGGGTAGCAATGCCAGAAACAGCAATCTGTATGGCTGCGGTCACACGAGGTTTTCAGGGTTAGCACAATCCGGCGGGGGGTTTCGTAGTTTCCACCCCGAAGCTTCTCTCCCATGCGTTATCACACCAGTGACTGCCGGCATCGAACACAATTACAAAGTTTAGAGCCATCGTTAACTTCTGCACTTATCGCAGACGAATGTGAGATTTCATTTTGATGTCAAACGCTTTCTCGTCGTCCTACCAGGCACAGGAACGACAATAACCTACGAGATAACCTTCGACGGATACACTGGGGCTGTTGAGGATCTCGTCCTTGACACCACCGAACTGGAGGCCGACTCTGGAGCAGTGGTTTCTGCGGAAGTGATCACGCTGCAGGAGGGAACGGAACCGCTACGGGGGGACTTTTCGCTGATCTATCGGGGCCACGAGACGGCGGCTTTGAGCTATGATGCCGACGCCACCGAGGCAAGTCGCGCAGCAGTCCATACGAAGCGTTTTCTGGGCGAAAACGTGGGCCAGAATAGCTTGAAACGTACAAGGAGTTCTGCCGTTCGTGGTTTTCCCATCAAACCGTCGTTCCGCCACGACCTTCGGAGGGCTCACTGTCCACCGGGCCGATGGTATTCGAGATGTGTTTATTTTGTCAGGATTGTTGGAATGTGAGTCGCTTGCGATCCAACCACGTGAAGAGGTTTAGCATGAAGCACGAATTGCAACAACCTGTATTTCCTCAGTGAAGGATTCATATTGACCCCTGGGTCAATGAATGCGGTACACGGCGCCGTTACCTGGGTTCTTGGGCTTCCCTGTGCCTCTTGTTGGATATCTTGCGCTAATTTTGCTACTAGACCAGTTGTAAAATGGAGAATCAATCTGAAAACTACCTCACAAGAACGGTTGCTTTTGATATTGCTCCACCAGGTCAAACGACAACTGGAGAACCTGGACACGGTTGGAATCGTTTCGGTCGAGAGAAACACCACCCTCTCTGACGGAGCGTCCGAGTGGACGGTTACGTTCGAAACGGAACTTGGGGATCTCCCGATGCTGGAGATCACTTCGGGAAGACTGACGGGTAATTGCGCTGACCTTGACATACAGCCGGATATTCAGACGTTTCCTCGGGTAATCCTTGGTAACCGGCGTCTACGCTAGTTTTCTTGGTGCAGATGCGCGGTTTCCATTCGTGTCGGTTTCATTCCTTGTTGGGAAAGCTTTGTGCTGAACGCGAGGTGTGCGTGTTGTTGACAATGCCAACGTCATCGCAATGGCGGGCATGCTCCCGCACTTGCCGGTGCTAGACATGTGTTCCGCTACTCTTCTTCTTACCCAAGCATTGTTCAACGCGTCCTCTGCACGTAATGCGAAGGTGGGGGGCGTGAGGCGACGGTGACCGAGACCCTGGCTGGTTCGGCAGCCACCCTAGTGTACGACGGCAGCGGCAAGTCCTCCGTCAAGGAGTTCACCGCCTCCGGTCTCGTGGAAGACTCGCTCTACGCCTTTAAGGTGGGATTCTTTGGGTGCTGTTGATGTTGATGATCGTGCAGGCCTCAACTCCGCAAGGTTCATTTCGGAAGGTTGATCTACCAATTCAACTTCGCGTTCTGACGGTTATGGAGGAAATCGCACTTTTATATTCCCTCACCGAAAGCAAGTATTCTCTGCTAACGAATTGATGTACAATCGGCAGTCGGTTGTTGCTCGACGAACGTGCGTGACCTAAGCAATCTCTCCCTTCAACCGCTACGTACCTTCACTGAACCATGTCAGCACCGTTTTTAGCGCGTCACAAAGAGCCACAGCCGTAGCAACCTCAACCCTGACACGAAGAAGAAAAACAACGATAACGACAATAACAACCGCATCGTGACACGTACTGTATCAGGTGGTGCCCCTCAGCGCAGTCGGACTCGGAATTCCGAGCGCTGCGAGCCCTACGGTAGTAGCCCGGGAGGGAGCGGTGGCAGCGCAAACCGTTGCTAGCGGGCCCTCTCTAGCCCAGGGTATGGCCGGTGTCGTCCACGAGCAGCAGACAGTCACGGCGACGGCAACGTCTGGGAATTTCTCGCTCAGCGTCTCGGGAGGCGGCATGGAATCAGTCTTGATCAACGCCGATGTTACCAACGGCAAGATCGCATCCGATGCCGAGATCAAGGCGGCCCTCGATGGCATTGTCGGGGAGGTGAGACAAGAAGAACGATGAACACAGCTGGGCCTTTCGTGTTTCAAATGCGATAGGATTCAGTGCCGATGATTCAGTGTAAGGTAGAGGTTGAAGCTGTGACGGACTGTGGATGGACGCATAGAGAAACATGAATGAGGTGCCGGGATGAACGCAACAAAACCACCAACTTGACACGACACGCAGCTCATTTGATGACGCCGTTGTTGTCGGAAGAGATAGCGCCGAGGACAGCGTTAGTTCGAGCTGAAAGGTCCTCGTTTTACCGGGCAGTAGACATAAAACCTTTGAATGCTTGGGTCAACCACGTTTGGTCGAGGCATTTTCGCGCGAGATCGGATTTCTCTTGGGCTACTGTTACCCATTTAGCCCAGTGGTCACAGAGGTTCGTCGTAACGCCAACCCCAATGATATTGTCGGATTATCGGCATGGTTGGTCATTCGAACATCGACGTTCCTGGCATCACGCACACAGGTGAACGTTTCGAGCTTCAACGCTTCTCACAGCGGACAGCAGGCGTATGCCTGGACTGTGACATTCATGTCCATCTCCGGAGATGTTGGAGAGCTCCTTGTCAATGAGACAAACATCCTCAGTGGGGATGTTGCCGTAACGGAGAGGGTCAAGGTGAGCTACTCTTGACCATTGAAAATGAACAACATTTCGGTTTCAGGTGTCCCAAAACAACAATGGAACGAAACCGTGCCTTTTGGTTTGAATGTAGGCTGATGTACTACTGTAGACTCCGGGGTGGTAAACGAATGTTTCTATATATCTTTTCACAAACTTCACTGTTCTGCTGCTACCTCCAGTTTGGGCTAGCCCGGAGTTGTCAAATCTTGTTCCCGTCGCTCTTGCTGCTCCCCTTCGCAATACCTGGGTTACCCCTCATGTGCACACGCTCTCCCGTGGAATACTTCCTTCATCCAGGGCCAAAGGAACGAGTTTGTCGTGTCTCCTCGCAAGGCGACTGGCGCGCCGGTCACGGACGTCACAGCCGCCTCTGCCTTCGCAGCAGAAGGTTCTACATACTCATTCGCAGGTGCGACAGAGAGAGCGGGAGGCAGACAGACACAGAGATAGAGAAAGAGAGAGAGAGAGAGAGAGAGAGAGAGAGAGAGAGAGAGAGAGAGAGAGAGAGAGAAGGCCGGAAGCACCGTTCCCACAACACCGCGCGCCTTAGCTTCGATCATATGTACCGTACGAAAGTCGTCATTCCGACGCAATAGATGCGCAATTTGTCGTTGGTTGGAAACGTTGGTAGTGCGTTTCTTGGTTCGGTACGGTTCTCATTCGCTGATTTGAACGCGCATAATATCCCCGCTACCGTGGCTACAATCGTTCTGTCGCACGCTCCCTAACGACAATGCGGGTTTTTTACAACACCAAGCAAGCCAACTCAACCTCCACATATACACGACGAACTAAAGGTCGCTGTGAAGCGCACGGGTCTTGACCCATTGACTTTCGGTGGATTTTTCGTGATACTTGTCTCACGCAGCTTCAAGAAACACAACACATTTCACCCACCTTCCCTTCCCACAAGTCTCACGCAGAGACTACAGTTCCAGCTACCCCGTTGGCAGAACCGTTACGCTGAACATGAAGACCTCGCCGACGTCGATTATCACCTACTCCCTTCCGTATATTTTTGTGTTGATTCTCGACTGTGAACAATGTAGGTGGCGACCTGTTTTTCACGGAGCTATACAAGATCGAAGAGGATGGGTCCATCGAGTGGGAGTCGGACGGAGGCGTGGCCATGTACAATCCCACCGCCTACGAGACGCAGCGTCTGTGGATTCCTTCGGGGTCATCGGGCAGGTATATACAGACTATTACACATACAGTACGAACCGAATCCGGGGCTTCAAGCCCCCCAACTTTTCAACTCACGTCTTTGTATGTGTACAACTATCTTGCATTTCATCAGTATGGACACTGACGCAATCTTTCTCAGAATACTCGGGACGAGCAGGCTTTCTAAAATTCGCACTTGTTTCCAAAACATCATGTTCCAAACTGACGGCGAGCGTCATCAAAGCCATTGTGTCCCTTAGTGACGAAGTTTGCGCCTGCTTCTTGCGTGCATTTGTTTGTCTGTGTTTGTTGTTCAGCTTTTGCTTGGTGTTTGAGTGGGAGAAGGTCACCTATACAACCGGCAATGGCACTGGATGCCCCGAACCAGATGGTGGTGCCATCGCGCTCAAGGTAAGAGCAGGAATGAGAGTCAGTCCGTCACTGCATTCAAAAGAGGATAAAGACTACTCTTGCATGGGACAACCGCCACCACCACCACGCGTAGAACAGTAAAAAAGCAGCTGACATCGGCAACATTGCGAAGAAGGTTGGGGTAGATTCCACTTGAGATTCCGTCACCGCTGTGAAAGGTTTCCGAGGTCAGGCCACGCATGAAAGGTTGTATTCAAGCAGTCTCTTGTCCGGGTCTGTTGACGTCACCAACGATTCGGACCCCCCCGTGGTCGGTGGTTGAAAGGTCGAGTCCCAAAAAAGAACGGAGAGACGTAGGGAACACGTATCGTAGGCATCACTTTGCTTGAGTGCGTTTGATTTCATGTGCTCTCAAAGTTCGTCGAAGACTTCCGAGGAGCACTGCCGTGCCGGGACAGAAAATGGGGCGACCAGGCATGGAAAGGGGACGGGGAGACGCGCATATACTTTAGTGTGATAGTTACCTCGGGAATGTGGGCGTGGTTCATATTTGTCCTGATGTTTTATTGAACTCCCCAACCCACCTTGCGTCATGTCTTTATTGCCGTCGACCCTTAGGATGCTTTGGAAACGATCGATGTCATTGGGGAGGTGGATGTGGCATACACTCGCGAGGAGGACAGCGATGCCCATGTCTACGATGTCTGGTTCAAGGTACGATGTTTCATCTTTCAATGTTGGATCACCACCGTTATCCCAATGTCAATGTTTTTGACTCGTGGCCACGTGGTGGAACGTTTCGTCTTTCGATCCCGCACCACACTTTCAGGTGTAGCGATTCCCTGATCGTTGATGACTCCTCGTACAAACTTGGCTGTGTTTTGCGTGAGATGCCGTCGTGTGCAGGGAGTAGACCAAACTACTCTGTATAATGTGATCGTTCTCGGCAAATAGGATACGTTCGTAGCGATCAGCAACCTCGCTCCAACATCCACGATCATACCATGCTGCGCCAGGGGTACCTTGGTCCATTTTTCGTCTTGTCTGGATGGTGGTTGAACTACTATTTCGTCCTCAAAACGCACCATTCGCTACCGCCTTTACCTCTGCGTTGCCATCTCTGACGCTGACGAACCATCAACACCGGCATCAAACGAACAGACTCTCTTGGGCGACTTGCCCCTGCTGGAGTACGACGAGTTCACAACCGATCCGCTAGTGCCGGGGCACATCAACATCACCGAAACCTCTGCGGGTGTTGCAGAAGTGCAGAAAGTGGTCATTTCTTCCGACGCCGGGTTTGTGAGGGAGGTGCAGAGCCTGTCTTTGACCGCAGATGACACTTCGGTTGATGTGTCGGGTAGCTTCAACATCACCCTATCCGGGGCGAGCAACACCGTTCTGGTGCCTTTTGACGCCAACGCCACCGAGCTCGAGGTAAGTCTCTGCTGTTGCCAAGCCACCACCGTTTGCTGTTAAGGCCACTCAAGACATGCTTGGGCGTTTGGTTGCAGCACTCCATGGGTTCATGCCTTGTGGTGCCGCTGCTTTCTGTTCGGTTGCCATGAGGATAGACCAGTGACCTTAGGCTTGCCTCACATCCTAAACGCGCACTGTTACCGATTTTCGTGCTGGAATCGAGGGACCTGATGCTTGCGTTCAGTTCTTGTGATGTCCCTCTGTCTGGAAAGAAATACTCCGCGTATCGAGCAACGCCCTGTGTATGTACGAGCTAGGTCTTGTGTTTCAGTCGGTTTTGTCGACCAAAGCTGCGGTACCCCAGGACCCGAGCTACACTTACGATTGGAACCTCCAACTGGTTGCTACACTTGCGATTTAGAAACATCCAACTGGGTTGTGTTTTCTGCCCTGCGTCCTTCGAGAGAGCCGCAGCTAAACTACAAATATGGTCTACAAATCGGTACCAGTACAGCACTACGCAGTCTGTAGTTCGATGTCAAACACTCATACTATACCGGTGATCACTTCCGCATAATTTCGACAATATCCTAACCTGGGTTTAATTTTGGATTTTTCTTCAACCCTCGCAGGCGCTCCTCGAGGAGCTGAGTAGCGTCTACGACGTTTCTGTTTCGGTCGTGGACAAGTCGAGCGGGAACTCGTCCGTTGACAGTTACATAAACGCCACCCTCTGGACCGTCGTCTTCAACGATCCCGTTGGCGACGTTCCCAGCCTCCTGGTGAAGATCATGTGTCAATAGTTGCCGTTTTTGCCACATGGTGTTACCACCTGGTGTTGATCCTGAACCCCGTTGGCTCTTTCAGTATAATCCCATGTTCTTGTGCCCGTGTGTTTACCGCCGATGGAAGTTTGGAATTTTTCACTTGAGAGGTATCCCTACTGCTGTGCGGCGGTGGTAATTCTGCTTTACCTACGTGGTTGATGGTAATTTTACCGAGGCGATTTGTCTGAGTGAAGATAAGGAGAACCAAACGGAGGTACTCGCACAAACTCCGTATTGTAAATAGCTAGATAGCGGTTTAGCTAGGATTATTTTTCGAACTGAAAAGCCGGTGGGATTTTCAGTTGATGCACTCGGTTCTGTGGTAAGGTACCGAGTTTGTTTGGTGGATGTGACGTATCTTATTTCACAGTTTCACATGTGGGCTGCTGGACACGCGACAGCGGTTACGTTGCAAATTTCAATTGTGAACTTCTTTGAGTGAGTGTGAATGAGAAATGCTCGTCAACTTCAACCTACGACAAACAACGCTCTGATTTTGACAGGTGAATGGGTCGAGCTTGGATGGCAACTCTCCGCGAGTAGATATCGTGGAGGTGGTCAAGGGCGTCTCTCCTCTTGAGGGCACTGTAACGCTTGCTTACCGTGAGGGGTTTTCTCAAGACCTGGCTTTCGATGCCTCCGAGGAAGAGGTAACACACCCCGCTGAAGAAATGTATGTTCTCGACAAGCAGTTTCATGCGATACGTCACATGTTCTGGGATGTATCTGAATGAAAATCAACTTGATTCCATATGAGCTTTCCCTCAAAGTGTCCTGCTGCACAGCGAAATAAAGAATTTTGAAGCTCTTTTACAAGCTCTTTTACAGTCATGATCCACTCCAAGTGAGTGTCATTTACTTGCTTTTGATGCTTGTCAGGAAGAGACAAGAGGAGAGCACCTTGTTTGTGTGCCCCAAGCAAAATATCATCTCTTCCGTCGATCGCTGCGGCGCCTTCACGTCATATCAGTATATTCTCTTCTTGACCTCGTGCTGTCCCCCGCGAAGCCTCCGTGCATGTATCGTTCTAACATTTGCTCAAACGTCGCCCCGCGAAACGTGTCCTTGGCAAAAACAAACAAAATCATTCAGATCAAAGCAACCCTGGAAGCACTGGACACAATCTCCACCGTCTCCGTCTCCAAGTACGACATCGGTGCCGGCTTTGAGTGGTGGGTGACCTTCTCCGGAGAACTCGGAGACCTAGAACTCATCTCCGCCTTCCCCTACTCCTGGGAAGTTCAATCTCTCCGCACCTACGGGGGAGACCCCACCCCCCTCGGCGGTTCCTTTTCGGTGGAATTCGGCGGTTACACGTCCGGAGATCTCCCCTACGACGCCTCCGCGGACGGTTTGAAGGCAGCTCTAGAGGCATTGCCCGGGCCCGGGAGGGTGGACGTCGACAAAATCGTTTTGGAGAACGGCCGAAACGAGTGGCTGGTGACCTTTAGAGACCTGGTTGGCGATGTCGAGCTTGTCGCGGTGGATGGGTCGGACCTCACTGGCACTTCGGCTACGATTACAACCACCGAGGTGGGTATATAGTAAAGTTTCGAATCCTGCTCCCATTGTGTTTAGATGTTCTTGCCCTTCCATCGTCTACTTTCTACGTTATACCACTTGAATTCTTGTAGACACCAAAAATGTTTTTCCCGTGACAAGTGCGTATATAGACGCACATGTAAACGGCTGTACCACTCTTCGTAAGAGCAGGTAACTGTCTTCTTTTCGCGTGGTGAAGCCCACGCGATCCTAACCCTCCTCCCAACCTCACCAAAACCGAAATACAGGTTGCCGCTGGGTCTAACAGCTCTCTGACCGGAGAATCACCCGCCCTTGCGGTGGAAGAGATGCATTCCGGGAGGCCGAGTTACACCGCCAGCTACCAGCCTGTGGGCACAGGGCCGTACCAAGTGGCGGTGACGCACATGCTGCCGGGTGGATTGAGCGCGACGTATTGGGACAACCAGTGGCTGTTTGGTGCTCCTGCCGTTCAGAGGGTGGACGCCCAGGTATGTTTAGGAGTTCAATACCGGAACAGATTATGTCGGTTTGTTGGCTTCTTATACGGGGCGTTTGACCCGTATTCCCGGTGATCGCGTCTCGAAGTGCGTTGGAACCTAAAATATGTCTGGCGCAACAGCGAAACAACGCCAAGTTGTTCTGGTACTCGTGTTTCGGCGTAAACGTTTTGCGAACAATGTGTACCAAGTCGCCCAGGTAGTGCGACTTCCAAAGACGCATAATCTTGAAAGCGGGCACCTGCTTCCTACAACAGGAGGCACGAAATTTCATTAGCAGCGTGAACCCCGATTCCGCTGTATTGCAGCTTGCAGCTCCTCCTAATCTTAACCTCGAACGTGCAACCCAGCAATCGATCAAACGATCAGGGCGATCATCCCATGGCAGAAACAGAGCGTGACCCCAAAACAATTATTCGCACTGCCAGGTCAAATTTAGCTGGGGAACTGGCGCTATCACCCCGTACGGGAGAGACTACGTGTCTGCTAGGTGGAGTGGAAAGCTTCTGGCCCCTTCGAGTGAGACCTTTACTCTGTACGTCAAGGCCGACGATGGCGCTAGGCTTTACGTGGACCATGAACTCGTCATCGATGCTTGGGAAGGTAAGTTTCTTCGACAACGACTACCGTGTCGCATGCCTCGCAGAGATAATTGTGTCTTACCGTTGCTCGTTGAATATTCCGAGCCTCGCTGATAAACACCGACCCAATTGCTTCAAATCTCTTGCTTGTCTGGAACATGGCGTTGTACTGAAACGAGTTGGCGGTTTCTCCCTACGCGGCACATTGACCAGGTGTTTTGCCAGGGGCCATCGAGTACCGTGCATCAGTAGACCTTGTCAACGGGACGTTCCACGACATCGTGCTGGAATACAGGGAGAATGATGGTGCCGCCAGCATCCAGGTCTGTCTACGTTGCTTCTATTTTCCTGTTGCTGTTGTTGCTGCTACCGTTATTGTTGTTAAGGTAGTGGGTAGCACTGGTAATGCGGTGTCTTTGCTACCGTTGCGAGGTTTTCTTTAACCTGTGGTTGAAATATGTAGGCCACCGATTGGATACCGAGTGGGCGATCTCTCTGGGGTTAGCGACGTCGAAAACAGCCTCCCGATTTGATGAAACATCGTGTCTCTTAGCCAATGATAATGATTGTGGTATCTCCACAGCTTCCTGCTATTACTTCCAAGCTGTTGAAATTACCATCAGAATCGGAGGACGTAAATCGACTCATCCCCGTCATTGATGCCCCCCGCCCTCGGTAACACTCGGGTGCGGTGCAGCTCATGTGGAGCAGCTACAGCACTGCGCCGGCGGTCATTCCCGCGTCCGCACTGTTCTACACGACGCCTATCTCGGGCTCACCGTACAATATTTCCGTCGTACCTGGGGCGGCCGCCTATCCCTTCACCGAGGCCTTCGGGGAAGGGGTAACGAACGCCTCCGCCGGGGTGTTTGCATCTTTTGTCATCCAAGCCAAGGTATGTATACGTGGGGATGCCGAATAAGCTTACCATGGTGGGATTTAGCGATTTTGGTTGTTTGTGGTCGACACCCCTGGAGGGTAGAGGTGTTGCGTGCTAGAAGGGGGCTAACGAACGCCCTGGCCCAAAGGCTTGGTCCTGACGTATCGTGCACACCCAGGTGCGAGTGACGCTTGGTTTGGCATGATGCTCGACTGCTTTGTAGCTCAACTCCTATTTTTTTTTGGATGGTGTCGGTGAGGTAGAAAAGAGGGCACAAGAATACAAGAAGTTATCCGAGAATGGATACTGTTTTTTGCCAAGGTCTCTTGATGCTAGTGTGTGTTGAAGACGTTTGGGGCTAGAGCTAGCAATATATCGTTCACAAGGAAATACGCACAGGTTTCAGGGTCAGTCCAAAAATGCCCATACATCTGATAGCCTATTTGCCAGATTTTTGCCTTGTTAAAGCATTCTCTCTCCGTGCTTGGGGGGCGGTGCTGGGAAGTTTTTCTGCCTTGCCCCAATACCTCTGCCTTTATACCCCTGCCCGTTCTCAGGACGCCTGGGGCAACAACGAAACCCGTGACGTGGCCGACGAAGAAGGGAGCGCTTTCCAAGTAGAACTTAGCTTCGGGTCACGTACACTAGGACCCAGCACCATGGGAGCTCCGGAGTACATCGGGGATGGCGCCTACAGTGTCAGCTATGTGGCCACAAAGGTGAGTTCAATAGTTCGAGGGGTGGAGCTGGAGCTAGCCGAGGAGAGTGAGGTGATGATGATAATCCATTACCTTAATCGTCACACCGCAGATGCTTGGGACCCGACCACGCCGGACGCTGGTCATCACCTCCGGAGGCGCTATCGCCAAGCACTGGGCACACACGATTCGTCTACTGCACGTTTGGTGTTTACTGCTTGTCGCTCCCCACTTTCGACTTATACGAAAAGGGATTGATGGAAGGCAACGCTACCTGTTGTTCGTGTTAACCTTAGCACTACACCAATGTTTGGCGACGAAACGTACTGCCGAATGGGGCCTTTAACGTCGAATGTTGCTGTTTGCATGCACGGTAGGCCGGAAACTACAGCCTGTCCGTTAGGACAGCGGCTGGGGCGCACATCTACTGCGGCCTTGCTCAGGAAGAGGCGTGCTCCCCTTTCGAGGTTGTCGTCTCACCCGGTCCGACCACCGCTTCCACTTGCGAAGCCGAGGGGGACGCCTCTCCTGCCATGGACTCCCTCGCAGAAGGGGTTGCAGGGATGACGGGATACTTCAACATTCAGGTGACACACACGTACATGCCTTCATTGCTTGCTCTCGGACTATCTGGGCGAATCTCAGCACAATATTCTGTGTATCCCGGGAACCATATTGTGTCGGATTCGCTGAGTTGCGTCCCCAACTCGCAGCAGATACTCTGTTCATTGACGTGTTTTGGGTAATTCTGGACGCTTTAATATCCTGACGGATTTATTTTCGGCTCTTGGACACATGCACTATCTCGTCGGCTGACTCTATGCGCCTGTAAGAAGACATTGCAGCCTGTGACCTCCTGAATAACGCTCGCCATTGATTTCCTGGTTGAAGTCGCCACATGGCGCATTGTGGCGAGTTCAGCTCAATGCAGAAATTGTGGCATTTTCTGTTTCGTGCCCAATCCCATGTTATCTGCAGGGCTTTCCAACGAAACTGCTGAGTTGTCGAGCCACTAGTACACACTCCAAGCCCCGACCATTGACACCCACGTTGGCCCGTTCGTTGTCATGCTTTCTCAGGCGAAAGACACTTTCGGCAACAATCGCCTTGAAGGGGGCGACGAGGTCTCCGTCCATGCCGCGCTGTCGGAATCGACGACATCCTACAGGGGGACCGTCGTTGACAACGCTGATGGGACCTACCTAGCAGTCTACACCGTTCCCCGGGCCGGGTGCGTGCCAGAACGGTTTGCAGACACTGCTGCACTTCTACCTCCTGCGAAACACCGCTCGATCGGAGAGTTTCGTTTCTTGAGTTAGTAGGATTGTCTTGCTACAGTCAATATCTACATTGTATCGAGAACCTCCAGCGAGCAATGGCTGTACGACGTGTCCTTCACCGCGTACACTGTTCGCCGACAGTCAACCCCAACCAAGACGTCCATCACAGTTTGTAGGTGTCCTTCCTAGTTCGGGTGTCCTCCGTGGCCATGAGGGACAGTCGTGCTTCCTCCTCCGATCGCTCTGCCCTTCCTCTCCCCTCGTATCATCTCTCTCTCTCTCTCTCTCTCTCTCTCTCTCTCTCGCTCCCTCTCCCTCTAACCGCCATTTCTGTCTCTTGCTCGCTCCACAGGACGTACTCCATGCGAGTTACCATCGGAGGCGAGGCCGTCCAGCACTGCACCCCTCCCGTCAACAGCACCACCACCTCCGTGCTTAGTCGCGAATACGATGGTATCTCGGTCTACTCGCCGCCATCGGGATGCTCTCCGGACTATCCCACCCTCACCGTGGTTCACGGCGACCTGCACACCCCGAGCTGCACTGCGGAGGAGGTCGCCAATAGCGGAGACGAGGGGCTTTCGAAGGCTGTCGTGGGTGTCCCAGCGAACTTCCAGGTTGTTTCCCGCGATGCTTTCGGGAATATCAGGTTCGTGGTTGCTGTTCTTGTTCTTGTTGCTGCTGCTGCCGCTGCCACTCGTTACGATTATCTGTTGAGGCATGTTGCCGTGGCGATACTTGTGGTACGTTTCAATTTTACCATGTTGATGTCATGTTCGTGCCAGTCTGCGCAAAAGTGCGTTGTTGGCGTGCAAGTGTAGAAGAACACCGTTCTTCCACATAATTTTATACCGAGATATATACATTATTTGTCAGAGATATTTTCCAACTTCTGCCGAAAATCACGACTCCTCGAGACAGTTGGAGACAACTGGAACGGGCACTACTGGCTATCACAAGATTACGCGACTCAACAACTTTGTTCGCAACGTCATAGGTGCTCAATCAACACAATTTCGTTCTTGTTCCACTCGCACCTTCACATTTCAGAACTGGCGACTCTACGACGCACTTCGGGGGCTACGGGGACGGGAGCTCCGACGTCTTCATGGCCATCCTCTCCGGCGCGAACGGCTACCGTGTCACGACTTCTTCTGCTGTACAAATCGTCACCGTCGCGAACGGAACCGCGGAAGGGTAAACGTTCGTCGCACGTATGCTAGAGCTGAACCGACTGGGCATGAACAAAACCCTTTGGGTTACTCCTTGAAACGGGTTATCCACGCGATCCAATCAAAGCTTCCCCGTTCCAAGAAAAAGCGAAAGCGTAAGTTTGGTCTTCTCTGCCACTAGTCTTTGTCTACGTTTTTCGAACAGACCCTTGCGCACTAGTAATATCAAGCAGACCTCACACAATTGCGTGTCACATCCTTACGCATATCCCGCCTAACAAAACACTACCGTCCTTCGCTGGCCATATTCTCTCTCTCTCTCTCTCGCTTCATGCATAGATCTTTCCGGCTGTACTTTGCCGGGGATGTATCCCGAGAGGTACCCAACGGAGCAAGCGCCGCAGAGTTCCAAGCGGCGTTGATGGGCATCAAGCAAGACCAGGCCACCGCTAGTGGGGGAGAGGAGATCGTGAGCGCGACGGTATCGCTGGATTCGGATGCCGATTCTGGGGCTGTGGCGTGGCGGGTGACCTTCCTTTCTCACCTGGACGTGAGTGCTGAACACCTCGGGATATGGGTATAAGTGGAAGGAGACGCTGTCAGACTGATTCTGAGAAAGATTGCCTGATGGTTGGTTTCTGCCAATTCGGAGAACTTTCTTGGCCGGTCGATATGAAGTTGTTGCTATTCGACTTGTGTATCACACATGGATTAACCGAATCTCTAAGCGGACCAGCATCACGGACGCCACACAATGCACCACCAAGTGTTGGTAGACTAGAGTATGGCAATACGTCCCTTAATTCGCGTGTCTTTACGTTGTCTACTTCGATGCCCCCCGGAATACCATCTACATATCCTCTATTTATCTTGGAAGGAGGCGCCCTAAGCACTGCCCCTGGCAATAGCTTGCGTCTCGACAGCCAACGACAACCATTATGTCACGTCGGCCTTGTCCTGCACGTACACAACCTAACGTGATCAACGGCTTTATTTCCGCTGCGATCGGCATCCAACGCCACGGTGAACGCAGGAATGGATGTCTGATCCGCTTCAAGTCATGGCCGCCTCAGACGGCTCGACATCGATCAGCGACATGATCACCGTCAACAAGACGGCGTCGGGGGGAGTGTACCCAATGGAATACACCCTCCACTACCGCGGCACGTATGTGATGAACGTCACTGGGGCAGACGGCCAGGTGAAGGGCGACTGCGGTGTGTTGAAATCGTTGCATGAGAGGTCACGAATGTGTAGAGTGTTTTCGAAGCAATGGGAGAGGATAGGTCGCGTGTCCTGTCGTAGCTATGGTTTCGTTCCAATAGCCCGCAGTATCGTTTTTCGTGCGGAGCCAAAAGGTAGCGATAGGCTCCGTCGATCTCTGCTGCTCGTTAGTATTCTTCTCAAATAACACCCCCTAGTGGACAAGCTTTCGTCGTATCTTGTTGTCGATAGATACGGAAACGCACCTTCGCGGATAAATAATTGCTTTTCGTCTCCCATGGCATCGAAACCCTTGCTGTCAGAGCTGCTTCGACTTGCTCTCCTTTGCATTGCACCGTTCGAGCACGTAACGCCAATGTGGCACATTTGCACCGTGTACCTGCATCATTCCCCGTTCCGTTTCTCTTCAGCACATTACTGGGTCGAGTTTCTTCGTAGACACCGAAACCAGCGACACCGATGCATCATCCTCCACCGCGGAAGGCATCGGGCTCTCGGGAGGGGTGGCGGGAGAGCCCCTGCGCTTCATCGTCCAGGCCAAAGATGAGAGGGAAAAAGAAGTCCAAGCCCTTGTCGCTTGGGCAGAGGTAAGGAAGCTTGATTGACCCTTTGACCGCTCTCGAGAAAAACAAAGCTTGCAGCATTCAGAGGCTGCACAGCATCTGGTGTACATGCATTTCTCCAGAACGGAAGGGTTAGCGTACAGAATCAGGAGCCCTTTCCTCTCTTCTTGAATGCCTGTGCCGTGTGCACAGTGTCTCTTCTGCGTGTTCTGGCCTACTGGCCTAGGTCGCGGCCCCTTGCATCTGTGGGAAAAATCGTCGAGGGAGCTCACCATACATTTCTCGGTTGACATGGATTGGGCGTTAGTTGGGTGTTTCCCATCAGGGAGGTGTCGCGTTTAGTCTTCGCATCCCACTCGTCGTTCACGCTCCCTTCGCCAGTTCCTAACTCCTTCTACCATTCTGTGTATGGCATTGAATAGGTTGTGGATGTCGTGCCAGAGGTGCAGAGCGTCGCTCTCCTAGGAGCTTCGGCCGAACCTGTCTACTTGTCCTTCCTGGAGCAGAACATTACAGTAACGATCGGCACAGACACTCCGGCGGACATCCAGGCCTCCCTCGAGGCTCTCCTTACGGTACGTGCGCAGCATCCTCAGTTTCGCCGTAGCTTAAGGTATCATGTCATATTTGTCACGGTACAGAGTCCCAGCTCTATACCTTCAGGGAAATACGTATATGGTCGTTGACCTTCGTGTTGAGCAGTCTTCCGTCACCAAGAGCTGAGACAAGCCATGGAAGTCATCAGGGTTCACCCCAAATACCCCCGGTATGCTACACTGCCGCCGTCACTGCGACCATCTGTACAATTGCCGCTTACCACCGTGCCTCGTGTAGTAGGTGGATTGACAATAACTTTCTTCTCATACCCTGGTGACGGCTGAATCCCAGATCGGGACTGGGAACGTGGAGGTATCCAGCGACGTCGGATCATCGACAGCTCTGGACAATGGAGACACCTTCTCCGTCACCTTTACCGGCGTATACGGGGATGTTCCCCTCCTCACCCCGGTTCCGTCTTCGCGAGCGACGGTTACATCGTCCACCGAGGGAGACGCCCCCTTCCGAAAGGAAACCCAAGCTTTTTCTTGCACACTTGGTGCAACGGGGGACCTCGTGTTGAACTGGCGAGGATTGGGGAACGTCACGGTGGCGGCGGACGACGACCTCGACGCGTTCGAAAGTGCCGTTTCGTCGGGGCTGACGAGTGTAACCGTCGTCGGGAGTGACACGACGGCGGTCTGTTCGGGTGAAATCGTGTACATCACCTTCCATGAGGTAAGATCACAGCGTCACCGTTATATGCCGTACCGCTGAAGCAGGGATTGTTTTCTTGTTGGCACGGGACAGACACAGCAAACGAACCAAACCCTAACCAATATTTTCCTATACACGCTTCCGAGAACACAAGACATTTGGCCCTCAGATGCTCACAGATTTCTGTATTCCAATTTTGGAAGGGTGCTTACCAGAGTTGACACCACACGATGGAACTGTTATACCGGGGGTGGGCGTATGCCCGCATTCAAGGTATGAAAGAGGTTCGATGAAACTGCGCCATGTGTTCGGGGCAAGCAAGACCTAAACCGAACGTCTGCGAGACGATGGATCCGATCCAGGGCCTTCCAATATGTGTAAGAGAAACCCTCTTCCTGTCCCTCGCCCCCCCCCCCCCATTTCAGGCCCGCGGAGATGTGCCTTCTTTGTCCTTCGCACCTGCGGACACCTTTACCGGAACCGTGACAATTTCTACAGCTGGATCGCTAGAAGGGATTGCTCCCCTGTGGGGGACGTTTGAGCTGGGGTACGGAGGAGAAACGACGTCTCCTCTCTACGCAGATGCCACTGCTGGTAAGCTCGGTGCTCCAGGCGCAACAACGTCTTGAACCCCCAAGCATATACTGTAGTACTAGCGTGTTCGCACGTTCACCAATACGACGTGCGTGCAAGTCCGGACCATGCCACCGTTTTTGCGGCATGCCCTACGTCTCCGTGGTAACGATGCCGTAAATTGGCTTTCTCGACGAGGGGTATCTCAGCGTGGTGTTATGTCATATGCGACAGGACGTACTTAACAGACGTTTGAACGTTTGTGCTTTCCCCTCATCAGCACGAACGCCGCTTTCACTGAATAAAGGTCGAAGGCGGGGAAATCCTCCATTCCACAATACGTGTCTTCCCACCCGCCGTGCTTCCCACGTGTTTCGTTGTATGCTGCATTCTCGATCACCTCACCTCACCACGCAGATGACGTGAAAGCGGCCCTTGAAGATCTCTCTACCGTAGGAGGCGTTAGTGTAACGTTGGGGCACATTGGCCTCTCCCTCGGGTCGGACGGTACTGTCTTCCCGCCGGGAGGCGATGACAGCGGCAACGACAACGTGACGTCTCTCTTCCCTGTCTGGACGGTCACCTTCGATGGAGATTGCTCGTTCGAGAATGACGTGTGGACCTCCTGCCCAGCCAACATCGGTGATTTAGAGGTATGCGTCCCACCCCATGCTGCAGCTTTGAAGCGATACGGTTAGTGTAATCCTCGATATGAATACGCGAACGTAGCACAATTTTCCGTACGTTCAACGCTGCCCCCTCGCTCCCGTGGGCACGTTATCCCGCCTGGGTACCCTACACATGCAGGGGGGCCCTGCCGAACAAGGCGGTTGTTGGGATCCCTTGATGGACAGTAGACCATCAAGCTTTAGCTCAGTATCGCCCCTCGTCCCCTCGTGAAGATATCTAACGTTATGAAGTTGGGCAAGGAAAACCTTGTACCTCACGTTATTTTCAATAACATCTGGCGTTTTCTTCACGATTGGCAGCGGCCTCTTCCTGCACGTTCAGCTGCACACGCTTAGGGTTGAACCCATGATGTTGACGTTTACGCCTGGTTATACCGTAGAACAGCTAGCGTTAGAGGTCACTTCCAAGCGCTTTGAGTAGACTCAACATGTCAAGGCGACCACCTCATATAATACCACCGATTTTTCCCTCCGCACACACGAAACGTCAAAGTATCACACGCTTCACACCAACGTTGTCCCATCCCGCCTGTGGTTTTCTTAACACTCCAGCCGCTTGTGGTGGACACGTCCGGACTGGGATGGGAGGAATCTCCTTACAAGCACCAAGCGCCTCCCGAGATTCGCGTGTACGAGATCACCAATGGCACCGCTGGCAACAACCAGGTATATTGCCGACCTGACGCCACAAGAGATGCGTGTTTGTAACCTCCGACCGTAGTCAAGCTGCAACCAGAAGGTATGCGTGTTGTCCGCCTCTGCTAGTACATTGTTTGCTTGCTCTTGCCCGGTTTAGACGATGAAACTGTTGTTGAGTAAGAGAGTCTCCGAAACGGCGATCAGAGAAGCCCAAACCCTAACTCACCTTTTGTGGTGTGATATCAGGTGGACGAGCGCGACTGGAATGCTCTGGCTGTATCCCTCTTCCTCGAAGACAATAGCACCGACATCGCGGCCATCGGCATGAACGAGAAACAGGGATTCACCTGCCACACTGAGGCGGGGGGATCAAACTCGTCTGCTTACGTCGTGCTCGAGTTCATGGGGCAGAGTGCCACGATCAAGGCTAACGCCACCATTCCCGATTTCGCCGACTACATCGAGGAGATGGCCCGCGACGCCGGCTTAGCCAACTCGGTGGTCAACATCACGTCTCACGCGGGACAAGCGATGATATGCGGAATCCATGGAGACGAGGTGGGTCAACGTTGCAGGGATCAACAGCCTTGAAACATGTACAGGCACACTTTCAGAGTTTTGGTTGGGCCTTCATTGAATCACCTAAGCACTTGGAAGCCTTGAGGTCAAGCGGTTCGCTCCATTCCGTGCACGGTAGGAGTCAAACTTGCAATCGGCTAGGGTAAGATTTGCACCCGTCCGGAGCTCAGCCAAACTCCAACCACGTTTCGTGTCAGATTTTGGTCGAATCGTTTGTGAATGTTCGTGCTACCATCGCTGGTTTCGTTATACACGGTGGATCGCCGCCGGACCACACGAGGTGGCTGTTGTCGAGACAACGTACGACCACGGTCATTGTACGATCACGATTACAACCTAATTCTCATTGGGCAACCCTCTCTGTACCCTGCAGGTGGTTATTGAGTTTGCCGCCAACTACACGCTACCGGAGATTGTAGTCACAGGCTACAACGGGGTTGCCGATATCAACGTGCGCGAGATCACCAAGGGTATCGACTCCATTGCCTACCTTGGAGGGGGCAGGTAAAAGTTCTGAACGAGTGTTGCTGTAAAAGCAGCTGCATCTATGCATACGAATAAAGCCGAACTTTGACCGCAGCTTTACGATAATGTCCTTACTGACCCGTTTCCCATCGCACCCTATATAGCGAGTTTCCCCTCAAGCCGAACGACACCGTTCAACCAAATTCCTAGGTCCCTTCCCCTCTACGCCCCACAAACCCTCGTGGCTACACAATGCCGTGTTGACCCCATACCTCCTGCTGTTTTTGAAAATGGCACACCTCAACCTCAGTTACCTGGTTGAGTACACTCCTGTTGTCGCTGGAAAGTACTACCCAGTTGTCACCATCGCCGACGAAGAAATCTCGACCGACATGTCCGGAGGGGTTACCGTTACACCGGCCAACGCGTCGGCGGTGACGTCCACCCTTGCCTCCGATCGGGTGAGTGTTATTGGCAGAGTTGGTGACAGTGGCGGTGCTTTGTGACCGCCACGAGATATTTTGACTGTCAAGCAAGCACTTGATTCGACTTGACTATAATACCAGGCTTTAGATGCCAAGCATACAGTATAGACAAGAGAAACCGAAATTGCTGCGTGTTGAACACCATCCGACATGGCGTCTGTCACCTCAATACATCTGCGCCTCCGCAACGGCGCTTCACGTACTTAGTAGGATGGTCCACGACGCTTGGAAGCTAACTATTGCGAGACGTATTTCCGATAGGTATGCATTTAATATTCTGGACCCTCAATTCTGCCCCGATACGATACTCCACGGGGTAATCACAAACCCGGTCTCTGCACATTTGCGCGCAGGTGGCTTTCCAAGGCGTGCCCCACTACCACAGCCTGGAGATCCGAGACCGGTTCGGAAACCTTCTCGACGGTCACCCAACTGGTGGAGGCTTTACCGCCACCATCACCGGAACCCCTGACGCTCGCGCTGGCGTGACACAAGAGCACGCTTCTGATGTTACCATCGCGGCGACGGTTTCAGAAGAGACAGATGCAAGCGGGAAGCTTTCGGCCAATTTCACCCCCGATATCGCGGGGACGTACGTGATGAGCAACGAGTTTACTGGGCCGGGGGGGCTCCTGGGCACGTTTTTCCGGACCAAAGATTTCATGGATCCTGTTCTTGAAAACTCGGCCTACGCGACTGAGGTGAAACTTCTTGTTCAAGCTTGGTTACCACAAATCGTTAGAGTGTGGTGTTTCGAAATCTTGCCTTGCGTTCGGCACTGGTGTATCGTAGCCTCCTTACCACACGCACCATCAAGCGTTTCTCCTTTCACCACCGATTTTGCTTCGCCTCTGCTTCGCAGGAGCCGTACCACGAGCTTCCTTTCTGCCCTTCTACAATGGTGGAAGGGTGTGATTCTACAGAGCTGGTGTCCAGCTTGACCCTGGACTGGGGGACCGCTAGTCCTCTGCAGGCCTGGCCTGGCCTAGGCTTCCCTGCAGACTACTTCAGCGTGAAGCTCGAGGGCTTCATCATGGGTCCCACCGACGGAACGGTTTCCTTCCAGGCCACGGCGGACGACTTGTTCCGGTTCACAGTGGACGGGGTCGTCGTGATGGACACCGTCACGGCTGGGGGGGATGCCTCTACGTCCATCCTTACGGCAGAGGTCGACATGACGAAGGGCGCTTTGCACGCAGTGACAATCGAGCTGGTGGAGGAGCTAGACGAGGCATCGATGAGCCTCCTCTGGTCCTACGACGGCGCCGCGGAAAACTCCCCGATGGAAATCCCCTCGTCGGCCCTGTACTTCACGAGACACCTCGAGGGCTCTCCTGTCACCATCTCCGTATTTCCCGGGGAGGTGACCGCAGGCACTACTTCGTTCGATGGAGACGGCTTGGTCGGCTGCGTTGCCATGGAGGAGTGCTCCTTTACGGTAACCGGGCGCGACGGCGGCAACAACATTCGGTTCACGGCCGGGTCAGACGAGTGGGACGTGGCGGTGGATGGGGTGGGCGGCTGGGCCGCCGAGGGTAGGGTAGGAGAGTTTGTCCACTCGGAGGACGCGCCTCTGTCTGCGGGCGCCGTGGCATGGTCGCCCGAGGACTGGACCTACGCAGGGAACGTGACGTGCGTGGCCGAAGAATCGTCCTGCACATCGCAGCGAGATTTGAGCGACCTCATACAGAGGGGTGACGCGATAGTCATCGCCGGGGAGACGCACGTGGTGGACCCAGACGTCACCGAGGCGTTTGACTCTACCTCGCTTCCGCTGGCTTCCCCCTTCCTGGGAGAGTCGGGCCTTTACGAAGTCTTTAAGGTCGGTGACAACACGGGTAACTACACAGTTACCTACACCCCGCTCGTTAGAGGTGACTACTCCGTGACGGTCAAGAAACCCGCCATTTGGGAAACGCAGCTGGTGCAGACAGTGGTAGAGGAAACGGGTGATGACCTGGCTGGCACGTTTACGTTGGCATACGAAGGCGAGATCACCGTCCCCATCGCCTACGACGCCATCGGGAGTGACGTGGCGTCCGCCCTGGGCAACCTGTCCGCCCTAGCCGACGCCAACGTGACCGCCGAGACGTCAAACTGCTCCACGCCTGAGGTAACCTGCGCTTGGCTAGTGACGTTTGTCGGTCTGTATGGTGACGTACCGCTGCTAGAGGCCGACGTGGAAGTGCTCGAGGGAAACGCTGCGAGCGTGGCCATCGCGGAGGAGATCAAGGGGCAAGCTGCCCTGGACATCGGTGGCTCACCCGTGACAATGTCTGTCGTTCCGAACGATGCTAGTGCCGGTCAAACGACCGCGTGGGGCCGGGGACTCTACGAGGCGACCGCAGGAGAAACAGCCACCCTCACGGTGCAGGCGCGGGATGCGTACCAGAACAACAGGCTCGACAGCCAGAACGATTCCGTGTTCCTTGCGCTGGCCTTCGCGCCGGACGCTGATCCCGCCGACGTTCCTCCGGTGCACGGCACCGTCATCCCGCTAGGCGACGGAACCTACAACGTATCCTACACTCCGACGTTTGCCGATACATACGTCCTGGCGGTCCTCATGTCTACCGCCGTAGAAACGCAGCAGTTTTCGTTCGTGTTCGATTCGGACGCAGAAGCGTCTGGGCGTTTCACCCTGAGGACGGGGGACGGAGCCCAGCAGACAGAAGCACTTTCGTACGATGCAACCGCTGACATGGTGGCGTCGGCCCTGTCTGCTGTGACCGGCATCGGACCGGTACAAGTTACACGAGAGGTTACATCGGTGACGTCAGGAGCGGCCAGCTGGTCGTACACGGTGGCTTTCATGTCTGTTGTGGGAGACGTCGAACAGCTCACCGTTGGCTCTGAGGACCTAGTAGGCCTATCGGAGCCCCCTTCTGTCACCACCGTCACGGAGGGAGAGGCTGAGCACATTAAGACGGCAGAGGCCTCCCTTCTCCCCGAGATCCAGGTGGTGCGGGTGAGCTCGCCCTCCATGTTCAACACCACTCTTCTAGCTGACGACGGTTTCACGCTGTCATTCAAGGGGCACACCACTGCCGCCCTTGCCGTCAACTCGTCCGCCGAAGAGCTGGAAACTGCGCTCGAGGAGCTGACCACCGTCGGTGGCGTCAGTGTCTCAAGACAGGACGTGGCGGGAGCGTCTCTGTACGGCTTCGAGTACGCGGTCGAGTTCGAGCCTTGGGGAGCTCACGACCTCGAGCACTACCTCAACTACGGGGACATGCCTGCCATGGTGATCCAGCCCTCGTTCAGGATGGCACTGCACAACGTCACGGCGAGAGTGTACTCCGGCGGAACCCCTAGCGCCGACGCCGCTATCACTCAAGACGGCGCCTCTCCCTTCGTTCCGGTAGTGTCTCCGGGCGTCGTGTCGTGGGAGGCGTCTACTCCTGTAGACGAGGACGGCGTGGTGGACAAGGACGGGTTGAGCTCGGCCTACTACGAGGCGCCCACGTCGTTCCAGATCGAGAGCCGCGACAGCTTCGGCAACCGCGTGTTCGACGGCCCCGTGAAGGAGGTCCAGATTATCGAGGTTTCCACCACCTTGGGCGGCGTGTTGGCCGGGTCTTTTGAGGTGTCCTACCAAGGCCACAGCGTCGGACTAGACGCCGGCGCAAGCCTGGCTGAAGTGGAAGCCGCGATCGAGGGACTGTCAAGTGTGGGTGCAGTGACTGTGTCAACCGCGTCCGTTGTCAACTCAACAGCTTTCGGCGCCAGAACTGGGAGTGTTATCGCTGGCTCCCCGTACGTGACGCCATCTGCCGACGTGTCTTCGATACTATCGGAAGGGGACTGGCTCCGGTTGTGCGACGTCAACGACGGGCTCGTGTACGCCGTGAGGAGCGTCGATGCATCGTACCCCTACACCATCACCCTCGACTCCCCTTACGGTGGCGACACGGAATCGAACTGCGAGATGTTCCGACGAGGCATGGCCGGCAGCGGCGCGAGCAGCTACCAGTACGTCGTCACCTTCGACTCCAACGTCGGAGACCTCCCGGCCCTGACCGTCGACGGCACCGGGCTGACGGACGCGTCTTTCGGCAACGAGACAAAGGCGGAGGTGATTTCTTGCAACTGGCACCGCAGGCAGACGGTGTCGATCAGCGCCGACACGGACGTCAGCGGGTACTTCGTCGTGGAGTACATGGGCTTCCGTTCCGACCAGATTTCGCACGCCGCGAGTGCCGCGGACCTCCTGCAGGCGCTGACCGCTCTGGAGCCAATTTACACAGCGGGAGTGGAGCTGGCCGAAGAGTCGCTGGTCGGGGGCCTACGCGCATGGCACGTTACTCTCGTGAGCGCCCAAGGCTACGAGCCGATCTTCGCGGACGGATACCTTCTGAACGGCACCAACACGGCCGTTTCCGTCTACGACCAGTGTCCCTCGAGCGGTTTGGCCAACTGCACGGACAGTGGCGTCTCTGCTTCCGTCGTGGGCTGTGTCGTGACATCGGCGGCTGGCAGGGTGGGCTCGAGCTACACCGCTAGCCTCTCTGGGCCAGAGGTCGTGGGCGGCACGGTGGAACACACGAGTGATGGCCTCTTTTCGGCGGAGTACATTGGCCCTGTGGCCGGCGAGTACGAGCTGGAGGTGAGCCTATCGACCCACTGGGTTGTTGACAAAGGAAACCGTTGTGTTGGTTCCGTGTTGTTTTGAATGTATCTTTGCCCACAGGACTGCACATGGAAGGCAAGGGTAGTGAAGGGGGTGTGACAAAAAGCGTCGTTCGTTGCCACCCGTATCCTATGCGTTGCATCTTCTCTTCTTCCGTAGGTATCCGAGGCGAAGGGCTTCGGCCTTCTTGGCGAGTACTTCAACAACCGGTGGACGTTCGGAGACCCAGTGGTCACACGTGTCGACGCCAAGGTGGACTTCTCCTGGTCGGACACGGAAACAATTACGCCAACCGGGCAGGACTACATCTCGGCCCGGTGGACCGGGTTCGTGCAGCCCGCGTTTTCCGAGCGCTACGTGTTCACCGTGGAAGCCAACGACGGGGCGCGCCTGTGGGTTGGCGATAGGCTGATGTTCGACAACTTCGATGAGGTCAGAGGATTGAGTATGTGTGCCATTGTGCTGCTGTAGGCTCTCTTGGTTATACAGGGTCAAACATGAAGATTAGCAGTGCGCGACAATTGTGCTGCTATAGACTCTCGGCTATGTATGGTCAAGCATGAAGACTGACAGTGCGCGAGGGAAGTCGCTCTGCATGGTGAGAGCATGAGTACGAGTACAACCTGCACTTCCTCCTAAACCTCTCCTTCCTACCTACCGTCCCCATGCATCTTGGTCAGGACCTCGGACGGAATGATACCGGCCTCATGTCCACCTTCACCGCCACCACTGAAGACGAGCTTGTCGCCGGACGGCTCTACACCGTCACGCTCGAGTTCCGTGAGAACTACGGCTCGGCAGAGGCGCATCTGCTGTGGAGTTCGGGTAGCCAACCTTCAGAAGTAATACCTTCCAACAGGCTGTTCTACGCATCTGACCCGGTGGGGGACTCTCCCTATTCAGTCACCGTCTACCCCCACAAGCCATCTCAGCCGCTGGAGGCGTTCGTGGCCGTGGAGGCCTGGGACCAAGTAAAGGTTAGCTTCATGCCACCGGAGAACGACGGTGGCGAGGCAGTGGAGGGCTACATGGTGGAGTGGTGGTCGGCATCGACGGCTTCAGACGATGGCGGCTACGGGAGCCCGGAGATCCAGACCCTGAAGATTGGGGGGGACGTCGACGGTGAGTCAGGGAGCGCGTGTAGCGTAGACGTTTTCGTGGCAGTAGATGACTTACACTGGCTTTGAATATGGTCCAGAAAAAGGCGTTCACGATGGAAATCACGGGTTCGAGCTTGTAGATGGCGTTAGTACGTGAGTTAGCAAACACAATGTGGTAGCCTCAATATTGCGGCAGTAGGTGAATTGGATGCCCAGCTGGTTGATCAGTGCGTCGACAACAAGGCAGACAAATGTCTACACTGGTGCCGGTTAACGATGTTCTCTACACCTTCCTGTAGTACAGCTTAACTGTACGATAAGCACGGGGGGATAAGGTCTCACATCCGAGTTACAGTTTCAAATAGAAGAACACTCGTGTCAACTCCAGGTGGCAACGTGTACGTGACATCCCCGGGAGGGTATAATTTCCCGAGGGCCCTTGGTTGGGACATGTCTGCCGAGGACCTAGAGCTGGCCTTAGAATGGACATTCGACATAGGAGAAGTGACCGTTTCGTACGCAGAGGACTCCAACAGCACGCGCAGCTACCGCGTCACCTTTGAGGTGAGCGATGTCTCAAACAACATTTTTGCCTCCCTGTCGGGGAATAAATTTTAGCCTTGTTGATGCTGACATTTAAAGATGTAAAATGATCGTCCAACAAAGGATGTTTGTTGCTGACAGTTGCGGAGACGTGGGGGTCTTGGCGATGATAATAGGGGCGTTGTGTGGGTGATGGGAAATGTCACAGCCGTATCGTGAAGCGTCTAGCCCATCTAAGCCTCACAACGCCGGACGGTGTCATGTATCGAAGGAAACGCTGGAGAAGGGAAGAACCAATGGCAATCATGAACTCATAAGGGTGCATAACCCTCACCGTTCGGCTGAACCGGTCCACTCTGTATTAGTCATGGGTATCTCCTTTCTCGCACTTCCTTGGACAACAAATCGCAGTCGGAGCTGGGTGATCTCGGTGCTATGGGCCTCGACTCCACCGACTTGACGTCCTCAACTGGGTTCGTACACTCGATCGTCTGCCACGATAGCTCGACCGCCGTTGCCCCGGGAACAGGCGGAGCTTCTGTCGGATGCCTCGGAGCCGCCGATTCCCAGGTATTGTAGGTTGATTTTATGTAGCTTGTTCTCCTGTCCTGCGATGAACTGTTTCATGTGACTGCCATTTCTTCCGTCCAACGATTTCGCACCAAGTTGCCTCCTTGCGATAGGTTATCACACGATATCATCTGATCCACTCCTCAAAGACGTGTTCATTTTTTCGTTCATGGCCTTGATCACGTTCTTTTTTTCGTGGTTCGCCACGCCACTTTCCAAAGGCCGGCAATGCCACGGCGTCTTCGTCAACCGATGTTGAGATGAACGTGGTGGCTGGCGTGGATCCTTTCGTCTACGTCATTGAGGATCTTGATCAGGCTTCGTCCGAACCGGCTGGTTTCGACGTGAGGGTGTCCGCTCTAAACAGCGCCGGATACGGTCGCCCGTCCGCGGCACTAAACATCAAGGTGAGGCATGCACGTGGGATAATTTTTTCCAACGTTGACAAGGCTGAGGGCGGGAAGTAGCGTTTGTTTCCACCTGCTTGATTTTTCCTATACATGGAGTGGCCGCTCCTGCAGCACACCGTGCCAATAATCTATCCGGGTCATGCACTCTATCTGTGTTTTAGAGTCAAGCTCGCGATCGTCTGCATTTTCCAGCTTGCCGATGCTTGCTCGTCTGGCACCGTCCGCCATTGGTGCTCACCAAAAACATGAAAAAAAAAAAAAGTGGAACCAGTAGAAGAGAGAGCAAAAGTGATATTCGAATCAAAAGAAGAGATTTTTTCCGAAAAAGGAGAAGGATATCAGATTGTGTCGAGCCATACTTGAACCTCGTTCCTGTCCTGTCGTCGCTTGCTGTCTTGCTCTTGCTGCCTTGTGATTTGTTTGTGCCGCGCGTCATGTCATCGGATAAAGCCTGCGGACGTCCCCTTGGCACCTTCTATGGCCGAGGTGTTCCTGCTCGCTGATAACCCTTCGGGCCTACGAGTCTACTGGGCTGACGTCACTGAAGACAGGGGCTCGGAGGTAAAGACTCGTTATTGATGTCAATACAACCTTGACAGGAGGAATCTCTCCTAGCCAAAAAAATCTAGCGAGTTCGGTTTCGACCAGGTTGGATAACTTAGAGTAGGCAACGGTTCCCGAGAAGAGGTCAGGACCATGTTCTTGTGCGTTCTACAGGGCATGTGTTGGGGTAAAAGCATTGCTTGGGGACACTCCCCGAACTACCGTAGGGAATATGGCAAGAGTTCAGGCACAACAAATGCTGCTGATAGTGGAAATGTCGATCTTGTCGTCTGTTCGATCTAGGCGTGATTTTTTGTAGAAAAGGTGGAAGAATGGGACCAGCGAAATTATGACGTGTTCGTCAGTCTCGTCGCCGTTGTTGAAATTATGGATGATGAAGATGCTGTTGTTGCCGCTAGTGTGGTTCATGATACTTGGTTTTGTCTACATATCCACGCCCAGGCAACGCCATACTGACACAATTCCAACCGGAGAGTGGCGAAGTTGGAAGGCACATGAACACGTATCGCCGATTCCCTTCCACGACTGACTCATGTTCTGTCGGCGATAATTTGCGGGTCTGGAACGAATGAATCAGGTAATCTCTTTCGCAGTTGACTACTCGACCGACGAGGACTTTGCTGTAGACAGCACGGTGCGGATTGAGGGCAAGACGACCTTCTTCCTCAGTGACAGGCGATTGGACAACGGCACTACACACGGAGTATACGAAACAGACGTCACTGGCCTGCAGGTGATGAAAACATATTGTAGCCTTATGCGAGACGTTTCGTGTTTCTCCTACCAAAGGGAATGCACCATTTCCGTCGTATGCCCACCAGCATCAGGGAATTGAACCTGCTTGGCCTGCCTGCTGATGGCTGTGGCAGCGGTTAACCATCTAAGCTCATGGCAACGTTTCGCCAGCGGCATTAGCATCGATTGGTCTACCGCTGAACACCAGCAGAGACAGTGCGTGAATAGCTGTTCTACATTTCATATTTTTCCCCTGTGCCTACTGTGTTCATGCTCCTGCGCTATGGAGGCAGCTGAGAGAACACGGGTTGCTGACAATTTTTCTATGCCATCAACAGCCGTGTGTATTTGTGATTCACGACCTCTCACGATCCACCTCCTTGCCTGCCTCTGCTCCTCTCCTTCGTTTAACGTTCCTTTTCCACTCTCTGGTGCATGTGTTTCCCTCTCCGCCTCCCCTTCCCGCCCTCCACAAAGAGCGGTATCCCATATTTCTTCCGGGTGTCCGCATCCAACGCAATCGGGGAGGGAGAGGCCATGGTCACAACGCCGGCTTACCTGGTCCCGATGACGGCCCCCGACATGCTTGAGTACGGCACGGGCGTAACGTTGTCGACCCTTCCCGCTGGCGACGCCGTGTCGGTGACGGATTCGTCGACCTCGCTGCACGTGTCCTTCTCGCCTCCCCCGAATGACAACGGAGATGCCGTGGACGAGTAAGTGTCGTGGGAACCATCTGCACCACGGGATTTTCCTTGTCGTTGTCGTGGTGGTGGTGGTCGAATCATGTGTTTGCTTGCTAAATTCACGAACTGTTCTTTTTTGCTGTGGAGGCGTGCCAAGCATCGTAGCTTTCGTAGGGTGTATCTTGGACTGTCAGCCACATGTGCCGTTAAATCCCCTCGTTGTGCAAGCTGCTGTAGATGTTGGGTGCAGCGGAGTTGATGCTTGAAGGCCGTCACTGGGTTCATGCCACCACGCGCGGCTGCGGGCGCTTTCGGTGTGAACATATCAAACTGCACACAATACCGGAGGCGTGCTATTTCTGTTTCCCGACCTACCGTTATTCACTCTCTCCGCCCATCCGTTCTTCTGTTAATACCGTGCGGTATTTTCTTCGCGTTATCTTCATGTTCCGGTTGCCCCCGAAAACTATGTCAGATACTTGGTGGAGTGGTGGATGGCTTCAGAGCCCGTCCGAAGCGAAGTGCAAGTGCTGCGACTGGCTTCGACGGCTGTGTCCGTTGCGAACGACACATTGACCGGAAACTTCCGGCTGTCGTGGGGGGATGGTGGAGAGGAAACAGACTACCTACCTGCCGATGTTGGGGAAGTGGAGCTAGAAGCGGCCTTGGAAGGCCTACAGGACGTTCGAGACGTTCAGGCAAGAGCAAATAGTTGTTATATTTCCATTTTCAAGAGTCTCTTCGCTTGGACAAGTCGAAAGGTTTCTTTTCTGCAGCGAATTTAGGCAAATAATATTGCGCCACGTGTTCTACATATCAGGTGCCTTGTTTTCGGGGTCAATCTTCGTGACGAACCCAAGCGAATCCAAGGATGGCGCTACGCCATCGAACTTTCCATCCACATCACAAACACTTTCGATGGACGTCTGGAACGGCGACTATTTAGCTTCTTTTCATGCGAAGACGGTACCGACCTTGCTTCTGACAGGTTTCCCGCGAAGCAAACACGGCTTCTGGGTACGACTGGTCCGTGACGTTCCTGACCGACGTAGAGCCGTCCGCAACTTCGAGCCGGCTGGTAGTATCCTACAACGGCTTGGCCGGTGCTCTCGGCGCCTACATTACGGCAGAGGTTCGTCACAATAAAAAAGAACTTTCGTTGTTGACTTTCCGCTTGAACGCTATTGACCCTGTTCCCGATGTTGACAACAGACATTTAGGAGGCCATCCCCAGGAAGTGTAATGGTCTACTGTCTGCGGCAAAATCGTTCTCGATGTCTCGCTTTCCTTTCGCCCTTTTTTTGTAAGGTTGGGTACGACCTCATTGCCGGACTGCCGGGCCACTCCGGGGTAGTGACGGTGACCGCCTTGGGGGGGGAGCGCAACATCTCTGTGCTTTCCTTGCAGAGCGGCATGTTGAAGGCAGGGCTATTCATCGAGCTCGAAGGAGAAGCGTACGAGATCGAGGCGGTGGATGCGTCAAACGAAACAATCTCGCTGGTCGAGGTGTGTGCTGTTGGCCTGTAGTACAGTATTCTTGTACTCTTGTAGGTTATTTTTTCTTTACTTCTGGCCACGAAGATAGCCTGCTCGGGGTATTGATGACGTCGGGTCAAGCCATAGCGCAGGTGTTGAGCCGCTGAGTCGTGACGATTCAATCCCTGTATGATGACTGCTCTCATAAAACCACAGGCGTACGGTGGATCGAACGGAAACCTAACGGTCAACTACGGTACCTCCGTCAGAGGCAGGAGCCCCTCCACCCTCCTCTCTGCAACCATCCCCGCAACGTTATCATCGTCCGTGGCATCACCAATTAGTGATGGCAACGGAGGCATAGCCACCAACTCCAACTCTTCTTCCCTGTGGTACACCATCACCGAGCTAGAGACCGGAGAGCCGTACTTCGTCAGGGTGTCCGCGAAAAACGCCAGAGGTCTCGGCCTACCCAGGGGTTCGAACCCGGCGTACCTGGCTCCACCGAAGCAGGTCCCCGCGAATCCCGAAGGGGTGTACATTTTCCCGGCTACTTCGAACTCCCTCAGGTAATGAATGCGTTGTAGGAAAAGGGTCAGTCAGCCAGGGTGGGGAGTAATGTATCCCACCCTATCCGATCAGTACCAGATGCGTTGAAACGGACTATAAAACCTCGCGAAGGGTCGAAAGTGCCAACATTCCAACCTATGACAAAATGGTCCAACCCAACGCCAGGATACAAGTTGTGATCCCATGGTGCTGTTAGCGTGGGCACGTTTGTGCAATTGAAGAAAACGCTTTTCATAAAAACGACCATCACTTTGGTTATCCTTTACCGTGTGGAAACAACCTTCCAGGGTACTTTGGAACGCTCCGCCCGCGGACGGCGGGTCCTCCATCACCAAGTACAAGATCGAGTGGGACCCCGAGGAGACGTTCGGCTCGGGAGGTGATGGTGGTCCGCTAGGATCGCACCAGAAGGTCGTGACCAACTCCTCCCAGTGCAGCTCCTCTCCCTGCGAGTACACGGTCCCCAGCCTGGCTAAGGGTTTACTGTACCACGTCCGAGTGTTTGCGTACAACCAGGTGCGTTGATTGCTTGATGTGCCCGCTGTGTGTAAAAAACGTATGCGGAAACAGAACAGTATGTTTCGGCGTGCTAAGTGTGTGTTTTGAAGCTCCCAACCAAGCTTTATCAATCAGCTGTCATCCGGAGGCGGCGCTCTACATGTAATAAACGAGTGATTGTTGAAGGGTTCATATGCGACCTCTTGGTAGGACAACGATGACAGGCTCTCATCCTTGCCGTAACAAAATAATACGTTCGCATTTTTTTGTACGATAAACGCGTCCAGGAGGGTTTCTCGGTGTCCGGTGCGCTGTCGAGCCCGTTCAACGAAGCGCCGTGTACCCAAGCATCGCCACCCCCGGCTGTCGACGTTCTCCCCGCCTCATCCACGTCTCTCCTGGTTGCGTTCGAGCCCTCCCTTGACGACGGAGGAAAGCCTATCACCAAGTGAGTGCGTGAGGGACTTTCGCCCGTGAGGGCAGTCGCTGTCGTTTCTCACCGGCTGTCATGGCTTTTGTACTCTTGTTGGCGCTTGTCGCCGAGCTGTCAAGTGGCGTGTGTTTCGCACCTCCTAACGCCCGAGCGAAGTTTCCGACTTCGTGCGCTGTAATCCCGTGTTTCGACACTATGTGGTCAGGAACACTCATTTGTACCCTGTCTACTCTGTCTTCCCTTTGTTTCAATTTCTGTTGACAGCTACAAGGTGGAATGGGATGTCATCGGGCTCGAAGGATACCGCCATGGTGGCAGCCCCTCCGACTCCCTGCTTTACTCCAGCGTTGACGTCCAGGCGGTGGAAGCGTCTGCGTCTAAGAACGACCTCGGAGGGCACTTCTCCCTAGCATACAGGCAAGCCCTGCACAACAGCAAAGATGCACAATGTTTGCATTGGTTCAACGTCGTCACGGAGAAAAGTAGAGGAGATGGTGAAACTGTTCTGAGGCCGTTGCTTGTCTCGCAGTACCGCCACACCGCGTTACAGTTCATCGTAGTTTTATATCTTGTTTTGGCCATTTGTTCCGCAACCGTCTAGTGGCCTCGATCAGTCTATTTATCAGGGTCGCGCGGTTCTCGACCAAGTTTCATAGTCATCAAAATGACGAACGTTGACCATTGCTTTCAACAGGGGACTCGTGACAGACACAGTTTCTATCGACTCTTCAGCCGAGGAGGTGGAGGAGGCTCTCAAGGCCCTGCCCACGGTTCCAGGAGGTCTCCGAGTCACTAGGGAGGTAAGTCTACACCTCACCAAAATACAAAACGCCTTGTGAACCATGCACGGACAAGCATGCCAGAGTGAGTGTAGGCGGTATGGCATATCTGCAGTTTTCTACTCCTGGAGAAAACTACTGACGACGCCAAGGAACACTCGCAATGTGAGAACAATAAGCCACTACCTACGCGTCGTTGGCCAGATGTTTTTTGCGTACCTCCCGCTGGTGTAAGCTGTTGCTCTGGTGGATGATAGCAGTTGCCGCTATTAAGGTGCTGCGCAAGAGGGGATGGGGGGTGCTTGCGTTTTCGTCCCAATGACCAATCATCGCGCAGTTTAACAAGAGTGCACCACCTGCACATCCCCATGCTTATCGTGTATCCAGGAAACTATTCGCGCATCGTTTTCGCTTGTGTATTGTTGTTGGCCGTCTCTCCCCGTGTGCCTCTCCGGGTGTGAATCATGTCTTATAAGCGATCCTGCTGCACTCTCACGTTACCGAGAGTTGACAGGCAAGCGTTTGATATACTCCCGAAAAACAATTATTCAAACATGAAGTTCAATGCGGACGTCGATGCAACCTCCGTTGAGACGACACGCAACTTTCACACCCACACCAGTCACAAACATGGGCCATCCCTCAACCCTGAACGTCTGCCTCTCCCGAATCTGCGAAACCTTACGATACTCTGCCAGGCGTTGCCCGGAGACGTTGGCAGATACGGCCGGCGCTGGCTCGTCAGCATCCCCGCAGATGCCTGCCTGGAGGAAAGGGCCGGGTTGTGTCCTCGGGTGTTGGTATCCGCTGACGACACACTCTTCGTTTCCGAGTTTATGATGACCACCAACGCAACGAGCGATGGCGAGGGTTTCAGCGAAGAGTTATCTTCGGAGGGGCCGTCGTTGAGCGGGACGGATGCGGTAGTCACCTCTTCTAGGTGGATCGAGGGATGGAGGGGCTGCGAGCAGCAGGTGGTATCTGTGGCGGCGACGAACGGTTCGTTATCCGGAACGTTCCGTCTGCTGTACGGGGATCAAGCCACTGTGCCTCTCGATGCCAACGCCTCCGCCGAAGCGGTTGAGGTGCGTCTTGGACGATTCGGCGTCATGTGACGATTTTCAATCCATCAGTTCGCAGAAGCTGATAGTCTCGGGATATGTCGACGGCCAATGTGCCAAGGCTCACAGGGTGTTCAGAGAGGCCCACAAAATTCTTATCTCGAAGAGATTCTGATGCCATGTTTGACACCTGTTTTGGGGTTCGGTCCTCATCCTTCAAACGCGGCGGTGCTCATGTCTCTAGAGGTGGCACTTCGTTTTCGTGTCAGTACTTCAACGGTTAGCGCTACATGGAACTATCTTGCAAGTATCGAATACACTCTATGCCCTTCGACGCCGCTAAAACCCTTTTTTGGTCTACAGGCGGCACTGGAAGGACTAGGATCGGGAATGCTGGGAGACATTGCTGTTCGACGGAAAGCGGTTGCGTCTGAAACTGTTACACAAGCCGATTCTTTCCAGTGGACGGTAGTTTTCCTATCCGAGGTACACCAGTAGCCAACGCTTCATCGTTATGGCATGCAAGTGTTTGTGTGAGAAAACAAACTTTTCGCTCGATCCCTGGCATTGTTGGCATGGTATGCTCGTATCCTGTGCGTGTTTTGGACGGAAACTCAGGTATTGGTACGTGCCTGTTCCGTATTGGTCGGTAATTGATCTCTTGATCGCCTTAGGCATATTTGAAACTCTCACCAACAAGTACAGCGATGTTTAAGCGATGGTTAAGCATAAGGTTCTTGATGCTGCTGCACAGCGATGTTTCCGTTGGCACTTCTTCAATCTTCATGAGCTTCATATTTCCTCCTTCTGTTTGCAGTTGGGCGCTCTGAGCACCCTATCAACGGACGTTTCAAATGTCATCCGGGACGACTTCGATGCATCCATCGAGGCGGGGGTGACCCACCTGGTTACGGGTTGGCTGCCGCTCATGGACTCGAGCTTGAAGGGCTCGGCCGTCTTCAACGCTTCGGCCAACTCGTCCCATGAACAGTATGAGGTACGCTGATGCTATGTCGCCAAGGTAATCTTGCAACATGTTGTCTACACTATTTTGTTGCTGGCCGTGGTATGGAAGTTTTCATTTGACCGACATTGAAGGGGGCGGCGTCATGAACACTTTGACCCATTCCGCATGTATGGAATAAATGGTTCAGAAACTTGTACAATCGATGAGGCCGGAGAACGGACCTCAGCGAACGTGGATGTTTGCGGCAAATGACTTCATAACACCCTCTGGTCGCCGAAACTCGCGTTCTTTCGTACAAATGGAATAGACGAAGTGACGAGCGTCCGCTCTTCGCCCGACCTGTTGCAGCAAGTATTGTTCATCTTGACGTGACACAATTATCGTTCCCGGCGCAGTAGATACATCGAACAACCCTTCCAAGCCCACGAATCCCAATGGGAAAGAGCGTCTATTCTTCCCTTTCTGCACTTGCTGCCATCATTTATGAATCACGTTTGTGCCTGCTTCCGTCACGCCAGGTGACGGGGCTCGCAAAGGGAGCGGCCTACCACGTTCGAGTGAGCGCGTACAACGGTGTGGCGCTGTCGTACGGGAAGACCGAGCCCTCGACCCTCCCGGTTGTGCACCCCGGCGGGCCCCCTGAGCCACCGTCTCGGATAGAGGTGGACGCGTTTTCGCCATCCTCTCTGGTCATCTCTTGGTCCCCCCCAAACGATGCCATGGGGGGCGATGTTACCGCGTACCAAGTGGTGAGTTAGTTAGAGTCAGGGAGAGACAGGCGTTCGGTAAGGTTGAGGTGCCTGGGGGGGGTATTGCTTGCTCGTGCTGATCTTGGGAGAGTCTGAGGTGCTCGATCGTTCTTTCCAGAGTATTGAGAGCCTCGCCATGGCACCGTCGCATGCCCCACACGAGCGGGCAACATCTGATGCCATGCGCTGCTTCAACCCTAACCCATGCTGCTAGCCCTGGCCGAAATATGATACTGTGGCGTCCTCAGGCCGCTGTTGCTTCCAAACACATTCACCTGTCAAAGCCACAACATCATCGAAAGAAGGGAATGAAAGCGCATCGAAAGCGCCCTTTGCCATATGTTGTTTCCAGCTATTTCATCCACTACACCTGACACGAAAATCGACGCTGCCTTTCAACCAAACAAATCATGACACTGATAGGAGTGGGACAGCGCACCGGGAATCAGCGAGCAGCAGTTTATCCGAATTTCCAACGCGGTTTCCGGAACGTTCCGGCTGTCCCTGGATGGGGCGACGACCGTCTCCATTCCACACAACGCACTGGCCTCCCGGGTAGCGTCCGCCCTGGCCTCTCTTCCCAATGTGGCTGCACCGGTGGAGGTATGTCGAGTGGTGCCGTGTCATGAGCAGTTTGGGGCGTGGACGGGCAGGGTAATGGCAACGAGCTCGAACAAGAGGATATCGCACTCACTAGTGAATCAGGTTTTGGGAAACCTTCGACTCTTAGGATACAACTGGACATCACCCCATAGATGGAGTTACCGAGGTGTTGCACATAGCTCTCCAAAGCACGCGATCCTGTTTCCAACTACAACGGTGTTGACGAGGATCCTCGCATGATAGTGTGGAAGCCTTGTGCCGCGCGGCCCGTAGACTCCAAACGCCGCAAAAGTCGAGTTGAATCAACGACACAAAGCGAAACCGGTCGTGTGGCAATAACTGGAATAATCCGTTCAGCTTATCCGACTAGGGTTACATTTGTTTGTTAATCTCGAAATTCGAACCCTGCCGATGAATTATGACCCATCTTATGAAAACCTCGCTTCCGTGACCGACTTCCTGTCAGGTGACCAAGGAGAGCTCGGCAGCAGCATCTGCTACGGCTACGGCTGCGGACCCTACGGTTTCCTCTTGGAGGGTGGCGTTCGTTTCCAACATCGGTGACCTTCCTCTTATGGCCGTGCAGGTATTCCCAAGAAACACCGCGCAGGAGATGGACCCGGTCGCTCATGTTGATAACACGGACTCGTAAGGAGAATGCGTAGATGGCTCCGGTAGACTTGCATCACGACAAGTCTGATGGCGAAGAATACGATTATGGTATGATAGTGAGAACAGGCGCGCCCTCGAATACATGGTGGAGACATGCACGCGGTCGATGGCATGCGCCATGTCGCCTCAGTTGTTAGCAGCATCGTCCGTCCTTTGATCTGCGCGCACTCTTGACGGAGATTGCTGAAGGAGGTCCGCACCATAGCAGTACACACCCAGGCGATATGCTTCGGAAAGCGGTGCCTGTCGTGACCTTGAGCCCCACTTCTCCGGTGCAGACAAATCCCTGTCTGCCTCATATGCTACATTCGATCACGTCGAATGGCGAATATTTTCAAAGATTTGTTTGTTCCACTTCGCCCAGGCTTCCTCGCTTCGAGGCGTGAGCGTTACAGCCACGGTTGAGGAGACTGTCAAAGGAGTGCTGCCGCCGTTCGACCAGGGGACCGTTGGGATCAACGTCATGCCGCTTGGCACCGCAGAGGTGCGACAGTCTTTGCTCCTTGCCCATACTCTCTCGAACCCCTCCCTACGCGTGTACCATGGCTTTATCCCGAATCCCAAGGGCACCATGAGGACCGCGGTCGTGCCGCCGCCTTGGGCAGACGTGCTATGAAACTACAAACTGTTCGTGCCCTTCGGGTCTCGCGAGAGCCTTGTGGTTGATCCACTTGACTGCGTCCACAAGCGGGATAGATCTTTGCGGTGAATGGTTGGGTTCAGTTCCAAGTGCTACCCGCCCTTGCTGAATAATGATACCAGGCACCCATTGCCATTATCTAGCTTGAAGCCTGATGTGTTGTGGATGATAATCATTGCTCGCAGACCTTACTCAAGAACAAATGATACTGCTCCGATGAACGATCTAAAGTGTCGCTGCGTCGTTGCCTACTATTTGGATTGAAGGTCCTCCTTGAATGATCTTTGCAAACATCTGAATTACCTGACACCATCGTGTCATGTGGCACCCTGTTTTTCAGTACTCGACCGAAACCCATGTGTTTTTGTCAAACAACAGAAAGCAACTACCGGAAACCGAACCCGATCGCTGTTTTACCGCAGGTGACCTCCACAAGCGAGGTGCAGGTGATCACAGCGGCGGCAACCGCCTCCGACTTGGATGGGTACTTCTTTGTCGGGTTCGAGGGCCACTGGTCCGAGCGGGTCGCTTACGATGCCACCGCTGACGAGATGGCCTCCGCTCTGGCCGGCATCCCCGCTGTAGGACAAGTCCAGGTGAAGGAATGTACTTTGGTGTTGGTGTTGGTGTTGGTGTTGGTGCTGGTGCTGGTGCTGGTGCTAGTGTTGTTGTTGTTGGTGGTGTGGTGGTGCCGTTGCTGTCGGTGTGGGGTTGGTGTCATTTCCAGTTCGCATCGCTGAACCTGTTATGACCTCGTTCGTGAACCTTCGTCGAAATCTGCCGTGAGCCCCCCCCCTTCCGGAGAGTTGAAAACTCCGTGCGGACCCTATGGGTACAAGGTGCTGCAAGCCCTTTCAGACCCCAACGTATTCTGTAGTCAAGATGCACGCGGCACCTTGATGACCCCTCGAATTCGGAAGGACGTGAATTTGGATTTTTTTGGCGTCGTCAATTTCTTCTGTGTCTTGGTCTGCGGTATCTGGAAAATATGCACTGGGTTCAAGGACCGTTGGCCGGACGTGAACGGTGCTCGATGAGTATTGAATGATTTGGAGAAGAGCCGGATATGCCGGGTTGATTTCAGCATGCAGTACTGGGTCCAACAGGCCCTCCACCCTCGCCGGTATCTGTGCTTTCAAGCAAGCTGTAAGAGGATCTACCCTACGATTGATGGGATTGTCGGTGATTTTTTTTGTGCTCTCGATGATGGTTGGATTCTAGGCGTACAAACCTGTGTTTGGTGGTTGTGATGCCTGCGTTGTGAGGGTGCTAAATTATTCCACGCTTGGTGTTGCCACTGATGCTGACAGGATTTTCCAACACGATCGACAGCTACCATTGTTCCAATCCTCCTACATTTTCTCTCTCCATGACCCACCAGGTTTCTGTCGAAACCGCGACCTCCGAGGACCCCAGCTACCCCTACACCGCGGGGCCAAGCGCACAAGGGCTCTCATGGCACATCACCTTCCCCCCAGCTGCCGGCGACGCCTCGTCGCTCGTCGTCAGCACGGGGAACGGTCCCGAGTCGGTTCCCGGATCGGTCCTCGCCTCGGCAGGAACCTTGAGCGGCACGGATCCGTGTGCATCTGTCGCGGAGTCCCGCAAGGGAGGCCTCCTGACAAGCATGGTCACCCCCGAAGGAGCGGGGTTGGAGGTCGGGACTGGCTACTCCGTGAGGGTGAAGGCCTACAACGGCATCGGGTGGAGTGAGGTAAACCACTGGAAGAGGATGCAACATCAAACACAGATGTCAGACATCAAACACAGAGATTGAACCAAGCGAGGCGAGAACACAACATAGTTCAGAACGTCACAGCTGTCCACCAGAACATTCCAACACATCTGGGGCGAAAGTCGAAAAAGACCTTCACGAATGTAGGCACACTACAAAAAGTTGAATATTCTCGAGAATTGTCCAGACGTGCTTCATCAGTTCGCGGAGCGCAAGGAACACACACTTCGACCAACAGTTTGCCGTCTGGCGAACATTTAGGACAATTTCTCATCGCGAAAACAGCTACGACTGCTGTAGTCTGGCATCTTACACTACAGGCCCCACTCAAACAGTGTTGAGACGCCGGATTACATGTAGCGTTGGTTGCCATTAGCAGTGCCACTTGTGCCGACACTTAACGTTGAACTTACTTTGACCTGATGCTGCTTTACAGGTTCGCACGGCACCCTTCGTGGCGATGACGGCCGCACGCGCGCCTTCACCACCCCGGTCGGTGGGAGTATCCGTTCTATCGGAGTCCCAGTTGGCGCTGTCCTGGATGGAGCCAGAGAGCAACGGCGGCTCCAATGTCACTAGGTGCCCCTAGCTTATGGGTGTACTTCAGCGGATCTATTGTCTCGTTGCTTTGTCGAACCGCAACTGAGCACGTTTCCATTCGGTCTCATTCTACACGATGCCAGCCCTTACTCTGCGCAGATCCTTCTTCTCCACCGATGTCTATCAACGACCATATAAGCTATATCCCGTCTGCGCGGCTGTGCTTCGAAACAAGTTATGGGTGGTTTGTTTTTATGTGGTATCAAGTAACGAGCATTTGACAGAAACCTATGTGGACACATTTTAAGTCGTCCCAAAATCCGTGCTTCACATCGCTCATGAGAAGGAAAGATAGAACCTTCGATTACCCCACTCGATGACGAGACGAAAGCCCGGACATTTAGCTATCATCCCAGGCCTGACGCCTTCGGTATGGGTACACCGTGCAGTAGAATCCCCGAGGTTGTACCGCTCGACAGCTTGACGAGCTCTTGGGAGGAAAACCCACACCCGATCCTGATTGCAGCGCCCAAAGGCGATAGGTGTGGCAATCGGGCAGTCCTTTCGAAAAGGGGATAGAACCACGGAATAATTACAGCCCTCGCCGATTATTTTATGCCGATTCGCCACGATAGGTACACCGTGCAGTGGAGTTCCGACGAGAGCTTTGGCTCTGGAAGCAGAGAGGCCAAGATCTCCGCTCCGTACGACTACGGCCAAGACCCGAACACGTGGATGACCTACACCATCGAAGGCGTCTCTGAGTCGGAGACGACGTACGTCCGGGTGATAGCTTCCAACGCCGTAGGATTCTCGGAGCCGGCCGCCGCGGTACCTCAAGGCTGGTCTCAGCGCGAGGTATACAAACTACCGAAGTAGGGCAGAACGCTGATTCGCGCTTTGCCCATCTTTCTTTCGTTTGTTGTGTGTCTGCCGATTGTGCTGGGGTAGCACAAGGCAACAAGTAAAAGTTAACATCAGCAGGTTCTGTCAGTTTTCAACCGGTGTTCCAGAGATCCTGCCTCCGGTCTTTTCGTCGGGAACGTGCACACCACTGGCCCAAGCCTCACGGGCAGACCCGCCATTTTGGTTTTGTGTGTTCCCCGTTATGAACGCACGGACTGTTGAGAAGACGAGACGGTTGGGCATACTCGAGGCCAGAAAGTCTCCTGACCCTGCCATTTCCGCTCTCGTGGAATTGCTTGATCATGGCAAATGGTTCGGCTTCAAAGTTATCCGGAGTGTATGTTGGGCGGTCTTGGAAGCTCAATATTCATGCCTCAACAGGGTTTCAACGTACATCGTGAATGGAAATTTACGAAGAGCCTGCGCTATGTTTCGCTGTTTCTGCCATCCGCTAGGGATATGGACAACTTCCGGGATAAGCCTCCTCCTTATCCTCCCACAGCCAGTAGTGTCACAAAGAGGCAAAGGAGTTGGCGAGGGACCAGCGGAGACTGCAACTGAGCAATAGAAGCGAAGAATAAATGACTTGCGAGGAGAGCGGGACACAACATTTGGCAATTACGTCAAAATGCCCTCGCACAAGGGCTAGACGGCGGGGAGTTGTCTAAACTAGAGAGGACCGCACCGGATATTCAAGAGCGAAGCTAAGCTGCAAGTTTTTCAGCGGAAACGATATCCAGTCAACCGAACTCCCACTCGTTTCAGAAGTAAGGATGTCACGCTGGAGAAGACGTCGACAAAATCCCTCGCTAAGCAGAAATCACCGAAGTCGCACTTCTCGTTGTATTGTTGTCCGACGACATGCAGGTGCAGCGGATTATTTTGATGGGCAGCCAAGGGGGGTCCTGCGTGTCCGATCTGCTACCCTCCCAAGGAGGCAGCGGATCCTTCAACCTGACTCTACTCGACCCCTTCACGGGAAGGGCGGATACCACGGAACCCCTGGACTTCGACGCTTCAGCGAATGAGGCAAGTCAGCGATCTCGGCGGTGTCCTCGGTTCTGCATTTGGTTCGTTCTACCAATCGATTACGCATTTCCGAGTTGACTAACAGTTCTGGACGATGATAGATTACGTCTGCTCTTGCGCACACGTATGGAGAGATTTCAGGCTAGCCGGACTCCGGCTGCATAATGATACGAAGGCAAGGCCGGGGCAACATGGTTTAATGACGGAAATGCTGCGCTTCTCCAGGTTGCGGGTGCCCTATCAGCCTTGGGATCGGTCGCCGGAGCGGTTCGCGTGAGCCGTTTCGACCACTCCTCTCTCTCCAGTTTCGATTCCACGGACGTCAACACGGACCGGTACAAGATGGAGTACATCGTACACTTTGAAGGAGCGGCGAGATCTGGCGATCTCCCTCTGTTGACATACGGGAGGAACGACGACGTGAATTGCGGTAATCACATGCGTCGTCGATTTGACATCCACAGATAGCCTTTTATGGCGTGCTTTTAGATTGGACCAGAAGAACTCTGACCAAATGCCTGTCCTGCTGCTGTTCATTGAAGCGCCATGTTTTTGGGGATGGCCCTTAAGTTGTTCCGAATCTTGTACTCGACACAGCGAGAGAGAAGAACGTAGGATGAGCCAAGGGATTCGGGGTAGCAATCAAGACTGTAGCCACAACTGACCAAAACCTAAATTACGTTGTTTCTGTGCAGGCAATATCTCTACTTTCCAGCTGGTGGCAGGGAAGGAAGAGCCAGCATCGGACTTCGCCGTCATCCCTGAACTCAGGCCGCCCTCTCCTCCGTCCCAGTTGAACGTATCGGTGGTATCGACCAGCTCCCTGGGCGTCTTCTGGTCAGCTCCGCAGTACGACGGAGGGTGAGATCGAGCAAAATCCCCACGAGTTCCAATGTATCTAGTTTAATTTTATGCTCCGCCGTCTTAGCCACAAAGAAGCCTGATCGCCTGATCACATCCGCGCTGCCCTTCGAACTCGACGTTCTGGACACCATAGCGAGGGGAGCTCCTATCTGCTTAAGCCTCACCCCGCACTCAGCTTTTCCTGCCAACAATTTCGACCGAGATACTCTGGCAGAATCGTTTCCTTCTCCACGAAATCCCCGCACACCCGCAGGTAGTGAAACGGAACATGGGAGATATATATTCGCTTCCGCATGACGGTTCGTTCGTTATCCAGGCGACCTCGCGGAACTGTTGCATCCTCGTACTCGTGCCCTTTTTATCCTGCCAAACCGCAAACCTTGCCGTTCGTGCGAATTTTCCGCCAGATCGGGAGTGAGCAAGTATTTGGTTCAGTGGGACAAGGAACGGAACTTTGGTAGATCCCAGGCCGGAGGAGCAGTTTCGCACGCTGATGCCGCCGAGTGGAGTGCTGTCGTGACCGACACACACTACCAGGTGCGTGAAAACAACCCAAACATCGCTGAAATCAGCGCTCCCGAACATTTCTGGCCACGACCGGCATGAGAACTATGTTTGTCTCCAGCGTTGCATGCCCATAGAGTGCGGGCTTCACGGTGGCGCACTCCGTCAGTAGTAATACGATAATCACGGACGATCCACTGCTGTAGTGATACATAAAAAATACCATAAATGACTACCTCAGCTGGAGTGAATCAACTCACATCCGTGCCCCCCCCCACCCCATGCCCCACCGTATCTCCCATTCAACATAGATTGAAGGTCTTGAGAACGGCACCGAGTATTACGTGCGCGTAGCCGGCTACAACGGGCCCGGCGGGGAGAACTCAACGAGCGAGTCCGAAGAGGCGTTCACAACGTACGGGGCTCCTGCGGACGCGTCCCCGTTCCCCATCACAACCATCGAGCAGGTACGTACAAAGCTCGCTGGCCGCCCCGTGGATGCTTCCATGGCGGGACAATGATTCATGGTGCACGTTTCGTGTTGCCCAAGTACTTATTCTACTCCGGCGTTCTCCACGGGCATCCCTAATTCCGTTGGGACTACCCAAACGATGCTTTCGCAATCTGGTCGCGGTTGCAGGTCCCGTACAAGCCCAACAACGTTACCGTACGAGTCTCTACAGCGTCGTTCGTATCCCCGGATTCGCCCGGGCAAGTGCCAGATCGCTTGGATGTGAGCTGGAGCCGCCCATCCGTGGACGCAGCCACCCAACTCTTCGAGACGAGCGATGGAGGTAAAAACGCGAAACGTGCGCAGCTGCCGAACTCCGAGCTTTCTGCAATATTTTTTTGTTTCAAACTTACTCAAACGATTAGGTCTGCGTTCTTCCACCTAGTGTTGCACCACACACGCGGGGGGAAGTATTCCGAGATTCAGTACGAGAGAACGCCGGATTTGGACCGCGTCGTACAAATATTTTGTTCCCTCTGCTAAATCTTCACCGGTACTGTGTGCCCGTGCATGTTTCCACAACAAAAAACTAAAGGTTCCACGATAACGCACTACCGAGTGAAGTGGGACGTTAGAGCGGATTTCACTTCGGCGTCCAGCAGCAGCAGCAGCGCCTCCGAAAAAAACATGTCCACCGCGGGCTCCTATGACATCCGCGCCATCCGGAACAACGGTTCCAGCCTCCGCTGCCAGTCCGACAACTGCACGTTTGCCCTGGGCGCAGAGGTGCAGACCCTGGATGTGTATTCCGGGGACACGAACGAGCTAGCCGGTGGGGAGTACCGCCTGAGCTACACGACCGGCCTTGTGGAAGACAACACCAACGTCACATTGGTCTCGGACTGCATTCCGTTCAACGCATCGTACGACGACTTGGGCACGGCCGTAGAGAGCGTCACAGGGAGCGCTGTCCTCGTCGCCAGGGAGAGGATCACCGACCCTGGCTACGGCTACCGGTACTGGGTTACCTTTATCGGGGCCGGGGTGATCGGGGACGTACCGTCGTTGGAAGTCACGGACTTCTCCGGAGATAGCACCGCTAATTGCTCGGCTTGGTCGGTGGTTACAGGCTCGTCCGGTGGGGTTGACGTTACCGCTGCAACTACGCAGCAGCACCTCTCTGTGGCAACACAGATTGACGGAGGGTTCCTGTCCGCCGGCACGGGGTACTTCACGCGGGTATCGGCGATCAACTCCATCGGTGTCGGCGAGGCGCAGGAAAGCGAATCGCAAGACGATTGCGGAGGGGTCGAAGGCGCTTGTGCACCGAGAGCACCCCCACCTCCTCCAGTCGACGCCAAGGTGTGTTGTTGTTGTTGTTGTTGTTGTTGTTGTTGTTGTTGTTGTTGTGTGTGGTTGTTGTTTGTGCTGCTATATGATTGGCGTGATTACCTGGCTACCCTTCATATGTAGTCCCTTCTGTCACAATGTGAGCCCATCCCGAACCTTGTCACAAGTATTTGAGTGTGGTTGCCAGAACTTGGTTCGGTCGCAGAGTATCGCCGGCGTGGTTGCCGGCTGAGCTCCTCAAGAGCGTCCTCGCAGCCATGCTGTAACAACAACAGCATAATCTGTACCTTACACCACCCGCCACGCCACCCTCCCCACAGGTCTACGCAGATCCCGAGGAATCGCTGTCTCTGCTGATTGGGTGGGACTCTCCTATCGGAAGCAACGGTGCGGATGTCGTTTCTTACGTGTTGGAGCTCGCCCCTTCGGTTCTAGGGGGATCTTGGACCGAGCCGTACTTCAACGTAACCGTGATGGCTGAAGATGCTGCGGAGATGGCAACAACGTCGGCCGTCGGAGGTAACGGCTTGGAAATCTCATTCGTAGTCTAGAGGCAAGAGGGTGCCCTTGGTAATGCCGGACGACGCGGCCCACCGGAATCGCGAACGTGTGCATCATCACCAACCAGCGAGAGATTTATTTTGACGTGATTGAGGCACAAATCAGTAACCGTTGTCGTGTTACCAAGTCAGCGGCCCCTCTGGTGGTTTTCGCCTGCTGCTAGTCTACAGAGGACACAAAGGCCCTGCAAAGGGACGTTATCATCAGCTTTTGGGGAACATATCCCCGAGCGTAGCAGAACAATCGATATGGAAGTATGACTGGTCGAACCACTTGTACGTTTGGAGAATACCGATATCAAAATCCAGGTGACGATGCGGTCGTTGCCTCGTGGTGGCAATGGGACATCTCACGGCCATGCCTAGTGATTTGAACAGTCCCTCTCTTGCCGTACATTGGCAGGTAGGGCCGGCGGGACGGACGGTGGCTTCACACAGATAGAACTCCTGGTTGCCGTTTCGAGGTCGATTACTGTATTTAAAATAGTTGTGATCGTGGGTACATTCCACACTGAAAGAAATGCTTTGCAGGTGCTCCTCAGCAAACGTGTCCTTGGGCAACACTGCTACTGTATACCTCATGTGTTTTGTATCAACTCCAAGCAGGTAGCGGCTACGCGGCAGAGATCGATTTGTCCGAAGAAAACGTAACCTGCGGCGAGCCGTGGCTTGCTCGAGTTCGAGCTGTGAATGAGATGGGCCAGGGGCCACCGGACTGGTACCCGTCTGTGGTGAGTACTGCGATCGTTAAATCGAGATGCGTGAAACAGTACCAGATAGGGGACACCGTGAGGTACACTCGCATCCTACCTGACTCGCGTGGTTGAGCAGACTTTCGCAAGGGGTAGTGGCGTCGAAACGGGCTGCAAGATAGCGTTGTTCCATAAACGCCACCGCCTCTTTCGAGAGAACATGCAGCTGTGCTATATGCTGCAACCACCCCACGGTCTTTGCACAGCGGATTGCTAAGTGCTTTCGCTACAAAAACACATGTCACTATTCTATCTTACACGATGGCCATTGTCGACAACGTGGTATATATGGTGCCTTCAACTCGAGACTGCTTCGAGATGATCGCAAAAACCACAAATGTCCACATACACACGTGACCCTCAAGACCTTGAAACCCGATTAACCCATGCATGTACAGGGCCTTTCGGGCGTTGTATACGCTGTCCCGACCTGTCCAGCCGGCATCGAGGACTGCCTCGAGAGCAGCAACGACACCATCGTGCCCCGGAGAGTCCCCCGCTCCCCCAGCATGGACGTGCCGCTATCCATCGGTGCGACAAGCTCCCCCAACTCCTTCACCTCGACCTCGCTCATTGTGACCTTCGCCCCCGACCCCGCGGACGTCAACTCCACCACCTCGTGCGACGAAACCGCCGTCACCAAGTTCAAGGTCGAGTGGGACACGACTCCCAGCTTCAACAGCATGGGAAACAAGCCGCTCTCTTATGACGCCGACGCGGGAACCAGCCCCGAAGTCGTCGACATCGACGCTCGTGACGGAAGCGCGCGGTACAACATCACCGGGTTGGTCCAGGGCACCAAGTACTACATCCGCGTTTCGGCGCTGAACACCCTTGGGTACGGCGCGGCCGCGGACTACCAGGACGCCGTTCCTATAACCTCGGCCGACGCGCCCGGCTTCCCGACCACCGTTGCCCAGCTAGTTGAGGTGGGAATGAGAGTACTGTACGACTAGTCACCGGGTAGTGATACATTCCGATCACGGTGAACCGGCTCTAGGCTTCATTTTCGGAATACTCCATATTTTCTTTTCTTTTTTGTTTCTTCGGGAAAGGCTGGTACTGCGCCTCTGGTAGGTGGAGTCATTGTCAATGACGGTGCCTATAGGTGTACCGTGTGAGGCTAACCACACACGCGCAACACATCGTTGCACTTGGACCTTTTTCCCAGGACGAGACTGACCCAGCGTTCCGCGGAAGGTCTCTGCGGGTGTCGTGGGCAGCACCGGCAGCAGACGACGAGTACGGAGACTACTTCGGGGACGGAGGGGATCACATCTCCGCCTACTTGGTGGAATGGTCTTCCGCGTCCTTCGAAGCTTACGAGCCGACCACGTCCGAGGTCTTCGTGTCGTGCGACGGCGGCGGGACCGCCAATGGCACTTTCCGGCTAATGCTCAACACCTCCGAGACCGAGCTGGCTGCCGTGAAGGTGAATATTGCATTGTCTATCTTGGCCGGCCAGGGTCCCACCCGCCGTTGCTACGAAGTCTACGCGTTTATCTGTCTCGAAGCTTCCAGATTGGTGATTTTCTGGGCTTTTGTTTTGCTGGGTGAACGTGTGCCTGTGTGCCCTATGGGCCAAGGCCCGTGCTCCCCGTGGCCGAGTTCGCCTCTACGGTGCTACAGTATTGGAACACAGTACTACGGGGGGGGGTATCATGGCTGCAGGTTCTATCGAGACAATCTACCGGATGAGACAACAACAGAGACATCTTTGCCCAATGATGCGCGACTGCAGCGGTCAACGGCCCAACGTACGCAAGTTTGTTATTATGTGTGCCCTCTTCGACGACAGGGTCTGTACCTGTCCACGGATATCGACGCCAGCGCCTCCGCGTGGGAAGTGCTGACCAGCTTGGAGAACATGCCCAACATCGGAACGGTTTCGGTCGAAGAGACAACGGCCAACATAACCTTCAGCGCTGGAAGCAGCGCCAACACTTCGGTGTGGGAGGTCACCTTCACCTCCGCAGTGGGGGCCTTCCCTTCCTTCGAGGTGAAATATTGAAACAAATTACGCGTGATGATACAGAAGGTTTTCTGTTTTGCTTGTCCGGGGTAACCGCTTGGAAAAATTGATGTATCAGTACATGAATTATAGTGGTCCCGACATTATCGCGGTCCCCAGTAGCATGATTCCTCACATATCGCGGAAACAATTTCTCAGCACAACCGCCTAGCCTTCACAAGTTTACTATTCAGGGACCTTTCCCCAATAGCGTGGGTCCCCAATAGCGTGGGTCCCGATATGTAGCGGCGATTATTGTCTGTCACTACACCGCGATATATCGGGAACATTACTGTAGAGCAATAATCTGGATGGGAGACGAAACAACAGCTTCGACTTCTCAACAGTAGGGTCATCCTCAACGAAATAAACCACTGCCGTGTTGCTTGTCTGCATTGCTGTTCAGGTTCACGACAAGAGCGACCTCTCGTGCTCGAACGGCGGAAACGCCTCCGTGAATATCGTCCACACCCCGGGAAGCGTGCCCAACAGTACGGCGTACGACACCTACGTACGAGAGGTCGATGACTCCGACGACGGAACGTTCGAGTACGTCATCACTGATCTTACACCTGGAAACGTGAGGAAACGACTTGGGATTTTGCCGGTGTACTCGTGCTGGGAATCGGGATAAGGATAAGGAGCCCAGCAAGCACAATTGTACATTTTCCCTTGACGTGGCGGGATTTTGACAAGATAGTCCATCACACGCCCTGTCAGCCTGCGATAGAACGAGAGAAGAGGTCACGTCGTAACTAGGGACGCATGGGTGTCGCCATTACTCACAGAAACGAGCGTCTGCGACATCTACACGTTGAGGTGTCGCTATTTCTTTCTCGCGACGTCGTTAGAAACGAGCGTTCAGAGGTTGTGAGTCAAGAACATGGTTCGTTGGCTCCAAGGTGAATAATTTCGCGGCTACGGTCCACACACAGCTACTCACATAGCCACGCGACATGGTGTCGTGAATTCTCGGTTCATTCCACGCACCCTCCACACAACAGGTGTACTTCGCCCGAGTTTCGGCTTTCAACACCCTCGGATATGGCGCAAGGCGGCCTGCTGATCCCATGGAAACGGGTGCCACTGCGGAAGGGGGGATGCAGGTCCCTTACCAGGTATAGAACGTGACACCTTTTCCAACGTCTGTCCCTGCTGTTGTTTGGGTCCTTCCTCTTTTTCTTGCCGTTGGAAATGGAGGTGGTTACCCCTCGTGTTATTCTTGCGGTTGCCCCATAGAAATCCTGGCCTCCCGCGGTTTACGATGATTCGACGTTACGAAGGTACTCTTTTCCTCCCACGCTCACGTCCCCGCTGCTGTCGTCACTCCCACGTGTCAACTTGTATGTTGTACACTAGGTTCTTGAGAATGTTGTCCTTTTCCGCTCCATTGCCAATAGTGCGCCCGTTTATTCATTTAAAAACGGTGTGATTGTGTACAGGCACCAGACCCTCCGGTATCGTATTACCATGGAGAGGGTACCCCTTCCCTCGCTCTCAAGGGCCCGAGCAGCCTTGCTGTTACCTACGGTGCCCCTCAGTACGACGGAGGCGATCGCATCACTGTCTTCCAGGTAAGCCGGCTTTTCTTTTCCCTCTATGAGACTATACATTGTGGTACTGCAAGTGCGGTTCAGTAGGGCGTAAGCCTTGACACGCTGCTGCTTCTTTCAGATGGCGTGATTCAAGACGGGGATCAGTATCAATTGACCGCCGGACGCTTTCGCGTAACTTGCTCCGCGATGGTTGATAGCTTCCTGTGCATTATTTTTCGACGCCATTGATATGCTAGTGATTTATTGATGTTATCCCCACTCGGAACAATACATGAGGGGTTTGCATGCGTTTGTGAGTCGGGTGTGATTGGACAATCCCCGGCATCACATTCTAGATTATGACATGAAACGCACCACTACAGTAGTTCCGTTACGCTGTGATCATCCACAAAATTGTTGATTATCCTGACATTCGCTGTAGAAATTCTGCTATTGACGATCATCTTCTTCGCTGCTTTGCCCTTGTTTACGTGACATTTCGCTCCCCGATAAGGTACAATGGGATCGAAGCCCTGATTTCACATCCGGGGCAAACGGGCAGGCGGACGGGCATGCCTTCGTGGATGCCACTCAGACGCTGTGCTCCACGTGCGTCCAAAGCTTCTCCCTGGGTAACCTGACACTTAGGATCGACGGAAGCACTGATTTCTTCGGCCGACTGAACGCTGGCAACAGAATCCTGGTGAGCCGGTTGCTTAGATTACATAGACAACCAACGACAAGTTGTTCTTTGTTTACGCGGGGAGAAGTGTTTTCTCGGGGTCCAGCTGCAAATGAAGTAGTTGGCTTTGTGGGTTAGCTTGTGATCATACCAGGTGAAGAAAAAAGGGGAGAAATGATGCAGGAAAGAGAACAAGGCGTCGTTTTCCAACGCACAACAACAATAGTACCAAAAAACATGCCACACTACTTGATGGGAACGATTTTGCGCTGTAACTGAGTAAATCGCCCTGGTACGCACGTTCTTGTGCTTCGATGGTGGCAAAGTGCCCGCTATGTCGAACTACTATACTTACATCTGGAAACATGGACGCAACCGTTCATGGCTTGAGCACGACCAGAGCGATAGGATGTTTTTACCCCCGAAACAAGGCCAGAAATCCTTCCTACGATGTATTCTACATACAACAGAGACGCTCGCGTTGGTGTCGTGTGTCGTGCTCCTGTTGTGTGCACCATTCATGCTTCCTTTTGCTTGATCTTGGCCTCGTCCAACAATGCCACCGTTGGTGTCGTTGATGCTCTTTTTGAACTTGTGATTGTACTTCACTCATTTCCGTTGCAAATGGCTTGCCTTCACACAGGTTGACGAGATGTACGTCTTCACGGTGGCCGACTCTTCTCGCGTCGACAGCTTCGAGATCGTTGTCGAAGATGAGGGGCACAACGCCCTGGAAGACCTCGACGGACCCATGAAGGTAATTCCTCAAACCTTTCGTTATCTACCGTCGCTAGATTTCTGCACCTAACCAAGCCAGTGGTCTTGTTCACCTCTCTCGACTGCACAGTTCTGTCAAATTCGGGGAGGGTCCGCTTATATCTTCGCTGCAGGCAGTCTCATTGGTAGTACCGGGTAGCTTCACCAAGCCCTGCCGCGAAGGTGCTCAAAAACCGCGCGAGGTCCACACTCCGCAAAATTTCCGTGTGTTGAGGTTTATGTCGACCCGCCTGCGTTTCCGTTCCTTGTTTACCACCTGAAACACCCGCGTGGCATGCTCCGTCTGTAACAGAATCTCTGCCATATTGTACACAGAAGCCAAAATAACGTTTATTCCGTCAAGGCGAAACGTGTAGTTGCCTTGTGTGTAGGTATACATGTTCTTGCCGGTCGCTTGCACGTCGATTTTCCACTAACCGTCCCAGGCGCGACGCGACCCCCGTTTCTTGGTGTGTTTTGGATCATCTGGTTGCGTGGTAGAAACGCCTCTCGGGCTCCATCCTGATCTGCTAAGAATGCTAAATAATGTTTTGGCGACGGTCGCAAATGATAGCGACATTCGTTGCCCGCGTCCATGCTTGCGCCGATCGGTCGAAAGCTTGAAATCTACGGCGGCGAGTACGAGATCGTAGACGTAGAGACTGGGAGCCAGTACTTCGTCAGGATGTTCGCAAGGAACCAGATGGTGGGATGGGGAGAGGCCTCTCCGACGACACCGAGGTCGATGGTGCCGCGAGCGGCACCGGGGGCACCGGGAATGGTGGATGCATCTGCGGCTGGGCCGAACGATCTAATGGTTACCTGGTCGGGTGTACCCTCCTCAATGTAAGTTCACACATGTCGTTGCCTGGCGTGACGTAGGTCTGTACATGTTTTGGGTTTATCGTCCTAGCATCTCGTGTTGTCCACACCTCTCTGTCGTTTTCCTAAGGCTGGGCCAACCCAAGCGCGTCTTTGTCCTCGGAGTACGCCCGAATCGCCTTGCTTGTGTACTTACTTATCCTCCCGCACATTACTAAGTGTTTTGAAAACACCAACTTCAAGTTGTCTGCCCCTAGCACGTATTCTTCCCCTTCCCGAATAAACGCTCACGCACATTGTTTATGCTGTGTAGAGGTGAGCAGGCTGTGCTTACAGCCACTGTGCTCCTCTCGTACTTTTTCTTTTGCTCGCTTTCGTTTTCCTCGCTAGCATTTTCCGTGGACCGGAGGTCTTGGAGCTAATTTTCACGGCCACCCAAGGTTCATCTGAAAGCTTTGCTTCCTCCGAATCTAGACGGCACGCCACTCATGAAACAACTTCCAACGTCCTAAGCGTATGCTCTCGCCTTCTCTCCGTTTCTTTCAAACGCCGTCAATGACACACAACACGCGGTTGCGGCGGACGCTGGAGTAGTAGCGGCAGCACGGTGTCGTCCTATCGCATCGAGGTGTTCACAGCGTCCCCCACGGTCAGCGAAAGCGGCTCCCAGTTCGGACAGGCCGAAGTGCAGACGATCACCACGGAGGGCGGTGCCGACGGCACTTTCACCCTCTCCTTTGGCGAGCTCGACTACCCGTTGCCGGGCACAGTGGACGTGGTAAACGGGGAGGACTTCGTGGTGACATCGGAAGACCTCACGCCCTACGTCAAGCGCGGGGACCGGGTGGCCTTTGCCGGGGGATGGGAATACGCCGTGCACGCCTTCCGGCCATTCAACGCTACCCATCTCTACCTCGCAAAGGTGCGGCTGTTTGTACATGTTGGTGTTATCTGGTGCAGAGCAGGAATGAATGAATTTTCATCTCTTGGACCCTTCTGTGCTATGTAGCACCACAGGTGACGTTCTCATTCACTGGTAGTCGTTGGTACATCACGGACGGAACCTTGACCCGGCCTCTGAAGTAGTGAACCGATACACGATAGCATCAGTAGTGTTACATAGTGAATCGATACACCATACTTTCAAGTCAGTGGCAGTTGACTCAGGAAGACGTCCCTCCCTCTTCTTCGAGCTGTCTCAAACGTTCGCCCTTCATTCTTTTGTCGCCTCTCAAATTGCCTCTCGCCAAGGTTACTACTTCTGGTGTCCCTGTGCGAGCCGGCCTGTTCGATCTAGATGCCGGCTTTGAGGGGACAACGGCGGCGGGGGCAACTATGTTCCACGCGGCGACCACGCCCGAGATCGCTCATGGTGCCTCGGCGGCGGACGTCGAAGAAATCCTGGAGACGCTACCTTCGCTAGGACAGGTAGGATCCATCTGACGTCCGATCGAAGCATGATCCTGAGGAGGTTTGCTGTTTCTGTGCATACGAAGGCGATTTAGATTGTCGCTGGTGGTCGTGGTGACTTTGGTATGCTTGTTTCGGATATCCCTTTGTATTTCGGAAAATCACCCCCCATCGACCTCCTGCTATCTTCGAGTTTTCAACGAGTCAAAGGGCCCTGTTGGTTGGTACATATGTAGCGCCTGTGAGTCCGAACTGTTCTAACGCCCCACCCGGCTTGACATGTACCAATCAACAACCGTCAAGGGAACACAACATATACAGCGAGAACGGAATATACGATCAACACCTTCAGAGCCCAGCCATCACGTTACCCGTAAAAACAAACATTGCAGTAGTGTAACCCCGCATGGCCCCAACCAGCATGGAAATTCTGAGCGAGCGGGATGATGCTTGTTGCTCTGAAGCGTGCCACCTCATATGCGCTTGGCCTTGCACATGCTACTGGCGTAGGCCTCGTGCTTTGGGCGTGTTATTTACAGCAAACAGTCTTCCGTTGCCATAAAGTCTGGACTATGGCTGCTGCACGGCCATTCGTCTTTTTTTACTCTTCATCTCCCTTTCAATTCAACAAAACGTAGGTAACGGTGTCACGCACTACCAACGCGTTGGAGTCGAACGGATACGTGTGGAGCGTTACCTTCGACACTCCGACCGTGGTAGGCGGCGTCACGAACGCAGGGGACCAGCCACCGTTCTATGCCAACGGTCGCATGCTCGGAAACACCACAACGGCCACGTCTTTCCGCCTTGAGGTGAGCGGGCCCGTGCCATTCCGCCATGTTTATTGGGTTTTTTTATTTTTGCACGTTAGTGTAAGGTGACTGCGGTGGGTGGGTTTCATTGGAAAAAAGGCCCAAGGTACGGAAAACAACTCGCCAACAGCCGCCATAACTCTGGTGCTGCATGTTGCGAAGAAGTGGCGATCTCCGTCGCACCTTTAACTGAAATACGAATGACGCCTTCACTTACTCGAAGCAATCCGGTTAGCATCTCTCTCACTTGCCCTGTTGCAAGGTCTCACAGTCGATGTCGAGGATCGTGTGATGAAAGCTTTGGAAAATCATCGCAGACATTCCTACCACTGATGTTGTCATCTACGCCGCATGTATCAAGACACTGCATGAAACGTGATTAAGGTTTTGCACAGAGCTGGCGCGTGCCGCCACCTCCGGGCGGCGAGTAGTACTCGACAGAAGAAATGACCTGATGACGTCCGCACGGGCACCCAACCCGTGATACTATCACCAGGTGGGAGAGCACATGGTGGGAATCGAGCCCTTGAACTACGAGGTATTCGAAGTGGACGCGATGGGCATTCTGTCAGCAGACGAAGCTGGTGGTAGCACCAGCGGCACCTCGTCCTCAGCCTCTTCCGGCAACTTTAGCGAGTCTTCGCTATCCAACAACGGCAGCGGCGAAGCTTCCCCCGCCACCTGGAGCAAACTTGTGTCCAACCTCGAGACCGGCAAGGATTTCTACATCCGAGTTTCCGCCCAAAGCGACGGCGTCGGGTACGGGGACTCCGCCGAGGCCAGCAGCAACCCCGTCGCCCCCAGGGGCGTCCCAGGCCAAGTCGGAACGGTGGCGATTTCCCGCCTAGATGCGAGCACGGTGCAGCTTGAGGTCGAGCAGAACACGCAGGCCAACGGCGCGGCCGTCGAAGGCTACAGCGTGCAGTGGGACACGAACCCGCAGTTCACCGGCGCCCGGCAGATGGACCTTGCCTCGGACTACCGCATCCAGGCCGTGCGCCTGAACGCGTGGCAGCGGGGGTGGACCTCAACCTCGGCGTTTTCTCTGTCACTCTTCGACTTCGGAGGCGCGTTTACCGCACGGCTTGGTGGCGACGACGACGACGACGACGACCCTCCTACGTTCGTTTCCATCGCCGAGGGGACCAACATTCTCAACCGCACGACTCCGAACGTCACGGCAGGATTCGGCGGGGCCCCGCTGTACAAGCAGGTATCCCGGGGAGGGTTCGTCAAGGTGGGCGGGCAGGAGTTCCGCGTGTGTCTCGGCGGTTCCACGCCGTACGATGCGGATACCCTGACGCTGTGCTCCACGAGCGACCCGTACGCCCCCGAGACCTTCGTCGGCGCGGCCACCAAGTACGACAACACGCTAACCCAGGTGCCCGCCTACGCGCTGGACACAGCCATAGGCTCCGCCTTCAGGCTGGCCGTTGGCGACACCGCGCTGCGGACGTACGACGGGCCCGACACCAACATCAGCGTGAACGACCTGACCTCGACCCTGGCTCGCGGAGACCACCTGCGACTGGGCCACCCCGAGACCGGTCGTGTCTTCACGGTCTGCAAGGGGGACGGCACCAGCTCCGACCTTGACTTCAACGCCACGTCTCTTCCCCTGTGCGACGCCGACGACCCTGGGGAGCAAGTGTCGGTGATGGAGGGGGACATCGTATCCGCGACGTACGAGATCCAGAGGTTCGGCCTCTGGCTGAACACCAGCTCGGCAGACTCAGCCGCATTGAATGCAACCGAAGTATTGGGCTACAGGGTCGTCTTCGGGGATGAGACCTCGGCGAAGTCGAAGGCGGGGGGTCACGCCGGCTGCCTCTCCTTCTACTCGTCGGCTGCTGAGGTGACAGATTGGTTTTTTACCCGCTCTGATGTTGGAAGCGTGTTGTTTGTAGTGGTGCTGTTCTCAAGGAGCGATGTGGTAAAAATCGGACATTAATTACAACGGGATTAAACGGTCGCACAGTTAAACTGGCCGAAATACCCCCGTCGCCCACAAAGTAATGTTGAAGAAACAGTCCTCATGTTGCTCTTGACAACCAGCGCAACAAGATGTTATATCACATGTGAACGCATACCGCACACACTGGAATGTCATTGTTCCTCTTCGTGACATTGATTTCCGAAACTGCGCGTATTCCATGCGCACGTCCGGTACGTTGATTGCGCTGACTACTACCCGCAACAACACGAAATGGCCAACGTAAGGCAAGTTTTCTGCCTCTCTCGATGTGAAGCAAATACATAATGCCCTACAAACAAATGCCCTACGCAGGTCGAAGCAGAGATCGAGGCCTTTGGTGGAGTGGATAATGTCCACGTGGAGCGTTCCGCAAACTACACGCTCCAGGACTACAACCTCCACCAGTACACGGTGACCTTCCTCGGACCGGCGGTGGCTGGGAACGTGCCCCAGCTCCGCGTCGTAGATTTGGGCGAAAACGGGTGCAGTGCAGTCACCAACACCACGGCTGGTCAAGAGGTCGAAGAGACCTTGGTGGAATCTTTTGTTCCTCTGTACAAGGTGCAGAACACGGCCGATCTCGCGTACGACGCTACCGCGGCGGACGTCAAGGCCGCCATCGAAACCCTGACGGGCGTCTGCACGGTCGACGTTGCTCGCAGCGTCATGGGTAACGGGTACGAGTGGCTCGTTACGTTCTTTGGAGCGACACGCGAAGGAGACAACAACCTGCTGCGAGCGATGCGGCCCAACGCGCTCCTCCTCGACAACGTCGCAGACTATGTCGAGCCCGAGGCGGTCATTGTACCCATCCTTCGGGTAGAGCTCTCCACGCCCAAATCTGGCGTCCCATACTACGTCCGAGCGGCCGCCACCAACGCTGTAGGCACCGGCGGGTTCCGCACGTCCACGCCGACCTCGCTGCAGCCCGCGGCCCAGCCCCCGACGCCCCCAACCTACGCGATCGTGCAGCCTCTGTCGGACGCAGAGCTGGTCGTTCAGTGGGAGGCACCGCTATCCGACGGCGGCGAGACGATCTCGGACTACGTCGTGGAGTGGGACACGGCCACGACCTTCGACAGCGGTGCGGACGGCAACCCGTTGGGGTCGACCGTGGTGAACGCGTCCGAGAGGGGGTCCGTGGCGGACGTGCAGGCGGTCCGAGTGTCCGTCGACGACGGCCTGTTCGTTTCCGGGTCGTTCTTCCTGGAGTACGACGGCCAGGTCACCGACTCCATCCCATTCGATGCCTCGGGCGCGGAGGTGGAGGCGGCCCTCGAGGCCCTCTGCACCGTCGGGGACGTGGGCGTGACGCGAAGCCTGGGTCCCTCGAACGGCGGGCACACCTGGCTGGTGACCATGATCTCGGTGGCGGAAGGAGGGGAGAGCGGCGACGGACAGGTAACTACGCCTTCCGCCCTGCAAACGGTGGGGTCTCACAAGCTCCGAGTGGACGGGGAAAACTTGCTCGCGTGTGGAGATGACTCTCGTTCCGGGTGCTGGAGCGACCCAGACCGTACCAGCGCCGAGCTCGAAACCAGCAGGGAGGTGCAGCGGCTGCTGTGCCAACCGGCCAACGACTTCAACATCACCTTCATGGGCGAAACAACGAGCGCGCTGCCCAGCGACGCTAACGCGACCGAGATCGAGGCTGCCTTGGAGGCGTTGTACAACGTTGGGGATGTAACCGTCACCGGCTCTTGCAGCGGCCTGTCAGCGGCGAGCTCCTACATCTATGTTAGCTTTGAGAACGATGGCGGAGATCTGCCGGTTCTTGCATCAAGCCTGGAGGGAGACTTCGAGGAGGTGGAAAGAGGAAGCGCTCAGGTCGTCGTGGGGCAAAAGCCGTTTTCTTTTGTCATCAGTGACATCGCCGCCACGGCTGCTACACCGTGGGCGGTGAGGGTCTCCGCGTACAACCGTGTTGGGTACAGCGACTTCGCCGTGGCCGTTCATGACTCGAGCGAAATGGTGGCCGGGGGCGTGGGCGCTCCAACTCTGCCCGAAAACATCGCCGTCGAGGTTGCGACCGCGCGTTCGGCGTGGGTGTACTGGGACGCCGCTGCATCGGACGGCGGCGATCCGGTCACCGAGTACGTTGTCGAAGTCGACACATCGGATGGGTTCGACTCCGTCTGTGGGGATGGCCCCGAGGTGCAGACGCTGACCATGTCTTCGGCGAACGCCACCCACGAGGGCGAGGAGTTCAACCTCACCATCGACGGCGTACAGCACTTCACGTGCCTGGAATGGAACGCCGGGGTTTTCGCGGTGCAGGACGGTCTTCGCGCGGCCGGCGGGGCCCTCGAAAACGTCGTCGTGACCCGCGGTGGGGACGGAACTTCCGCCTGGGCCTACGGGTACACGTACTCGGTCACCTTTGTCCACAACATGACCGACACCGAACTGGCAAACATCCCGCAGATGGAAGTGTCTTCCTGCGGAGAGGGGTCGGATGATGTTGTCTTCGAGGTGAAGACCCTGAGAGATGGTACCACCGCCACGGAATCGGCGTGCCAGGCGAGAAACCTCCTTCCGGTGCAGTCGGACGCTGTCTCGGCTTCTGCGGCAGAGGGGGCCGGCAAAACGGCGCGGGGACAGTTCGGTCACTTGGTGGAGGGGCTAGCGCCCGGGTCGTCTTACAGGGCGCGAGTCGCAGCGGTGAACTCTGTGGCTAGGTCCCCGTGGTCCTTCCTAGGGTACCCCGGTCGCCCGATGACGTTCTCTCCCACCGCGGAGCCCAAGATTCCCCGGAATGTCACCGTTACACCAGGAATAAACCCGGGGAACTTCCACGTTGGCATCGGCCTGCCCGTCGGCATCGACGTGACCGGCGCTGAAGGGCTTCCGCTACAGGGATTCCGGGTCGAGGTTGCCAAGCGCGTGAACGAAATGCAGATGGTGGCCGTGGTGTTTGCTGCATCGGACGCTGCAGCCGGGTCGACCGTAGCGTACCCGACGCAAGGGTCGTACACCCTGACCGTCGGCAACGCCACCACGTGGTGCTTGGATTGGGATGCCCCGGCGGAGGACATACAGCTTGCTCTGGACAGCCTCGCGACGGTGGACGGGATCGAAGTTGACGCCATGCAGCCCGAAATCAACTCCACGTCCAACGGGACGACCTCCGAGTATTCTTCGCGTCCGATGCTTGTGTCCTTCACGGGGCCTCATCTATCGAACGGGGACCAGGACCTCATGGAGTTCTCTCTCTGCACTACGCTCAACGCCGGCGCGTACCTCGATGTGTACACCGTCGCAGACGGCGTTGCCGGAGTCATCAGCCCCACCGTCGCCGTGTCGACAGCTTTCGTTGAGGACACCGATGACGATAATGATGCCATGATGTCGGGATCCTTTTCGGTGTCGTTCGGATACCGAGGCGACCTCGGCCTTCGCCTGGGCGAGGGCAACGAAACCTCGGTGTACGTTACGGCAGAGGCAGGATCAAGGACCATCCAGTGCTCCGAAGACCTTAGCCACTACGTCAGTGCCGGAGATGTGATAGAGGTTGGAGGGGTGCAGCTAGTCGTTACGGGCGACTTCGTGTGCGAAGACACGGTCGCCTTCGACAACACCGTCGGTACCTACCCTTGTAGCTTTGCGGTGGAGTCTCCACACCCCTCCGGCGCCGTCGCCGTCCCAGCGTACGGCGCCTCCAACGGCTTAGGCAGCGTGCACGTTGAGACCGGAAGCACCAGGGTGCTGACCGACTGGGATTTGACTCCCTATCTGACGGAAGGAGATTCAATCATCTTGCGCGATCCAACCACCGGAGAGTACTTCGAAAGCGTGGTGGCGTCCGTCGACCAAGATCGCGTCTTCCTGCAATCGGGCTACGACGGCCCATCTGCCGTGAGAGCGGCTGCCTTCTTCAGCCCCTACGCCGTCGTGCCATTCGACGCTTCCGCCGAAGAGCTCCGGGACGCGATAGAGTCGCTTCCCAGCGTGGGATCAGCGGAGGTTACCCGCGAAGGCCCGGACGAAACTCTCGCCTTCGCGTGGTCGGTATCGCTGACTTCCTTCGACGGGCCTCTCTCAGGAGCACACGCCCTGAAGGTGTCCTCGACGACCGGCAAGGCCTTGGAGGTGGCCGGGTGTGGCGGGGCAGGCAACGGGACGTACGCGGCTACGGGAGACATAGTAGACGGCCGCATGCGGTACAAGCTGGTCGACCGACCGACGTACATCCAGTACGATTCTTCCGCGGACGCCGGCAGGGGGCGGTGGGTTGTGACGTCCGACGGGGCGGAAGAGCCGTACGTCAAGGCGACTATTGGCCCGGATTCCGCACCACGGGACTCGTTGATTCCCCCGACCGGAAGCGGTTCCTACTGGAACGTGCCTTCCTGCAACGTGTCCATTCCGGGCTCGCCCACCGTGCTCCTGGGTGGCGGTGTTTCGAAGGCCGACGTAGACGTCGGCGTTGAGGGCAGTTTCGTCGAGCTTGCCCAGGACGTGTCAACTCGGCCGGGGGTGCCGGAGGTGCAAGAGATCCAGCTCGGGGGCAGCAGTGACGCTTTGGATGGTACGTTCATGGTCGACTTTGCTGACGCTGGTGGGTTCACCGCGGCGTGGGACATTTCTGCAGGAGACATGGAGGTAAACACGGAGGAGAGTTCACGGAGGAGAGTTCTGCCTTGACAAAGATGAAGTACTGCACGTAGCTGAAACCTAGGTATCACGGCTATGGTATAGACTCGGTGGCAGAGCTAATTGTCTACGGTACTGCTTCCAAGACAGATATTGTGTTGCAACGATACCAGATGCCAGCCAAAGACAGCCCATGCGAGTTGAACCTGACCACCCCGTTATAACAATAGGACATCATCACTGACACTAGCGTAACACGCAATACCGTTATCGGCTGTGCTGCGGTAACTCCACCCTTTTTAAGCCACCTGCCGCGCGTCAACCGTGACTCCTCTCAGGTTCTCCTAGAGCAACTGCCGACCGTAGGAGACGTGACCGTCGCACGCGGTGCGGCCCCGGCAGGCTTTTCCGACGGCTACACGTGGACCGTCACCTTCGAGACGCAGGTCGAGAATCTGGAGCCGTTGTTCGTGGACGGCAACTCAACCGGGAGACCGATCGTCGGACCGGACGCACAGCTCTCTGTCGTGGAACTCCGGCGAGGCGTTTCCCCTTCCCTTGCCCTAGAGCTCGCCGGTTTAGTGCCCGGAGAGACGTACGTGGCTCGTGTGTCGGCTGGAAACACCGCTGGGTACGGCCCGACCACGCTCGCGGACGCTGCTTCTGGTGGAGATCGCGGAAGCAATAACGACGGCCTCGGCATCGTGCCGTTCGGAGTGGTCGCCCGAGCCGCGCCGCAGACTCCGCGCATCGCCGGTGTTACCGCTGTTTCGGCGTCTCAGCTGGAGGTTGCCCTGGAACCACCGACGGACACACCTGGTTTCGAAGCTCTTGGATACAAGGTACGCAGACCGAACCGGGATGCTCATGGTGCTGTTGGTTGTAGGCGTAGCGTTGTCAGCGTCACAGCGGTTACGATTGCCCCGCCGTCATCTGTCTCGCCTGGATCGCGGTACTGCCGAAGGTAGAAGCGCGTGCACTGGCACCGTGTTCTGAACGGTTGTGCCATGTCATTTTCTGGATTGGCCATTGGGCGTTCCTTCGCGGGATAGACTGGTGACAAACGTTTTACATGTGACAGGCTTCCTTCTTCACAAAGCCTCCCATACACAAAATTTTAACTGTTGATATTCCGGATTGCGTGCAGGCCAACCCCACCGCCGCACGAGCTTGTACAATGTCTGGTGATGCAAAATCTGGACTGCCCATGATTTCCGCTTCCATCAACAACAACAACCAATAGTGCTAATTTTCCCCCCACATCCTACGACCCCGCTTCACACCCTCAGGTGGAGTGGACTACAGCCGAGAACTTCGGCAAAAACGAGACCAAACTTGTAACTGTGTCCTCTGATGTGAACGACGACACCGAGGGGCGGTTCCGACTTCGGTTCGGGGGACAAGCGACGTACCCCCTCCAGCACAACGCGTCTGCCGACAGCGTGAGAGATGCCCTCGAAATCCTCGCGACCGTGGCGGGCGTGGGCGTTTCGTCATCCCCGGACATGCTCCTGGCATCGCCGTCGTCGGGAAATTCGTCCGCCGTTTTTGGTTCGGCGTGGACCGTAACGTTTGTCGGCATGACGGGACCCTTGCCGAAGGCCGGGTACGCGTGCACGGGGTGCGTGTCCGCGTTGTCAAACAACAGCCTCGTATCTGATGCCCTGCCGGTTCGAGTCAACGTCACCTCTGACCTGACGGACGTACTGACGGCGGGGGACCGGATATCCCTGTCGCCCCACCACGCCAACGCCTCGGCTTATGAAGCAATGTGCCTTCTGCTCACCGAGGAGGTGACAGCTGACACGGTGTACGCTTCTGAGCTACCTGGGTCAGCTTGCGCGTTTGTTGATGGCCCGGACGCTATGCTCGCACTCTCTTTCTACGACTCTTCCGGCCTAACGGTGGAGCACGTCGACCTGAGGTCCGTCTCCGGCGATGGCTCAATTTCCGCGTACGTGACGGAGCTCGTGTCTGGGGCGTACCCCGACGTGTACGGGTACGCGGAGCTCAGCGCCGAGGAGGGCTGCGGCTCCTCCGTGTTGGGGCCTTCCTCGTCCGTGCAGCGCTTGGTGCTGACCGCAGGGTCATCAAACTCCCCAATCACGCCCATCGTCAACGGATCGTACCGATTGGCTCTCGGAGAGCATATGACGGAGTGCATAAAATACAACGCGACACCGGCGGACCTGGCCTCTGCCCTCGGAGCACTCCCCAACGTGGCGGGCGGGGCCTCTGTCTTCGGCCGGGTGTTCGTCGACGACGGCACGTACTACCCGGTGAACGACCAGGAAATGCTGGTGACAGATGGGCTCGGGTACGACTACCTCATCCGCTTCTGGGGAGCGTACGCGTCCAAGAACGGGGCCTGGCCTCAGCTCAGAGTGCCTGCCGAGTACTTCGGCCGATCGGACGGAGGGAGGTATGCATGCGACGAGTTTGTGTCTATGGATGGCGATACCGAGCCGTCTGCGCAGGTGGTCATGCTCAAGCAGGCGCGTACATGCGCCTCTGGGAACCCCACGACACAGGTTATCCTTGCCGAAGCCTCGTCGGCTCTGGGAGGCTCCTTCTCGCTCCGCCGGGCGGACGGACAGCAACAGGTCGTGCCGCTTTCGTCGACGGCGGCAGAGATGGAAGTTCTCCTGTCCGATGCCTTGGAGGTATCGGTGGATGTCGCCGAAGCGCGCATGGGCGACCACTCGAAGGCTTGGCTGGTCAGCTTCGACGAGTCCGCCGGAGACACAGACCGCCTGGCGGTCTGCGACCGTTTCGCCACCGGGAGCGGCGCCTCCGTCGGCGTCTACGACGCCGTGGTGATGACGACGTCTGCCTCCAACGCCGCAGGTAACTCGGGCCACTTCCGCGTCCTCCTAGGTGGGGCGGTGTCCGACCTCCTTCCTTTCGATGCCACGGACGGCCGGGTCGACGTGGCCCTCCAGGCGATGATCGGGGTCGGGAAGGTCGCCACTCTCAGCCCTGTGGCTCTCGGCGGGACGGGTGGGGTCGACATCGGGAACGTGACGCTGTTCAACAACAGCGCCTCGGTGGAGGCAGCCGGGGATTTGTCCAAGACTCTCGCTCCGGGCGACACCGCCGTGTTCGGGATCGTCGAACAGCAGTACTTCGAGGTCTCCTCGCTCACGTACAGCGCGGTGTCTGACGTCACCACGCTTGCCCTCAACCACACCGTCACGGACCTCGCGTTCAACAGGATCAACTCCTCGGCGGTGGTAGGGACCGCGACGGTGTCTCGTTCCACCCTTCCTGGTCGAGCGAGGATGGTGTCTGACGTGCGGGTGCTGTATTCCTACCCGAACGTGGAGGCCTCGGTGCGGAAGCTTGAGCTAAGCGAAGGAGGGGTGGGCATTCTCGGGATCGGTCTAAACTCGACCGTCATCGTCGCCGGTGAGACTTACCAGGTTGCGGACTACGAGAACGACAACTTGGAGCTATCGCGCGACTTTGTGGGGCCGACTGTGGTGGGGGGAGACATCAACTTGAAGGTGTTCGGGACGTCCATGGTCGTCGCTTTCACGCGGGATGTTTCGGACAAGGCCGGGGTGGGAGAGGTTCTGTGGATAGAGAATGCCAACGGAGACGTGGACGAGCTGAAGGTCGAGGAGGAGTTCTCGCACAACAGTTCGTATCTCCTGTCGGGACTGTTCTCGTCCGACTACAACGGGATGACGGCCTACACCCTGGGCAATGGGCGCACGTGGATCCTGGCCTTCAAGCACACCGATGTCGACCTCGATACGTTCCAGGTAGAGCCCCAGCAGAACTGGCGAGGGTTGGGGGGCTCCATAGATGTTCAGCGACCGCGAGGCATCGCGCCACTCACCGCTACCTTGGGTTCGCCTTCCGAAGTGCAGACGGTGGCTCTAAGGTCCAACCAGTCGCGGTGGGAGGCCGAGAATATCGAACTCAACGCGACGTGGTCACTGTTGCTATGGCCGGAAGACGGGGCGACAGCACAGCTTCCCTGGGGCGCCACAGCCGCCGAGGTGGTTTCCGCGCTGGAGGCGTTATCGGCGGTTTCTCGCGTGGACGTGGAGAGGCTCGGGGACGGCGAGTCGGCTGAGTGGTTCTACGGGTACATCTACACGTTGAGCTTCTGGGGCGTGCATGCTTCCTCGGGCTTGCCGCAGGTAACCGTGGAGTCATCGCTGGCCGGAGTGACGGCATACGTGGACACCGTGCGGCAGGGAGCCGCAGTAGCCTCGCAGACACCGACCCTGGTCGCCCTGAAGGAGGGAGTTCCTTACTCAATACGCGCTAGCGCTTTCGGGGCGGAAGGGTACGGCCCGGCTTCCGACATTGCGGTAGCGGAGACCCCCTCAGTGGGCATGCTCCCCGGTCCTCCAACGGCGGTAACCCTGGGATCTTGCAAGTACTCGTCGACGTCCCTGGGCGTCAAGTGGCGGCCGCCGCTGAAGGACGGGGGGCAGAGCGTCGACGCGTACCGCGTCGAGTGGGACCGCTCGCAGCCCATCTCCGAGAGCAGCGCTGCGTACGGCACGGACTACCTGCAGGTGACTCACGAAGTGCAGGAGATCTTGGTGAACTTCCGCTCCGGAGACTCGGTTGCCACGCGTGACGGGACCTTTTCGGTGTCCTGGGGCGGACACTCCACCGCGGACTTGCCCTGGGACTCGTCTGCCGCTACCGTAGAGACCGCCATCCTCGCTATTTCCGGCGTGCAGGAGCTCGCCGTGAACCCCATCGGAGTCACCCGCGTGCCCTACCGCAACGGATTCCGGTGGACGGTCACCTTCATGGCGTGGAGAGGTGACCTGGCCATGCTCCGGGGAGACGGAACCTTGCTGGTCGGGGATGACCCTTCGCTGACGTTCAGAGAAAAGGTGGCCGGAAGGGCGGATATCTACCCGGGGGACTACACCAACGAGGTGCAAGCCGTGACGGTTACTTCTCTGAGTGCCGTGTCGGGCACGTTCACGCTGGCGTTCGAAGGCAAGGAGGTGGCCGCGGTGAGCTACGACGAGTCGGCGGAATCCTTCAAGGAGAAGCTCGAGGCCATAGAAACCATCTTCTGCGTGGACGTGAAGCGGTTCAACGTGGACGAGGAGCTGAACCTGCACAGCTGGTACGTGACGCTGGCGTGGCTGAACGGAGAGGTGGTACCCGGGGCCGGCAACCTTGGTCTCTTCACCGTCGAATCCACGTCCAACCTCGACGGCAACGGGGCAGACGTCGGCGTGTTCGAGCTGGTCGCCGGGACAAACCCAATGGAGTACACCATTTCGGACCTCCTCCCGGGGGTGCAGTACTTCGGTCGGGTCGCCGCGCACAACTCGCGAGGCTTCGGCGAGTTCAGCCCCGACGCTTCGGGCGTCCCTCAGGGGCAGCCAGGGGTGCCCTTCGACGTGACGCTTGCCATTGGAAGCGGTTCTGCCATAAGCACCACATGGTCTCGTCCGTCGTCGGATGGGGGCGCGGCCTTGTCCGGGTACATGGTGGAGTGGTACACCACGGCGGACCCCGGCCAGAGCGAGGTGCAGATGGTCACGACTTCGGCCAAGAAGGGCGTGAGCGAGATCCAGACCGTGTCCATCACGGCGGACGAAAACAACCTCGGCGGCTACTACACGGTTTCCTTCGACGGCCAAACAACGGGAAACATCGCGTGGGATGCCCCCGCCACGGGCACGGATTCCGTCAAGGAGAAGCTCGAGAGGCTACCCGGCGTCGGGGACGTGGACATCACCCAAGATTACTCCAGGGTGGCGGTGGCCGGTTTGCGTGTTGACGTTCTCGTCGGCGCCGACAGCGCCACGGCGGGAACCTCCTCGACGCTCCTGCCGTCCCAGTCGGGGCTCGTGCAGAACGACATCGTCTTCCTGGCCGGGTATCGAGCGCGTGTCCGGGGGTTCTCGTCCGACGGCAGCACGCTCCTGTTTGGATCGATGGACGATTACACCGAGGCGGACAGCTTTGACGAGGACTTTGGCGCCGAGGGTGTCATCGTCGAGAAGTGGGCGTACGGCTACGAGTACGCGGTGAAGTTTAGCTCCTACAACGGCGATGCCCCCCTCATGGAGGCGTCTGCGTCTGACGGGTGGGCCGGCACCAACCCGACAATCGACATCGAGGAGGTGACGCCCGGGTTGCAGCCAATCAGTGGCTCATTCCGGCTGAGGTATGACCGAGAAAACACGCCGCCCCTGGCGCACGACGCCTCCGCGGAAGAGGTCGAAGCGGCCCTGGAGGGCATCATTGACATCGGTGACGTCACCGTGTCCAAGGTCATCAACGGGTACGGGCACAACTGGATCATCACGTTCGTCACCGAGATGGGGGACGTGGGCCTCATGGAGGCCGACGGCACGGGACTGACCGGCCCCAGCGCTGCCGTTTCCGTCTCCGTGGGGCAGGACGGTATCCTCCCTCCCTTCTACGGGAGCCAGGAGATATCCGATCCCTCCATCCTGGACTACACGATCGAGGGCCTTACGCTCGGCGAGGCGTACTCGATCCGCGTGCGCGCGGCCAACGCAGAAGGCTACGGGGCTGCGGCCGGAGCCGTCCCGGCGAGCATCCGCCCACTCGAAGCCCCTGGGGTCCCCGTGGACGTGGGTCTGATCGTCATGAGCGACGCCATGCTAAAGCTCGTCTGGTCCGCCCCGCTTTCCGACGGCGGCAACACCGTGACCCAGTACCGCGTCGACTGGGACACGGCTGCGGACTTCTCTAACCTCGCCACCTCCGGGTTCTACCACGTCCTCTCCGTGGGCGACGACCCAGGGCCGTACTTCTACAACATCGTCGTCCCGGCGGCGTCCTCCTGGCTCCCGCGCTTCGCGCGCGTGACCGCTTACAATTCCTTCGCCTGGAGCGAGCCCGGCGTGCCCGATCCCGCCAGCAGCCAGCCCGCGCTGCGGCCGCCGGGCGAGCCCCAGTCGGTCACGCTCGCCGTTACATCTGGGGTCGGGCTGGCCGTGTCCTGGGAGGAGCCGTCGACGAACCTGGTCGTCTACGGGGGGGACGGCGGCAGCGCCATCGAGGAGTACCTGGTCGAGTGGGACACGAGCGCCAAGTTCGACTCCCCCGCCAGGCGAGCCGTGGTGGCTATGCCCGCCGCGCTCTCGCACCTCATCGGCGGCCGGGACCTCATGACCGGCGAGGAGTCCACCGACCTTGAGCCCGGGGTGACCTACTACGCCAGGGTCTCCGCCTTCAACGGCGAGGGGTACGGGGCCGTCGTCCCCACCGTCCCGAGCTCCGCCACAACCGAAGACCAGGTGCCGGCGTCTCCGGAGCTTCTGGGCGGGGAGACGAACGGGGCGACAAGCATCGCGGGTTGGTTGAGTCCCCCGGCGAGGGACGGCGGAGAAACCTTGACCAAGTACCGGTTGGAGTGGGACGTTAGCGACGACTTTTCGCACATCAACGGGTCCAGCAGAGCGGGCGGGTGGGAAGACGTGCCGCTGGTGCAGGAGGTGCAGGCCTTCGCCGTGTCCTCGTCTATCGGTCAGGAAGAACAGTGGATCATCGCCACGGTGGAAGTGACCAACGAGCGGCAGACCGTCCGAACCCAGGTAAGGGCTTGCTGACAATGAGCTCAAGGGAGAGAGCGCGGGGCGTATCGTGCACTCCTTGTTGCTTCTCTATGTAGTTGCTTGGTGGTCGTATTCAAAAGTTAGAAAATGAAGGGGAAAACCATTCTCCAACGCACTCACTGGGCGTGGTGAATGTTAGAGGGTGTAGGTGCTCCCACACGGGAAGGGCTATCTATCGTCGATTTTCTTGAATGGCGATGTAAGAATGGTGACTGCTTTTGGATTGCACACACACCGGGCGATGCACAGAAACCACAACGAAAATCCCTGGTTTCAGTCCTTTGATACACTGCTGGCCTGGCACCTCTCCACCCGGCTGTACTTGTTCTATCCAACCGAAACCTCACCTCACATGTCTTGTCCCACCGCTGTCCATTGGTTGCCGGCGTCTCAAAGGTTGACGGGGTAGACGAAGTTCAGATGATCGTCACATCCGCAGACCGGGTGCAACCCCACATTCAGACCGTCACCACATACGCCGCGGACTTCGACGAAGTGCAGACCATAGCGCTGGACGCCGACGACGTGGACGAATGGCAGTATGCCTACATCGATGTCGCACGCACCGTCTATGAAAGCCAGGTGAGGCACTTGCCTTGGGCGGAATACACCACCCTTACGACTAGCGGCGGCGCGACGGTGCAGCTATTTGTTTCCGAAACCCGAAATTAAGCCGGCTGCTCCAGCGGAGGCCTTGGCTGCGGTGTATGACCTCCTTTAAGTGCTTGATACATACCACCGTATTTACCTGTGTCGGTAGTAGCGATGGGGAGGTAGATACCACGTGACCCAGATTCGAAGGAAAAGCTTCCCCCGATTCCGCCGAAACAAACGCTATGAAGATGGTCTAAGGGTACCGTGTGCAATTGAGTCTGTCCACGACGCATCGCGCAGCGTGGTTCATGATCTAAACCATAATTTAAATAATTACGTCGGATATACTGACAGGTAAACCAGGTTTCTGCTTGTAGGTGGTTAGGGCACTCTGTCGATAGGGTATAAAGGCGAGGTGCTGCTTGCATTGCCACATGCTCCATACAACACTGAAAGTGTGCGAATAGCACATACCTCCGAGTCGCTGGAAATACAGTCGTCTGTTCACTGCCACACTCGAAACCCTATCCATATAGACGGGCGCTTGGTTTGCTCCACTCTAGGGGCACCAGTTGTTACTACTGAAGCCCCAAAGCAACCCCTTTGTTTCCCGTGGATGCATCAGCCTGAACCTTCCTCTATCACATTTCCAAAACGTGATCGACGGGTCGCTTTCAGGTCTTGACGGTTTCTGCCACCCGAGAGGACGAGGTCCAGCAGCTGGTGGTGACCTTCACCGGAAACACAACCGACGGGGGGGTGAAGATGATGGCCGACGCCCCCACAAACGCCTTCGTCGCCCTCACGTTCGACAGCGGGAGCATGAACTGGGCCTGCACAGATGCCACGGAAACCGCGCCGGATGTAAGCTTTTGCACAGTTTTATCACGCCTAAGCTGAGGCTGACCGATATAAGGCTGTCACTAGCAGCTGCCCTGCCACCGCCTTATTTGGGGAACCCCACCGTATCGAAGTACCACAGTAGTACGAGAGAAATAAAACGTGACAAATACCGAAATGCGTTGCTCAATACTTCCTCGCATACGACCCGCACGCCAAGTCCATACAAGATGTGCCACGTAGCTGGGACTACCACCCTAACTTATACCTTATTTCCAAAGGCACCACATTCGTCACGTCAATAAGAGCAGGGAAAACGTGTATTCGTGTCGAAGTGTAGGGTTTACGGCCCCCGGAGGCTTTCAAAATGCGATGTACGCGGATCTTTGCCTCTTTCATGTTGCTTGCTAGCTGCACAGACGCCAGAACGACCAATAAAGTGATTTCTCGGAAATACCATCACCCATGGCGTTGTCGATGCTCTGGTTGTGGGGGATTTCATCTTGAATTCGCAGATCATCGACTTCACCGGGCAGCAGCCCGTGAAGGACGCTTTGGAAGGCCTATCGAATATCAACGGCGTAACCGTTACGTGGGAAGAGGTTATCACCGCCTACGACGACAGCGCAGGCACCCTGGAGCTTCGGTACAACGTGACATTCGACGGTGACTGTGTCAGGGGCAACGTCCCGACTGGGGGACTCGCACATTCGTGCTACGCGAGTGCCACCGACGTTCTCGCTGACGTCGATTGCAGGTGCTGCTGCTGGTGGTAGTATTTACTGTGTTCGCCTTCTCCGCGTCGGATGGCCTAATGATACACCGTTTTGTTTCTTCTTTTGGCGACGCACTTATGTCCCATGTTTGCTTGTCTACCAATCTTGATCCTCATTCTTTGGTCTTGAATCAAAGGTCATGAACGACTGCTCTCGCCCTTCCGTCTGTCCGTATCTCACCTCTGCGATAAGCCTAATCTGATCACCGTGCTTTTGTTCAGCTGAGATAACACATCGTTGGGGTCAACGCGTCACCTGGTTGACGTTTATCGTGTCTGATGTAGGAAGCTAATGTTGCATACCTCCCCAAGCTGAGTCTTTTTACCTCCCCCTCCAACCCTCATCAACATTATCAACGTTGTGCTTTTCTCTCCCTAGACCATAGACAGTAGCATGCCACACAGTGCTTCTGACAGTCTATCCCTATAGGTAAAAAAACTCTACCCCTCTTATTCGTTTTTCTGAAGGCCATCTCTTACGCCCCCCGCTGTACCCATCGCGCCTTCCCCCGCGCCACTCCTGCCACCCTAAACAATTTCTTTACCCCAAGCATCACGACGTTGGCCGACGGAAACGAACCCGAGGGGTCGTTCTACCTGACGTACCATTGCGAGTCCATCGTCAACTCCACAATGGCAAACGTGACCCAGTACAGCGACCTGATGGTGTTCAACCACACCGGCGGCGTCGAAGTCGGGGACACGCTCCGCGTCAACACCATCGAGGGGTCGACCGGGGGCATCGCTACCGACTGGGAGTACTTCACCATCACCGATGTCAACGGCTATTACATTACCGTTGACGTCAGCAGCACCGCCGTCGACATTGCGGACGGATACTACTACGTGGAGTATGGCAACTTTTACTCCGGGCCTGGCATGGACCACGGGGTCAGCGCGAACTGTTTCCAGGCCGACCCGGACTTCACCAACAACCCCCTGGACCACGACGTGTCTGCGTCGGATCTTCAAGATGAGCTGCAGGGTCTGGCCCAGGTTAACAGCTCTGCTGGATGCCTCGAGGTGGGCGTGGGCCTTAGCATTCAGATTGTCGTGATTTTCTTCAACGTTGGGGGTTTCAAATTCTAGATTTGTTGAGGGTTTGTTTTTGGCTCCGCTCTTGACACTCGGTCTCCTTTTCGCCCGCTGAGCAGTGCCTTCATGAGTGCAGTATTAGAAAATGTGCGTGGTCATGCCGTCAACATGGCAACGAACCCATCGTACTGAACAGCGAACCCAATCTCGTACAACCTACTTGTAGAGATGGCTCATCAGGCCGGAGAAAATACCGGCACGCCTTGACGGAGTGCGCTCGAAGACCTACACCCAAAGTCTCGCTCTTCCGTGCAGCAAACAGGACACCCTCCACCACATAGCTGAAACAATCCTGGATGCATCAACATCGTACTCCCCCGCAACACGCCTCCTCATCTGTGCCAGGTGGTACGCAACCCCATCGAGCTGGGAACAACGGTGGACTTCGGGTCCGGCACCCCGGTGGAGGTAATTGGCTACCAGTACAACCTCACCTTCTACTGCGCCAACGGCAACGTGCCCACCCTCGGCTGCAACACCAGCGGCACGAGCCCCTTCACCTCCACGAACGAGGACATGAACGGCCTCACCCCGCCGGAGGGGAGGCAGTGCCAGGTCACCAGCGAGATCGACGGGTCTTCCGTCTCCGGAGACTTCACCCTGTCCACGTCGTACCCCCACCAGAAGGAGGGGGACCCCGTGTGGGGCTACACAACCTCCGGGCTCAGCTGGCGCGCGACCGCCGAGGAGGTCGAGACCGCCCTCGAAGACGTGAGGGACGCGGACGACGCCCGGGTGTTCGGGGCCGTCACCGTGGAGAGGCACGTGTACTGGCCGGAAGGGGCGTACAAGTGGTCCGGTCAGTACAACTGGTCCATCACGTTCGACACCCGGCCGGGGGACGTGCCGGAGACGCAGAGCGCGTCGACGGTGGTCACCAACGACGGGGAAGCCGCCGCGGTGTCGGTGGGGACCGCCCGCGACGGCAACGAGATCGACGGAGGGTTCGGGCTGTCGTTCTGCCCCGGCGGGGGCGACTGCATAACGACCAACGCCACCTACTTCAGCGCCTTCCTGACGGAGGATGAGCTCAAGGCTCGATTCTCGGAGGCGTTCTTCACGCGGGGCTCGGTTTCGGTTAACGTCAGCGAAGCCTTCGGGGCCGCCGAGGTGAGGATCAGCTACCCGGACAACGACACCGCGGCCATCATCGAGGTCTCCGACTGGCTCCGCTTCGACAGCACCGACTACACGGTCGACAGCGTCGTGGAAGACCCCGCGGACGGCGCCTACGACCACCTCGTGCAGCTCAGCGCGAACGTTACCTCCCTCAAGGGAGCCTACGACGCCACCTTCGGCACGACAGCCGTGTCCGTCACCCGCAGCGGGCCCACGCAGGCCATGGGCTACTCGTGGGAGGTGACGTTCTCGAACAAGACGGTGGGCGGGAACCAGCCGGACATCGACTCTACGTCCTCGGAACTAACCGGATCGGGGGTGGACATTGTCTTGTCGGAGACGCAGCAAGGGAACCAGCTGACGGGGACGTTTACGCTGTCCTACGACGGTGTGTTGAACTCCCATTTTTGGCCCCTTTGTTTAGAATGTTTTCCTTGTTCGCTTTTCGCTTGCTCAACCTTGCCAACCTAGGTTTGGTTGCCCGGCATGGACTAGTTGCCTTGCCCAGAAAACATCGTACCTTTTGACATGCCGATGTGTGAAGCAACGTTTTCTACGATGAACATCGCAGTCATTTGTACGTCAAACATTTTTGGGAGTGCATCCTGTTGGGTGGCCCAGACGTAACACTGCTCTTAAACCAAAGTGTGTCTGGTTCTATTTCAGACCCTTGCCATTCCTGCGTTGAGTGCGTTCCGGCAGGATTGGCCTATGGCCGTGATCCACAGAACACTTCTCGATATCATACATGTCATGCACTCAAACATGTTTCTGCGATGCTCTCCCCCTAGCACTAACCCTAAGCCTCTCTGTGTGATGAGCTAGCTTGGAGACAATGGCCGCAAAGGTCTCGTACGTCTGCAATTAATCTTACCTTACCCGAAAAACGTTTTCGAAGTTCGAAAGTCCTTGAATTAACAATGTATTTGTTTCGTCTGCCCCTTCAACAAACAACCTGCCCTTTGTTGTCAACAGGCGAAACCTCGAGCGAGATCCCCTTCGACGCCGCCGCTGCCTCCGTCCAGTCCGCCATCAACTCGCTCTCCAGCGTCTACCCTTCGCGGGTAGACGTTACCCGTACGGAAGAGACCATCGACCGGTCCCAGCAGGTAGGGGGTTACACGTGGACCATCCTCTTCGACTCCGACACCTGGCACGACCCCACCGATCACTCCTCCTCTGAGACGTACGTAGACGGGAGCTGGATAGGGGATGCGGCAGACTGGGCGGACACTTGGCCGAGCACCGGGGAGGGGCGGTTTTCGAAGGCGTGGGGGAGAAACGTCGGGCGCTTGCCTGACATGGACTGCTCGAGCGATGGTCTCGGAACCACCCGCGGGGACGGCTCTGAGGATTGCAAGGTAACGTACTCTGTTGTTTGTTTTCAGTTGCTCGTGGCACCTCTTGCGCGCTACAGGTGCTAGATATTCTCGTTCAGGAAATGCTGGTCATTGGTGAGGGACCGTGAGATACAACAGAGGTATTGCGCATGCTTCCAAATGGTCTAACGTTGGCGATATTCTCATCTCCCCCCCTTCCCCGCAACCCCTTTCCACTTTCCACTAAATGCTACCACACAGATCACGACGATCCAGGAAGGGACGAACCCGCTAGGGGGGACCTTTACCCTGACGCTGGACGCCCAGGGTCACGCGGTCATGTCAGCCGACGCTGTGTGCACCACCGGGCCCATCGCCCACAACGGTATGTGTGTAGATTGCCATGATTATCACTGATATTCTACGCTTGCAGGATGATGTTGCTTGATATTTGTGGTTCATCAGTAAAGATTCGACAATCAATCACGCCTGTCTATCAGCGCCATAACATCGACGTGATATTGTGCTGTGTCCGTACGATGAACGTTACAGCATGGGCCACGGCGGAAGAGTCGGACGGAGACGGGACTTCCATGGAGGAGGTACTCGAGGCCACCGACTGCATCGGCGACGTGTCCGTCAGCCGAGGAGATCCAAACCTCGCTACTCAAAACGGTGGCTACGCCTGGCTTGTCACTTTCCTCAGGGACGCGGACTCCCCCTGCCAACAGGTACCCGCAATCACCCAAAATGTAAACCGAGACACATGCCGTAACATCAGCTTTTGAGCTGATGAACGATTACATGTATCGTTGCCCGAACGTGATGTACTCCCCTCGACCCAGATTCCTCGGTTGCGAATAATGCGTTAATGTGTATCCTCATTTACCCCCCATTGACTGGGTCGTTGTTTCCTCCGTATCATCAGGCCGGCGCCGACGGCCTCTGCAACTCTCCCGGTGACGTCCCCAAGTTCACCCTCTCGGACGACAACGCGGCCGACCTCCTGGGCACCAGCACCCGCAACGTCGTGTTCGGGGACGGAGACTCGACGCACGGCGCGCTCACGATTCTCGACGTCGCAGACGGTACCACCATGCCCCCCGGAGCCCCCGAAGTGCAGACGGTCAGGGTGTACGATCTGGAACTTTCGGCCTCCGACAAGTTCGACGGAAACCCGGGTTTCGTGCTTAACCTGGGAGGAAACGCAAGCGGCTGCGTCCCGTGGAACGCCAGCGCCGATCAAGTAGCGACCGCCATCTCGGACACATATCCCCTGTACGGGGAGAACGTCGTGGTGACACGGTCGATTCCTCCGGACGAGGAAATCTGGGGGCTGCCGTCCAGTCCGGCGCCAAATGGATACACCTGGACCGTCAACTACGTGGGCTACGACGGCGACGTGCCTGACCCCGGGGCCGACGGGGGGCTTTACTTCAACTCTTCTGGGAACGCGACCGCTTGCCCGCCGCTCACGGGGTGGCAGAGGGTAGATGCGCAGACGCTGGTCAACGGGACCGTCAACCCGGTTTCCTGCGAGGAAGAGGGCTGCGTGGACGGCGTCGTTCTTCGCAGAAACTTCTCGGACTTTTCGATACCGGAGGACGCCTGCAATAACGTCACCGTGCCGTGGAACGCGTTGGCGGGAGACATCGAGGCCGCCATCGAGGGTTGCGCCAACGGGACGCGCCAGGTGGAAGTCAGCCGCTCCGTCATCGACCAGTACGGCACCATGGAATGGGAAGTGACCTTCACAATGAACCCGGGGGTAACTCCTACCGGTGCAGGGGACGTGGAGGCGCTCTCCGTGGCTCAGAACCTGACGGGACTGTCGGAACGCGCCTCCCAGCCCGTCGTCACGGAAACCCAGCAGGGCTCCACGGGACTGTCGGGCACCTTCGCGCTGGACTACAACGACGTCGGGGGCTCGAGGGAGGTCAAGTTCGACGAAGACGCGGACCGCATGAGGCGCAAGCTGGAAGAGATGAGCACCATCTCGGACGTCTACATCGACCTCGAGGAGTACCCTTCCAACGACAGCGGGGGCTGGGGAGGCACCGCCGTCGAGGACGGCACCGCAGGGGGATACGTCTGGAAGCTCCGCTTCCTGACGGTCCCCGGCACGTACAACGGGGAGACTTTCCCCGCCGGGACCGGTAACGTGGACGCCATTGTCCCGTCGGCCTCCTCCCTGTCCGGGTCTTCCGCCAGCGTGGTCACCACCACCGTCACCGAAGGCGCGGATGAGATGGGCGGAGGGTTCGCGCTCGCGTTCGCCGGAGAGTCGACCGAAACGCTCCTGTACACCGCGGACGAGACGGCGGTCGAGGCCGTCCTCGAGGACCTGTCCAACGTCGGCGACGTTTCCGTGTCGTTCGACCCTTACACCCCTACCCGGATCGCCAACGCCACCGTCACCGTAGCCAGAGACTCGTCCACCGCGGTGGTGTCTTCGACGCGAGACCTGCGCAACTTCCTGTCACCGGGCGTTGTCATCCGAATCGGCGGGGAAGACGCGTCTGCGGGCGGCACCCTGGCGGGAACCAACGGCGAGGGGTATCTGGACTATCCCGGTGGTGTGGGACACAGGTGTGTTTCTTGTCTTTGATCGTTGCCCCCCCCTAAGACGCTGTACCGACCGAGCTGTCGTGTTGAAACATACGGTAGCTTTTCGCTCCATCCAGCCTTGAAACTGACGCGGGATCTTGATATTAATAGAAGGATCTGTTAGTAAACTTCACCGGTATTCAATACATATGTACGCGTTGTGCAGAACTTGACATAATTTATTACTTCCTGGACTCAACGATCCTGGCCAAGCCGAGAGGCAGGCACACGACAGCTCCGTATGAGCAGCACCGCCCGATGTCTCAAACCATTCTTGACTTCCCATCCTCGGTCGCAGGTCGACGGTGGTTCCCGGCTGGCCCGTCCTCGAGACCGACAACGACCTCTCCTCCAAGGCAGCCGTCGGTCGTCAGGTCCGTGTTGCCGGTTCGCGCTACACCCTCCGAGGGGTAGGCTCCGAAGTCCAGGCGATCACCCTCGCGGCCGACGAATCAGCCTCGACGGACTTCTGGCAGCTGTCCCTGGTGCACTCCGGCCTGGGCGGGGAGACGTTGTGCTTGCCATTCGACGCGACGGGTGATGATGTGGACGAGGCGCTCGAGTCTCTGGCTGCTGTTGATGTCGGCGGGGTGGTTGTCACGCGGCGAGGCTCGGGGACCCACGGGGACCCGTACGTGCACTCGGTTTACTTCGAGGGCGGAAGCACTGCCGGGGATGTCAATGAGGTGGGTTTCTTCTCGCGGTTCCACCCTCGCTTCTTCGTTTTGTGAACTCGTTGACCTTCTTTTGTTGCTGCCAGTCTGCGATTTTCGTACACAACATGTGCTCATACACCATCCGTCTCACGCCGCGCGAGAGCAAAATACCAACTCCTTAGCAGACCACCAACTCAGAATACGCCCACCGGTCGTTCAGAAACGTTTTTGCTTGGTGCCGATCGGTGAACCATGTACGCAAGGGGAAAAATAGGCTTGTCGCGTTGTGTGAAACCTTTATTTCCCTGTCGATTACTGGTGTCACATGAGATAGATTTAACACGCCCATTCTAGAAGGGGCTAGACCTTACTACATCTACTTGGTGCTCTTGGTGGGGGCACTCTCCATGTCACGGCTTGTTTCCAGATGTCGATCAACACCACGGCCTGCGTCCTCGAGAGCGGCTTCGAGGCGCCGTTCAACGCGACGGCGTACGTCACCACCGTTCAGCAGGGGGGCCGCGTCGAGCATCAGAAGCTGACCCTCGCCACAGAGGCCGGGTACGTCCGAGGGGATTACTTCCGCCTCTCGTACAACGGCACCAGTTACGCCTCCACGGGCTGCCTGGAATGGGGCGCCCCGGCAGAGGACATCTCGGACGCCCTGTCCACGCTTCCCCCTGTCGGAGACATTCCCGTACCGTCCGACACGCTGACCCTGAACACCTCGGGCATGGACGTCTTCCCGGCGGCAACGGTGGCGCTGTCGAGCGACCAGTTCGTTGACGGTCGCCTTGAGAGGGGGGACGTGGTTCGGGTGTTCGGCTCCCAGAACGACGCCGAGTACTCCGTCAGCAGCGTCTCCGCGGACGGGACCTCCGTCACCCTGGGCACCACGTTCCGAGCGGCGACCGGTAGCGGGGGGCTCGAGGCCGCGAACGTCACCCGCGTCGTGCCCGACGCAATTACCGTTGCCCGCTCCGGCACCGGCAAGAGCGTCACCGAGGTGCAGAGGGTCGTCGTCACGGCCACCTCCGAGGTTGTACCTTTGGACGGGCAGGGGTTCTTCCGGCTCCGGTGGGACCACGACGGCATAGAGGGCATCACCGAGTGCTTGGAGTTCGGCGCTGAGGCAACCACGGTCCAGGACGCCCTGGAAGCGATCGGGTACGATCTTGACGGGTCTGGGACTAGCTTCGAGGAAGGGGACGACGGTCACGTGCTCGTCACGAGGGAGGGCGACGCCAGCGCTTCCAGCGGCTACGGTTACGAGTACACGTTCGAGTTCAAGGGCGTGGCTGGGGTTAGCACCGTCGTCGGCAACGTGGAGCAGATCCAGGTGAGCCACACGAAATCTGCGAAACGTTCCCGGGAGTGACGATTGGTGGAGATAACTTAAGATGACTTCGTTGTTTTCGATGCTGCTCCTAGAACCGCTGCCGATGGTGTATCGTGCCAAACTACGTAGACCCAACAGAGGTCGACACTTGCACTTGGCACTTCACGCACTAACACAACGTCGCCTGGTACGAAAAAACACGGATGCAGGTGGTGGGGATCGGTGCGGTGAACGGCTGCACCGACGTCGGGGGAATCGTCGACACCGATACCCTGGATGGCATCACAGGAAACACCACCGACGGTTCCTACTACGTGGCCCCGAGCGTTTCAATCGCCGGGAAGCTAGCCCCGGGCGACCGCATCCGTATCGGTGGCTCCACCGAGGTAAGCCGCCAAGCCGGGAGTTGTCGTGTCTCCTACTGGTAGGACGTTTGCAAGAGCGTTTCTTCGTGTAGCATTGCGTCACAAAGCAACATCTAGAGTGCGTAACTATATATTCGCTAATTGCTCTGCCAAAGTGTTGTCCGCTGACTGGAACGATGAGAAATACGAATCCTACAACAAGAAATCGGAAATACATCCGCACGTGCGTACGAAGTTACCATACCGCTCCCCTGCGCCTCCGGGTACTCTGACTAACCCTTACACTTTCCTTTCCATGGCGCCCAGCCCTACCGTATTTACACGGTCGCGCTCGCGAACGGCGAAGAACCGTTTTCGCTCACGGAGGCCTTCGACGGGATTTCCACCGAAGAGGCGGCTATTTCCATAGTCGGCGACGGTGTTCCACAGTTCCACGTGGAAACTGTCGCTGACGGGCAGGCGGCGTGGACCTACGACATCTTCTTCACGGCTCCTCACCTCGGCAACGTGCCGGAGCTGGTCGTCTTCGACGAAGGCACAGGTGGGCACAGTCCGGTTCAGTGTGTTTCGATCTGGTCATCACATATGCGCATGATCTATCCTTCTGCGTTTCACGTCACGTATCTGTTTAATGCACACACTACATGGAGTTCGTGCATTTGCGGAGAAATCCCACCAGAGAGATCAAGACTTGATATGAGCTTATCCTAGGACACACAATTCCCTACTCTCATCCTCCAGGCTAGTGCTTGGGCGTTGAGGTTCAGCCGTATCAGGTTTAGGGTGAGGGGTACGGCTACGATGTAGCCTAGAGCTCCCGTGTCTCTGATGGCAATGATTTTGTCTATTGTTCTTCGTCGTACCTAAGGGGAGTGCGTTTCCGGTGACTATGACAACGAGAACGAGTGGTCCATTATCAGTGGGATGCGCCGTGACGTCAAGCTGTCAACGGAAGAAGACGGTGGCAGCCGCGAAATCGTAGAGCTTGCGTTGGCTTCTACAGCGGCGGCGGGAGGCCTGCCCGAAGGGGCCGCGATGCGACTATTCTTCAAGTACCACGGGGTGTACCACAGGTAGGTGGTAAAATCGGAACTGCCGCAGTACGTCGCCGTGCAAGGTACTCGTATGTACGGCGCGATGATTCAGGCTTACGCGAGAGTCGATATCACCGGTTCGAGTAAAGTGCAGATCAAACAATACCGTATATAGTACCAAACCGGTACATTCTACGACAATATTGGCTGCTTCCGTTGTAAAATGAAGAGTATTGTAGGGTGGGCGTCAAAAGTAGGGTTCTCAAAATGTCAAGCCGTATGCGTAATTACTGCATGTGAGAGTGCATTGCCCCCAACATCCATCCCCCCTGCACGGAACCGCCGTTCGTATGATATTGTAACGACAACATAAATTAATACAGGGTCCCTGACACGGCCGAGTGCTTCCCGTGGGAGGCTGGCAGCACATCGGTACTAGAAGCGGGCTTTGACGACATCATCGGTGAGGCGGGGTCGGTTCTTGTCAGCAGGATCGGAGATGAAACTGCCACCTCGGCGTACGGCTATACCTACGGAATCGACTTTGCCGGTACCGCAGTGAGGGGCGACATGGATCTGAGGTACTTTTGTATTTTTATTTTTTCGAGATATGTCCAGGCGTCCCCGTACCTGCACCATGGTAGTGTAGTGTATTTCGGTTTGCGTGGAGGCTGGAATGCTCCCATATCTCATTCATTCCACGCCCTCCCCCCCACACGTCGCTTGCCGAGTTACCTGCTGCTTCAAACAGATTTTTCGAACCCCTTTATGGCTTATGCTTTTGGAGTCCCTTTGCTTTTTCTTGCAACCCCTGACACATGGGACCCGGTCCGACCAATTCAAGTGTTGTCAATCTGAAAAATTGACTGTCGTGCGATTTCGAGCACTTTCGCTATTCATTGTTCCACGCGAATTCATCGTGTGCCGTGTCTCGCCCCTTCCCACACGCCCAACTCGCCATTACTCCTATCTATTCCAGATTGCTGATCGCGCAAGAAACACTGGATGGTGAAGCTTCGGGTGTAAGCGCGGTGATTTTCGATGGTCTCGGGGAGTCGTCGAGCATTGAAGTGACACTAAACGACGACCTGGACAACGCGGGCTTCGCCGACGCCATCATCGGATTAACGTAAGAAACGGGTGCAGGGAGTAAATCACGGTGTGAGTAATTTGTAGAAGGAATCGTCCTCCAGGAGTTAGCTGAAGGCGTGTTAGCAGGTAAAGTAGGTGATACGCAAACCTCGCTACGTCGCTAATATATATCCACCAAACGGATCAAGTGTAACACCACACCAGAGATGCACAACTACTCGGGAAAAAACCTCGTTGCAAGTCTGGGTCCCATCGATCAAAGCCAAAACTTCGGAACCCCTTGGGAGCGAAGCCTCCGGCGGTGGAGTTTCCGATGAAACGGCTTCGAACGCCCCCCTGCCCCATCTCTACCCCGTTGCCGTCATGGTCTCGGCGACAAAAGAGTTCTCGGAGCTTCAAGGATAGTGTCGCACAACGTCCAACCCAAACTGGCCCAAGATAGACCATCCCTTTTACCGCCCGTTTATCTTTCCTCCCTTTCTCGTATCCCTACAGCTACACTGGATTGGACGTGAACTCATCCCACACGTACAGCTACAACCTGACGGTGTGGGGGTTCGGCGACGACATCCCGAGCGAGAGCTCCTCCTCTTCTTCCTTTGGGGGCGCCTACACCAACCACACCATAGACTTTGCCGAAACCGATCTCGCGGCACCCCTCAACGTGACCTTCGTGAGCAGCGACGGCCTGGTCGAAGATGACACTTGGACGATCCTCATTTCTTCTTGCGGCGCTAACGCCTCTCTCCCCGCGGGTGCGTCGGTGACTCTGACGTCCGAACACGGGACCGTCGAGGTTAGGCAGCTGACTATAGACCGGGGATACGAGGGGACTGTCCCCGGGTCTCACGAGGTGTACTTGGTGAACCAGCATTTCACCGTTCGCGCAGCAGGTCAGAGAAGTTGTGCGTCACCCTCGAATCAGGAGGTGTTCTCTGTGTTTAAGACTCGAGTTTAGGATATTTCGCTTTCTCTCATCCGCCTTGCGACATTTGGTCAGTACAACAATAGTTTTAAGTATGCAATACCGTAATATTGTTTCGAAGGAGAATCTTCGGCGACCGCAGCACAACTCTTCGAATGCCATTCTTGAAAACGTTCTTTATAGAGAAGGTTTCCTCCCAACCTACGTTACACAGCGTTGTCATTGTTTTCCATGCGCGCACCACGCTCTAGGTACGGAAGTGCAGTCTGTCACGGTTGCCAACACGGGTTCGTCGACCACTTGGACCTACGGCAGCCCGAGCTACAGCTTGAGTTTGAACGAGTCTACACACACGGCGTGTATGGCATATGATGCTGAGGACTGGGAGCTGGAGGTTTGTACAGGAGATGATCGCTTGTCGCCAACTCGATCACAGTCCCTCTTGATGTCATTCATCTTCCTCTGGCGACGCTCTGCAGTACCTAGGGGCTTCGCTCGCGGTTTTGGTTAGCCCTGACGAGGTCCATTTTCATGTACCTAAGAGATGTACGCCTAGGGTTCAGCACGCACCTTGGGACACGTCATACCGTGTCTTGCATCATGCCTCGGTTTCATTCAGCACGCGATTTTTCGCGTGGGCGCGCGCACAGCCGCATACGGTCCGACATGCTGCAAACGTGATAAATTAAGGAGATGTTGTTGGGCACAATTGTATAACATGCTCCTCCCGTCTCCTATTCTCTGAAACATGCAGGAGGAGCTGCTGTCCTCGCTCGGGTTGGACGTGACAATCACCCGGAGAGAGGACGCCACTTTCGCTCCGAACGGCTACATATACAACGTATACTTCGATGGCGAGATGCAGGTAAGAATTTCCGCGTCACTGTGCCGCTTACAGTCGTGCTATATGTTTCTAAGGAACGCACCGGTCAGATTGTACGAACAGCTTATGCTCTGTCTCTAGAAGTGCATATACCAGTGCCTGGAGCACACATCAAGATAGGCGAAACCAATAGCAACATGTGGAAAGAAAGTATCCTGCCCCCAACCAGCACTTCGCCCCCACCTGCTTCTATACATGATGTCCTACGCTTCCCGTTCTCGCTTGAAGGACGCAACAAATGTGCCCGACCCGTATACATCCGGGGGCCTGAACGTCACGTACGAGGGCTGCGTGCCATTTGATGCCATTGCCGGAGAAAGCGTCACTCTGGCTACAGTAGCTCAAGGAACTACGGCGGGGGGTATCTCATCTGCCGTGCAGCTTCCGCTGGGGGATGTAGACGACCCTTCGCTGGAGGGAACGTGAGAATGTTACCGAAATTGATCAGTGTTGGGTCGCTCAATTACGAAACGTGATTCAAAGCACGAGTTTGCTCGCTATGTAGCCTAGTACTCTTTGCAGGCAGTCAAACTAGATGTAATATTTCATCTTACCCTGCCGCCACGCTGCCAAATATCGATTGCCCTTGATTGGAAACATCTTGAGAAGAAGTCTATGCTGGAGGTATCGATGGGATGCCCTTCACTTTTTTAAACACCATGAACGACGTAGATATATGGCCTCGGAGCTATCGAAGAACGACATCACAGGCCATATTCTCCGATTTGATGCCACCACCGTACCGCTGTCAGTCTGCTACTGCCGATGCAACGCAGTCCCACGCGCTACTACCTTTAGGTACTCAGCGCAATGCAATGCGTACAACAAACCCAACCCACGCAGGTTCCTTGGTGGAGATGGCACCGCAGAGATGGCCTTGTACCGTGTCTCGGGACACTTGTACACGGTGTCTTTCGACTCCAACCTTGGAGACCTTGTGGTAAGACCTTCGAACATATTGACCAAATAACCAATAGTCCCAGGAAGGAATAGCGACCGTCAGCGTTTGTGGATGACAACAACTGAACTCGGTCGCCAAAAATCCACACCGCTGAAAAAGTGTGCCCTACGCTGAGAGTAGGTACTCGCCTATTTGTACAAAAGGGATTTTGAGACTTGTCAAACCATTGTTTACGAACGTAGGGACACGATGGGTCGTAAAACGTCGTGGCATACAGCCGGTCAGGGTTTTGCAGCGACTCTTCTCCTACATCGCTTCCACTCGTTCCTTTTCAATTACTAGGATATCACCGGGGATTCCAGCTCTCTGAACGGAGACGGCGCCAGCGTGGAAACGTTCCCTTCGGAGATCGTGAAAGGAGTGCTCCCGTCAAGGCACGCCGCCACAGACGCACAGACGGGCGTCCCTTACTTCTTGCGCCTAGCCGCCTCGAACTCCCTCGGCTTCGGGGAGTACGGGGACAACATTGCGGTCGCCAAGGCGGCGAAGGCGCCCGACTCGCCCGGAAACCTATCCGCTGGAGTGGCGCTGCACGTCGATGAGGTCTGCACCTGCCTTCTTTGCTCGATGATTTTTTGTCGCAAAGTCGTTAAATGGAACATGCTTCGGTGACGTTGGGTTGCCATGTGAACCAGAAATGCGAACATGGGGAGTTAATCGCGTGCAGCCGATTTCGTCTCCAGCATCTGGAACTAACATGATATATATACCACACTTCAACCTGCACTTTCACGGCGTAGACGACTTGACCCTTTGCTCACGCCGTACACTGTCCGCCCCTCCCACGAACGCCACGTTCAGGTGCAAACCGTGACTGTGGCGGCCACTCACCAAAACGAGGTGCAGATCATCACCACGGCCGCTCCGGCGATCGTCGGTGTTCAATTGATGACAACATCGGCCGATGAGGGTGACACCGTCGAGGGAGATTTCGCCCTCCAGTTCCCCGAGATACAGACGATTACACTATTTTCCTCAGCGGAGGTGACGAGCGGGAACTTCAGCCTGACCTACACGGCCGTTTGGGCGAACGACAGCACCGGTGTCTTGAGCTCCGACTCGGAGACCACCGCTTGTATTGACTGGAACGCTGGGGCGGAGGACGTGAGTCGGTTCTTATGTTTGTGTTAAGGTGGTGGTTGTTATTGTTGTTGTTGTTGTTGTTGTTGTTGTTTTGAACGCCGGCCGGTGTCTGCCATTGAACCCTCTAGGTAGAAGGCGTGCATGTTGGAATAGCCGGCGGCAAGGGAACTTTTTATCACACAATAGCAGCATACTAATTCTTGCTTGAACAACGCAGGTGGAAGCGGCTCTTGAGGGTTTGTTGCTCGTCGACGATGTCACTGTCGTCCGTTCAGGCGATGCGTCCAACGCCTACGACTTTGGGTAAGTCAATCTTGTCCCGAGGAGGAACCATACCAACTGAAATGTTTCACCCACTACAACAAGTCGAGGGTAGCTTTGCAGCATTAATTTTGCTGGATCGCCACTGATTTGGTGGTTGTGACCCAACGTTCCGACATTTGGTTCGGGAGCGTGCTTGGTTTCATCCGATGTCCCACAGGCTTGGGTATCACACCTGTGGTGTCACGTTTAGCGGGGAGATGCCGACATTCATTTGCACTCCACTACATTGGCGTAAGCAGGTGTACCTCGCGTAGCCTCGATCCCGCAATACCCGCACACCTTTGGAGCTTATTCGCCGGGGGAAGAAGCCCGGACGACCCTCTTCTGTCGCACGAACGTTTGCGTGGCGTTTTGCCTATTACGTATCATTACCCCCCAATGATTTCCGCCCCCCGCATGAACATACATCGATGCTTTTGCATTTTGCAGGTACACTCACGAGATCGCCTTTGTCGGTCGGGACGTTATCGGAAACGTCCAGCCTCTTACAGCGGACACAGACTCCTGCGCCGACTTTGTTGTCTCTGGCGGGGGTCAGTCGGGCATGACCGTTGCGACGAGAAATGAGGGAGACGCCCTTGGAACTGGAACTACGGCCCAAAACGTCAAGGTGACTCTACACTTGTAGCGTTTGTTTCGTTCTGCTCTGCTTCAAGGTTGATATGGTAGGTCAGTTATGCTTTTCCCAGCTCATGGGTACCTCGATAGGCCCAAGGACGCCCAAACTATGCCGCAGGCATCTATAAGAGTTCGTTTCTCTGCAGCACACCCTTAAGGTCGCCGCATCCGTGCTAAGAGTGCTCCTGACAGTGCTTTGAGGTATGACCCTGAACGTAGTACTTGGAATAGAAGGTCGCCGCATCCGTGCTAAGAGCGCTCCTGACAGTGCTTTGAGGTATGACCCTGAACGTAGTACTTGGAATAGACCCGTGCATAGCGTGCAGAAAGAGGAAGCCTGGAACTAAACGGTCCTCGTCATATGACCTTCAATGCGACAGGTGTTTTCGGCTGTAGCATTGACGGAGGAAGTTGGAGCCTACCGCCTGGCGGTGAACTTCAGCTCTTCCGAGCACTCTACCAAGTGCCTTTACTGGGATTCCACGGCAGAGGAGGTTGAGACAGCTCTGGAGCTGCTTGACAACGTGGACTCCGTCCATGTCGAGAGAGACGGAAGCGGTGGAGAGGATGACGAGTGAGTGGCCAATGCTTGGACCTTCTTTTCTCTCGACAAAATTGTCGGATATAATGTATATCTTGCTAGCTTTGAACATTTTATGTGTTGTCCATACGTTTCATGAGAGTCACCTGCGTAGTTGCTCAGTGCTTGCCGGACGCTTGAACGGTCAATTTTCTGCTCCAAGACGTTTCCGCATGGGGTCTAAGTCAGCTACCCCATCAGACTTCCTAGTTTTCACAAGCTTGTCTGCTTCACACCACCCTATCCATCTACGGTAATCCACCCGATGGATCCCGCCACGAATACCTTCGACCGCTTTTCCCTTTCCCTACAACAGCTGGGGATACACGTACAGCGTTTTCTTCGACGGAAACGCCTTCTACGGGGTCGGAGAGTCCGTGTCCCCGGTGTCCCGCCCTTCTCTCTCAGTCAACGCCTCCTCCGGGTGTTCCCCATTCTCGACTACCATCGACGGAGTCCTGACCGCCCTCGACAACGACACCACCTGGAACGGCGTAACCGCCTCTGACATAGTCAGCGGCGGTTTCACCCTCAGCCAATCAGCTACCGCGGATGACGTCACCGAAGGGTTATCGGTTCTGCCGTCGGTGACCTCTCCGATGCTGACGTACCGGGGCGTCGCGGATGACCAGCAAGGGAATTCTTGGACCATGTCGTTCTCGAGCAACGGCGGGGCGGTGCCCGAGCTGGTTTGCGTCACAGATGCCGGCTTCGTCGGCTACTGCGAGGTGAGTCGTATTGGTTGGTTCGAAAGCCTTGTGAGATGTGCGGACTTGTCATCGCTTCAGTGGTGAGTGTAGACGCGCTTTCGTGGGTCTGTGGAGCTTACTGGTTTTTCAGTTGTTTAGAGGTTTGAAGCGCGGCCTCTCGTCTGAACGTTTCGTCCGCCGTCATGCTTCCCCGTTTCGCAGGTAACCACGCTCGTAGAGGGCAACGAGGTTGGAGGCAGCTTCTACCTCAACGACACGAACGCCATCGCGTCGGACGCCACAGCTTCGGAGATGGAAATCCTGTTGGAGGCCACAGACCTCGGGGACGTGAACGTTACACGCTCTGATTCCGATGGCCGCGGCGGGTACTCCTGGTCCGTCACGTTCCACGACTACGTGGGAGATGTGCCCGCGCTGGTGGCGGACAACGACCTCACAGGCTACTCCGCCTCCATCACTGTTGTCGAGGTACGGGTGTGTGTTCCACAATCGGGATGGAGAGGGGGGCATGTAGGCGTCAGGGGGTTGGTTGTTCAACGTCTGTCTGGGCGGGCCGGAGTACCGTTGACCCCTGCACGCGCAAAGAGTCGGCATGCAGCACGTCGGGTTTAGGCGGAGAAACGGTTGGCGCGTGACAAATTGCTGTAGGCTTGGTGGAGGGGGTAACGGGTAGGGACCAATCAGCCTTTCTTACCCTGTCGTTACCTTCCGTTTGTGTCTTGACCACCCTACTCTTTGTCTACATGTGAACTGCCGTACAAGATTTTCTGTTTATACGTGTGAAAATTTACAACTAAAAATTCAATTGCGAACATGATGATATCATGACCACCAGGAGGTGAAAGGCAACGAGCTCGGTGGGACGTTCGCCCTAGAGCTGGAAGGGTACGTGACCGACGACATGGCGCACGATGTCACAGCTGAGGTGCTCCAGGGATCCTTGGAAGAACTCGGAAACATTGGAACTGTCGACGTCACCAGGTGACCGTACCTCAGGGCCACACACTTCAGCCAATACTTATTCACTTCCCGGAAAAAACGGCGCCTCACTGACGACGATAAATGCTGCCGCTCGTGAACGGCGAACCGACGGTCGTGCCACTGAAGCGTCATTGTTTTATGGCGTATGCTGTGAGACTTCGCGGGGGGGAACGGACAGTTTTTGCCGTCATTCGAGCGAAGCACTGTCACTATTGATGACTAAGCCCTTTTCGCGCACTATCACAAAGAATGTATATACTTCGTTACTGGCAAGTACATATACCGTAAATCGTAGACATGCACACCCATGCCACTCTATATTGTATAAACTCAGACGACTACTCCACAGTGCCGGCTTGGACTCTGAATTCCAAGCGGAAACATTTACCATTGGCACTTACCCTTGTATTGTGTGTCCCATGTTGCACAGGACCGAGATCGGATCCGAAGGTGGAGCGGAGTACCGCATCACCTTCGAGGATGTCACCAACTCTGGCGATGTCGCTCTCCTTGTCGCACACTCGGAGGGTCTGACGGGCGCCGGTTCCACGGTGGTCGCTAGGGAGGTAGGGCCTTACAAACGATTGCCAATAGGGGCGGGGGATACGGGTCGAACAACCCCGGGGTAGAACCTCAGCTGCATCCATCGCTGCAGCGGCGAACGCCTATCTTGTACGACTTACATAGCTTGGTTGTAGCGACATCATGGGTCATTATAGCAGGATGACAGCGACACAAAGCTGTCCGGCTGCAGTCGCAAATGCAGCGAGCATTGTAGGTCATGGCTGATGTTGCATACGTCAAAACGCGCACCCCCGAAAGTGGAATGGGTTCGCTCCAGGAGTCAGCGAAGTACGTATTTCTCTAGATATCACAGAGAGCAGGTCGAGAAACTTGGCTCGGTCGAATTCAATGCATCACCTTTGCTGACTTGGTGTTGAAGATGAGATGTAGCATTTTCTGCAGTTAAGGAGCCAGAGTTATGACTGACCCCCCCTACCGCCTTTTCTACACAATACCCCAGGTTGTGAAGGGCAGCGAGGCCACCGGAAGCGCAGTTCGGGTGTCTTTCTCGGCCCCGCAGCACTGCAGCACGTCGCAGGTGTCGCTGGACATTTGCGGGGACCCGGTGGCGTACTACGTGGTGGAGTGGGACACCTCTGACGGTTTCAACTCCGCCGCGCTTTCAAGCCTCGTTGTAGACGGAGAAGACCTGCTTCTGCAACAGCAGGTATGACGCAAGTGTTTTGTCTGTCGTCTTGATGTGGTTTGTGCGTTTCGCTTCGCTGTCGGCAATTGGTCACAGTACTGAAAAGTCTAGGGGCCTTCCTGCGTAGGCATTCACAGGAAACACGACACCGTTTTCAGGATGTCCGAATATGTTGCGTCCATCGGTGAGCTTACCTGTGACCGACACGGGCCAGTTTACACGTGCAAACACGGTCACTCAACCGTATGTACTGCAGGTGTCGTCAAGAAGACAGTTTGCAGCACGACCTGCTGCTCTACACGTTCCCTATGGCTGGTGTCTTGCGGAGGTTTCGTTCATGCCCTCCCGCGTCACGCTCCCAAAACAACATCTTTGTCGCACCCTGGCTCCTTCGTTGTCAACCTTGTCCTAGAATACCGCGCATTTTCGGCTCCGCCCTAATGTGTTCCATGAACCATCACCCAATCGATCTGTCCAATCCCCACACCTCAGCCGTAGTGTGTTCCATGAACCATCACCCAATCAATATGCCCAATCCCCCACACCTCATGGATCAAACAGCGTGTCACGACGATGGCGTCGTCGGCCATGTCGGGCACCTTCCAGCTGTCCTTCAACGGTGAAACGACCCCTCTAATTAACGCCGCCGCCTCAGCGGAGGAGCTCCGGTCTGCGGTTGAAGCGCTTGACAGCATCACCACCGCTGCGGTATGTGTTGGCGTTGACCGGCAACAACTGTGTCCGTAGGTCTGCCCTTGTCGTTGTCGTTGGTTGTGGGCTTGACAGCATCACCATGGTCGCGGTATGTGTTCGCGTTGGCCGGCAACAACACTGCTCTCGTGGTTGTCGGCGTTGTAAAACTCGTTGTTTCAAAATTCCGCAAGATTGCACAGAGCGACGCGGGGATCAGGCCAAAGCAAACGCAAGCGGGTGTAGCAAGTGTTGTTTCTTGTCCGGAATGGTTCAACCCCGAACAAATGTACCCCGCTGTTCAACAGGTGTATCGCGACTTTGCGGTAACTCCCATCGGCGGGGAAAGTGGTGACGACGCCGGCGAAATCCTTTTGGACCTCACCTTTGGAAGCCAGAGCGCGCAGTGCAGCTCGGACAACGAGGACCTAGCTTCTTGCGACTACAGCTTCTCGGCGTGCCAGCTCGTGAGACTGGAAGACGTGTGGTACAGGGTCAAGGCATCGTTTGAGCCCGACGGTAGCGGACAGGTGACCGAAAACAGACCTTCGTAAGAAGATATGCAGTCTATGAGATTACGCTAGGAGGCACGTGGTACAGGTTCGGCAATATTCGAAACCAACCGTGTCGAATAGGTGAACAGTGACAGTCCTATGTAGTGTGTTCTCCAAGTTGTTTTTTCTTTCACAGCGATTGGTTTCACCCGTCGGAGGATATTCAATAGACTTGTACCGTAAATGGGAGGGCGCAGCAGTAAGCCAAGACGGGCAATGAGTGAACCATTGACCCGACCTTTGCTCTGCGTTGCGCACGGGTTAGCCCAAGCCCTTATTGTCTCGGCATTTCCATGCTTCCACCGCACCCGGACACTCGATCCCCTAACCTTGCTATCCCCACCTCTATTGTCTTGCCAGATTCCGTTGGCTGAGGAACACGACTGTTCAGTGACTGCTTCCTACAAAGGGGACACCAAGACAGGATCCACACCGTACGCCTGGTCCTACGGATATGAATGGACAATTCACATCCTTAGGTAGGTTTCAATTGCAATCGTCAGCCAGCCTTCACCGCTACCCTCTGATATATTTCGATATTGTCTATTGCTTGAAATCTACGAGTAGTATTTAGTTGTCCAGATGCCCTTATAACTTCATTCAAAAGCAACGACCCTCGTAGAAACGGCACTCGACATCTCTGATGCGGAGTTCGGTCTAATCTTGAGCGTACTCTGGGCATTGCCCACGAGCTGTGGATAGCACTGCGTGTTGGGTGTCTGCCTGAGGTCAGACGTACGGCAATGAGATCTTCCCTATCCTTTGGTGGTGCTATCGTTGAAAACTATTCGATCACCACGCCACTGCTGTGGATCGCTCACACTCAGCGAATAGCCTTCGTCCACCGTAGCCCGTGTCGTGTCAGAATATAGTTGTAGCGTGACTCAATCTTACTCTCTGTGACCAGGATGAACACACATATACCACGGAATACGGATAATATGCTTCACAAACGCAACCCCGACGAAACCAATCTCTCCCTCTGTCTGTACCTTGCCCTCGCCCTGACCACCGCTCGGCCGAATAACTCTTACCGATGGATGGATCAACTGGAAACCTCGGCCAATCAGCTACGTGGGAACTCTGGGACCGATCTCGAGCCCGATGCACTCGCTGTATCCTGCCGACTCAGCCGTCCTGTACATCAGCGGCTCTGATTGCGAGAGCTGCCTCTACATCCCCAACGACGGATCCTCCCTGACAATGGGCACCCCGTACTACGTTAGAGTCGCCGCCTACAATGCGCTGGGGGCGTCCGAGATCGGCAGCGGGTCGGACGATAGCTCCCTTGTTGTTGGGGTGGTACCGAACCAGGTATGGTAGAGTGCGGGACAACAAGCATGGTGTGACTAGCGTTTTGGATACCGCTCCTCTGGGCGTTTATGGTGTCTTGCAGCCACGATATGGTAGCGGAAGCAGGCGATTTGACAAGCTAGAACCCGTTGGACTATAACGGGGTCGGGAATAAGGTGCAATGGACGACATGGCGGCCCCGGCAGCGTTCGCTCCTCGCAGAACTTTACCTCTAGGCCGTTACTCGACGAAATAGGATCATTTAGCGAATCCCATCCTGTAGACCATCTGTGTTTCCCCATCGTTTTGAATATGTTCGGTTTTTGATCTTGCCCACGTCTCACACTTACACGGACCGACCATTGACCCGGATCTTTGTTTGCGCGACTGCTCCTCTCCGTTCTGCCAACCGCCCTTCCTCGTCTGAATGGTGCGACAATCGTGGCCGAATTGAGCAGATCCCCTTCGCGCCGACGGACGTGTCGGTCACAGTGGTGTCTGGCTCGAGGTTGGAGGTGTTCTTCTGCGATCCACTCATTTCCAGCGGCGATATCCGTGGCTTCCTGGTGCAGTGGGACACTGACGAGGGCTTCGAGCAGGCTATCGAAGGAGGGGACACCGGTGGGTTGCTCATTTCATTCACTCGGCATCGTCGTGTCGGTGCTTGTGTAACACGTAGAAGCAAGTAGCTTGTAGGGTGAGCGCATGGCGGTATTGCAAGTTTGATGACCAGGCCACCGAAGGCGGGGACTCCCCGCTCGTCGCCCATGCCACAGCTGGCGTTTGGTGGAAAGACGTCCTGTAAGCAATGTCGGTTGGTAGGTTGTTGCACAAGGTCTTCCGCCTTTAGATTTGATGTACCTGTCACAGGGTAGAGTTTGAATTGATGCAATCATGCTGACCATTCACGTAAATTCCCGGGAAGCACACAATGTTAGCAAGAACAGCCGTGTAGCCTTAGGGCTGGCGCGGCGTATTGGCATGCCGCGTTGGACCGAAAAACGTTGGTCTACCCTAAATTGATCACGATGAAAAACCACCACCTACGGATGGTAGAAATGTACATGCTGAGATTGACGACTATTCATATTTTCTTGGGGGATATCGTGTTGGCGCGTTGGTTCCAGGCGCCGGGTGTTCCGAAATCGGGTTCGGGTCTTGTGTCGTGAGCGATGCTGCCGTGGCCGGACAGTGCCCGTACTCGCTTCTTCTCACCGGACTGTCAGGTGGCGAGGTGAGGGCACAACTCAATGCAACCGACTCCGACCATGCGCCGCTCGTTCACTTCGTCAGCAGAACTTCGCTACCAATATCATCGGCTTATTTCCGCGCTCAGCGTGGCAGCAATCACCGATATCAAAGCGTGCTAGAACCAATCCCATACAAGTATTTTTTTTTATTTTTTTGTCTTTTTTCGGCCGGATGGTTGTGGTAGAATTGTAGACATATCAAAGAGTATGACGCAAGGCAAGACATCACGTTGTTGACGAGGAAAACCTTGCTTCGCCCTAAGCGCGTGCCCCTTTCGTGTGTTGTTTCCCTCATCCGGGCGGTCAGACGTACTACATTCGTGTTGCGGCGCTCGGAGATGTTGCGGCTCAACCGGTCAACCCGACGGGAGACCCCCCGGACAACACCAACTGGTCGGGGGTCATCGAGGCCGTGCCGGTGGACCAGCCGCCCAGCTCGCCAGGTCCCGTGTCCATCTACGTGCTGGACGGGTCTACACTGCAGGTGCACATGGAGGTGCCGGCTGAGAGTGGCGGGTCTGACATCACACAGTACATCATCGACGTCGACAGCGTGTCAACCTTCTCGTCTACCGGTCTGGCCAGCTACACCGTCGAGGCTGATGAGGTGACTCGAAGGGATCATCAATCCGGCCAAAACCGTACCCTATCCCCTTGGGTTATTGAACCTCGCAGTACGTCATGGTGGGGGAGAATGTACGCAGGCCAAAGCTGAAACCTTTCTATGGCACCTGACAACGGGGTAGCCTTTCGCATTTGAGGGAAGGTCGCACATGTTTCGACTCATCATGGACATGCGCTTCTGTTTGTCTCAGCTGGGAACCCTTCACACACAACCACCACGCAGTTTCCGATCGCGACTGAAGGGTGGCGATTAGCGGTAGACGTCACTTCAATTCCGAAACCCCCAATTTCCGAAACCAAATATGCAAGCATCCATCTCGACTTCGCCTTCAAATTCTCAGCTGGGAACTCTATACAACGGAGGAAGCGCGGTCTACGACATCCCCGACCTCGACGCGGGAACGCTGTACTACGTGCGTGTCTCCGCTGTCTCGGCGGTGGGTACATCGGACAGCACCCTCGCCGCCAACAACCCCGTGGCGCCAAGCCAGCACCCCGATGCTCCGGCCGAGATGGCGGCGGAGGCTGTCATTGCAGGCGGGGAATCAATCAATTCGGAGATCGAGGTGAGCGAAAGAAAACATGGCATTGAATGTAAGGCGCCCTTGTACGTCGTGAAATTTCAATGTTTGAGATGTTCAGCTGGGAGTGACCTGCGAGGTAGAAGGATGGAATATGCATGCAACGATGTGATGCTGCGGAAAATAATTGTAAATTGGTAAGAACAAGGCATTCGCCATCCCAACCGGCGGGAAAGGTACTTTAACTGGCAGTGGATACTTTCACAAGGGCACCCGATTTATTAGAGCAACACTGATAATGGCTACTATGTAGATTCGTCGCAAACGACAAGATTAATGTTTTGGTTCCAGGTGGCATGGGCGTCACCGGAGGAGAACGGAGGCTCTCAGGTTCTCGGGTACCGGGTGGAGTGGTTCGAAACTGAAACCGTCAGAAACGAAGTTCAGGCGGTTAGGATGACCTGGGAGTCCGGAGACGAACCATTAGAGACGTTCCGGTGAGAGGCCGACAGAGATTGACCAAAACCTCTACTCCTAGGGACTGGTTGTTGCCGTTGTCAATGTTCTGGTTGTGATTAGAGACACCGAAAACTACGGCAATGACAACCAAAGCAGCCAGACGAACAGAGGAAATGCACTACGATTTATGTTCAAGACACATCAAAATGTGCCGCAGTTTCAACTTCGAGATGCCCGTAGCACGTTTCGCCTTGGCCAGCACGTAACGGCTTGATTTGATTATTGAGCAAATTGCTTCATCTCGGCCTCGATATGTCCATGATTGAACTGTTCTTTCGTGCTTGATTATCTCGTTCGGAGTGTGTCTTCATGTTCCGATTCTTACCTGTCATTTTCGGCCCTTGCGTGGTTACTCTACTCGCCTGGTTATATGCACACACGCGAAAGGCTGTGGTTCAAGGGGTCGTCGACCAATGTAGGTATGGACCCAGACGTTTCCTATGTGAGCATGCGAGACGCTCTCATGAACATCAACGAAGGGAGCGGCGACTTCCCAGTGGGTCACGTGGATGTCGAGGTGCGCTAAAGAACTAGGATTTTAGTAGCGCTTGCTTCGGATAGCAATACTGCACCCACCACGCGTTATTCTGTGGTTTAATGGAAGGTAAAATACGTTCAGAAATCGGTGTCCGAAACCAAGAGCAGCAGAGCCGTGTATGCAAGTACTCTGGCGTTCTACGCTACTACCGTTGGTGTATTGTAGCCTCGACAATTAGTCTGGCTTTCCTGCAAGTGCATGAATTCTGCATTGTAGACAAAAACCCACGTGTATCCAAACCAGTATTCCTCGCCCGTAGAAGAACGCCACGATCGCCGGAAAATAATGGAACACGGGAAATGGGAAAACTTTTTTTACGGGATGGACGAAGGGCTTGACACAATGAGTTTCTAGTTTGGCGACCGTTGGTTCTCTCCAGTGTTCTTGTGCGGCTATTTTTGGGGTGGATTGTCGTACTCATGTATTTCCCCTGCATGTTCTACACCTTGGACGGGTTCAAACCTCAAACTGCCCCTGCCCCCCCTGCAACTGCAACGTGTCAGCGCTCCGCCATCAACGGCGACGAAGGGTACGTGTACACGATCGTCTTTGAGGATACCGAAACCGATGCCGGAGACCAGCCGATGCTGACCCCGTCCGACACCTTCACGGGGACCGGTTCGATCAGGGTGAGGCAACATCGAAATGAAATTGTTTTTCCCCAACCATCGATGCACGAACAAATGGAAACATGAAAACCTGGAAACGTATTGTTCAAGCTGTTCTAGTGAAGAAAAGTCAGCGACCAACACTAGTTTTTAAGGCTGCATCCTGATGACGTTCAAAGGGAGCGCGACGGTGTGGACATGTTGCCCCTTGACCCCCCGTTTACCCTTGGCTCTCGCTGGGCACTGTCCACGACGCCATCGGCTTCGTGAGATATCTGGGTTTGAATCGGTGTGATTACAAATATGGTGTAGGCTCATTTAGTCTTTCACACGATGGGCGACAAATAACCACTCTAGAGCAGGAAGAGCAGTCGTAGTAGGACGGTTTGGTCCCTTGGTTGCATGATGTGGTAAATGCATTTGGATTTTCCCGGCCCGCCCCCGTCACATAGACCTAAAGTGCTAGCACCGTTTGACCAGAAACGCTGACTACAACTTTGTGAACCGCCAGGTGTATGAAGTGACATCTGGTATCCGAGCAGGCGGCGCGGCAGAAGTGCAGGTGGTCTCCGTGACGGGGACCGGTACCGGCTCTCGGAATGCAACGAACCCGGATGAAGCCGTCGTTCGCGGCTACTGGAGGGCCCAGTTCGCCGCTTCCAACTTCAGGTAGAGCCTGTTCTCACTGCTATGGTAGGCTCCACCGGCCAGTCTTCGAAGAACTATCCAGTGCCTCATGCGATGTCCTGCCTGTGCCAGACAAGGCCACTATAAACCAACGATTCTACCGGAAAACAATACAACCATACCGACCGCCATTGACGCTTGCAGCACGTACATGTTTAGATTCACCCCAACCACCAGACCCATCTTTCACCCTACCCCTGACACTGCTGAACGTTGGCAGCACTTACGTCTCCGCCGGAGCATCTGCTGGGGAGGTGGAGGCTGCCTTGGAAGGGCTGGAGCCGACTGGAGACCTAACGGTAACGCGAAGCGAAAACGACGACAACGGTTACGACTGGCAGGTGACAAAGCTGTAGGGCATGCCAGTGACTACACTAGGCTTCTATTTGATGGAGGTCATGAAGCGAATATGCAAGCGAGGTTAGATGCATCCTGCTCGTCTCGCTATCTACGTCAACTCAAGTTTTCCGATTTCCGATGTTCGATGTTCTATATCCTCTCCTCTTCCCTACCTCTCAGTGATGACGACAATTCTACCCTTGGAGCCCTAAAGGGGCCCCCCAAGACTCATTCTATAAGACCAATAGATATTCTATAATCCGGGTACACACAAGCTGAAATACCATGCGGTATACAGCAACATGATACACACACCCTGCAACCCCTCGCTGTTGACTGCCGTAGGTCACGTTCGAAACCCCGGTTGGAGACCGAGGTGCCCTTGTGCTAGACGACGCGTACCTGTGGAGCACTAACGACGACGCGGCGGCCTCGATCTTGGACGGAGACAACGAGGTGGAGGAGTCAACAGGCGCCCTCATCTGCAGCGACTGCCAGGTAACACGACGTTCACACTCTTGGTGGTGATGTGTTGTGCGTTGTGCGTGTTTTTCGTGATCGACTTTGCGAGGCTCGCCTGATGCTTGTTGGAGGTTTGATTTGACTAATCGTGACATCGTCACGGGGTGGGGTCGACCGGAACTTTCACCTACACCACCTGCCTGGCCACTAGTAACGCAATTCGTGCAAGGACTGCCTCCGAACACAGGGAGACCGTTACAAGAATACCACTATGTCCGTTGCAGACTACTTCTGGTTCTCCCGCCGCAAACGATGGCGTCGCCTTGGAAACACCGCGTCGGCTGAAAGGTCTCTGAGGCGGTTGGCACTCTTCACGGAGCCTGTCGGATATCAACAACCTCTTCTTGAGGTTGCGAATGCCTCACCCACCGCCAACTCGATTTTATTGATCTGCCGATCGTCAGGTTGGCGAAGCCCCGGTGGGCTACGGTTACGCGGACCTAACCCAGGACGAACTGACTTACACAATCTCCGGGCTTAGCCCTGGGGTTTCGTACACCGTGTACGTCTCAGCGTTCAACCGCCACGGCCAGGGCGCGAGAGCCGTGGTAGACTCTGGGGTGGTCACCCCGCCGCTGGCGGTGCCATCCGCTCCCACGAATGTCAGTGTCGCCACGAAGGGTTACAACGCTACGGAGGGAGATGGCATCGGGGATTCCCAGGTACGGTGTACGGCAGCGTTCTTGTTTCTGCCGCATGTAAGGCCTGGTTCGTTTCTCCTGGTGATCCTTCCTTGGGGTTTCGAGTAGCGGCGGGTGCATGTTTCACCCTTTCTGATGGCTTTGTTGAACATTTGGCTCCTCTCGTGTCACCGTACCACGGCCTTACGGCCGTGTGAAAGATTCGCAAACGATCGCTTGCCATTGTGTAGGAGTCGGTCTCCCTTCCAGTGCGATAAGTTCTTCCGTTTGGATTCCAAGGCGGTTTCCACTCTTGCCTGGCCACGAACTAAGCCACCCTACGTCCTTTGACCAACTATCCCCACCGATCGTGGTACGCTTCAGCGACTGCTGGTGACGTATTCCCCTCCTGCATCCAACGGGGGCGAGGAGATAACATCCTACTGGGTAGAGCTAGACCCAACACCGACGTTCGACGACCCCATCACGGAGGCGTTCCGGTGCCCTAACTCTCCGGACTACGCCACCTGGGTAGTGGAAACCTCTTCGAACACCTCCATTTTCGAAGGGTGAGGAGACTAGTTCAGAGTAGAGCTTACAAGCTGTACACCAGCTCTCTTGATGCTGAAGATGAACCTATAACAGTATCTGCCGTGTTTGACGCGTGCGTGCAGTACGAACATCGCGACTGCCCGCAGGGCTCCAACACCAATGCGTTTGTCAACTCTTTGATTTCTGTATTGGATGCCCGCAATAACCCTATTTCCCCCCCTCAACCCTATTTCTGCCCTCTTCACCTTCCCGATACAGATACTTCGAGTTGGCTCTCACTCGATCGGGATATGAGCTGGTGACGAACCCTATCCCCTTCGATGCGGTTGCCCTCGGCTCGGACGAAACCCCGGCAGCGTCAACGACGGACTCCCTGGTCACGTGCGAGAACGACGCGGGCAACAATGACGACGATTGTCCGGACAGCCGGTTGCAGAAGTCGGGCTCCATGCAGATGAAGGTACTCGTTAGCCAAGCAAGTGCGAATGGTTGTCAATTCAAGCACTAAGTGGCGACCTTTTTGCTTTGGCGACCTCCTCACATCGCACATCCAAGAGTACTGAGTCCAAACGACTGCTATATCATAGTACCTTGAACATCAGATTGAACGTTGGCGACGAACATATGCTAACGAGAGCCCCGCCAATATGAACCCACTCGTACGCACTATGAAGATGGACTACTTGGACACGGTGACCGAAGGCGTGCAAGTTAGCCGCCAGGAGCTTGGATCAGGGCAGTACCGCTGGACTGTCACGTTCTTGGACGAGGGAGACGACTTCGAGCTGGAGGATGTCGTGTCGAGGAACTACCTCAACACCACCACCGGAGATGCGACGGAGATCACGACAACCAAGGTACATGGGTGCTCTGGCGACCTAATACTTGAACATGATTCGAATGGGTTCATTTACGTTCAAACGCACCTCAGATGCTTTAATGGAAATGTCTCAGGCCTGGGAGATTCGACACAAGACACCGTCTTGAAGTGGAGGATTGACCTGTAGGACGTACTGGCTCGTGACGTCTACCAGCGTAGTGTCGATAACTCCTCCATACACCGCTTCATTCCACAACGGTTGGCTTTACACCTCGAACCGGATCGTCTGTTTCTTAGAAATAATTCACCAAGGACAACATTTGACGGGTGCTCCGTGATCTAGAAATCAAGCACCCGGAAAATGTAACATGATACACTCAAACGGACGGCTTGCCTCACTCGAGACTGTTCCGTGGAAACCTTTATCGGTGGGTATTCCAGCTCAAGACCGGAGTTGTCCAGAGCGATTGCAGCGGGGAGATGGTCGTTCCTACCGACGGTGGCCTCGTCAAGGGGCAAGCGTACTACGCTCGCGTCTTCGCCTACAGTCCTGTCGGCTTCAGCCAGGGCCAGGTGGGTACTGTACAATAATGTGTGTGTACAGTCGATGGTGGTTGTAGTGGTGATGGAGCTTCTCTGTTGATGTACGCTGGAAGCTAGAAGAGCCCAGCCGATCGCCGCTGCTCTCCGTCCAGTATCCGAATATTTTCCTTTGTTGTTGGACTTTCGTCCCCATCTCTATTTACCCTCCAAAAACAGGTGGCATCCGGCCCCGCGAAGCCGACAACTGTGCCCGGCCGGCCAACGTCAGTTTCGGTGGAGGTTTACGACGCCCAGTCTTTGAAAGTAGTATTCTCTCCTCCTGCGGACGATGGCGGAGATACAGGTATGTATGCATACGGTGGGGCAGCACGATCCCTCTCTGATGGCCGTGACATTTTTCCTCGGCAACGTACATCGCGTTACTTCTGGTTGTGTTGATCTCGCCAATGCAGCTATCTACCACTTGCCTGTTTCGCGCACAGTTTGTGGTGCCGGGCGGACTGTTCGTGTGGGCTTCTATCTCTATATTCTCGTGTCGCTCGCCAAGCACTAAACTCCCACGCCTACAGGCGCGTCTCGCTGTCAATCACATAGAAATATTCAACGTCCACCATCGCCAAGGTCGAGATCTTCTCTGAATCCTTGGTTTCTTGGTATAGCTTCTTCGTTTGAGGTAGCTCGGCCGCACATGTTGTTTGTGCAATACCTTTAGGGAAGCAGATATCATAGGCCTACAACTGTAGATAAAGGATCAGAGCAGCATCTAATGTGTACACAACAACAACAACCCGAATATTGGCCGTGGCTTCTAGCGAACGCCACCGAGTTCTTGCGATTACGCCGGCACGTGTGACCCACACCCCACCAGCGATCAGTTTGTTCTCTTGAGGTGTGATGCAGCAACCTAAACCCACACATCAATGTTATGACGTCCATGAATCAAACATATGGCTGCGTTTTTTCTAGCGCAAAATGACGTTCATGAAGCAAACACGTGCTCAAACTATTCGGCCCGCATGTTCGTCGCTGGGCATGCAGTGGTGGCGTACTTGGTGGAGTGGGCGCTGGACTCCACCTTCTCGGACTCGTGGAGCTCTACTGTGTCTCTTCTCAGCGGAGGGGCTCCATTCCACAAGGTGCGCGCTTGGCGCTCGCCCGTTGGTTGATGTTGTTTTTGTTGTCTTGACGATAAAAACCGTTCCGGTCTCCGCTCAGTACCTTCTAGTATCCGTACTGGTTCAACCGACGTGGACATGAACCAAGCATCTTTCTCGGGTGGACGCCTTCTTGATCACGCCCTGTGTTCACCCACCTTCGTGTTGCGTGTCCTAGAATGAGGTCTAGTGGCAATGGTTGGCTCCAATTTTGTCTTTGTTTCTCCGATTGTTTTTCGTTTTCGTGCGCAATAAATGCTGTATGTTCTGCTTCTTCTCACCGGATCGGATTCTGAGTTCGAACTCATCCCCGATGCAGTGATTTCGGTCTGCAATCCTTCGAATCCGTGTACGACGAAAACGCTCCTATATGGTTGACCGTACCAACCGGTTGCAGAGGGTACGAGCATACATGTATTCACTCCACAGAACTCAAGCCGATTCGTTTGGTTGTGGTTTTTTTTTTCATCGTGCTGTAGGTATTATCGAGCCTCGACACGGGCGAGGCCTACTACGTGAGAGTGTCGGCCAGGAATAGCTTAGGCTATGGAGCCACTCAAAGCTCCAGTCCCACGTATCAGCACCCTTACGAGGAACCCACAGCGCCTACAGACGTCGTGCTGGGAGTCACCTCTGACACCATGCTAACGGTGAGATTCCCTTATGTCGCGCACCAGATGAAGCGAATAGGGCGTGGTCTGTGAATACCCGCCGATGAGCGGCGTGGTCTCGCAGGCTTGTGTCCATGTCGTCGGACAACTTTTAACTACTCCATCGTGTTACTTGTATGCTAGGCTGATGTGAAGCTATATGTTCATGGGTCCAGCGTAAGCGGCACTTCCGCCCTCGTAAGTACGTCAGTGGCGTCTCGTTGTTGGTTGTTGTGCTATTTACCCCGTTCGATACGATGTATTTCCTAATGGTGGGTTGCCGCTGAATGGCCTAGCCTCACTGCAAAATGCCCTCGAGCTTTGAAGCAAACTCCGTGTATCACACCCGTCCCAGAATAAGCGTTAAATTCGTTGCCCTTTGCCAGTGCTCATGACCGGCTGCAGATGCGTGGAAGACCGATTAGGTCGAAACTCACACCACAAACTGAAAGGTGCTTCTATTCACAACTAACTGTGTCTGCAGGCAAGCTTTTACCCTCCGAGCTCCGATGGCGGTGACGAGGTGACAGCCTTCCTCATCACGTGGGATGTGTCGGAGTCATTCAACAGTCTTGTGGGATCGCCGCACTCGGGTAGTGCAAGGGTGAACTCTTCCGAGCGGGCCTACACGGTCCAGTACCTCAGCACATCCAGGAGGTAAGTGTCACTGCTGGTGTCTGAGACATAGTTTCGAGCTGGAATTTCGGCCGATTATTAGGATCAAGCAACAGGGGAAATGGTGTGTCACACTATCGTGGTTGCTAAGTTTTCCCCCCCAATATCTCAATACCTCCTAGTACTGCAGGACGAATTGGCGATGAGCTCTTCCAACTTGGATGCCATCCAACGTCCAGACCGCATCTCATTGTAGGCCATGCTCAACCCTCCCGTGCCATCTATCACTCCCACCCGCCCCACTACCTTCGTATGTTCCCCATTCTATCCACAACGTGATATTCCAACTTCAACGCGCAACGAACCCCAAATCACTCCCGCCTCTACAACGACAGGTATTACGTGAAAGTGGCGGCGGAGAACAGCGCGGGTGCAGGAGTCGCCCGTGCCGCGTCCCCCACCTCCTCCTACCCGTCCCAGCAACCTCCGGGCATCCCCGTGGGACTGGTCGCTAGCAACGGCGACGCCGGCACGGCCACGGTTTCGTGGGACTTCCCGCTGGTGCCGACCCACGGTATCCCTTGTTTCGGCACGGAGGAGACTCCGACGATTTGCCCCACACCTGTCGGGGGGGTGTACCCGGGGTCTGACGGGGGCGATAATGTCTACGAGTACAGAATACAGTGGAGCACGAGCCTTGGGTGAGTTGCTGAAGGGTAGACGGTCCGGCGCTGACATTGAAGACCAAGTCTTGCGTGATAGGGTACGGACAGGCGAACCGAGTTGAAGAAGGGTATTGATATTGCACATCTCCAAGCCCGCACCCTCAAATAGAACGAAGTGAGTCTATCTCACGAGTAACGCATGCCCAAAACATATCTTCCTACTGCGTCGCCAAGTCCAACTGATCCTCCCGACAAGCCGTAGCCACGGCCAGGGACCTGCTCACTCAGACTGTAACCACTAAGCTGCATGAAGATGTCCGCGTCATCCACTCAACCAGAATGCTGATTGCACCTTGTGCGTTGTCTGGTGTTTGTATCGTGGTTCGACCCAGCTACGTGCCGTCTGATTCTACTTTTGGCTACGCGGACGTGTCCAACACTACCTACACCGCCACCGGCCTGACGACTGGGCTAGAATACTACTTTAGAGTGTCAGCGCGGAATACAATCGGGTACTCCGGTTTCTGTGAGCTTTCGGGCAATACGTGTGCGGGGGACGAAGTGTCGACCATCATCACATGATGAGTAGCGCTTGCCACGCCTTTGTTGGATGCCTTTTTGTAAATGCCATGGTGTGTTTACTCTTTAACTGGTTTTACCGCAAAATACCCATTGTTTCTCCAATCTCCAGGGTACTTTTGCAAGTGTCGCGCTAGGGCGTTTTTCAGAGTAGGGAGTAGTCTTGAGCCTCCCTCTATTAGATTAGTGAAGATGCTGTAGCATCGTTAAAGGGGATTAGCCAGTCTCGGGACACACGGCGATTTGTGGGGAGTTTGGCGGTGTTTGTGGTTGTGGCGTGGGTTCTGATACGAATCATTCCTCAGGGAGTCAGCCAGTCTCGTCTGGAGCGTGGGAACGTTTATCGTGGGAACGGTAAACGGCTACCACGTATCATACGTACAGATGAAGCAATGGTGAAGGACTCACAGGCTTCTTGTACTCACTAGCTACATTTTTCACACGGATTTGGAACGACTCAAGCGGTCAGGGATACTCTAGTCTGCATGCAGGCGAAATGACATGCTACCAAAGTTTATAGTGTTCGGTGTGGTTGCCATGAGAGCACAGTCGCCCTGCTGCAACAGGAGGCGGTGTCGTTCAGGCATGAAGCCGACATCAATTGCGCGGGGCATGTGAGCCAACTGATACGCTGGTTCTTGACCCCCCGGCGCTAAATTTTGAAAGGCGTGGGGGGGCGTAGGAAGAAGGAGGGGAGAGAACGGAGGGCACGCGGAGGATTCTCACGTTGAAAATTGTTTTCGGTTTTCGTTGATATTTGCTATACATGAGTGTACGGGTTGCCGATTTTTCGAATGTGGTGATAATGTACGTGCGTGTGTGGAAAGCTTGGCAGCCAAAATTGGATTGTTCTTCCAGGTGTCGTTGTGTAGCAAGCCGCAGCAGAATGTGTTGAGTCTCACGGCCACAATCAATATGACTAGACTATGTTCCACATAAATGGGGTGGATGGGCGGACCCACACCCACAACCGTGGCCCTTGTCAACAAACCGGCTGGTTGTTGCGCCCAGACAAGAGCTCAGATGAGAGCATGACGCTACATCTGCACCCCGTGGCGGGTAACTTCTTTTTGAGGCAACCTGCTGCACAGCGGTTGCGAGGTGTCAATGTCACCCTATTTGGAAACGTTCAAAAGTCAACACTGACAAGCACGGTTTTCCACATGTGGAAAGCTGTATGGGCCCCATTCCCTCTCGGGAAAACGATGGTATCTCGCTTTCGACTTCCGAAACCCAGCATTCATCTCTTCTCGCCTCCCGTAAGCGTCCGAGAACGTGGATATAGTTAAATCTCGAGACCACCCCTCCAAGCGCACGGCTCAGCACTTCCTGCTGGGATCAATTCATAGATATCCCCCCCAGCGCTGAGATCGCTTCTCAGCGGAGTATTCGTTGTACTGTCGAGAATCCTCACAATACCAAGTTCTTGTATGCAATGATCCGCATTGAGAACGAGATTATTTGAACACGATGTGAAGACTAGACTTTGTAGACTTCTCTCGTTCGAATTGCGAAGTATATGAAGTGTTTGGTTTGGTGAAACCTCCTGTGGCTGCTGGTGGTCCCGACCCAACTCCATATTGTTGTCGCACTCCTCACGATCGGCCAAGCGCCGCATGGCGTGGAGACCTGCCTCAATAGTCGTATCTGATGATGATGTACGGAGTTGAGCCAGCGCCGAATTCAGCCCGCGAAAACCGGCAAGGGCGGCGCATTGGCACACGTGGCTACTTGTCCCCGCTACCCTTGAAATAGTAGCAGGTAGTCCTGGTAATCCTCTGCGCCTTCTGAACGATAAAAAAGCGCCTAACGTTGTCAGCAGCCAATTCCCCACCGCCGCGAGCTCCCTCCTCGAAAGGCGTGCAACGGAGTGTTTATGTTGGTGTGTACAATAATAGCTCTGCCATCCTCGTGTGTGACAGAAGGGCGGCCGTCACGTCCAGGGGTAACACAGACCTGCCCTGCTCCCCGGCCATTTACAACTGGAAAAACTGAGAACAGGTGTGTGTCTCTTCGTCATAACGTTGAACTACAGAAAAATGTCGTCCCGTGAAGACGTACTCGGCGACCTTTGCAACGTCCATATTTTAGGGCGGTCAAGGGCATTCCTGTAACGACGACACGACCGCTTCCATTGAATCAGTCTTTGGGTATCGATTGTACGGTGGCGTACAACATGTGTAGGTTGTCATATGCACATGCGTAACGATACTCTCGGGGTCTCCTATACCGGCTCCCGTTGTACTGGGGACACTTGGGTGGAAAACATCTCGGCCACCACGGACGCACCTGGTACGTACCTGGGACGAACCGTTCAGGGCACGTCCAGCCGCGTGCCAAAGCTAAGAGGTTTTCATATTGATTCATGGGGTTTGGAGCTGGATAAGGTGCCCTCGGCCTATGGAGCTCATTGGAGTTATAATAATGGACCGGTTCGGCTCGCGGCTCGCAGGCTCGCAGGGTCTGCATTTGGTTCGGTTTCACCCGTCCATGCGGCGCAATTGGTGCCGCTTGGTGTTTTCGCTTGAGATGGGCAGTGGGCAGGTTCTGTCACACGTCACACAGGAAAAACTGCTCAAACATCCACACACGCACCAGCAGGTGATCTCTACGCCGACTTCAGCTGAGGAAGTGAGTACCACATGTGTGTGCCTGTGAACTCGTGTGTCGACAGAGGGCGGATAAGAGGTTCTACTGTTCAGGCGTCGATCTGAAGAACAGATTTCTATACTGTAGACGACATACATACGGGAGAGTAGACATCAGTAGGCAAGACTAAAATACGACCTAATGACGTAAACGTCGACGCCCGCATAGCGGCATGTAGGACCACTGAAGCTCGCTACGTCGATAAGACAAGACCAATAATGCTCCTGCCACAACAACGCAGTGCCTCGTATGTGCGGTATGAGCACCTACATAGCACGTGGCCGTACAGGAGGTTGGGCATTTTCAAATAATCTGTTACAGAGGGAGGTGCCTTCGCGAACAATCGAATGAACGTTAAAAAAAAAGCAGCATCCTGAAACGTGTAGGTGCTATGTAATGCCCCCGGCATGGTCGTCAATCCCATAGCATTGTCGGCGTGTTGTGCTGGCTATGTCGTCTTACATAGCCTTCTAGCTGTGCAAGCACGCGAGCGAATTTTGCGGGCTTGGAATCGACCGGAGGAGGAAACGAAGCGCCGCAAAACAACCTTTGATATGACGGGCGTTGCGAACGTTGTCACTCACGCAGAAGATCTATTGAAAACGACCATGTCCTCACCAAACACAACACAAACAAACAAAAAACAGTCTCATAATCTAATGTAGATTTCCAATACATTGTCTTACATTATGTAGTCTAAGCAACACAACCATGTTTCGAACAATAACAACACCTGTTTGCACGCCTTTCGGCTGTCGTTTCCGTATGAATCCACTACAGACGTGGCACGCCAAATAAGTAATAAACTCATCTCACGCCAGAGGCGGCCACCGACATTTCTGCAGATCCCGCGGCAAACGCGCTGGACAGACAAAACGCCAACCCCCTAGACGCCACGGGTGACAGGAAAGGCACACACCAACACTGAAACTTTGGAGGCCCTTCACATCGACGAGATACGCACAAGCGGAAACACGCGTGGGCTAGCAGGGCCGAGATCGGGCGCCGAAGGGGGCAGACTAAGCACGAGGGGGAGGAGCCGTTTACCCTTATTGGAGAACGAGGTCCGCATTTCGACCCCGTTCCGCAAAAAAGACATTTGCGGGCTGACCCGCACAGCACGGAGACAATGAACGCACCTGCAGATACGGTATGTAGGCGTGGATTGTAAGCAGATACATTCGGAGCAACAGCTTCTTCCTCCCGTATTCATCCTTCTCCGAACCATTCGACTATGTACTACACATACGTGTAGACCACAATATGGTGCCACAGCATACGAGGTCATCAGGTAGAATCTTCTACCCAGCTGCAGCGTTTGTTGTTGCAGTCGTAAGTGGGGTGGGCGGGACCGGTCCAGTAGAAACGTCGACACTATTAAGTTTCCAATTTCTACAGGTGCTGTAGACCGCACAGTTTTTTTCCATTGAAGAAACAGTGCTCCAGAGAAAACTTGCAATGTTCCTGGTTGGGCGTCGCATTGTCGCAACATCTTTGAAAATGATTTGTTGACTAGCCATCCGCCCTCTTGTACGTTTTTTTCGCGTGTCGATCTCGTCGCCCCTCCCCCAGCAGGGTAGCCTCGAGTTTCTCAAGAAATTTTCATTCGGAGAGAAACTGCTCGGCAAAGGCGGCAGCGGGAAAGTGCTGCAAGGCGAGCAGATGGCGGACCCGCGCCAGCGCCCTTTTGCCGCTATTCTTGTTGCTGTTCCCGCCATCGTTGTGGTTTTTGCTGAATGTCATTGTCATCGTCGTCTGTTGTTGTCAATGGTATTGTCATGGGGCTAGGGTTCGTGCTCTGCTCGTGAAGCTCTCCTTGTTGATGTCGACACTTCCACGAGGTTTGTTCTGCCCCAGACCTCCACGCTTACCTAATCTGCGATAGAGGTTTTTCATGCTGCATGATCACTGTCGATTTTGATGCCTGTAGGTGCACTAGCATCGGTCGCTCTAACGCCTACACGCCGAGCTCACGGTACCCCCTTCCTCCCCTGTCGGTCGCACCGGGCGGTTACTGGATTTGTTTATTGTAGGCGTTCACGTCGCCAGTAATACGCCGGTGGCCATCAAAGTCATCGATCCCCTGGCGCGCCCCAACGCGGAACGGGCTCGAAAGCTGTTTGAGAGGGAAGTGAACCTGCACGGGGTTGTGACAGGCCTGCCAAACGTGATTCGGTGAGTGTTCTGTCACCTCTCAAATGTTTGGCATGTTGAAGAAAGTTGTGAAAGTGCCCTAATTCACTCTGCTCCGGTTGATTCGTACCACAACGCCTACCCTATCTGCCCGAAGAGTGAATGAAAAGCTGGACATTCTATCCTCTCTATCTTCTGTAAACAGATAGTCGTACAATATTTCACTTACCTAGTAGAATCTGGATCTTCACTTTATCTACTTTCTAATAGCAGCCCTCCTGCATCACGGATAGTCTTCCCTCCACAAAGGGCCGGGCGACCCTCGCTACGGGATGGTAAGGTGCAGCCAAACGGGAACAGGCATGTCACCACCTGAAAATGGTACAGTGGGAGTCACTGACCGCACCAAAGCTATTTTCCCACTCTCAATTCTGCATCTCTTCAAAAGAGGGCTGCGACGCTACGACCTCGCCCGAAATTGAACCGAAAACCAGCCCCAAACTAGACTGGATTCGCACTGTCGGTAAAAAACAGGTTGCTCGGGGCAAGCACACCAACATCGACCGCGTGCTGCTACCTCGCCACGGAATTCGCCACGAAGGGAGACCTGTTCAATGAACTAAGGCGTCGGCGGGCGCTACCGGAAAACGTGGTACGAGAAGTTATCATGCAACTTATCATCGCCGTAGCCGGCCTCCACAGGAACAACATCTGCCATCGGGACATTAAACCGGAGAATATTCTCTTAAAACATTCAGACGTCGATCCCAGAAGAGCCTTGCTGAAGGTAGGCGGAATTTGTGATGTTCTCAACCGTTGGCATTTTTTCGGGTCCATGCATCGTCTGCATCAGAGTTTCCACTATCGTGTACCCAGCCTCTTGGGTCGCCTGCATGCATCGACTATCGCATGGGAATGACAGGCAGTATTACCAGGTATCACAACCGTATATTACAACGGTAGCCATGGATAAGGACTCGACATGAAGCCATTCGCGCTGGTGTCATATCAAACTCATGTCAAACATATATAGCATCTTGAAACAACCGAGGCTGCGTCCGTTCGAACTCAGTCACCGAAACGATCCCGCCCAACTGCAAGTATTTTTCTACTTCCAAGAGGATCTTTGGTTCCATAAGCCCGCCCGTTCTCAACCCCCATCGTTGCTTGTTGTGTACATAGCTCAAGACTCCGAAGCTTGGGCAACAACTGACCCTATCTGTCGCTTGGCGTTGTTGTGATTGCTGGGGTCTCTTCAGCTTGCCGATTTTGGTCACGCCGGGCTCGTGCCTGCAGACAGCATGCTTTTTACTCGGGATTGTGGGACACCCGGATACAAAGCCCCGGAACTGAGGAGTGAGTGGAAGCACGGGCACGGCTTGGCGGTGAGAAGTACGAACGCCGGGGCTAGCAATACGGGGAGAGTTTTGCAGGACCAGACGACAAGAAATCAAGATATAAAATATAGCAATCGAATTGTAATGCCGTTGTGTTGCGTATGTATGAGAAGGATGATCCCGGAAGTACAGGGCTCCGAGCGAGAGAACGGCAGAAACTCTGCCAGATGTTCACATAGAGAGTATTGTACGAGGACTGGAGAGAGAAACGCCGAGAAACGCCGAGACTAAGAGCGAGGTGGATGTATTCAAGACTTTGGGTGATGCCAGCTGCAGGAGCTGCAAAGCAGTTTGGTGTGTTCCCGCCCACCCACCCCTTTTCTTTCGAAGGTGGGGGAGACGAGAGGATCGATTGCAATTCGAACAGATGGTAGGGTACAACCGTTTGGAGGACTTGGTCATCTGAGACTACTGCGTGCCGTAAGATTGCAGAAGTCCCTACGCGGAGGCAAAGAGAACTGCAGAGTAGTCGCTGCCGCTTGGAGGAAAATGAGAGAAGCAGTGTTGCAGGCGGAATGGCAGAGACGCGTTAGAAAGGCGCAGAGAGGTGTTGCGGGGGGAAATGTGCTCTTTCCTCTCGTGTAGAAAAATTCTTCGAAGTACTGATGAATTTTTGTTGTTGTTGTGGTTGTCTTCACACTAAAAACCGTTCCGGTCTCCCACTCAGTATCTTTTAATGTCTGTACTGGTCCAACTGACGCGGACGCCTTCCGTGGTCACAAGCCAACTGCCCCCCCCCCTAAAGGGAGGTTAACCTTTCATAAACAAAAAGAAAGAAAATAAGAAATGGACCCCAAGAATGTCCTCCACGGCGCGATTTATGTTCTACCCCAAACGAAAAAGAAAACTAAGGGAAAAACTAATAGGGAAAGACAAAGAAAGAAAGAAAAAAGAAAGAGAGAAAGACAAAGGAAGAAAAAGGAAGATAGATAGGCCCCCTCCGCGCTCCAGTCTACCGGACCAACAACGAACGAGGTAACTACTAACGCGACACCAAGGAGATGACTGACCGACGAAGACAACAACCTCACTTCGGGGGTACTGCGGGGGGGTGGGGGGGTTAGCGACACGGCGGGGAAAATACGGGGATACATCCTCCTGGTATTCCTGCTATCGCCTCTATCATCATCAGTCCGGAATGCAACTAACTCGAAAAAACATATATACCGTACAGCTCATTTTCATGTTCCCGTTCAGTCACCAAACGACAAAGACCAGCCATTTTCGTCAAGCGCCAGCATGCTCATTCTTTCATCTCCAGATGTTGTACCGCGTTGATTCGAGGTAACCAGGCAGGTCAACGAAGACAGCAGCATGTGACATGATGCCTTCTTTAGGTGCTGTTCCGTGAAGTAAAATATACCATCGAACACGGTTGGTTCTGCGGGCGGCGCGAAAGGAATGGAATCGTTTCAATCGATGGGAGCACCTGTTGTCGCGATGGGATACCTTCGGATCACCATGGGATACGTAGACCAACGTGGTTAGAAAAGTAGATCGCTCTATGTCTGTATTATAAGAATATGTCAACGATCAACGGGTCCCGTCCCTTGCCTTCTCCGGCTCAAATGCTCAAATGCTTCTTCCAGGCCGATCTGTGGAGCGTGGGCGCGGTCATGAACGATTGTTTTTCTTTCAAGTGTCGACAACCCCCCGTGGGGGATAACACGTTCTGGGACAGGGTGAGTTTTGTGAGCCTGGTTGTAGTCCATGTACATCTAGTCAACAGGTGCCCGGTGGCTACACTACGTGTGTTGTAGTTGAGTTTTGGCGCTGTTCGACTCGCTCACTAGCGTCCCACAATGCATCTCCTGTCAACAACTAAAATTCAGGATGTGTGGGAAACAGTCTCCACACATGCCAGAAACCTGCTGGGGCGCCTTCTAGAAGCCGACCCACGCCAGCGAATATCTGCGGAGGAGGCACTGCAGCATCCATGGATAGCGGGAGCATTGTCGCAAACGGTATGAGCTCAAGCAATGGATGGGAAGATCTCCGCGGTGTGGCATAGAAAAATTGCCGCAGATTTTCTGTTCTCCACAATATTCTTGTCGCTTTAGGTACAACCTAGTTTGATGGTGACGCGCCGGCTGGGATGCTCCCCTCCCCCCAACTCAACAATCTCCCGTTCCTTCGGCAACAAATCTTTCAGGTGTATCGAGAGATTCCGGCATCAGAGGGCGCCAGATCTGGCGAGGGGGAGAAGAGCAATCATTCTACTCATCGGCAAGAACGCCGCCACAAAATGATGAACAGCGAGGACCCCTCAAAAAAGAAGCTAAACGTGAACAGCGGAGTCCGCAACGTCGCCGGACAAGTTCGAATCCCATCTAAAGTGCTGAAAACTGAGCGACGATGGGTCTTGAAACCATATCCTGAAAAACCCAGCACCAGCGCCAGCGAAAAACAGAGCAACATCAACGCGACCACCGACATCAACAACCGCGGCACCAGCAAGGACGCTTGGGGGTCACCATCACTCTACAGCCTCGCCACCAACACCAGTGGGTTCGCCAAGGACGCCAGGAACGTCAAGGGTATTGGCAACGGAAGCCCTAAAGCGGGCGGTGTCTCAACCGTCAAATTTTCTACCCTCCGTGCTCCGCCCTGTACTCCCGCCGCCAATGCCACCACAGCATGCCAAGACGCAGAGGCCCGCGTTCCCTACACACGTTCTTCGAAGAGTATCAAGAATGCGTCCAGGAATGCGACCAGGAAGAAGTCTTGTGCCGGCGTCGTTGCGGCAGCTCCTGGTTTCCAGCGCCGGGTAGGAGTTAGGCCTGAACCCGAGGGGGCAAATCCCGTGTCCGTGTACATTCCTCAGGCGATCGCGGCGAAGAACACTGCACCCATCGCTGAGACCATAGAGGCTCCGATGAGCGCTGCCAGCCTCGGTACTAAGCCGGAAGCCTTGGAACGGTTTTGTTACAAGAAAGCAGATACGGTACCTCCCTAGGGAGTCACCATCCTCGTGCCCGCGACTGCACCTACGACGTGGCGAACTCAGTTTGTTTTCGGGTGATGTCAAACAGACTCCATGTAGGTGAATGAGCGGAAGGCGTTGACTTTCCCGCCCTGAGACCAAATATGTAGACTATGTGATCTAAGGGGTGCCAGTGATAAAATGTCTAAAGACACCTTTCCAGTTTCAGATTCTTGCGTAGACTATGGCCCGATGTTGCTCTAACCCCAGAACTTTCACTCTGAGAGGACAGTAGAATTTTCGCTTGTAGTGAACACGAGTGAAGTAATGATTGCCAGGCGGAAAAGGTCGATTCTGTCCAGTATTATGTCTCCTGGATCTTGTGGTGGGGCTGCTACTGTACATAGCTGCTGCCTCAGAGCAAGAGCCAACCTTCCACAGGGAAAACAAATGTTAGCGTGCTTGTGTCCGGTCCCCCGTGTAGTCTACGTGTGTCCGTTGAAGCAATCCAAAAGAATAACTTCCATGGAGAGCCCTCGCCATCATTCCCTCGGTGGCAGAAAGAGTGCTTTCGCCGACAAGTACCGACAATGGTAGCCTCTGCGCGAGCATCGACACGGAACCTGCCCCTCTCTTCGGATTGAAGCCAGTGTGGTAGGTCTGGTAGGTCATGATTTGAACGTTGTTTCAGTGCGAGGTGTGATACGAATCCGAATTAGGAACGATCACCAGTCCTATGGCTATGCAGCCATGTCCGAGTAAGAATCTGTTACCGTCGAAGTGGAAATCGCGTAGTGTATAATAGTGGAAGGGTGGTCACAAAGTTGTTGTTGGGCAACGCACCACCTCACCGTATTGTTGTCAGCGGATTTAAGAGACGTGGATACGGTTGGATTTTGGCCCGGCTGCAGTCTGATGATGTCTATCCATTGATCAGTCCCTTGAAGAGGCCGCCAGTATTCGAACAATACGGAACACCATACCACCGTACGTCGTGTCCCCCCGAAACAGGCGTTATTCTTTGTTCGGCAGAGGCACCTCAGCGAGGTTCCACAGGAAGCCTTACGCACTATCTTCGCGTGCAATAACTGAACTTCACCAGCGAAACATGGGAACACCCAAGGAGAAGACAATGAGTCTCATTCTTGACATCACTAGTCGACCAGGGATTTTCCACCACGCACATTATTTTCGTCTTTCGAAAACCAAACGATTGGTAACTTGGCGACACCTTTCTTTTTCCTTTGTGCTAGACGACCAATAAGAAAACCGCGGGTACCTTTTCTCTCTCTTTTGGACCATGGCAGTGTGCGGGCAAAGACTGCAGGCCCTGGCTACCGCGACCGAGTTGTCAGGTTGAACGCGCCAGCAGTCGTACTAGTGAATCAAATTCGAAAAAGAGAAGAGTCATCCAGGATTAGTCCAAGACCGGTAAACAACACGTTACGTGTCGAGGGCAATCGCAGCGATAGACTGTCCCGTCATTCGCTTTCTTTGTGGATCGACTCGAAGATGCAAAATTTGCACTGCACGAGGAACACCGGGCAAACACGAATCAAACAATCAACAGCCCAAGAGCTTACGGCTCTTGCATACCAAGACCAAGTGGTATCAATCAACGCGTTCTTCAACAAGAAGCCACGCGAGTTGTATGTTCGGTGTGGCTCTCTTCTAATACCCGTGTCCGAAACATTTCCGCACACCAGGTATACAAAACTACCAGTGACACGTCAACAACAAAATAAGTTCGCGTTCCGGATGATAGGAAACTACTTACGCGCGAAACATGTAACGTATCATTCGATCTATCGATATTGAACAGGCTACAAAAACTCAATACCCCACCGCCTCCATCTTAACATTTAACGGGACACTGCCAGCTTTCCCTCGTTCGTTCCCAAAAGTAGGGTAAACCCACGGGCAGACCAACTCCACGACCGTGCCGCGAGAAACGGGTGCCACGTGCAAATCCTCGGCGGCCATCTATACAACGAACGGGGAATAGCATCATGACAGCCCGGCGTGTGCTCCGGGGAATCTCCGGGGCATAGTGGTGGGGCACACCTTCGCCTCAGCAAGGGGGCTGGCTGGTCCAACGCCTTTGTTCCGCCGTCTGCCTGAGTCCCGATTGCGCCAATACACTGTATTCATCAAGTAACCAACTGCTTTATCAAATAATGTGACTAGTGAACACCGAAAAGAGGGCCAACCCCCGCTACCCAATCTCGTACTTGCGCGAATGGGGAATGTGTCGGTCTTGCTTGACGCTTCCCTCTCCTTCGTGAAGCCCCAAGCCTGCACGATTATTGTGGAAACAGGCTCATCGCGGCATGGCAACAGTCTCCTTCCTTGTGTCCGTGAAACCTCACCTCCGGCTTGGTGGGGTCTTTTTGTTGATGAGGAGAAGGTCTTCAGGAGGTTTGCTTGGGCGGGTACAGGGGCTCCTTTCCGTTGAGGCGCCAGATGGACTGCACAAGAAGGTTCGCTGATTTTTGGGTTGGGGGTAGACAAGCGGAAAACGACGGGTGGCTGTCGATGGTGAACAGTGCCCGCCACTATTGAGGCCTACCACCTGGAACATTTTCCACGATGACCCGAGCAAGGGTGCCAAGGGATTCGCAAACAATTTTGAAGGATCTCTTTCTATCTTCCCCTGGGTTCTACAGCACTTGAGCAAGGCCCCTTCGTTTGGTAAGGAGCGGGGGCCTATGTTGTGCTGCCATGTGCCAGCCTATCTCATCTCACGGGCCTGTTGCGGGCACGCGGCACTTGTCGACCGGACCTACCTACTGAGAGGCCGCTGCCCAACTTAGAAACTACTCCAACCGCATTCCTCTAGAGAATATGCGTAAATGGCCACCATTTGACTAGCCAAGGTATCTGCGCCATTGTTCGGTAAGCTTGTAGCCTTACCGACGGATATCCACAGAAGACTAGGCAGCAGCACCAGGCCAGCCTTGGGCAGCACTTGGTAGTAGCGGTACACTGCATTCGCGACGCTCAGCCACTGCAAAAAAAAACAGACAGAATACGACGAGGTAAGCAACGGGCAAACGGCGAGTGTCGATGCATTTTGGGCGAATACTTACCGACAAACCAATAAACAAATATTCGACACGTACGTGATACGCCCGGCACGGCACCTAGATTTGGCTCTGAATGTAGCGTTTCAAAACGCTGTCTACACAAGGTAAAAGAGGCATTGTAATGCAACCAAAGCATTCGTTGCTGCGTCATGTCTGTAATGCTTGCCGTCTTGTGTAGAAAGTGCAAGCCTATCACTCCAAAAAACAGGTAATCGTCAGTGTTGGCACTACCAGGCAGCGGACACGTGCAACGAATTTGCCGTTCGTATTCCGTCGTCGTATATTTCAACTCTTGTGGATTTTGTTGGGGTTTTAAACATAGATTCAGGTTCCGTTGGAACGCAAGCGACTTATGCGGGAAGACCCTTAGGGTCACGGATAGCATATTAGGGTTAGTTCTGCATCGAAGGAGAGTCGCCATCCTGCCGTGTCATACGCATCTGGTCGAATGTCAACACGCTTTCTTAACGTAAACGGCATTCGAATTTTCTGCGAACTTCCACAACCACCTTTGTTTTGTGTCTTTGAGCTTCTTTGGTATTTTCTCCTCGAAAGTGTCATCGCAAAAATACACGAAAAGAATCAGCCTCGGCGACACGTAGAACCACCTCAATAACGCCGAGAACAAGCTCGGAGTGGCTGTATCGGCCGTCTCCTTGGATGTGAAAATACCTACACAGTCGTCCCGTAGCTAACGCGGAGGGGTCCCCTGGTGATTGAGGAGAGTGTGAACCGCTGCAGAACAAATCACAACGACAAGTTTACGGCTCAATTGTACGAGAAAAACAAACAATGCCTCTTTTCAAAGCCGGCACTTGAACGCGGGACAGTCTGCAACAAAAAAAAAAATCTTCAAACCAAAAAGAGCACCTCACAGCTGTGCCTTGTCTTACTCACCACCAGGAAGACACCGGACACAGCCACTCCGAGCTTCTTCTCGACGTTGTTGATGTGGTTCCACGTGTCGCCGACGCTGAGGTGGAGCACCATCGCCGCGATCGGAGTTGCCACTAGGTTACCTCCGAGAGCCTCCCACACCTGACGAACCGGCAACGAAAGCACACACATCAGGATATGCAGTGCTCTTCAGCCAAAGAGCCCGTTCGATCAACGGGCTATAAGAGGTCAGTGGTCTTCGATTACACTTGCACCATCTGAATCATTTTTCTCATGGTAGCGAGTTCCACAGAGGTGCGTGTCCAGCAGGGTAGGCACGGCGGAAGCAGAGTGTCGAGTCCTGCCCAAACACAATCAAGAACGACAGAAAGAACCTTCCACACGAACGGTGCCACTTGACGGTGTCACTCTCACACTCGCCATGGCGGTGGAAAGTGCCCTCAGCACGCCAATGGTGATCCAGATGACGGGGAAGGCTTTGATAGGCGGCATCCAGTCTGGACGGCGACGCTCGATCTTCTCCTCTTTCTCCTTCGCCAGGGAGGGACGACGCGCGTTCAGCAAGCTGAACGTTCTGCGGGACAAAGAAAAAGATGCCGGGGGCATTTAAGAAAATACGAGATTCCGCTCCGTAACAGCTGCTTGGATGATCAACAAGGTGTGAGTGTCGCCCCAATAAAAATGAACACCAACCTTTGCACCTTTCGGCGTGTAGTTCACACGGGAGGTTTTCGTTGCTTTTCAAAGGTCGTTCCGCAGTGCTTGCCTTGGTTTGAGAGATGGAGAGAAAAAAAAACTGCTCTTGAGGGGGGGGGGGGGGGGGGGGCGTTCGGTGGGAGCCGGCAATACAATTGGAACCTTGGAGTGGGCACCCCTACATCTCCTTACTCCACCATCGCCATGTCCGCCTGTATCGACATGTCGGCCAACCCGCCCCAAGCCCGATTCCGCATACGTACGGACACGGACATTCACGAGTTCAAAAACCAGAATCCCGTCCTCCACCATTCAACAGGATGCGGAAGGCCGAAACCGGAGGTCTTGTGTGCACAATACGCCGGAAAAAAACGCGGTGGCGGATACCGATTGGTCGATATGCTGAATAAACGCTCCCCATCAGAGTAACTCGACACTATTGGGCTTTAGGTGTTCGTAAATGATGACCGCGATACAAACGAGGCAACGGTGAGCACAGGACCAAATCACGCCGAGGCGAAGAGAGCGGCACTGCTGAACGTAGGGTTAACTATAGGTACCAGACACCATGAGAAAGCTTGGAGCACCTAGAAAACATGACACCGCTATCGTAGACTGTGTACCACGAATGCAGGAATGTGGCAGGACCTACGACACTACACAGCGCACCATGTCGGTCAAATCGAACAGCAACAACGACAAAACAAACAACATCAGGTACATACCTCGATTTCATGGCTAGGAAGCCGAACGTGAGAAACACGGTTCGTTGTGCCCACTTTGCGGGTAGGCGAGGTAGCAACTTCCCTTGCATCAGCGCCAGCAACCCCTGTGGTGCGTACCGTCCAACAAAGCAAACACGACGAAAAAGCAAAAGGTATCGACAACACATGTCCGTAAGAATATTTCCAGGCTACCCACGTAGAGCTGAGAGGGGGAGGCGTACCAAACACGAAGAATAACGGCCGCGTAGGAGGCCTGCTTGGACCAAAACCGTCCTCTGAAACATCAACAACGGTGCCAAGAGATTGTACTGGTTGTTTCCATAAACATGCCGTCGGGCGTCGTTTTGGGTTTCGCAGGAAGTCCTAGGACAGGAAACCGGAACGCAACAAAACCACTCCTATATTGTAACAGTTCCTGCCTCACGTCGCGTGGACGAAATCAAACGGCAAGAGAGCGTTCTTGCCTCTTCAGCAACCTTGGGGTAGAACAGCTTCGACAATATGATGGGTTGTCTTGAAAGTTGAGCCGCACACGCGTCGTAAGCGACAGCGGAGAAACATAGAACTACGTGTGCAACGAGGAAACCCTACTGATACTGTTTCACATACGTAAAAAAGGTGTGATGCAATCTGTGTCAGATATCCAATCAAACCGAGCGGTAGACTACGAATGTCACGTGTGTGTAAACACCATCCGAGTTGCAGTCGGCACACAAGGGGACTCGTCGGTGGTAATTTCGCCACGGGTCAAAAGCAAGGAGCGGCATTCTCGGTAGAGCAATCCCCCCTCTCTCGTTGCCAGCAGTTCACTCTGGTGTATCTAGCCTGCTGCTGAACCGCTCCGGTTGCGATGGAAGTGTGCGGTGTGCACCGCATGATTCCAGACCAGCGTTCCATGTTGGCATGGTGGGAGGAGAAAAATGCTGCTGTAGGAACGTTGTTTGCGTTTCGACTGCTGTGAGTACAGTACATCTCTTACCATGATGATGGTGAACTCCCCAGCCGTTCCAGCGATGTACCTTTGAGGTCACAAAGATCACGGGTCCCAGGTCGCGGGGAAGGGAAAATAAAGGCGCGATATTGTGTAGAGCAACCGACCTTCAGCATATGCATACGATGTGGTTCTTCCCCCGTACACCGTCCATGTCTCGTGTGTTACAATGTACCAGCAGCATCGTACCAGATCCCACCAGGTATCACGATGTCACGTCCGCTTGAAGAACACGCCTCCAACTCCAGGGTTGCAACAACATGACATGAAAACAACAACAACAACAACAACAACAACAACAACAACAACAACAACAACAGGATGTTTCGTACGTTACGCTGTGTGTTGTTTAGCAGACCAAGCTGCTTAGTCTTATGTACAACTCATGTACGTCTGCACTGCAGGTCAATCTGATGTGCATCTCGCAGGTGGGACATGTGTCACTGATCGTGACAGAACAGCCGACTGCAACACGATAGTGGTACTCTCACTTCGCCACAGCAGCCACGTCCAAAGGGGGGCGGGACGAGGCGCCACCGCCCCCACCAGCTGCAGGAAGGTCTGAGGCTTTCAGCACAACAGTGCCTCCCTCTCTGCTGACGGCATTGCTTCTAGGAGTCCAAGGTAGAGCCTGCGCGTTGGCAAATCGAGCATGTTGTTGCCGAGCTGCCGTTGGCGAACGATCACGGCGCAGCGCGGTCGCAGAAGGAGAGAAGGAGAACGCCGACGAGTTCCCGAGAAGTGCGAGCAACGTCACGCAAATCGAAGTGATCATTGTCATGGTTGGGGGGCGTGTGTGAGAGCAGTGCTCCGGTGCTCCGGTGCTCACAGCACTGTAGACCACGACCCGACGTGGCAGGACTGTCAGAAGTCTGGCGAGGGGACCCGTGAACACCGGTAGGGATGACCACACTGACTCAGAATGCGATATGCGGTCCCCCTAGCTGCCAGCTAGATTTACCAGCAAAATGCACACGAAGTGTCCAGTCTGGCATCCAACGGCATCAGACAAGCGATACCCACCCCTTGCTCTGAGCAAAATGAGGAAGAGGAGACGTTCCGCGGCTGCTGCCACCACTGCAGCTATTTGCGCCTGTTGTTTGTTCTGTCCATCGGGAGCTTTTTGGCAACAGGTTCCAAGCGTGCGGAGCATCTCTTGCGGACAGACCCGAGCACATGATATAGCCGTACCTCGCTGCCGCCCCTCCTCCCGGCTGCCGTTGCATCGCGGAACCTCGAGGAGAGACGAAAGGAGAAGGAAATCTCCGTTCACTGTTGCCGGCGCGACAGATCCAGCTCGTGTTGCCGAGGGGAGTAGCAATACCGTTCCCACCGATGAGTCACAAACTCAAAAAAATGACGTTCCAGCTGCCGACACAACCGCAGCTGCCGCTGCTGATGCCGCCGCCGGCGATCTAGCAGACGGCGGCGGGCTTGTCGACAAAGGTGGGGTGTCGAAAGATCGCTTGGCCTTTGAAGAGCTGGGTACGCGAGAGATGGACAGGTTGTTCTCGACGCTGGAGCCGTGCGACGTGAGCGGGTTCAAGCGGAAGCCCACTAACCTGTTGAGTGCAGCCTCTCTGATAGCGGGCACTGCGGTTGGTGCGGGCATACTTGCTCTTCCCGCGGCCACACTTCAGGCCGGACTCTTGCCCAGCGCCGTCGGGCTCGTCATGATGTGAGAAGAACAGCCCCGCACGCCCACGGCATGGTCCTTGTTTTTGTTCGTGTACCGCTGCGCATGCTCTTGTATTTTCTGGGCGTTGCGATTACGATTGTCATGATTCGCAAGATCGAAAGTTCCGAACCGGCTGCACGCGGCACAACGACAATCTTATGTACCAGGTACGTGTTTCCGCCGAGAGCTTCAAGTAAAACGCATCTCGACTTTCAAGGATAACGCATCTCGACCGCTTGAAATGGTCACACCCGGGCCTAATATTCTGGAATATGTGCTTTTTGGGGGGGCTATTCTTGCGCCTTACGCGCAACTTGAGCGAGATTGCTGCCCAGGCCCTGTCGTGTTCAGATTGCTACCTCATGATGTATTCGAGAGGGTACCCAACTTCTGCCCTCGGTTAGGTATACATCACCGGTGGCTGAGTGGTTCGGTCGATGCACTTCAAAACTTCCTGACTCTAGGGGTTATGAGTTCGAATGTCTCCAGAGTGGAAAAAAATGCAACCTACATGTACAAGTGAGCAAGGGTCGGTCGAAAATTCAACAAAGAACGAGGGAGGCCTGTTGAACCTTGCACGTGACAACACAATTGAACACAAGCACTGCGTGAGGAACCGTGAACATTTCCTCCCGAATGCCTCTAGGTGGGGCACGAAAATAAACAAAGAGAGGGGAAAAGCCCTGGTGGTGTTTACCCCCTCCTGTGTGACCCTTGATGGCTGTGGTTGTACGAAAATACACTGGGAAGTGTAGTACTCTACATACACTGAAAAGTGTAGAACACGTCTCACTTCGAAAACGTGACAACACAACTGAACACAAGCACTGCGGGAGGAACTGTGAACATTTCCTCCCGAATGCCTCTAGGTGGGTCACGAAAATAAACAAATAGAGGGGGAAAGCCCTGGTGGTATTTACCCCCTCCTGTGTGACCCTTGATGGTTGTAGTTGTACGAAAATACACTGGGAAGTGTAATACTCTACATACACTGAAAAGTGTAGTACACGTCTCACTTCGAAAAATTGGGGGACTGTCGCCACAATAAAAAGGACGAAAACACACACACACATGCCTCGGCTGGCGCGTCAAGCATGTACTGGCGCCCTAGAGTTTAACGGCACGAAACACAATGACATGCACATGCACCTGCTGGATCTGATCTGCGAACGATGGCTGATACATGCTTTCCGGCACCGTCGACAGGTGGGCGTACATGGTGGGCACGGCGTTGCTAATTGCGGAGGTGAACGTTAACGTCATCTGCTCGCAGGGCACGCCTGGAGTGGGCTTGATTGCCCTTGCAGAGCAGGTAATAATATCGATGACATCGCATTGCCGGCGCTACGAGCGGATTCTTGTCATGAGATGTTGGGCCTCTCTCCTTCCCGCTGCTGCGGCAGTCCGGGCTGCTATTGCCCACTGGTCCTCAACGAAGAGTCTGTCCAATTTTGTGCGTCTGTCAATCTCTCTGTCTGGTTGGCTGTCTGGTTGCCTGCTGGGGGCTCGGCCGGCATGCTCTCACTGCGTCACAGGCTTTGGGAAAGGGCGGCGCAAGGTTCACTGGCCTCGTGTACGTCTTCATCCACTACTCGTTGCTTGTGGCCTATATGGCGCAGGGGGGTGAGCTTCTCGCCGAGAGCTTCAACAGTGTGTTCGCAACCGCGGGGTAAGTGTGTGGGAGTCTAGGTTTCGCGAGGAGAATTTTACCCCAGGGTGTGCGTGAAAAGGGTGGTGGCTATGAATGTTCGGTTGCCACGGAAGCCACGGATGTTGGCGGCTTAGCCCAGTCTTCATGTTTGGTGGCCGGGGTTTGGAATGGAATGAGGATCCGAGCGGTTCGTGATGTTGGTTGCAACACTGATTGTGTTTTTCACGGATCAAATGGTTTTTGGGCTTGATCGCAAGACGTCCTTGGTCAACGGAAGCTTAACGGGCATGAAACACATCGTATCCCACTTTATTCGTCGTACCCACCCTGTTGTTTGTCATTGTTTCGGATTCCGTCTTTGTCCCGTCTCGACGCCTTCAAGGTCAGGCATAGCGGCATTGCCCGAGTGGGCTAGTCCTGTGGCCTTCTGCCTCGCCCTCGGTGGCTTGGTGTTATTCTTCACCGAGGAATTCGTTGCATCTGTCAACAGGTGTGGGTTGTGTGTGACGTATGGGCCTGGACATACCGCACCTTTGTGCGACCTGTTGTGGGTGTGAAATACTTCATGGTATGGTGCGAAATACTACTGTACCCACCCCTTGAAGCTCAACCAACGTTTTGTCGCTCGCTTTCCCCATGTTTATCCCTTCTCTTCTCTTTCCGTGTGTGCACCTCCTGTGGATCCGTCTCTCTCGGCAAATCCCATGTGTTTCGTTGTATTATTTTTGGAGTTCTCTAGTCTCCTGTTATTTATCTTCCTTGGTGTCTCTCCTTCCCTCTGCCTGCCTGTCCCCTTCACGGAAAGACACAACTCCGAAGCAGCATCGAATTTCGAGGTTCTGTGTGCGTTTCTTTCAGCTACAGTAAGTAACTCACACCATGCACTGCCGGTCCGTTTCGATAAAAAACTTCACCATAACCCCACTTGACGTCTGTATTGTTCTCGATCCAGTGTCTTGGTGGGAGTGGTGCTATTATCGTTCTTTGGCTTAGTGGGGGTGGGAAGCGGGGGCGTCCAGATGAACTACCTCGCCGAACAAGACTGGAGCAAGCTGCCCTCCACTGTGCCGGTGCTGTTCATCGCCATGGTGTTCCACAACGTTATTCCGGTCGTCACGACCCAGCTTGAAGGTGAGAAGATGCGAAGAACAACGACGACACAGCACCCTTCTATGGGAAACCTAATCAAGCGATTTTCGTGTGTATCAGCGTGCACAGACGCTGACGGTCTCCACTCCTCAATGCCCCCCTCAGGCGCTCCGCTACTGTGATGGCATTGCCTTTTTTCACGGGTCTGTTGTGGGCTGTTTCCAAGGGTTTCGATGCAGTGTTATATATTTTCATTCCAGTGGTGACATGTAATACGGATACGTTGTTGATGACGCGCGAACGCCATAGGAGTATGACACGTCCGGAAAAACAAATGTGGGTTTCGCCCAGCCCTGCACGTTCTACTCGGCAGTATTGTACGCAACGATAGTGCAGGCATCTGTAGTTTCCTTAAGGCACTTAACCAAGCTGGCGTTGGCAACCGATGTTGCACGTTCTTCTTCCCCGAGGTGTTCGAAACCACTCCTTAGAGCGAGGCTCATAGACTGTGTCGTGGCCGCCTCTTCTCGCTTGCCCAAGCCTCTCTGCACGCTCTTTGTCGCAGTGTCTGTCTCACACCAATACCGTTACTGTCGTGAGAGAGCACAACTCGCAAGTGAGGCTGGGGCATGAACGAACGGCTTGCGTGTGCGTTATTGGATTAGGCAACACCGTGGGCTCACAATCCCGTCACGGACACTATTCGAAAAGGTGGTCTTGAAAAAACGTCGCATACTCCCAGAAATTGAATTTCTAACCCAGGCTCCCACACTCATGCCACCCCCATGCGACACTGTCGAATGTTATCCAAACGTTAACCCAACCGCAACCGTCGAATGCTTGGAGCCTTTCCTAATTTTTTACTGGTGGTAGACATGGACAAAGTTCGCAAGGTGACATTGGGACCTCGCGTCGGAAAAAGCAAGGCATTCTTCAACAACCATTGCACTATGGCGTTACTGGTGACGGAGACTTAGACAAAGATCCCTGCCGCACCTGGTCGTCTCTAAATTGGCACGACATTCTCGACCCTCTAGATTAACGTGCTGTTCCTCGATCGCTGATTTTTGCTCATTAGGGGACGTCGACAAGATTCGGAAGGCAGTGATCGGAGTGTCACTGGCCCCACTACTCATGTTCATCGCCTGGAATGGTGTGATCTTGGGGAGCGTGTCGAAGGATGCCGGTCTGGTTGCCGAGGCAGCCGGCGGCGTTTTCGACCCTCTCCAGGTGCCAAGCGCGATATCCGCTTGAAACGTCCAATGTTCTACGAAACGAACAGGCGTTTTTCAGTAGTATATACTTTGGTACGCTGCACCCTCTCAGCGGTGAAGACAAAGTACATGTCCAGCAAGTTCGTTGTATTTTCCCACAGCAAGTGAGATGTGTCGTACCCCGCTGTCGATTGCTATCAACCTGCTGCCCCTACGACGTTATCTCCGTTTCGACATTGGCATCAGGCTTTGCGAGCAAATGCCGGCAGCGCGGAGGGCGCTGGAGCCCTTATTGGGCCCTTGATATCAATTTTCTCCGAAGTCGCCATCATCACATCTTTCATAGGTGATGTTGTCAAGACATAATTTTGTTGATTTTATCATACTGTTGTCGATGTACAGGGAGGTCGATTGCACCTAGTATGATTTTGTTTTGTTGTTATATTGGTATAGTCCGTGCACAACAATGAATCCATAAATTCCCCCAGCACAAATGACAACTTTTCTCTGCACACAGGTGGTTGTTCCGAAATCTGAAAGTACCGGCAAACGCCCTGTTTCCAGGCGCATGGCGTGACGGAGAGTTTTTTTGTTTTGTTTTTTTTCCTTGACTTTTTATCCCCGAAACACCTTTAAAACTTGATTCGTTTACACAGGGTGGTGTTTATTGCCGATGCCAAAAAACTCAACGGATTTGGACACATGTCGGAATTCTGCGGTTGGGGATTTTTTTTTTTTTGTAATTCTCGAAATTACAGGAGATATCAGAGAATAACTGAATGTAGAGGATCAACTTGATTCGTTTACAGCGCGACAACCACCTGACCGATTTCAAAATAAGCAGTGGCAAACGATCCCTATCGTCGATCTACAGGTGGGGTTTTTGGGGTTTTGCTGGGAAAAATCTAGTTTTCGAGATATTCAACATGTTGTGCCGCACCATGGGTGGGTGTGCTTTGGTGGGCGACACAACACGCACAAACAACTCTCGCACACGTTGCAGCCCGAAGAACACAAAATACCCACGCAAGCACCATGGGGAATCCTAGGGGGCGGCCTAAGAAGAAGAAGATCGGCTATCGCGGAGCCGATGGCCGGGCGGCTCCTAAGAAGCCGAAGCCGGCGCAGCAACATGAGCTTCCACCCGGTGCTGGTGATGCGCTCTCCCATGACCGCGGGGCAGATTTGATGGTCGTGATGTGTGTTTTGCGTGCGCATGCCAGCGCTGTACAAATGTTTGTTCAACAGGTTTGCCGGGTTTGTTGTGCGCCTGCTGAGTGATCCCTTTATTTTGTGTTGGGCCTTGTTGTTTTTTCCAGCACTCCCTTGCGGTTGACTGCCTCCGAAAGTTTTGTATATATTAATTATATATAGAGTGATAGAGTGAAGTGTTGTGCATGCGAATAGACTGTGCATGTGTTTTCGTCCTGCATTGCGTGTATATTATTACAGTAAAGTGCGCGATCAGTTGTGAATAAGAAGGGTATGGACGCGGGGAAATTTCACAGAGGGGGCACCGTGGCATAAAATGGGGGTGCCTTGGCGCAAAAATGGGGGCCAACGTGGTGATAGAGGGGGCTCCGCAGTGATAAATGGGGGGCACCGTCGTAATATATGGGGGCTCCGCGGAGGAAAACAGGGGGTACTATGCTGATTTAGGGGGTTCCGTGGACCATTTTGGTCAAAAATGCCGCATTTTCCCAAAATGAAAAAAACTCTGCAGCTATCGACGTAGCTCGACGAGGCGGTCACGAATATCGTTGTTTCGCGTTTCAATTGTTTTTCTTTAAAAAGATATCGCACAAAACGTGAATGGACAAATTGTTGTGCATGGACCGTATTTTTTGGTTTCGTTAGTGGGCGGTCTCCATCTGTCACTACAGTTTTTCAAGCTTGGCGTTCCGGCAGCGGGTACTTGTCAGTTTAAGGAGCCATGGCGCAATCCAGGAGCTGGGCAAGCGTACTGTACGGAAGATCACCATGTGGTTATCTCGAGGTATTTTCAGCAGGTATCTTGTTCGGAGTCGCCACGACTGCTGCTAACGTTGACCTGACCGGTCTGAATTGTAGACCATCATGCAAGGATCTGCACCGATTCTGGCAAAGCAATGACCGAGTACCACTTTCAACACCCACAACGACGATGTCAACCGCTTCACATAATCAAGATCATTGCGCCACGTGTCATTTATTTCGCGATGTATCTCCGATTTCTGGGCGCTAGGTTTCATCGTGGGCCTGCTGGACTTCTTCACGGACGTGCTCAAGATCCCTCCCGGGGACACTTCCAAGTGAGTTGTCGTTCGTGGTCTCGTTGCTGTCATGGGAAACTTTTTCATGTCAACGACCAATGAGAATGAAGTACCAGTAGAGGCAAACGACAGGGTGTCCATTGAACGGCAGTCGTAATCTCTCAGGCCCCCCTTGGATGCGATGCACACACAGACGCCGCATGCCATATGCACATAGAGCATGATGCACAGAGGTGCTGCCGCAGATGGGGTCTCCATGAAATGGCACACCCAAGGAAACGCAAACGCCGCCCGCAATCCAGAAACAAGCAATATAGAATTGGAGACATCGGCGCGAGGCACGATCTCGTTCACGCCGAACGAGCAAAAGCCATCAAACCCGGTGGCCACTGCAGCGTTTAACGACCGGGTGGCACGCTATTAATGATCCTCCCTTACATCCATTCCGAAACGGCCAAACCTTCAAGGGAGCTTCCATTGTACGGCGCCATATTGCTCCCGCCCCTGGGCGTGGCTGTGACGGATCCGGACATTTTCTTCGCCGCCCTCGACACCGCGGGAACCTTCGGGATATCCTTGTTATGCGGAGTGCTACCAGCCGCTATGGCGTGGAGGCAACGATATAGCGGAGACAGCACGATCGCGACACTGCCGCTCGTTCCAGGAGGGAAAGCGACCCTTGCAGGTGGGCGTGATATCCTGGTGTGATATTTTCGTGCCTTGTGGGGCTGGACCGATTGGGTGTTGCAGTTTGGTGCGTGCGCCGTGATGATCGTAATCTATTTACATATTATTTTACTTGCAATTCTGGATACGGTTGCTAGAAAATATCTTGTGTGAGAAATACATTCGACAAGACGGTCAGTAATATGTATTTGCAGCCAATATCTAACCCTAGACATTTCCGTCAGACTCCATGTTGATGATAGCGTTTGCGATGATTTCCACGGCATTCTGCTGCGTGTACATGACGAGAAACATTATTTTGTTGCTGCTTCACCATGCAAACGTGAATGTGTCAGGTATTGCTGGGTTTGCCGGAGTTGTCATATTTCAGAAGCTTTTGGAAATGGCTGGCTTGACCGTGCCCGCCTAAAGACCAAACAAGAGGAGACTGGATATGGCATGGCAACTATGGAACCGGTGCAACACAGGGTACAAGCCCTGGTGCTTAACACCACCCTCACCGCGAGATGCCGTGTGAGGAGCAGTTGCAACACGAGTATCAATCACAGCTTGACGGAGGGAAAGACCATTGATAGAAGGACCATTGATACCCTTCGAGGCTTGTACGTCGGGTCGCTGTGCTAGCTGTCTGTTCGCAAAGCTTGTCTCGAGGTCGTACATCAACGATACTGAGATATTGAGGGTGGCACTGGTGTTCTTTTCTTTGCTCCCATTCTCAATCGTCATTCGAATGGTCTGACGATCCTACGATTTACCCCCCTCCAACTAAGAGTGTTCCGATCCGGGTCAAGAGCTCGTCCGCGGTGTTGGTCCTGTGAATACCCTTCCAGGGTCGAGATTGCTGCCTCACACTGGTGGCCAGAGGGGCAGGTCGGGCACAAACTACAACCTGCGGGGGGGAGGTTGGGAGGACGACTTCGACCTTGAATCCATGTTTTCTTCAGGCTTGCAGCCCGTCGTGTTGATTGCAATAACGCCACTATCCAAGATGCGGGATAACTTGCACGCTTTGGGCTGCAACCTCCCTACAACCTCCCCCCCCCAGGTTGTGTTGAGTGCCCCAACCTACCCACAACCTGCCTCTGGCCACCCGTGCATTTTTAGCAGGAATGAGGCTGCAATCTATCAGTCGGTTGTTTCCCACAAGCCAGTCACTGACATTGACGACGTCGCGCTGTTGACCGCGCGAAGTCCCGGAGCTAAGGCGGTCAAAAGACGATGTCTATTGCCTCGTAGCGTGTTGAGGTGCCTACTTTGGAAGCAGTACCAGGGACAGATTTTCTTGCCCGCCACGCGCACATTTGTAGGTGGTGGTGCGCCTCAAAGTCAGAATAGTGATGGTCTATCTTCCGCAAAAAGAGTCACACTTTGCATAGAGTTTGGCCACTCGACTTCTCACGATCGGGGAAGACTTCACCCAACTCTAACTGTTTTGAGGGAATTCGGCCATACGACTCCTGATATGCATTGAATAAAACATAGCTGAACGAAAGCGATTGAAGGGATCCCGACCCCGACCAAACGGCTTCATTGATTGGACGGTAGAGCAACCGACAGCACACTTGACACAGGCACGGCTGCACCCGATGTCACTTTGAGGCCGTCGAACAACACGACTTCCTCAATGGCTTCCGTCAATCCTCCCGCCCAAGCCGACCTACTCCAGAGCATTTGGCGACACAACTTCAGCAACGACGTTATCTGCTTACGCACGAGCGCCGGACACATGCCCAAGCTGACGTCGAATTGGTTCTAATGGGAAAACATGGGAACGCGTTGGTTACTATCGTTGGGGTTGAGAAGTGCACCACATGGAAGAGGTCGTCGAGGTGTACCGGTAAGTACGAACGTCAACGGTACGTGCACGGCCGCAGGGAGAGAGCAATCGAACACGTCCAAACAGCGATCGTTCTTGGATTTGCCTAGGCCATACTCGGAACAGCTTCCCGGAAGCAAGAGAATGGCACCAAGCTCACCACAAACCGAACGTGGCACCGTCCAAGCCCGATGCACGTCAGCGCTCTGCCCGAAAAGTCGTGGTTTGCAACACACATGCCGTGTACACCGATACTTGTACAAGCGAAGAACACGAGCAGACCACAGGCTGTCGTCTTCCTCAAACCAAGCACCTCTCCAGGGGAAATTCGACAACTACCGTCACGTTCCAAGGGGGCGCCATGTTCGCCTGTGTTTCTATCCAGCTAACTGGCGCGAGGATCGAAGGAATGTTTCATTCCCTCGCCTCTTGGCACCTCCTTCAGAAAACCTAAATTAAGATGCGTCAGGGAGCCGCTTTTTCGCCCTCCTTGTTCAGCCGCGAAGCATCAGCGCCCGCCTCTATCAGGCGACTGGCAAGCTTCTTCAGCCCTTCCTCTGTCGCGCGATGCAACGCGGTATTTCCTGTGTTGTCCCCAGTGTTGGGCTGACCATATGTGGAGAAAGGAACAACGAGCGGTAGGGTTTAGTGATGTGGCGTTTCTGTTTCAACATTGTTGACAAAAGGATCCGACTCACGGCGACCTGGGGAACCAAGACCACTTTCGGGCCTTCGAGAGATAGGCGGCCGCTGTCTGACTTGACAACTCGAATTTTACGCAAGCATGTGTGGTTTTCGGAAACTGACTGCACGACGCCACAAAATAAAACATCACATAACATTTCCTGACGTGTGCGGTATGCCAGTCAACCCAGAAGGAGGCCCACACATGACTCCGTACAGGGCGGTTCTGTGACAGTTTTAGGGGGACAGAGTGTCCTCAAAATGGTACCGATCGCCAGTACAGCTTGTGTCACGACCATCCTCGCGAACAAACACGGTAACTATTCCAGCAGTAGGCTGGGTTAGGGTCATTGCGGCGACGTACAATTCACTCACCCTGCCTCCGGCCTCCAGCAGCAAGTCGAGCGCATCTAAAGCAAAGCATAGCGCAGGGTATGGTTCGCCACAATTGCACACGGACGAGGCGACCGAAAATCCGCCAACGGTTTCGTCATCACGATATACAGGAGAGCCGAGCGGCATGTTTCGTAATATCGCACGTGGAGTAGGGCAGAGCAGTGTTGGAAACTCAGAAGCAAATGGTCGGTGCCAACAAGAAAAATTTTTGACCACGACGTCCGAGGGGGCATTGTTGTCCACTACATCACGTCTTCATTCTCCTCCAAAAAGCCACCGTATCAGAATCCAACGAGCATCGACTAGCGAGGACTGGCGGTTTGGCAACAGAAGAGAACTCGCTCTGCTGCCTGCCGCGTGCGATACAGCCAATCTACGATCCTGCTTGAAGCTGCATCGCGAATAACGTTTTCGCCTAACACGCCGACTTGCTGGGGATACGAATCCAACAGTCGGTGTTGTAGAATGCTTGCTTACCCAGATGGTCTTGGCTCTCCCCGCAGATACAGCGATGGAGTGGCGTATTCCCCCACTTGTCCTGTTCGGTGGCAGCGATCAAATTCAATCATCACGTGACACTTTGTGGGTGGTATTGTGATACCACGACGACCTTCGCACGCCGAATGACGAAGACAACGATATCGAATGAGGACCTCCCCTCACCAGCGAGCGGAGGGCGCAAAGTGGTCGGGCGAAACAGCCAGCAGCCAGTTCCCCGGCGGCTTTGCTGAAACGAGGGTGTAACCCCGTTCCCAATGGCGTGCCCCCCACGAAGAATATTCACACGTTTTATCAACGCGGCCAATGAGAACCAAGAAGAGCCGACCCCTGAGAGCTATCGGAATTACTGCGTTCCGAATATTATTCATTGTGTGGCTTGTGAAAGCGCTATCATGTCCTGGTGTCTTAACCTTGGAAGTCCTACCATTCCGTGCCCTGTACATGAAGGACGGAGTGCTCACACATCTGACGGATTGACTGGTGCACGTTCTTGCGATGCGCTCAGTGAACGCAAACGCAAACAGCTACCGTGGCCTGAGCCTCCACAGAGTTCGAGCACCAAGGTAAAGTCCGGTTATCGTACGGACGGAACACGTCGAAAACTGTGCGAAAGGGATGTACTCGTAGCCGTGCATGCCGAAGTCGAAGGAATTGACCTCGCATCCCCACAACGACGGGAAGGAGCACGACAGTTCTTCACGGGACCAGGACATCACATCAAAAAGCGCGAAGGAGGGGGTGGGGAAACCCATGCTAGGCGAATGACGCAGCCTTGTAGATGTGTCTGGTTAGCCATACCTGAGCGTTCACGTCGGCAATTGAAAGGTATGGGAGTAAAAGGCGTATGACCTCCGGACGGGCTTTATGGAAGTGTAGAACCGCTTGCCTTGAATTTGTCCTAGCCTTGGGGTCGGCCCCCCTGAAGCGTGGTAGACGACATAGCAGGTGAGAATAGACAGCAGTGGGAACGAATTGATGCTGGCGTTGTTCTCTTCTAAGAAAAAGAACGCTCCAAAGTGGTTTATGCATACCGAAAGGGTAGAAGGAGAATGGAGCGGAGCAGCACATGAGGGGACAGAATGAAATGGTTTTAAATCATTTTATTCAAGAACGCACCGCCGAAGCCTAGATCTCACTGCCATCGTAGATGGTCACGGTGGCCAACGGGCGCCCGGCCAACCGACGTCGAATTCAAGAACCAAGCGTGTTGAATTGGGTACCGCGGCCGTCCATATTGCCATCCCTTTTAGTTCTAGATGACGGTTTCATACGTTGTCGGTGTGTTTGGATGCACATTCCGGGGTCATAAGACAAAAAAATACTTCATTCGTTCATTCTTTCTGTCACTCAGATGCCTAGATGCTGCGCGCCTACCAAATTACCAACTGGACCAGTGGGGCGACCAGTAGAACTACAGCGTGGTTTCACCTCAAATTCTCAACAATACGGAGACCCAAGATACCATCTAGTGTAGTGTACGCAAAGCCGAGCGCAAGAAGAAAAATACAAACTCCGACCAAGCGCGGATACACATAAATGTTGGGGAGGAATACCTACGGGGGAACGAAACGTCAAAGGGCAAAGAGGCTGTACCGGCAGATACTACGATTTTCAACGCCCTCCGAAGAGCAACTCACTTCCCGAGCAGGAACGCGGCTACGACAATCTTGTTGGCAGCCACGGCGCTCGCTAAGGGTGACAGCCCGTCTTCATCCTGGGTGTTGATCAAGGCCCCTGGGAGCCCGGCCTTGGACACAGGAGGAGGGGAGCGCTGCTGTATGAGGCTTCCACAGCTGTGCGCATGTTTCTCAAGAGCTTCACCAAGAACACAAACTACCGGTCGCACCAAAACATACTTCTACGTTGTAATCCCATCTAAACTACGCTGCCCGTACCACCCGGGGCTTCGTATTGCTATGCTGCAGCGTCTTGAACGGTAGCGGCAAAATGTTTGGGATGATGCCACAAGAACGAACTGCATCGTCAGACCATACGAGGTTGTCGAAAATGCAAGGAAATGCAATAGCCCCAAGAGTCAGCGGAGGATTACGCAAATCCACCTGTCTCTTCACATCAAACTCTCTTGGGTGGTTAATGCTCTGCGGGCGCGAGGAGAACAGGGCCGCGGTAACGAAAAGTAACAAAGCGGAAGACTTGGTGCTGACGACACACGTGGAGATATGTCGTATTCCCTCCTCCGTATGTGTAGTTCTATCCCCGGATCCCTGACGGCTGGAACATGCGCGAAACACCTTGTCTTCGTCTTCGGCCGGTAGCGGACGCTCTGTTTTCGCCAACCTCAACCCATCCATTTGTGCCATCCCCCGGTGAAAACTTCCAGTCGTCGTTCGCAGCTCGGTGTGGGAACATGGGAGAATGGGGCTGTTCCTATGCCACTCACCAAGTACTCTACCAAAGCCTGATGTCCTCCCGCGGCAGCCCAATGCAAGGGGGTTCGTCCGTCCTGTCAGGACGAACGGATGCAACAAAATATCGAAAAAACATGCAACGATCACGAGCAACAACTCTTTGGTGGCCTAATTGTCCTGGAAAAAAGGGGGTTGGAACTCGCATTCTAGTGCAACCTCTGTCAACACCTACAACCTTAGCGGTGGCAAAATCAACCGGGCCTTGAACAAACACGACGGTCTCTTAAACGCGTTGGCTCTGTCTACCAGTAGATCTGATCGTCTGCATGCACACTTCAGGAGCATGCCCAGTTTCCAGTCTCTGCGGTCTATTCTAGGCGCCCTTTGTGAGGTACGCAGTAAACACAAAGCAGTGCCTCTGCCGCAGCGTACATAAATTTACACGAGATGATCGTCTACACTAAGACTACAACAGATGGCTGTAGCACCTGGTAATTCGTCTCTACTGTAGTACGAGCGATCTATTGTTCTTGCTCAGCTCTGTAACGAGGACTTGTTTGCCACAGCACAGCACACACCTCTTTAGCTACAAGCCTCGCCCACACACCCCTAGTGGCATCAAGGGCCGAGCGCTAGTGCACACACCCCTAGTGGCATCAAGGGCCGAGCGCTCCCGCCAGCGAGGACTCTAAGGTTTCTCGTTTACAGTAAGTTCCTGGAAAACTACGTATACAATCACTGAGAGACTGCCCTGATGGTATGGGCGCAACAACAACGCCTCGCGAACTGGTCTTCACCCCCAGACAGGAACAAGTCCGGAGGGGGGGTCACTCCTGTTCGTGTCAATCTGTAGCTTTGCGGCTGCACCGCTGTTCCCCTTCACTGATGACTCGGGGATCGTGCAGTTGGGGTTGCGGCAACCGTCGCCCACTAGTCTAAGCTAGTGCTGTGGACCTCTGTCCACTCTTCGCAGCGTTTCCTCCCTGTGCCTCTGCGTGCCTTGGCAACTTTATTCTACCGAAGCCGCGTGTGCTGGTTGGCATGGCGCCGGGTCGTCAAACAGTTGGGTTGCATTTTGTCCTCCGTATTGCTGCTGTTGTGGGGAGTGTCGACGGCACACACAAGAACGTTTGAAATTCCGCTCGCACCACTCTAGGGTGGCATTACAGCACCATGGTGAGGTGAGACTGGTGCGGAGATATGTACATATCTGACGAGATTACTTATAGCCCATAGGTACAGGGTGGATGGAGGTACCAATTAACCCACCTCGTCTCTCGCGTTAGGATCTTCTCCCAGCTCAATCCTCCCTCGCACAAGGTTCGCATCTCCCTCGTACGCTGACAGATGAAGCGCCGACATGCCTGTGGGTGGTGTAGTGCCTGCAGCACGCATCATGTGCAAAGACAGCGACTGGCTCTACCAGGGGATATATCAAGATCAACCCCTGGTTTTCCATGGAGGCATTTGGTTCACGACCGAACCTATCCCGTACTGCTGCCGCCAATCGCGAAGCAACACGGAGCTTTGAGCTTTGCCTTTTCATGGCAGCAGCAGCAGCAGCAGCGACTGCGCACAGTGGGCAGCATTCTCTCGTGAGGGTGGGATGGGCCCTGCCGGGTCGCCATCGAGGGGTGCACATGCCGTCGCACCCCCTCCGCCTCTCGCCCATGCGTTGTCGGGGGCTGTGGGTGCCGTTGTTGCCATGGCCTTGCTGTACCCGTTAGACCAAGTGAGGGCTATTCTACAGGTAGGTGCGGTCTCCTGGCTGAGTGCCCTAACTTTGCTGAGCTGATGCGCTCTGAAAAGTAAGTGTACAAGGGTTTGTCGGTTGGGGGGAGGAGTGAAGACTGCGAGAGGTCGTTGATACAGCACCCACGCCACACACCGCGGGCAAGGAAACCATCGTGCAGAAAAATGCACAAAATGCGCGGAGACAGACATGCGTAGGTAGGTGCGGAACGATACGGTGGTGTGACCGGAGGGGGACCTCTAGCCTGCTGTACTGTAGTAGCATGTTCAAGGAAGTGCTGACCTACTGCTGGATTAATGTGGAGTGCAGTGGGATTGCTGGTCGTCGGTGTGGCATCTGGTGTACGACTGCAAGAGTTGTCTTTGGTTGGCTGTCGCCCCTCTAACGCCGGGCGTTCTGTGTGTACATCGTGTATTTTCAAAAACCAAGTCTCTGCTACAACCCTTGCGTACATTTATATCTTGACAAGAGCGAGGGTGCGGTCGATGCTGTCGCTCCAAAGAGGGCAGGCAAAAACAACAGCAGCTGAGCATCGGCTCTATGACGTCGAGTGACTTAACTTGGATGTAGTAATCAGATTGATTCAATGGTGGAATAGCCCGAAGGAGCGGTTCGCGGCTCGAACCGCAACTTCGTTGTTATCATCAACTTTAAAACATGTACATACAGCAGTTGTATGGATACAGCAGTTGTATGCATACGATGGGCTTGTCGTAGACGTAGCGAACGTGTTGACATACATGGACCGTATCGAAATATCGAAATATCCTACAAGATCGTTGGCGAGATCGATTACAAAGTTGGTACCATTCATACGGCGTATGACATATGGCCACATTCGATAAATACCCCACAGAGCTCTCGAGGTTATCTTGCAGAAGCTTCAATAAAGCTTGTACTATGCGTCCCACGAGATCCCATCCGCCCAATACCGACCACCCACCCAATAGAGGGACCCCGACTGCCGTACCGATGTTGGAAGACGTGGTTGTCGGGGAAGTTACCGCACGCTCGGGTGTTGGCACAAGATTCTCAAGAAAAATTCAAAAAGAGTGAGGATCCGATGAAAACCCGCTCTTGTACATACGTATGGCGGTGTGTGCGTAGGGCCGATGAACCATTCCTGCTTTTTTTGTTTCTGTGTTTTTAGGTTGACGATGACTTGGCCAAGGAGTGCTCTGCTCCGGGAGGAGCGGGCGTGCTAGGTGCGTTGTCGCGCCTGGTGCGGAGGCACGGGAGGGCGGGGCTTTGGCGAGGGATGGTGCCGGTCCTCATCACCATGGGCGTTTCGAACTTCGTGTACTTCTACTGTTTCACAGGCATGAAGGTGCGGTGGATGCATGCTGCACGCTCGCGAAACGGTTCTACAAAGGCAATGTTTGCATAGTTGATGGCCCTCGAGTCCACGGTACATTCAATAGGGCGGGGAGGCGAGAAAGACATGCGTGCTGGCTCTTTTCGCGGTTGGGTGTTGCCATCACGTGCCGGAATGAGGCGCAGTCGGCCCAGGCCACAGGAAGCACTGCCTGCAGAGCCGCGTTGAGGGGGCTGAGGCGTACCAGACCAACGGAACACAGGACCGCCTGCCCCCTCTGGAGAAAGTCGTTTTGGTGCACGCGTCCCCCCCACGCCTAAAGAGTAGGTACCTGGTCTAGCCACCCGGATCAAAGTATTCTTATCAAGATGTCTACAACCTCCCCTAAATACTGACGGTGCACGCAACGCGCGGAAACGAGCGATCTTCCGTTAAACGTACACCGTTGTCATCACAGGCGGCCTTGCTGTCGAGACGACGCGTTCTGAGGGCTCGAGGCGTACGGGCGGGTGGTGCCGCAAAACCTTTAGCCGGGGGGGCTAGAGGAGAGGGCGGGGGGGGGCTAACCCCGCTTGAGAGCGTGGTCGCGTCGACGATTGCAGGAGTTATTAATGTCTTGGCGACGACGCCGCTTTGGGTTTCCAACCTTCGAATCAAGGCCGGGAATGGTGTGGGAGGGCTCTTTTCAACCCTTGGGTCCATTGGACGGTGAGGATCTTTCTTCTTCTCGAGTTGATTGGAAAGCATGTCTTCAAGTCACGTACCGTGGTCACGAGAGCTTGATGTTTACCCGAACCGCTCTAACGTTTCTTACACGAAGTTTTGCCCTGCGGAAATCACGTAGTCCTCACCCGGTAGCTTCTTTCGCATAGGACAATATTGAGCTGTCTGAGGAGAACGTTGATTCGACCCTTCCACGTGGGGCGGATACGCACACACATGATTTCTGGTGGATGGACAGATGAGCTCATCGCCCAAGAAGAACTCATGGTTGTCGGTACCCAACGAACGACATTATTTACGGCCAATCTTGCATTGATCACAAACGCGCACCCCTTCACACACACCCGACGCGGGCAATCATTTTGACTGGTGAACCTTTGCCTTCATTTCCGCCGGCTTCAAACACGTTCCCTGCCCGGTATCACCCGGGCGGACTTTTTCAAAATCCCAAACCATGGCGCGGCGGCCATGATGGCACCACCACCACCTGCAACGACGTGGACCCCCCTCCTAACATCAATTCCCGTGACGTCATCCCAAACCGGGCCCTGCAACACCACCTCGCTCAACTCGTCAGCCACGAGGGCCTAGCAGGACTCTGGTCTGGCACAGCCCCATCCCTCGTTCTGGTTTCGAATCCCATCATCCAATTCGTCGTGTACGAGACGCTCAAGCAAGCTTTGGGCCGGCGTCACAGCCACCGGAACGGGGAGGCGCGGCGGATAATTACACAACCACCAGATCCCCGATCTGCCGCTGGCGGTGGCAGCCGCGGGGGTGCGGGCAGGCCGTCAGTGGGTTTGCGGAGCCACGAGGCGTTTTTGTTGGGTGCCACGGCGAAGACGATCTCGACACTGGTCACGTATCCGTTACAGTTGGCCCAGGCGAAGCTGCGAGCTGGTCGGGCAGCTCGGGGGGGGGTGAGCCACCAAGAATATATACCCCGGCGGAAATCCGCCTCAAAGATACATGCCCGTCGACCTTGTGCAGCATGTACTTGGTTCAGTGTTTTTTAGTAGGATTAACTCATCGAATGTTGTGGGTGCCAATTGCACATATGTATGCGAGGACGTTGCCGAGGCCACGGGAGGTGCTCTTTTGTGTGATGCAATGCCCGGCTCCCACGTTAGGAAGGTAGTCGTGCTGAGATTGGTTTAAAGTTAGCTTGTGGGGCGACCCACTAAAAGTTCACAGGAGCGACAATTTCTTCTGGTTGTTTTGGCAGCCGACCCTCCCCCCCCCGACCTCCGCCCACCCCCAGATTGTTTAGCACGATGAACCCGCATTTAGTCGCCTGTTTGGATTCCGACTCTTATCTCGTCCTGTGTGTGCTGTGACGTCAAAGGGCACTTGGCAGGGGCAGTGTAATGAGCAGGACGATTCATCATCTCCAGGTGGTGCAAGGGGGGGCTTTCGCAGCGGGGTTGCTTGGCAGTTGCTGACTTGCTGGTCCGGTACTGTGGATGTCCTGGTGAGTCCATCGAAGCTGTCGCGAGTCATTGCTCACGCCCACCATCAAGTTGATCGGAAAAGTGCGCATCTACCTGTGGTTGTTTTATCATGAATCTAGCCATGTCGGTACTCAAAACGGGCAAGGTACCAAATGCAGCCAATCGGATATGCCCAACGATGACTGCACCAACCGCACCAGTCCGGAGTACGTGGACTACCAACGTGCTGTTCCCGATCCCACGTAGAGCAAGCGCCATTCATGTCACTACGGGCTCATTTCTCCTGGCCTGGTGGGGATGTGTGTGTTTGTGCAAAACCTGTGGTGCAGCACGACGAGGGAAACAAGCCGCTGTTTGTCCGCTGAAACCCTCGTGGTTGTCTCTTTCGTTGGCCCTTGCCCACCTTTACGCCCATCACGCATGGCCACCCACTCTATATAGGTATCGGTGTGTCGCCGAAACGGGGTTGGGGGGATGTACCAGGGCATGCGAGCGAAGCTCCTCCACACGGTGCTTACCAGTGCTTTGCTCTTCCTGGGGTACGAGCGGCTTCTCGAGGTAACGGCTATCATACACCTTTCTGTTTTACATTTCTCCCTGCGAATCTGCGGATGTACAGCTGAACCTTTTTTTGTAGCTTGGACAGTTTCGAACAGTAGTAGTCCCGTTTTTTCTTCATCATTGGCATCGAAAAACGATGCGGAGCTCAATGGGATCGCGCAGCGTAACGTACAGAACTAGCCGTGCCGACGAAGTTCCATCCGATCGAGTGCTGAGTTTGTGTCCCCACGGTCTTGGCCAAGCCTTTTGTGAGCCTGTTGCCGCACACGAATCACGGCGAACCCCGCCGATGGCTGTGTCTTCTTCCTTGCCCGACGCACGGAGCAGGTGATTGCAAACAGCATGGCAGCGACGACTGAGGCACCACCACCACCGCTCTTGCCGGTGCCAGGGTCTACGGTTGCTGCTGCTACTGCTGCCGGGCTCCACAGCAGCATTCCAAAGCCATGCCGCAACGCGCCTGTCTCGTAGAAATTTGCGTCAACCGTGACAGGGATATTAATTTTTGTGTTTGTGTATATCAGCGGTGTTTGAAATTGGTGACAGGGAGCCAGGTTCAAAGATTTTTCGTTTTGTGGTACGGTCGTGTGGCCCTAGTTCCAGTGAGCAGTCAGCGTGCGCGGTAGCATAGGTATGTCAACAAGGCACAGCCAGCGTAGATTTAATTGAGTTTCACGGCCTCATGACCAAAAACTCGCGTGTGCATAGAATAGAGTGAGTGCTTGCGTGTGAGGTAGTCTTCTTCGGGTCCGCGATCATTTGGAATAAAGGTTTCCGGCGTTAGTACAAGTCCTGCGAGCGTCCCGTCTCCCCCGCAAAGGCAGCCCTTCCTACTGACACGGCAAAGGGGCATCTGTGGGGACGCCGTGTATATCGCGAAGACAGAGGCGCCGTATATATGTGCATGGCACACGACTTAGCTCTCCCGTTGGGATTCAGCGAAGTCCTGGCGATCACCTTGAAGCACTCTTTTTCCGGGCCCGACTTTGTTTGCCACACCACGTGGACCTCCTTGAGCACATCCCACTCGCTACTGCAGTGTCATGTCTCCATACGGGAGAACCAGGAGGAGTCGACAAGGTCGCGTCAACATCAGATGCCGGGGCCAGCGTTGTGTGCTGATGCAGAGCCAAAGCGAGATAGTATGTGCCACCATACTAAACGTTGCGGTAATACTGAGGAGTGCGATAGTGGCGGGCTCGAAAATAAGCCCCGAACTTCAGCACTTGAAGCGAGGCTGCTCATATGACCCCATAAAAGGAGGCCCCGCACGACAGTTTCGGTCGTGATAGCCACCATCCAAGTTCGACTGTGGGTTGGTCCACGTCAAACACGCAGAAGATCTATTCTTGATTGGAAGAGGCGGTCGCACAAACTCTGGCGTGGACTGGTTGGACTGTGGTGCTTTCGACGGCTGTAGCCCGGAAGCCGGGAACATCTTCGTCCATCACAAGCTCATGAGCACCACCGCGGGGAGGCACAAGGCCAACGTTGAGATGCTCTCCGGAATCATTAAGTCCATCGCGAGGTCCGAGGGCGGCAGCGGCATGAGATACTCGCACAAAACGAAATTCGCTTGGGCTCCGCCCCATCAGCCTCTCTTGCACAATTTACCTACGGATCACAAGCAAGAGCTTCACAGTACAAGTCGGCACATCAACACGTAACGCACATCACAACACTTGCGCGAGACAAAACTCACTATCAGTAACACCAACGCGACGGGCACCACCTGACAGGCAACTAAAAGTCCCAAGTGGACACGAACCTACAACACGATAGTTCTAGGCCGAACTCAGTTCCAAATCGCTCAAGTCTTGGAGCGAGGTACAGCTGGCTCTCTGCCGGCGCCGTGTCTTCTCCGGGCCAACCGAGCACTCGAGTTCTGTTTAACCACTCTTCGCATCACCACGGCAAAGATAGAAGTCGAGGGATGCATCACATGGATCGAGCACAGATACGCAGTCCTACACACCGTCTTCGAGGTAATTGGTGACCAAAACGACGAGTTCGAGGACCTGTCATGTTGTTGCTACAGTCGAAGCGACGGGCCCGCAGCCGATCGTCGCTTAGCCGCTGCTGTTTAACTCGTTCCTAAAAATCGCTCAACTCTACTCCTACCTATGTATTTACGGCGTGCAGCAGTTTCGTTGAATATACAAGGCTGACCAGTTCGGCACGACTTACGCCGACGGGACGGAACTTTTTTCCTTCGTTTCTTCCTCGGCTTGATACAGAGCAGCGACCCCATTATCTCGCAAAAACCGTTCCTCCGCGTCACCACCCCCCCAGGCATCTCCTATCCCTCCGTGGCAGCGCTGCTCCCGGTTCCAGCCTAGCGCCCCTCCCCCCCTGGGCGTCCTGCCACCTCCCAACTCGTAGTAACCCCCGCTGTCCCCGTGCACGCCGGCTTGGTCGTCAGCTTGGTGGCTTGGCGAAGGGAAGTGGGCGTCGTCGTCATCGTGCATCTCGCCCCAACCGTCTTCTTGGTCCTGTGTCCAGGAGTTGAGTCTGGGGAGGCGTACGACCGGGGGAGGGGTACCCTTCGGCCCGCACATGGACAGAAGCACGGGAAGCACCGCGAGTCCCTGCGGACGGGTTGGCGGTGGGCGTCGAACGCATGAAGGACGGAGGAAAATGATTTGAAGGAGATCGCTGGGATCGTGAACGGCCTGTTGATGCATGCGATAGAAGGCTATATAGAACGCCGTCCTCGGTCAACCGCAAAGAAAGAATATATATTTCAAGGAAATGCTGAGAAGAGATGTTCTGAAGGAGATGCTGTGAAGGAGATCGATGGGATCGTGAACGGCCTGTTGACGCGGAAGAGGGCTATAGGAGTAGAACGCCGTCCTCGGTCAACAGCAACCTACGGTCTGCCTCCTTTAACGCCAACATGGACCCAATAAGTTAGCTACGAAATACACGTGAAGGTGGAAGCAGGACCAACAACACCACAGCAACAGGAGGCGCCGCCACCTGCTTTTTAGCAACGACACACACACACTAGGGCAATCGCATATAGTGCATTGCGCATTTTTCGAACTTTGGCCTCCTTCCAGGGACCCTAATTTTCCCCGCTGGCACTGACGTCTTTTCATTGGTCAGTCAGTTAGCGCGGTCGATGCCAAAAAAAAGACGAATGCACATTTCGTGTTTTCAACTGCACTGACACTGACATATTTTTCATTCGTCAGCCGGTTAGCGCGGACGATGCCAATATGAAAGACAAACACACATACCTGGAAGGCTCCTACCGCCACGGTCGCCATGTACATCCGGAAGTAATAAACTCGGAAGAGCAGGGAGGGAGCAATAGCTAAAACACTGACACCGACGAGCTTGGTGAGAGTGATCCCCGTCAGCACGGAGGCGCCCGCGCTCTTCATCGCCGCCTCCGCTCGCTCTTGCCTGATGATCGGTGGATCGGTAGCAATCCGACAAGCGTGGTCGTTGTTTTGAGTTTCCGTTGACTTGAGTAGGTTCCAATAAGCCAAACTATTAGTAAAGGCTATGTTATGAGTGGATGGGTTCGTGGTGCCCCCTGCCGGAGGGACAGCAGCCAACATGTGCGGCGCGAGGGGGGCTGTAGCCCCATCGCTTCGCTTTGGTAGGTGCATGGTGTCGTCGGTGACTACAATCGTGGCACTGAAAAAGCAAACAATATTAACACCTCCGGAGACATGGTATATTCGCCAAGTCTAACGGCACGACTCGACCTAACAGCACTGTCAAACGTTGGGTCGCACACAAGATGTACAACTTTGAAACAACGAGCAACAACCCACGCACAGCAGTGCAAGAAGGATGTAGCTTGCTGACACCAATGCCATACAACGCACACCTCACCTCGTCCCCAGTGCGCGTTGAAAGGCCATGGCCACGTGCAAGCAGAATTCCACAGACAGCCCAAGTGACATCACCTGCACAACAACAATTGCCACAAATTTTCGCAGGACCGGACGGAGCATGTTAACACCAAGCACTCGCCGCTGTACTCGTTTCTATGACAGAATCGCAACTATCCTGATCACCACTACTGTCGAGCTCTTCTTGATAACAATTGGACGAGGAGTTGAAGGCACGAGCAAGAGCTAGAGAATAGTTTTTTCTGCACATGGCCATCATAACAACAACAACGACAACAGCAACAACCTCTACATCTGAGTGGGGAGCGATCTAGGCATACGCGTACATTATCGAACACCATCTTTGTCGCAAGCGGAAGTTCTCGATCTACTTTTCTACCTCTCGATACTTGCCGGAAAAGCTCCTCATGCGCCGAACATGAGCGGCTGACTTAAATTGACGTGACTCACCAGGTTACAGACAGAAACGGCGTTGATCGATACGGCGTATGGTGCCAAGGACACCACTCCCCACGCCCACACCTGGCAGGCAAGGGGTGTGTATTTCAGTGTGACCCGAGGTTTGACGAGAGGAGGTGGAGAGGGGGGTCAACGGGGGGAACGGCTCCCGGGATCTTGTAGACATCCTGCTTCCATGTCATTCTTCTCGAGGTACAGCGGACAAGCAGAGCGATGTGCAGCCCTACATGTCGGGTGTTCGGGTGTGCTTTCGGTTGTTTCCAAAATCACCAAAAAGGTGCCGCTGCACGCTACACCTCACCCGTGCATGATGCTAGCTTGCACAGTGTCGCCATTCAAACAACCCCAAACAATAGTTTAACCGTGCAGTGCATCAATGGAATATTCTTGAGCCCCCACCCCTCCCACTCCAAATAAAAACACCTCTGGGAGACGCTTCCTACGGACGTCGCGAGAAAGGACGTTTTCATACCAATATACCCTGGGTGGGGCAATCAATATAAGGGTTTCATCGTGCGGCAACGACGTCAGAGCAAGGGCGCCATTTCGCTCTCACCAATCCGACTATGCCGAGTGTTGTACCGAGCACGAGCGAAGACACCATGGTCGCGATGGCGAAACCGGACAGGACCGCAATGGACAAGAACACTACGGCAAGAGCTAGCGCGACGTTCTGCAGAGCCACGCCCTGTGCGAAAAACAAGGGTAGAGCGGGGAAGAAAAGAAGCAAAAAACGACGTCGAAAGTTGTCCTGTAAGCAGCAGCGCGAAACACAGAAAGGAGAAAAGGCCACAACGACACTTGCAGGCAATCTTCCTTCGTTCGTCAGCAAGTCACACGGTGTGCCGCTGGTTTTCTCTAAAAAACAGAGCCACGGTGTTACCCACGACCTTCACCTTCCAAAGGGAGGGAACACAACCACACAAGGTAAGCCCTGCACGCACACGACACAATAGCCATGACTCTTGCAAACCACGAAAAAAGTGAAACCCGTTCGAACCTGAATGAAGTCGTACTGCTCGTAGAAGGTGAAGTACAGGCTGTACGGAAAGGCAAGGTTTCCCACAGCCTTGTTGGCCTTTCTCTGGCCCTTGTACCTCTCCGGGATCTTGTCCGCGAGCTGGTGTACCGAGTAAAACGACGTCAGATGGCCATAATATCCCCGTCAAAGCATCACCAAGCAAGCGTCAGGCGTCGAACGTCACTCGAACACCATTCAGCACAAGCAACAAGCTTCGAACGTCGTCAACGTCATTCGTTTGAGATGAAGCATTGATCGGCATACACGGCAGACGCTATGATAAAATGAGCACCAAAAGATGACAGTCGGCATCGAACGGCCACCATTAGACCAAGACAAAACAGGTGACAAATACCAAATCACGACGTAAAAACGCCTCCGGCCAAAAATGACGGCAAGCCAGGCAAAGATAAAAGCTCAAAAACAGCACAAGCAAGGACAAATGGCGGCAAGCTACACCAGACACCCACACGACGGCAACAGAATGCTCCACCTCTTAAGAATTTTGCCCTAGAACCTTGCGGTTCAACCCTTTTCGCAACTGTAAAACTTTCAACCCCACAGGGTAAACAGCGAACGAGCCTCGGGGCTCAAATAACCGTGACTGTCTCCCTACGTTGTGATGTCATCCATAAAACCCGATTCTCTACACTCCAAGTCACGGGCGATACATATCAAAGGCGACATCACAAGCCGACACCAGCTTGCCTAGATCTCCGAGATCTCCGATCAACCAAACCTGGTCGGTGACGAAGTCAACGTAAGTGGTGCGTGTTGACAAAAGTCTCGATACGCGGAGGAAACAACCCACCTGGTTGGTGACGAAGTTAACGTAGTAGTGCGAGTTTACGAAGTCTCGTTGAGTCCTGAGCGGCTGCATGTTGAACCGAAGGCGGGAGGCGACGATCCTTCGAACACCGTCTTCTCCCCCGCTGTAATTGTTCGCCGCGCAAGTCGCAGGAAGAACCGAATCGCGGCACGAAATGAATTAATTTATGTAGTCAGTGCGTTCGATATTCATGTCCCCCACATGTTATCCACTATGTTTTGCCGGTCGCAGGACAACGGACCAAAGTCGTTTGACCATGGTAACGGCAGTGAGTTTGGAAGTACGCGGTATATCGCGGTCACAGCGGACAAACGGCATCATCACTAACTCACGTTCAAAAATAAAAATCAAGGGGCTGATACATACATGACCTCATACATGCGCAACTACATCTCGGAAATCAAATTCGTGCCGGGAGTACCTTAACTTGGTACAATAGTTTTCTTCGCCAACACTCCAAACGAAAGATGCGCCAAAATCGGGGCGCTCAATGCACTGGTTGTAAGGGGCAGCGTACGGCCGACGGATCTCCCGAAGGTTCCGAGCTCTTCTCCATTGCTGTGTTTGTAGATGACTCCACACGTATCACTACAGGGATACAGGGGTCCTGATTCCTACGCAGTTCCTCTGCAGCGTCCACTTATCACAGCGGTAAACAGATTCAAGCTTCACTTCAAAATAAAGTACCAAGCGTGCCCATCACTTGCGGAGGACATGGCAACGAAGTCTTTCGGTTCTCTGACAAAGGGAAAAAAGGCAATGCTACCACAGTTCGCGTTCGGTTGTGACAAAAGCATGCCCCACTCTTGACGAGCCTCGAGAAACTGTGTTGTACCACTTGACGCATGACGATCCTCGAGCGAAAAACCAAAGACATGACCAATCCCGATAGAACCCCAACGACAACACAGCCCCAAATCTAAAAAATAACTCACTCATCGAAGGATACGTCGGTGTCGAACTGCGCTCCACACGCGCCGTAAGACTGGCAGCACTGGCTCTCGATCGGAATCGACAGGAACAGCTCCACCATGTCGTAGAACGAAGCCTCGTCCCTGTTTCAGACATGTTTCTTTTTCATCAAGTACATATACAAAAATATTGCGTGGCGTTTTCAAGAGCGAAACGCTTCCAGTAATGTACTATACCAGTGTTCACGATGGACTCACGGCTCACGGTATCTTGCGTTTCGGGTCGAGAGTAACATGGTGCCACCGTCGCACACTGTACCGCACCAACAGAACCACTAAGCATGCAAAACAAAGTGACCTCAGAAAAATCGAAAAATCTATACATATAAAAGAGTTCATTGAGAGTGGTATCTGGCAAACCAGTAACACAGACAATTGATCAGAACATCCAAACGAAAAAACATTGAGAGCGGTTGCAGGCACAGTAGAATCACAGATAAGTTCCAGTAGTATACGGTACGGTAGTACTCACGTTATTTGAGTCTGCGCCGGGCAGTCGGCGGCCAGAGTGTCCTTCTGGTTGACCCAAGCCACCATGGTATCGAACCACGAGTAGATCGGTGTTTGCACATACCTGCTCGACGAAGGGGGAGGGTTGGAATTGTCATACACCAGTCATACAGTGGTCCGTAGCGGCTGCGGTGAAGGAGAGAGTCGTGCCAAGGCAGCTGAAACTCTCTGAAATCTCATGCACAGCTCGCAATAAACACAGCCTGCACGAGCGCTACCTGAACAAGGGCGTGCTTCGCTTTGGGTATTTTTTGGTTTTCAGTTTCGGGGACGCAATGAATAATACTTGCCGTGACAAGCCACTTTGTACAATAAATAAGCGGCCATTTATGTTAATTCGAATCAAGTCCTAATGCACCAAAGCGGTGTCATCCCACAGCTTGGATGATCATTTACGCCATAGTACTGTTGTTGTCGCATACTAGCATCCGACAACGGCAACAACTCCAATCAACTTCTAACGCACCAAAGGAAGCCGTGTCATCCCAAGCATGGACATCCATTCACCCTACATCAAAAACACACACAACAACGACCAAACTCGCCGTTGTAGCTGTGCAAGGCCTGTCGCCACACCGTGGAAGGCTTGCTGAACGTCGGTGTCATTGAAGGCTTGGAAATAATCCAAATCGCTGAACACCACGTACGCAGGTGGTCCCGCCTCCCCCATGGAAAACTGAGCGTCGTAGTAGTCCTGGGGGGCAAAGCAAGGCGGCCGCGCGGGAGAAATAGACTAGAGGAGCGGGAAAGATCACGTGGTTGGTGGAAATCCTGGTGACGCAGAAGGCCTGCCCTACGGAAAGCTATGCCATGCGCAGTGGTCATCGCTAGCTGCTGCCAAACACGCAATGCTCAATAGAAGTAAGAGGTAATGGCCAACCTAGACCACATACATGAAGCATTTTAACTGAACACGTTAACGTGGCGCTTGCCGGGCTCGCCAAGACCAGCATGCCGTAAAAAATAAAACAAGTGGTATCGATCGATCTCATGTTATTGGTATTGGCCAGGACATATACAAGTATAGCTCGGTCAAACGACAAGGTCAAATATAACAACCAGGCGGAACTTAACACAAGAAAAAGTAGAAAAAGAGCAAGAAGGACACAGCACCACACCAACAACATCGAGCAACATTGAAACAAGGGTAGAAAACATCCAGCGGCAGCGGTCGGACTTACTTCAACAGCAACCCACCACCGCTAGTCTTGCATAGGCCAGGCCATACGAACCTGAAGGTAAAAGTCCGTGGGCGCCGCGAGCTGCGGCTCCAGCCCCATCTGCAGCCCGTGCATGCCCAAGCACCCCAGGAACGCAAGAGCAGCAGCGACGGCCAGTGTGAGCGCCTTCCCTCCTCTCGAGAACAGGGCCGGCAGGTAATACCGCTCTATGAACCTTAAATCGCGGGAAAACGTCCGAAAACACTTGAGACTGATGAATTTTTCTTCGGATACCCGGTTAGTGCTCGCGGCCGGTGCAAATCAAACCAAACAAACACCTGCATACACCAGCACAGTTTTTGTCGCTTTTCGCCTGACGGAGGCTCTGACATCTGGGACGGCCTTAGCGAGGAATGTTGTTCTGGTTGTTGCCTTCACATTAAAAACCATTCCGTTCTCTCTGCCCAGTACCTTCTTCTGGCCGGTTTTACTCTGACACTTGACGTGGTCGATTCCCGTGGTCACAGGCGAACTTACCCAAGAAAGGTATACATACAAAATAAAGTGGACCCAAGGGTCTGCAAGTCAATAGGAACAGAGGGGGATATTTGGTATCCCTATCCATACCCCTCATACCCCACCCCGTCTCCCCTACTGGAAGGGTAGCTGGATACCTTCGCGAAGGGCACTGGACGTCTGTTCATTGAGTCAACCGGTTAGCGCGGTCGATGCTAGAGAGAATAAGGACACAAAACACACTCACGAGAAAATTCTGAGAAAATTCTGCCTCCGATGATTTCGTTCAAAACGGTTCGCACGCACACGAATTCTAGGCCATGTATACCCAGCCTTCCGAGATGTACGAGCAACCAAGTACAATGCGACACATTGTCGTCCTATCCCCAACCCATCTTACGACGCTGCATGTACATGACAAAGCGCTACCGCGGGTTCTACACATCCTCAAACGGAAAAGAGCACAAACTAGGACGACCTCGAAAAAAGCGCGCGGACGAAAAGAAGGACAGCGTTTTCGCTCGCTCACCTTGACGCCAAGGCGCCCTTGCCCCTCCCCTCCTCGTACAGCTGCTCCCGGAAAATAGACAAACCCGCGCCCCCGACGCTTTCGAAAGACAGACCATCTCCGACGAAGCCCTCCTCATCGTCTTCCGGCGGGGGCCCCGCCAGCAGCAAACCCGCCCCCCTCCCACCCCGATCGTCGCCCGAGCCACGGCGGGGAGGCTGGTTGGACGGTAGAGAGAGGTACCCTTCTACCACGTTTCCCCCGAGGAGGAACGGCGCGACCGTCCCACCGTCCCCGTCCTTTGGCCGAGAAGGGCTGACGCTGCTGCTGCTGCTGCTGGCGTGTCCCCTGTCGATGCCGCTTGTTGGCTTGCTGTTGTTGATAGTACTGCTGCTACCGTTGCCATCGGTCTTGCTGGTGCTGTCTTTGTTGTCGGTGCTATTGCCTGCACCATTGTCGCAGCCGTTTGCTTGCCCGCTGTTCGACAACGTAGTGCTGGCGTCGTCGATGGTCGACATCGACGGACTCGCCTCCCCAAGGGAGGCGGAGACCTCGTGCGCCAACGTCGGCAATGTCGTCATCGTCGTCCGTATCGAGTCCCGCTCCCCCGCCGTGTTGTCGCAATAATCGCTCGGGTCGTCAAACCACCCGCGCCGCGCCCCGCGATCCAACGTCCATCCCCCTTTCCCCGCAGAATCTACTACACCCTTACCGTTACCATCGCAACCCGTCGTTCTTCTTCTAGCGATAGCCGCTGCTCTGCTACCCCTCCCTGAGGTCGGGACAGCTCGCCGGGTGGGCGTCCCGAAGAGAAGCGCGGGGTTAGCTTCGCTGCCGGACCCAATCTCGGAGGCGACGGACAAGAGGTGTTCGCGGCCGGTAACGCTGTCGTCGTCGCTATCGTAGAGGCCGCCGCCGCCGCCGCCGCCTTCGCTTCGAGCATACCCCCCCCGCGCCGCCGCAGCAGACCGCGGGGCCTCTTCTTCTGCCGGTTGCCTCCTGGTGGAGGTGTGATACGGGGACAGCCAGTCCGTGTCCCCTGTTTTTGTGGGAGACGTGCGCCCCTCCTTAGACCTGTGGCGGCAGGCGAGAGGGGACGACAGGCGGCGTCCCGTCCTCCGTCTCCGCCACCGCCCCACCGCTGCCGCCGCCGTCGCCGCCGGGGACTGGAAACCCAGCAGAGGGACGGTCAGATCTCGCACGGACCCGCTCTCCGGAGAGCTGTACCAGAACCTGCTCGCCAAGCAAGCAGCAGTGGCGACGTGGCCGATTCAATGAAACGCCAAGTAAAGGAGCGACGGGTGACGGATCGATCGATCAATCAGTGGGATTGTCGTCGTTTCGCACGGCATTGCGCGCGTTTGCTCCTTGGCTGACGAAAGAGAGGGCAAGAGTGAACGGGAGAAACAATACCGCGCATGACAAAAGCAGGCTGTTATCTTACACATGTACAAAACATAATTCCGTTCAAGGTCCCGCTTTGTTGGAGCGAAACATGATACTCGGTTTTATCACATACTGCTGTGTCATCGTGTGGGATTTCGGGCATATACGTGCGGCTGTGCAGTGTAGCCCACCTTCATCAAGTACCACGCACCATAGCACGCGAACTAGGCAATGTCGGTCGGGCCAAACACGTGCCATGGAGCATGCATAGACTAGACCTACAGATAGGCAAGCAGCATCATCGTACCTATCGCTATCATCGTCTTCCTCTGGCAGCGTCATCCACGGGGCTAAGTCGAGCCGTCCTTGGCTGACTCTTCTTGCATCAAGGCACAGTGCCGCCATGAACCACGAAATCTGCCACGGCATCGGCGAAATAACCAATGGGAAACATGCACATCGGTGAAGGAAAAGATGAAAAACACGATAAAAGCACAGCGAAGTGAAGGAATCTTGTGCGCGCGAATATAGGGCAGCGGTGAACCATCACGCTTTCCGGATGACATGCTTTCCAGCGCAAACACAGACACAGCGTGGCTTGCTTAGAGACGAGGGTGACGCGACGTGCTGCAAAACAAGACACATATCCATGCCGACGGAATCTGCAATGCCATGCTAGCCACAAAACGGTCACCGCCTGCGGGCAGCCTCGGCCTGCTTGTCCTACGCAGGAGGGATACCAAAATGGTCAGCTTCCGGGCAATAACTATCAGAGAGGGAGACAGAGAGAAGAGCGAGAAGCGGAGAAAATTGCCAAGAACAAACGCCCCTCCTATCTCAGCATCTGCACACATGTTCGAGAGGTACTGCTACAGGATTAGGAAACAAAACAACAACAGCAGCAGCAGCAACGACAACAACAACGACGACGTATCTGTACCTGCAACGCGAATCCGACGACCACCGCTGTAGCCGCGACGAGACAGAACTGCCTTAGGGCAGGGATGTCAGTCAGAGCCCCCACCAAGAACGCTACGGCCTCACACACAGCCGCACCCAGGATGGAAGGAGCAACCTTCACAAGAGTGTTGATTGAAAGGAAACAAATCAAAAGAAGGGGAAGACGCACAAGAACAACAGAAAAGCCGACAAGCACAAGAGCAGAGAAAAATAATATCATGACTTAACGATGAAGACCCGAAAGCTTTCGAGAAGATTTCGTCATACACACACGCGATCAGCAGACATGTGCCAACTTGAGCAGCTGTCAATGTTACGCCCGGCACGAAGGACGGGCAACGTCAGTAGTAGGTATACCTTCGTTTGGCCGAAGTTGGATGATCGCAAGCCATGCATAAATGATTTCAGTACAGCCAGTCTAGATGGATACATCTTCCTCTAGCCGCGACTCTACCGCTGATGGTGCATTGATCTATCGTCCGTCGTACAGTACTTCAAGCCGCAAGCATCCTTCTTCCCTACCTGGTGTCGGCAAGCAAGCAACCCCACATCAAGATAACCGCCATGCCCGTAGCAAAAACATCAACGAGACCACCCGGATACAACAGCCTCCTTAGCTGCCACTGCTCCTACCAAAATCATTCGCAGGGGTTGTCGATGAAGCAAACGTGTTGCACATAAAGCATGCAGTCGGGGAAGAAGTTGGGTTAGGGATAGGGTCTGCGTGCCCCCCCCCCTCCCAGTCCTACTTCCTCACAAACTTAATTTCTCGCGAAAGGCGGGTCCGCTCCTATACACCCCTACCTTGGAGACGGCCGCCCCCATCCGTTCCTCCAGGCGGGCCTCAGCCGTCGTCTTGTTGTCGTCCCCTCTGCCTCGCCCCGATAACAGGGACGTCGATGTCGAAGTCGACGCCGAGCCTGCCCAGGAGAACGTGGGACCCGTCGTGTCCATCCCTTCTCCCTTGCCCTTACCGTTGGGGTGACCCGCGCCCTTCAAGTGCTGGCCGTGCTGGCCGTCGGACGCACAGGCCTCGAACTCTGGGGTCGATTCCAGTCTGAGGAGGGGGAGAGTGCGCCCCGAGTAGAGATGGCAGTCAGCGTACCAGTCGGTTGATGGAATTGCGGTGGAGAAATTACCCATCATTCAGTTGGATGACATACTGTAGCAGTCAACTCTTCAGTCGTTCGATGATATTTCGTGGAGTAGTTCAGTGTGGATGAGTGAACAGACTAGCGGTCAATGTTCTATTAACTTAATGAAATCACGTGGAGTGTTCGAAATTTCAGCGGGATGGCAGTGGGTAATGTACCAGTCCACATTGCAGTCGTTCCGTGGTATTACCGTGGAGTGACTACCATCATTCCGCATGGGTGGCAATGAACTCAAGGTTACGTACAGCCAGGAATGAGAGCCAATACATTCAGCGTGTCCTGCAAGCATCGCACCAGCTAGATCGGGTGGTACTCAACGCGATGAACTGCTGTGGAATGTACTGCACGAAGTCAACGAGAAAATTCCACCAGTTGCCGTAAGGGGGGATTCGCGGTGTGATCCACGCCGCATCTCGGCCATACATGTTCCTGGCCTCCCAGTAGCATACCTGTCAAACTCTCTGGACAAGATGACCATGTTATCCACCCCGATCGCCAGAGTCAAGAACGGAACCACCTGTATTATTTACGGCAGCAAGCCAAAACACAAGCAAGCGTGTTCCACGAGGCAGCACGTGATGAGCGGGGATTCATTGATTGGGGACTAAATGCAAGCGCGGGAGCACCCCTACACCACACTTGGTTTGGTGTCACGGTTGTTTTCACTACCACGTCTAGAGTATACTACTGTAGAGTGTTTCACTCCAATAGAGGGGATTCCCAGCTATACCGCAACGTCGCTTCGTACTACACTAGTGGCCCCAGTAAAACGTCACATGAGTACTGCCGACCGCCCTGCGTAAGGCCCGTAAAATCGGGTTACGCAGCGGATGGAATATCCAAGCTGTCTCGCACTTCGAACCGTGCCTTGCCTCGCGGCCGGTATACGGCCTCCAAATCCCTTGTAACGGAGTACATGTATACCATTACTTGGAAGAAAAACAAGCGTCGTAGCACTTGTGTTGCTCAGCCCGGCCCGACGAAAAGAAAGCTCAAAGCACACCGTGCATTTCTTCAGCATTCTCATGTGGGCACCGTGCTTGTTCATGCCATTCGTAAGGGCGGTTGGTGATATATCATTACAGGACTTGCCTCCCACACGATGAGGGTAGTGTCGACCCCCGCGAGCGAGAGCAGCCCGATGGTTGTCGCCAGGCTGGCCACGACGATGGTGATGCCCGTTAGGGCCAACGAATACCTCGATCTGCCAAGCAAGGAAGCGAGACGGGACGCATAAGCCCATACAGCAGTGGCGGCTACGGTTTAAGAGAGAATATCCAGGAGAAAGGACCGATTGAAGAGAGTCAAACTGGCTTGTCACGACAATGAGAAAACCGGACTTAAGAGAGAAATACCGGCTTGTGCCGACCCTCTCTTAACCCCTTTAGGGCTGGATCGCCTTTTGGGGACACTTTTTGTCCCCATCTTCTTCACCTGCGTTACCTCGCGAAGATTGGCATGATTGTCTCCTCCTTTGCACTACTCGACCAGGGGGGTGCCAGGGTACACAGGGACGACTCTAGTCTAGTATGGATGCTTTGTAGAGTGGAGGAGTATGAGGGTAATGAACAGGTCGAATCGCGGGGCGATTACGCCGCCGGTTCAACAGCGAAGTTGCGCCGCGTCTGTTTACCCTTGGGTGGAAAGCGCTACTAGGGGCAAGCGCGGAAGAAGTACCTAGACCACCGTTGATAGGAGGCACCAAGCAACCTAGGGCTTGAGTTAGAAGGTCTCGCTTTCCCTCTAGAGAAATATCTTGAAAACCTCCTTTTCGTGCCCCGTTTACCACACTCCCGCCAGTTGCTGTCTATAATCCCTATCAAATGTCCCCTCGTGTCCCCTCGCATGCTAGGGATTATAGACAAGAGACGGCTCAAGTGGGAAGGCAGCTTTGCACTTGCACCCAGGGATGGAACTGTCTGCACCATCCAATCAGCAGGCGTCGTTCGCTCTTTTTCTTAAATTTCAGAAATTGCGCAAGACCGCCGAATTTTCTGTGCGTGGTAAGGGGGTTAAACCGTAGCCGCCACTGTATTTCGAAGATGTTGCCATGCCACCGAGAACGAGAAAACAGCCACGAGCGATCCATCCCAGCCTGCCCACGAACTTTCCCGTGACGAGCACCGAAACCTTCTGGGCGCGCCCCTTCGCAGGCTGCCCCCCCCCACCCGTACCATTCATGTTCATAAACCGAAGCACCACCATTACCATATGCATAGAACGAATCATATCACTGGGGACGGCCAACCTAAATCGATAAGTCGGACCGGAGATCGCCACCAGTAAGTCACGACGGGGGGGGCAGGTACAGTACAGCGGGAACCGTGAGCGCGCGCGTGTTTGCATGTCTTGGTCCCATCAATTCTGGCGCCGGTCTACACCTTCGACATACATACATGTATACCTGAATTGACCTACCAGTCGGGGGTCACACACTACAAGGGGGAGGTGACACCTGGGCTTTCCTTTACATTGTTCTTGGCTACAGTAGGTTGCGTAGATGTAAGCAGCACCTTATTGCGTGGCAGGGGGTCCCCAAGATGAGGGAGACGTAGAGGAACATGCACAGGTAGGACACCACAAGCACCCAGGCGTTCTCGCCAGCCTCCACAGACAGGCTGTCCGACACCGACCGTTCAGCCATGTACGACACCTGTTGCGGCCGGACACGCGGCGGGGCAGCATATGCAATACAGTAATCAGGGTTACAAATATATTAGAACGGATCTTGGGGTTAGAGGTTAGGGTTACAATGACAGCCGATTCTTCGGCGTGTGCACCCCTTTTTCTTCTTGACGAAGGTCTCCTCCTCCCATCCCCCCGCTCCTCTGCATAAAAAGCTGCCTCCTTGATGCGTTACATGTACGGCGTAGTGGCTGCGTCTTCTCCCATTTCCGTTCAGGATTAACCCAGCTCTCCCCTCCCCTCCTAAAATATGCGCAAGAACATTTTTCCAACGGCCAAACGAATAGCCCATGTTTCTCCTCCTAAAACATGCGCAAGAACTGGTGTCCCACGGGGAAAGGGATACAACAACCCACCCCCTCCTAAAACATGCGCAGTAACAGCCAACAATAGCCCAATCGCAAAACACGCCCCTCCCCCTACCCCAATCGCCGAATACCTCACGGCGCTTCGCGCTTGGTGATGTGATGTGAGAGCCCGGTCCCGCGAGACCCCCGCTTGCTCGGTCCCGGCCGTGTAGGACTGGTCTAACGACTACGGCATGCACGGCTATGAATATCTCCCCCACCCTACACCAACGCCTGGTGCACCTTCATGGGCGCTTGTACGTCGTTCGCTAGCATGCCCCGAGCCTCTTCCACCACCGCCAGGAACACCTGAACAAGCGGTAAACAGACAGACAGACAGGCAGACAGACAGACAGATAATGAGACAATCAGACACGCAATCACACAAAGAAAATGCATCGGCGTGACGAATAACTCCGAAACATGGCACGAAACATGGCACGAAACATGGCACGAGAGGTATAAGCCCGCGATGCCTGCCCTCGACTGACTCAGAAAGGCGATCGACTACGACACATGCGCTCGCGAGTTCAGCAGACACAGAAAGTTGCCTACCTCGTCGCCGATTTAACATCACTTATCGATTTTTCGTCCAAAAAACTTTAAAACGGGCAAAAGTCTCCTCAAAGTGCATCCCCTACATTGTATTTTCAAGTTGCGGGTGCCACTTTTTTGTTTTATCAAATTATATTGGCGCTCACAACAGCATTTCAGCCGGGTAGGAGAGGTCCAATCCGCGGTCGTACGCCTGAAAAAACAAATTGTGTCCATGACGTTGTACGCCCTTACAAGCGGAGACGCCTGTACCGCCACACACCACCAATGCACCTACCTCCTTTTCCCACTGCTCCGCGAGCTTCTGGTAGTCGGGGTCCCGGTAGTTATTGAGAACGAACGTCAGCACGAGCGCCCCCGCCTTTGGCACGCTGCCCCCACAGGGGTCAGGGCTAACGACTTCGCTGTTGACCCCGATGTCGCCGAACACAACTCCCCTCATCACCGGAGTTCCAATCTGACGCCATCAACACCATCACGGGAGCGGGGATTCGGGGACGGATCGGGCCTATTCGTGGGCCGGGTGTTTGTCGTTGGAAGTACACATCCTTGATGCATGCATGCACATTGGATCATTTTGGGGTTCTGCTGTACCTCCCTTGTGCATGCATGCACACAGGAATGTCAGTGAGAAGCAGAACAAGCTGCAAGGTGGTGTGCTTTCATGTTTTACTTCGAGAGTTGTTAAGATTGTTCTTGAGGGGTTTCGTGTCACCGACAACAACAACAACAACAACAGCAAACGACGACACGGCGACAAGAGCACAAGTGACGATGACGTAGACAACGACTACGGCACTTGGCTACCTTCGCACACGTGGTAGGCCTGACTCGCCTCCACGGGGCGCCAAGAGTGGAACCAGCCCTAGCCTATTGCACACCTTACATTACCTTACCTTACTTTATCTTGCCCCGACAGGCACGGTTAGGCAGCATTCCTTGCCCCGACCATATCTTGACAGCCTACCTCATCTCGACCATGATTCGACTTCCCCCACCCCGATCATGTTTGGACATGGCGGCCTACGATATATCCCGACCACATTTCGACAGCGTTCCTTGGCCGGACCATCCTACCTCATCCCAACAGGCATGCTTCGACAAGCTACCTTAAAGCCCCATTGTATAGGCAGCCTCTACTTTGCAGGCAGCCTTCCTTACCCCCACTGTTTAGGCAGCCTACCTGGTCCATGCAAGGGCTCCTGGAAGCGAGGAAGGGGTCGCTTGTCTGGCACGCCGCCGTGAGGCTAGGGCTGACGTCTCCGGCGAGGACAATGGGATCGTTGAGCCAGTACTGGGAGGGGCCCTCTACCAGACACCCTTCACCGTCGATGGGCTTGAAGCATAGAGACTCGAACCCCTTCGACTCCCCATCCTAGCCAAAGTACGACGAAGACAGGGGGGATTGCATGAAGACAGGGGGGATCGCGCGAAGACAACGGAAGTATTGTAATGTCCATCCCTGTGACTTAGCTTGTCCTAACTTGAAACAGTACGCACGGGGGGTCGCGTCAAGATGATAAAATAAATGGCATCGAGATTCCTTTCGATTTCCACATGTACCAAGCAGGGCGATGAAAGGGGCGCTGCTTCAAGACAACAAAACAAACAGCATGGACCGATTCCTTTCAGCTCCCTGCCCTGAGCAACATGAGACGGACGGAGGATCGTGCGACTACAATCAAAACAATGTTTATGCCGTTCAGCACCCCACACCCCGCCCTTGCCAAAACAAGACGGAAGGAGGTACAATATTAGTACACCAAGACAATACAAACAAAAAAGTAGCAAGCCATTCGTTCCCTTCCCGTCCTCACCAGCAGACGGCGGGCGGGGGGATAGCGTCAAAGCAAGAGACAACACAAGTCGATTGTATGATAGAACGAATCAAGCCGTGAAACGGTGACCTCGCACTCTCACGGCAAAGCACTGCACATACAGTACTCAACAAACACCATTTAGGGTGATGCGCGATGATTCATGTGTTCACCGTGAAGCACCGCACACTCTCTCGCATGCCATGGATCACGTGTTAATCGAAAGCCCTGCATGCTCTCCTAAGCACCGCACGTACTCCTCCAAACACTACCGTGTTCAGAGAGTGTGCGATGGGCCATGCATGCCTTCACGGAAAAGCACCGTGCGCCCTCCCGCAAACACTCGTGTGGTACGACTCGCACGCCAACAGCAAAGCCTTGCACGCTCTCTGCTGCAAACACTCGCATCTAGAAACCGCATCCATGTCCGAGGGAGTCCCCTTCGCAGGGTGTGTCGTTAAAGGGAACACGTTGGATAAAGCACGCGATCGGGGAAGCAGGGTTAGGGATAGGTCTGCGTACCCCCCCCCCCCCCCCCCTTTTCTTTATGTCCTGATAAACTTAACTTCTTGCGAAAGCGGTCCAACCGAGGCTCTCACCGGGGTAGTGAAGTTGGCGTTTTCGATGGCCCTCTGCACGCTCATGACCCTCTGCAGGTAGTGCTTCGCTATCATGTCCGGGCCTTCCCCCACGGTGTCAGCGGCCGACTCCGCCACGAAGAACACCTGCCGCATGTTGTTGTTGTTGTCGTTGTTGTCTTCACATTAAAAAACCGTTCCGGTCTCCACTCAGTACCTTCTCATGTCCGTACTGGTCCAACTGACACGGACGCCTTCCGTCATCACAAGCCAACTGCCCCCCATAGCATGTACGCATCAAAATCAAGCAATCGGTTGGACGATAATCGCCGAAGCTTGATTGGTGCACTCCTGTGTTGTTCGTTGCTGAGTCTTCGAAACTGATACTTGTTGTTGTTTGATGGGGGCGTGGGGCCTTGGTCAGGTGGATAGAACGGGAGAGGGGGTTGCACCAAGCGCAAAACGAACTCGTGTGGGCCCACACTTGTTTCCACGCTCGTCAAGCTTGCCGCGGTCGGACTTACTCCACACCCTGTCCGACGAGAGGTATGAGTCAACAGCAACTGGTGCAGTCGACCTCCGCGCCGAAAACCAAGGTGTCCCTATCCAGCCCGCCTTTGCAGACACAAGAAGGAGCCCCATACGGGAGAGTTTAGTTCAGGAACGCCACACAGGGGGTTGCAGTTTGTGCTATTATACCATAAGACTGAATACAGATTTAGTAAATACTGTTTTGGGTTCGCTGGGGTGTTCGAGTAAAAAACATGTCAGCTGTGTGAGCTTTGGGAAACATCATACGGACAGCTGGCAGCCAACTGTGGATTGGTCCGGCTGCCTGGTGTAATTTTAATTGTCTCGTTGCATCATCACCCCTAGAGATGACGCTGCTGTGCTCTCATGAGCCCAACCCGGAGGGATGTAATGTCACTTGTATGCGCAAAAATCAAGGTGCCGAACGCTCGGTACAAGTGCGGCTAATCAGAAGGGGCAAAAATCGAGAGATCTCTTGGTGAATAGCTGTGACCGTTAGATGACCTCTCTGCCTTCTGGAAGATACAGCACGATGACCACGGAACGGACCATGCAAATAACCGTGTCCCCCACCCGGCGGGACAAACCTGGTTGATGCGGAAGAAGGGATCGAAGGCGTCATCGAAGAACTCCTTCTGTCGGTTCGCGAGGCTGTTCGGCGGTACCTGGGGGGAAGGAGTGGCGAGTTTCCCGCAGTCGGGAAGCGGCGGGAAGGGGCAGCGATGGTCGCGTTAATAGCCTGTGTCGATCCATTCGGCTTGGGCAGCCTGACACACTGCTGGTTCGCAACCACTACGTGGAAGTGCAGCAGTCTCCTGCTGCTGCTGCTGCTTGCTAGTCGGCGGAGATGTGATGCAGTGCCATGCGTGGTGACCATGACGAAATAGACGCATCGGTGTCCCATCGAGAGTGTTACTCTTCCGCTGGCGATTGATCAGCCTTCGCTGCTTTCCGACTGATCGCTGCAGCTGCCCCTTCTGCAGGATGGTTGTTTCGCTAGGTAAGGTTACTCTCGTGATCGACCTTCCTCGCCTTCTCCTCTCCAGGAGGATGTCAACTCAACAGACAGCAATAGTACGGCTGTACCTCATGCCGGCCCGTGTTTACTGCTGTTGTATGTATACCTCATGTACCAACTGCCGGCCGCCGCTGTATACGCCAATCAAGGGGACGACGAAAACCGCTGCGGTACAGGCCACTGTACTACCCAACAGCAGACCCACACCATCAGCCAGCAAAGGCCGCAGGCCGGCTTCCTTGTCTCGTGGTACTGCCGTAGAGAAGTTGGAGTGCTGCTCCTGTGTGCAGCGCTATGTGTGTGGAACAACAGGCAGGCTCAGTACAGTACGCGGACCAGCCGTGGTTGAACTTACCGACTCGTAAGCAAGCGGTGCGTTACTCACCCAGATGAGGTCTGGATTTGTGATTATCCGCACTCGGAACAGCCCAAATGAGCAGGTCAGCGTCGCCACCACGCAAGCAGCAATCACCAGGCGAGGGCGGCGGCAAACACCAACGCTGTACCGCCTGCGGGTGCACCCGACAGACGTATGCACGCGGAAGCATTGACAGGGGACAGCAGTAGGACGTTATGGCTGTCATGCTCAGCGAAAGCTCGTGGCCCAAACGTAGATGACTGCGTCACCTGGTTAGATAACCCAGCAAAGACTGGTTATCTTGCTTCCGTGAATGATGTTACTCGTGCAACTGCTGTTGCTGCTGCTATTGCTGTCGGTAAAGAGTATAGACTGCAGTACCACGCGAGAGCGGAGTTTTGCGCGAGACAACGTGTGTTCTTTACCCTCCTGTCGGGCAAGGGACAACAACATCATCTTGTCCTGAACGTGTTGTCACACCCCCTTTGTACCTACGTTTACTTCACTCACCATAGCCAGCTTTGTTCAGCCATGCACTCCTCCCCCGCCTGGCGTGGTCATAAGTCAGTAGCCCGAAGCACCTCAAGCAGTTGCAGCGCAGGCCTGGGGGCACGCCCATCTATACCCGTTGGTCAGCGCTATACCACCTGTATACCATAGTTCAATTTGTAGATAGTCTCCGCGTACCCCCCGATGCCGATCTCAACGGAGATCTTCATGACGAGGATGATAATCATCATTGTTGTGCTGCCCGCTCGATCTTTCAACTTGTTGTGTCTTCTTTCGCTCCGTCCTGTCTCCTGGCGTACGTACATGCCATTAGTGACAGGTTTGCCGTAACTATGGTCCCGCTGGGCAATACCCTTGGCTCCTCTGCTTTGTTCAGCCCTTTTCTTCAACAACTCCGCCGAACAAAGGAAAATTTTTGTCCGTTCAATTTTGAACGGTGCCACCCGAGCATTTGATAGAGACCAAATCGAAATTATTGTATAGGGTTTTCTATTCACTCCTGTGTAGTCTTATGCAGCATAACTTACCTGTTGTGGTAAATGCTGCGTAACTGCTGTGTTGTTGCCTGAACCATCTTGTTGCCTATAGAAGCCCTCATCCCTGTACCCGTCCAACAAATGCTCAGGTGGTTTAGTTGGTTATAATGTCCGCCTCACACGCGGAAGGTCGCGGGTTCGAACCCCGCCCCGAGTACATTTTTTCCATTTTTTCGCTTTGTCCTGATTTTTTTTTCCCCATCCATGTCCATGTCGTCGGCCGTTGCATATCCCACAGTCATCCAGCCAGGTGATGTGTTTTGCCGCTCCTGCCGACTTTTAACAACGAATCTGTTCCTCGGTGATAACGTCTACCATGCCAACGGTAAAAGATGCCTGTTGCTGCGTTTTGGAGTCCCTTCCATAGGCCACTTCACTCCTGCACACACACGTGTGTTGAAAGTTCATCACTAAACTCTGGACGATTGGGCGCGCTCCTTTTGATTGAGTTGGTTTGCCATTTGTTGTCGTGGTATCCGGGTCGTCAGCGCCCCTCCCGTGTGGGTCAAGTGCGACTGAGACCCCACATTTTCGGCGCAGAAAAAACAGTCAAAAATGCATGCATGCAACAACAACAGCATTGACGCGCAATTTGGGGTCGAGGCTCAATTGCTTATTATTTGGTCACCACCACCGTCGAGCATACTGTAGATATATATATATACATACATAGGTCAACATATAATGCTGTAGACTTTACATGTAGGATCCACGGCTGGCTGGCTGAGGCGTGCTTCTTCTGTATGGCATTGGCGATCCCATTGAATAGACTAAAGAGTGAATGAAGCAGATCGCCAACTACTCGCGGCAACGGGCTCTGGGGCACCCGTGGGTGATCTCCTCGTTGAGCTTCGGGTAAAATAGCCGTAATGTGCAGCCTATGCCACGAACGAGATTTCTTGGGTATGATGGCGTGAAGCAGAGTGGTGTTGCACAAGAGACTGCGGCGAGTTAGTTGTTCATTCATCCAGGATCAAGTCGACCTTTCGACACGACGAGGGTTCATCCGGCAACGACGAGATGTCACGGTCGTAATTTCGAACGGCAGCAAAGAAAGAGTATATATATCCATTCGCCAAGTCCCGTGAGTACTTTGAAAATACAGCGTATCTATACTATTCATTCATGAAGCGCTCACGCCGAGTTCAGAAATGGCGTCCGGTGTCCGGTGTCCAGCCGGAACAATGTAAAAAATCGAAACCGGATCTGGGTGCATCTACCAATCAATGTTGTGGGAGTCGGTCCCACAAAATTTGAAAGCTCGTGTTGTGCTTTTCTCCTGCTTCCCCAACAGACGTTTCATGGCGGGCGGGGGGCCTGCTGGCATGTCAGCAGGGTTGCCTGTGGCTGACACTGGAACAAGCGTGAGCGGGCTCGCGAACGGCACGCACGTTCACGAAAGGATCGGCACAACAAGGTGTCCTCTGATGGGGAGAGGGGTGTGGTGTGTATGGTCTCCGCGTCCTCCAGGCGCGGGTCTGGGACGGAACAAAGAAGAGCTCGGGGCGACGGGGTTGCCAGCCAAGTGTCACGCCAAGTGTCACGCGTCCATGGGCGCCCGTCAGAAAGGTGGTGATGATGTGGTGCCAAGAATTATCACCCGGTTCCAGCTCGGCCGTGCCGGCGAGGGGTAAGACGTGTCAACCATGGGGAAACGAAGTGTTCCGCGGTCGGTGTGACTGACAACATGTGAACAAGGTAAAGCTTTGGAGCGGAATTACAGCTAGCTGTATGTATGTAAGGCCTCGATGAGCTTGCTGTGTTCCGGCGAAAGGGAGACTCCTGCCACGTCTCCGGCGTACCGGAGGTGGAAACCTCTGAGTTCTACTGCGATACCAGATATCATTTTGCACGTGTGCTACGGCACCACCCTCGTGATGACGTGAGACCGTGCGCAGCACTCCCCAAGCACCCCAAAGGACGCGGCGGCAAAGGGCACGCCCCGTAGTAGTGTTGGAAGGCACAGGGGTTCCCACACGGCAAGAGATGGAGGCCGTGTTATCGTGAAAAAATTGAACACTTATTAGAGGCGAACCACTTTGGACTTTTTTAGGGGCGGCTTTTTGCCGAAACCACCCCAGCTTCGAGGTGGTGGATCCAAAATTCCAACCTCAAAGCAGCACCTATTTCTTGCATGGTGCCCAGCGAAGTGCTGGAAGTGAAGGTCGAGGGCCAACCCGAACCCATGAGGGCAATGCCAGTGTACTGTTAAAGGGTCGGTCCCGTTTGGACATTCACCCTCGTGGTAAGATTGCTGCGTTATTATTGTCGACGTAATGCTCTGGCAGCAAGGGTGCTTGTGTGTCGACGTCATTGTGGGCGGCAGCAGTAACCGCGAGCGCCTCCTCACTCTGGTCTGGAGCGGTGTGTGCGGGGTATAACCAGATGCAGGGTCTTCATGGGCCGCCGCATAGGTTGCTGCGTGGAGGGGTTAATCTCGACAAGGTCGCTGCGGATAGCGGGCGTGGTGGCACTGCGTTGGTGCCTCTTTGATTGCGGGCGACTCACGAAGGGAGTGCCCCACGGTTTTGAGTGCTAAATACCCCTACAATGTTGTCCCCTCACCATTCATTTTGGCGGATCTATACGAAATGGGAGCCATCGCCAGCACGATGGTTCATTCCCGGACGGCGTCGTATGGGACATAGCCTCTGCAAGGATCACGTCTCGAGAGTCCAAGCGTTTTTCGTTTTCATGTCCCCATTCTGGGCAAAACATTCAAAGCAGGTCTCAGAGGAAGGCCCCTACTTGGTTGGGCGTCTGTTGTAACAACTGGCTGTCTTGTTCGCATGATGAAACCGTTCCGGTCTCTGCTCAATAACCCCATATCCGTCCCTACCGGTCCCGCTGACGCGGGCGAACTCCGTGGTCTCAGTAGGCGATCTACCCAACGTGGTTTACACCACCACGCAACAAACATATATAAATCGAAGCAAAAATGTGTACTTTCTGAGGAGGGCCAAAATAGCAAACGCAACACCGTGTCGGGCTGGAGCCAGCTACAATGTACTGGTTCACTTCTTGTCAAACTTCGAAAAGAAACACTTGCCGGCAAAGCAGCAATCCCGGCAGCAGCCCTGGATGCCAAAAGTCTCAGATTCATAGACTTGAACCGACCTCTGTGTACTCCCAGATCACCCCTGTACATGCTGCAGGCATGTACCAGGTATATGGGGAAGGGACATAGACCAGCATATTGTACACTACTGGCACCACGATCGATCATGGTACCGTAGTCCAAATACTCAACAATCTATCTACATGTGCCTGCACGGTGACGACACAGTCCTTTAGTGTAGACATCATGCGTGCACTCACCAGCCAGGTTTGACGTCCCACTCAAACGTGCTTAAGCTACTGTAGGTGCATAATGTAAGCAAGAACAAAATCCACTCGCAAAAATCCAGCAACACGCCAAACGGCAGCCCTCTCCATCTGCAATAAAACTCATCATGCGTCACGGTGTGTCGTCTGTCCCCGATAACAGCCCCCTCATCTCCATCGACTCGGGCCGACTGAGTGTACCGCCACCCCCTACCCCCACAACGTTTATGGATGATGCATCCCCACTCCGCCTCCGACTCACGCTGTCGCCCAATAGGTTGTTACTTGAGCTTGAAGGAGTTTTTTCTCGCGCTCCCGGTCCCCCGCTCTCGATCGATTCCCCTGGACCTTGAGCGGAGCCCTTTCCTCCTCTCCCTCGCAGTCTCCTCTGTCGCAGTTGAACATGTGTTCACACCGAAAACAGAGGGATAAGGAGAAGTTCACTAATACTAGCATCCCTGCCAAGGTGTGGAGAGAACGACCGCTGTATTGTACAAACCAATGCACAGGGCACGGCCTCCCATGATCGGCGGTGGAAGGTTAACGAGGCTGGGGCGTTCAGCGAAAGCGGCCTGTTTTGTGTGTGGTTCCCTTCTCTGGGGGAGGCCATTGCGTTCGTCGAAACCACGAACAAGGATTCTTGAGCGCTTTACAGGGACGGAACTGCGTTTGGGTCAGATAACAAGGCGAGTTCCCAACGATCTCTGCCCCCGTATGTACCGGGGCTGGGTGTCTACTCCTCAACTTCGGTGTGACGAAGATAGGTTTGTTCTGCTGGTGCTGGTGCTCGTGCTTCTCCAGCTGCTACTTTACTATCGTGCGGCACGCTCACTAGCAAAGGGCGGCCCGAACAACGGCTGCGAATGGTGATCCAAAATAAAGGAAACCAGCAAGCAGAAACAACAACAACAGGCGCATCCCCCCTAAGGGGGAACACTCGCCACTCACCGTGGACCCAGCGCCTCTACCTTCGAATCGGCAGAAGCCCCCCTCTCGCGTCGCCCGTCGCATCGCCAGACCGCCGACCAACAGCACGACCAGAGCAAGAGCCCCCAACAACACCGGCGCCGCGGTCGACGTCACCACGGGGCCCCTCCGCTTCACCCGATGACTACCATTGCCACCCCAAGGCATGGCCCGCTCGGTCGGGGGAATCGTCCCCTCCCGGTAGCCTTCTTCCCCTTGCTCCGCCGCACCCCCTCCACCACTGGTTTTGTTGACGGCGGGGGCGGTAGTATTGGGCGGCGCCACTGGTGCCTCGAAGTCCAGTGGCAATGACGCGGCTACTTTTAGCGGGGTCGAGAGCCATCGTAGCCTTCCCCGGACGATGTGCCCATTGTTCTCTTCGAGCCAGTCCTCCGATGTGCGGGCGTTGACATAGTGACTCTATTTTTGGTCCGGGGGCAGCAGGCGTCGTATACGTGCGTCATTGTTTCACGAGTTCTTCGATATACCATGATATGCAAAAGCTGACACCATCCGTGCGAGGAAGCATTCAAATGAAGCAGGACGCGGGGTTAGGCAGTCGGAATCGTTGTCTCAAGCAGCAAGTGCGGGTTCCGGACAGTGTTGTAGTCCGGCATACGGGAGTGTGCTGGCGTAGTTGTGGTCCCATCTCCTACACGGCACCCCAGATTATCACACCATAATAATAAAAATCAAGCACACATGCAACACCAGCAACGTTCACAGTAGGTAATGTCAGACAGGTGGTGCGGTGAGGCTGGCGTAGAGGATAAGTCCGACTCGTCGGTATGGCCGTTTTCACAGTCGTTGGCACAGAGAAAGCCTACAAGTAGTACTGGTATGTACCTGCGTCTCGATGCATACACGCGAGGTTTTCCCACCGACTACTTGGCATCCTGCACAGCAGTTCTTTGCCCCCGCCAATGAAAAGAAAAAATATTTTCGCAACACCAAGAAACTCAAATATCGCAGGGCTCAAACGGAGCACGGCCCCACTATAGGTGACGTAAGATATCACACTCCCGGGACCGAATTTCACAGCTCCATTACTACACGACGAAGATGATGTACAACTCAAACGCTACGTTATCGGAAAGCTCTCGACAAGACGGGTTCGGTTCGTTCCGACGCCACGATTTTCGGCACGGCCCCCTCGTTCTGCTGTGGAGAGAATATTGAGCTTTCAGACATAGGTCCAGGGGGTGTGGTATCTTACGTCACCTACGGTGAAGTACATTCTAACCAAGCGTTGAGCCCACGACACGTACCTGCGGACCGACGTTCGGAAAGCCTTGAACAGACTGCTCCGCCCACGCCTGGTCGACCGTGGCAACAGCCACAACGAAGGCAGCAGGAATTCCGTCGTCTTCGGGGAGGGTGGGCAAAGCGGTTCCTAGCTCGAACCTTGTTCGGAACACGGTCGCTTCTTCCTCGTCCAAGCCCTGGGTATTGCTCCACCTGCATGTAGCGTGGCGATGCGTGCATGAAGGACGACATAGAGCAGGCTTCGATACGCATCCCATCTCGAAGTCGATTAGGGGAACATGACAGTTCGCTTCGGGAAAAGGTTCAAGCACGACGAGGTTCTCTTCGACGGTCTCGTGCTGCCCATCGCCGGCTCGAAAACGCTTTTTGACCAGCAGCGAAAAGGTGGAAGATTTACGCACTGAACCAAAAGCAAGTGTGACCCGATCCGGACAAAACGAACTGATACTTCGACGTACGTTGCAATAACATATCGCGACGCCACCGACTACACGCAGGGTACGGGTATACAGAGGGAGGGCAAGAGACTGAGCAACCCCCTGGCACCATGCTTAGCGCATACCGCAAGAAAGCAGCGCAAGTGCGATTGAAGCAAACATACAGTACAAAAATACAAAGTTGACAGACACTGCGACGTGTTGCTGTGAAGGCGGAATGTTGCAACACACGATATAACGGACGCTTTCTCCACAATGCTTTTGTCGTTGACCCAATGGAAGCAAACTACAAGGGGCATGTCTTGCAATGTGTATCTCTAAACAGGTGCTATTGTCATTAGTACCGGCTGGTACCCCTGAAAAAAATCAGCGTATAGGCTTAAAGAGATAAAAAAAAAACGTATCTTGCAATGTGTATCTCTGAACAGATGCTATTGTCATTAGCACCGGCTGGTATCCCTGAAAAAAATCAGCGTATACTTGTAGGCTTAAAGAGATAAAAAAAAAAAACGTATCTTGCAATGTGTATCTCTGAACAGATGCTATTGTCATTAGCACCGGCTGGTACCCCTGAAAAAAAATCAGCGTATAGGCTAAAAGAGATAAAAAAAAACGTATCCCGCCAGTTTTCTTCCCGTTTACAGAAAACACTTCAACACATCCCCTGTGGCTGTGGTACTATCTCGAACGTGTAGTCTTTCTGTGATCGTATGATATTTTCTATAGAAACTAAACACGCACACGCACTCACTCACACACACATATATCACCTAGAGTGCCCTGTCTGTTCGGGGCTACGACTCTCTGAGTCGGCCGCGGCAGTATACTCTTCCCAATCTTTTCGCGTAAAAGAAGCCGCCTCTTCGGGCCACGGTCCCCAAACAAGCTGGCAGAAGGGGGAGCGCGAAAAGCGGAGGCCAACCGGGGGGGGGAGGGGGGGGGGGGTCAGAGCGGTGATCAGTCATCACAACGCCAATCCGAACGGGAACTGGGTTGGCTTCGATTGGTGGGCGTAAGAGACTCTGATTTGCACACGCTCGGCGAAAATTTCCTTGTATGTGGGCCCTTTATGGTCATCCACGAGCAACGCAAGTGGACAAACCTTTTTCAAATCACTGAGTTCTGAACAGCAGGATACAAGTGGGCCACTGGATGTCACAAAGGGAACAAGTGTGGAAGGGCGGCTTGCCCGCAGCCAAGGGTCTTTGGTGGTATGTCCCTCGAGGACTGTGTTGGGGGTTTCGGGGGTTTTCGTGGGGGGGGGGGGTGCTGTGCCATGGGAAGCAGGTTGAGGACATCGCGCTGTATTGCCGTACTGTGCGGCGGGGCAACGTGCAGTGTCTGCTTGAGGTGGCGTATGCAGGAAGGGGCGTGCATGGTCCAGTCGAATCGAACGGCGGTGCTAAGCGTTGAACTTGAACTCTCCTGCGGTTTGTACTGTATTGTAGTAGTCGTAATGGTAGTCGATGCCAAGAAGACAATGCTCGTGTTACTTCACAACCTACCGCCCAACGCCTCACGCCAAGACAACATGCAACTAAACACTTTTATTCCTGTGTGCGCTCACCAAAAATTGATGCGAATCGAGTCCCTACTCTTTGCATGGTCTAAAATACTCTGCTGCTCGGACCACCCGGTCCTTCTCCTTTCTCCCCCTGTTGCTGATTCCTACCATCTATTCTGTCGCCGCATTTCTCCTCGCCCCCCCCACACCGGCGTTTGCCATCGGGGATGGGTTTTCGTCGCTTGGCAACGACGTTGTAAAACAAGACCCCCCCTCGGTGTTTGCCATCGGGATTGGGTTTTCGTCACTTGGCAACGATATTGAAGAACAAGCCAATTCACTTCGTGAACTCGGCAACCAGGTTACCGTTTCTTTTTCTACCTCTGTTTTTTTTTGGGGGCGGTAACCATAATGGTGGTCGAGTAGATCATGTTGTGCGGGGTCGAGAACCCTCACTCCGCGCAAGGGGGATGATCGCACCACGTTGTGTTAAAATGGTAAAGCATCCTCGAGGCAGTTACACAGTGCTTATAACTGTCTCTGGAAGTGAAAGCACCAGAAAATAAATTAAGTCATACGCAGCTGTCATCCGCACGCAAGCAAGTAAGCACAAGATGCCGAACACCCTTAGCAGGATGCAGCGCACCCTTCATGCGACTCGCCGAATACCTCACGGCGCTTCGCGCTTGGTGATGTGAGAGCCTGGTCCGGTGAGAACCCGGTGTGCTCCGTCCCGGCTTTGTAGGATGCGAGGTCAATGGTCTAACGACTACGGCATGCACGACTATGAGTACACCCCCCCACACACACACACACATATATCAACAATCTCGCAGAGCCGTGGTGGAGAGAGACGGATGTCGGATAGGCCGGTCTACGAGAGTGGGGAGGGCCTTAGGATGGAGAGGGCAAAGCGAGGGTCGAACCTCGAGACCCCAGTGACTGACTGCCTGACCCACCTGAGTGGCATCTACTTCGAAGCTTCCCCCGACGGTCCACTCCATGTCCACGCCATGCTTTTCATCCGCGATTACCACCTTCGTGCCGCCGTTTTCTTCCTGTCGTCACGCCAAAAACGCGAAGTTTGCGAACAAGGTCTCACCGCCTTAGTGATAAGATAACGATCGATCGACGAAAAAAACTTAATATTAAAGCCTTGTAGATTTAACCCTTACGTAACCTAACCCTAACCTAACCGGCCTCCAGTACATTGGCAGGGCCGGGTGCCCGGTATCAAGCCGACCAGATTCATTGGCATATGAGGCCACATCACAGGGACGGAGGATGACTTCTGCTAAATCTCATCGGTTTGTACCGATCCCACCCCATCCGCGAACGTGTACGAAGACGTCCCTGGTGTCTGCCTCCTGGAGAATTCAATTCACGACTGCAGCGACAAGCTAACCACTGACGCCCGGAGTTACCTGTCATCGCGCATGACTCATACAGCAATATCCGATGCAAACACAACCTCCTAGGTTGCTACAAACGATCGCCACCACTAGTAGAGACTGGTTGTTTCTCCACTCTACGCTCGCATTTTGTGACCCACTTCATCCGTTCTCATAAGTTCACCTGCCCACCCCATATCCTGCGGGATCAGCTTTGTATCGGGTAACCAAACTGGTTTCACTTCCACCATCTGTTTTCGTCCTCATTACTGTCCATTGCTGCGGGTGCGCGCGACCGGCTGACTGACGGGTGCAAGAAGATGGGACCCATCGCTAGCCTCTGATATCGAGGCACTTGATTTGCCACCAACTGCTTGTGATCCCGTCCACACCCTCGATATCGGCACTCAACTCACACCCGCAATGCTGTGCGTCGTTCGCAACAGGCCAAAGCAAACCCGAACAAACCAAATTCCCGCCTTGTCAGGTATCGCAAGAGACCGCCACCGCCACGTAGACTTGACGCATGTGGCCGATGCTCCAAAACTACAAAACCAAACCAATTCTCACCGTCTCGACATCGAACGGTCCCCACTGCACGTACGGCTCTACGAGATCCACCGCCATGAGAGCCAGCCGAACGTTCCTGGCTACGTGCCCGTTGCCGTGCTCTTCCATAGAGGGTGTGTGGCCCAGCAGCCCCTGCCGAGACCCCAGCAGAGCCTGGGCCCGAGATAACGGCCACACAAGCAATCAATGCCATAAGAGGCGGAAAGATGGCACCGCCCCCAGATCGAATTTCAAAGCCCAATCGTTCCGGAACCAAAAGTGGGCGCGGGAAGAGCCCGATACGTGTAGGGAGACTCCTCGACAAGATGTTTCCAAAGCCGCCTGTTTGGTACAAGCTTTTGTTTGTGGAGCAATCGAGCTTCGAAAAAGCAGAGGTGCCATGCTCCGCCAATTACAGCATCCTACGCACTTGCACGTATGATCATGTGATGTTGACGCTTGTGTTTTGATCATTCAGCAACAAAGCACTTAGGCGTGTATTTTGTGGACGGTTGCGTTTGTATCACATTCAGTAGCACGTGACACTTCTCAAGGCATCGTCGTGCAACAACAGGTCAGAGCGATTCCAATAACGGGTGAAGGCGGAAACACACAAACCGCAAGAATTCGGTCGACAGCAAAGTCAACTACCAAACATAGAGGGCGGCTAAATGTATCACTGTCACGGGGAATCGATCGGAGACATGGACATATAAATAGAGTACATGTTTCCCGGACTCCCGGAGCATGATCTCGTTAAGAAGAACGTTGTGATTGCCTCTAAAAACAAGGCCTCAAGATGAGTAAATTAGTCATCGCAAACAGCTGCAGACCAACCCCGACCGTCAGAAAAAGCTGGGCGGTGTAGGTTCTGCAAGGCCAAAATATAAGAATATCAGAACGAAACGAAACCACGACCGTGGGCGGATGGTACTATCGATCGTGTGACGAACGTGCGGAAGAGAACCCACGAAGAACACAGCTACAGCACTTGGTTGAAGACGAACACCTCCACGCTTCAGATTGCTACCTGAGGCGGGTGCTTGAAATTACTCGCTTCCACCAGGATGTTCAACGCACGCAACATTGCCGAGCTGTAGCTGCAGAACGGGAACGACAACCAAGGGCATCCGACACAAAACAAGAGCATTGGGCACAACGCAAGGGCGTTCGATACAAAAACAAGAGCGTGAGACACAACACACGAACGAGCATGAGACAAAACAGAAGGGTATCCGACACAAAAACAAGAGTATTGGGTACAACACAAGGGCATCCGACACACAAAACGAGAGTATTGGACACAACACACGGGCATCAGACACACAAAAGGGGAGTTTTAGACACAACACAAGGGTACCCGAAACAAAAACAAGAGCGTGAGACGCAATACAAGAGCATGAGACAAAAAATAAACGCTTCACACACAAAGGCAAAAGCATGAGACGCAACACAAGGGTGTTAGACACAACATAAGAACTCCACACTCTAAGAAAGAGCACGAGATGCAAACCTAGGGCGTAAGACACAAACCTAGGATATGTATCACACACAAAGCAAGAGCATGAGACACAACACGAGGGCACCAGACACGAAACATGACCAACATGGACGGAAGAACGGGGTCATCAGCAGCACCACAACGCACAGCCCACGACATCTGAGCGACACGCAATCATCACTACAATACAACATTATTCCAAGGAAAAAGATCTGTGTGTCAAGCCCGCAGCCTGCCTCTCCAACTGATGGTCGGGAGCCACGCTGTAGCGCGGCGTGCACTGACTAACGTTGTCCAGATGCAGCAAAGCTATCACGAAAAAAAAAAAGGCAGGGAGCACGCAGGACCTAACCACCACTCAGCCGATTATACAGTTTATCCAAGTATGATTGCCTACTCAGAAAGACCTGGGGAGACTACTGAGATGCATACCGCACAGGGCAAGATACAAGACGGGAAGAGGGAATGGGGGGTCGAATCATTTTCCTACAACAGACGACGATAGAGAAACTTACCGCGGCAACAACTCGCAAACCGGCAACCGCAATCATGGGGTCCCCCTCTACCCGTCCGTATGAGGCACCGCGAGTGTCTTCCCCGAGCATTAGCCCGGAAAATCAAGCTCGAAAAAACAACCTGAAAAAAAAAACTACTGTAGCTCTGTTTTCGCTGAGAACAAACATGTACCAGCCGTGTACAAGGCAGATATGTTGTTTGTTGAATGATTTATCTTCGAACCTACCAGTGAGGAACTAGGCCTTGCCACGCGCACGCAAGCAAGCGTGAGGGGGGGACGCAAATGGGAGTGCCATTAACAAGTAAGCACATGACACCCACTCACATCGTTTTCTCCTTCGGGTATTGCCCGTTGACGCCGGGGTCGCAGACGCCCTTTCCCTCTCCCCACGACCCTGCGTAAGCCTGTTGCTCTCGGCGCGATAAAAGCATTTTTTTGTTTCCGTGATAACATGAACACATGTATATATATTAGATCCCATGAGGGCGACAGCAGTGAGAGAGAGGCGACGACCACGACGAGCAAAACCAAAAAACGAACGGAACAGGTACAGTTAAAGATGAGCTAAATAGCGCCCGCGATTAGGAAGAAAGCCGTTTAAGAAGCCAAGGCTCGGATTTTGGCGATAATTTAGAAAACGGACGAAGAAACACAAGCCTTGAAGAAGGAAAGGCTCATGTTGGGGCTGTACTCGAGAGAAATCGATAAAGGAATACAAGACTTGATTAGCAAAGGCTCAGGATTAGGCGATAATTGAGAAAAATCGATATTTAAGAAACACACCTCAGTCTTGGACCCTGCACTGAACTCCATATATAATACATAGTGAAGTACCTATTTGCTCCAGGGTGGTGACGAAATAAGATGGAATCGAGATGAAATCTCTGTTTCATGGCTCTTGAGGAAAGCGTGGAGTCACGCTGCATGGCATGATGATTATGGGAAACCGGCATCCAAGGGCAGCAGGGAAAACGCGCGCCAGCACTACAACCACTGATCAAAAGTCAGTCATACTTGTACAATTCCTACTCCGAATAGTTCACAATAATAGAGACGTTTCGAAACATGCAACTCACGTAATCGCGACACCAGACCATGTAAGACAATAAGGCATCAGGAATAAAACAAGCAATCAAGCAATCCACCCATCGGTCAGCGCCACAAAGAATTTGGGATACGAGACGAGGCCTAAGCAGTTAACACGCTGCTGTTCAAGTGGATGGCCCGACGATCCAAAATCCGTGAGGTAGAAAGATACCACAACAAAGGCCAAATCTCCAGTAATATGCCATCGTTTTTTGCGGACTGCCTCTTGGTTGGGTGCTTGACGGGGCTTGCCGCTGCTCCATCGCTAAAAATACGGCCATCAACAATGCGGTCACTATTTAGCAGCTGTGGCAGCGCACTCACCCAGTCTTCCATGCCTCCAGCCACCGGGTACACGAGCTCGTTCATCCTCCCCGTAGGATAGGGTTTGAACCTGCCCACGACATTCCACCATCGCCATATCGGGGAAATTGTCGCGCCCGTGTTTGGGAGAAGAAAATACAAGGTGCGTTGGGGAGTAGTCATGCGGTAGGCGTTAGACCATTCACCTCGCAAAGGTACGCTAGGGGCGTGACAAATGGCACGGAAGTGCGGCGAGATAGAAACGGAGCCGCAAAATGAGGGTGAAACCATCGGACGGCGGAGCCTCGGCAATGAAACGGACCACAGCCAATCCGGCCAAATAAAAATAAAATGCAACAAAGCCTACTCTGGTGAGCATTCGAGTTATAAAGCTCACAATCGCCATAACCAAGAGGCTGCTGAACGCCGGTAATGTTGGGCTTTATTTTGACAGATGAATTGACTCGTCGCAAGCAATCTTTGCTAATAGTGTGCATATCACCCCCCTACCCTTTTGGTAGCCGAAAAATCGATGTGCGGTTGTGTTCCTGACACTTGGCAATCAAAATCCCGTGGCCCAACCTAGCCTACCACAATTCGGGCACCTTCCCCCAACAATAGCTATCGGCGGCGCCCGACGTAACGCGGTGTTTGACTTTTTCTGCCACTACGCCGCGATATATCGGGGCCGCTACGGTACCAGAAAGTCGACCGATCTCACACCGAGCGTGTGTGCGTTCGCCCGCCACTGCTGCTATGATACGCAGAAAAAGAGCATCGTTCTCTGCCTCCTGGCTCCCGGGGAGGGAGGTGGATCTCGGCAGCAACAGCAACAGCAACAGCGACAGCAACAACAACAACAACAACAACAACAACAACAACAACAACAGCAGCACTATTATAGCAACGGTGGTGTGGTTGCCACTCATGTAGAACATGTTGTGGCCTCCCGTAATTTGCGGTTCTCTCTCTTTGGCCTCTCGCGTAGCGCTGGAGTGCCCGCTTACCGTTGGTGACATGACACAAGATACCCCCCCCCCCCTGGACCAGTTTTCCAAAAGCTCGATTGCTCAGAGGATGCACATATGAAACGGTGCGTTTCTGTAAAGACCGCTATACCGCCGCCATTGTCGGCACCGACACTTTTTCTGTATTGGATAAAAAACGAGCTTCGAAAAATCGATCCACGCAGGGGGGAGGGGTGATATCTTACGTCGTGCCACCGCGGTTTGTCTCTAAACTATGCACTCTTCCACCGCTACCACAAAAAAAAGAAAAGACCGCACGACATCTCAGACGGCGGTCACATAAACCGATGACATCTTCCTGGATGATGGTTTGTACTATAGTTGTACGAAAAAATACACTGAGAAAGTGTAGTACTCGACTTACACCGAAAAGTGTAGCAGACGTCTCACCACGAAAAATGGGGGGACTGTCGCCACACTAAACACTGGTAGGACGTAAACACACACACACACACACACACACACACATCTTCCATCAACTCACGTTCTGCCATTTTCCTTGAAGCCGCCGGCGAATTGACTGAGTCCGGCGGTAAGCTCCTTCTGGGCCTCGTGATCCGGGCTTACATCCTGTGAACACGTTAAGACAGCGCACGCCGACGAATGAATGCACACCTCGTAATCACAAGGCCGTTGCACCAAAACTACCAGCGATATGGCTTGCGCGCGTTTATCGACCCGCCATGTACGCTTCACGTTCACGTCCAACAGCAGTCTTCGCGTAAGCCGACCTTCGCTTTCGAGAATGAGTGGTTCAGGTGCAGGGTCCCTACGCCTCTCGCGTCAGCCAGTCGTGTGGGGTCCCGCTAGGGATAGAGCTAGGCCACTGCGGCGTCTACGCTCGGTCCGCCACCACGAACTAAATCCAGCAGCTGCACGACGATGACATGATGAGCACGCCCTTTACACCACCCGCCACTTCCCTCCCTTACTACTACGCATCCTCCATCTTCCTCCGCTCTCTTGTGCCACCGCCCAATGCCCTCCCTCTGTTGCAGGTTCAACGGTTCATGTCTCTCTCGCACTCCGGTTTGATTTAAGTGGAGCTCTCTCCCCCCCATACATCCCGCGCCCGTGCCCTGACAACGAGAAAAACGTGTGTCTCTAGAACAAATGTACCTTTCTTACTTGTGGCGTGTGCTCTCATTCAAATTTCATGTCATTTTTTTCTGATGCGCCTGCCTCTGTTCGTGTATACAACAAGTATTCACCAGCCAATTTCCTTTGCGATCCTGTCGGTGGGGGTGGTCTGGACTACCCCACTCGTACGCCATGCCCACCATGCCCCCGTGAAACGTGACCGCTAGCTGGAAGGCGTGTTCCCTCCAAACTTCATTCACGGACCTAACGGACAAGAAAAAAAAAAAACGTTCAGATCGATTGAAGCGCTCAGCTGGGGTGAAGAAGGTACGGTTTTCTTGAACCGGTAGTCTTTCTGCGATAGTGTAAATATCTAAATATCTTCCCAGTAGCCTTGTCAGGGAGGTTCGTTTAAGCAAACACGTTGGACGAAGCATGCAATCGGGGTACAGTAGTTGGGGTAGGGGTTTGGGTCTGCGTGCCCCCTCCCTGTCCCCTCTCCTCATAAACTTAGTATTTCGGGAAGGCGGTCCATTATTAGGTTATCATGACGAACTGTGTGAATGACCTGCGCCCATCTTTTTCGACCCTCCGTGGTCTTCACAGGCTGCGTCGAATCCCATCCCACCCCTTCCCATCCCATCCATCCCATCCCATCATCGCAGTCATATTTTGCACGGATAGGTAGAGTACCAGGTAAGCAATAGGCGACGAATACCGAGGGGGATTTTCCGTCGGTGACATGACATGACACAAGATACCACGCCCCCTGGACCGTTTTTCAAAGCCCGACTACATACCCCAAGACGAAGAGGATGCATGAATGAAACGATGCATCGACGAGACGTCTCCAACGCCGCCGATATTTGGCACCGTTACTCTCTCTCTCTGTTGTGTGGAGAAATCGAGTTTGAAAATCGGTCCAGAGGGTGTGGTATCTGGTGTCACCTACGGTATGCAGTATACGTCGCACATGAGGGGTGTCAGCTTGGCTTCGCACCGTGCAGCCAAAATGTCCACGCTGCTTTGCAGCTTGGATCTTCTGTCGTGCGGCCAAATGTTCATGGTCTTCGGCCGGCCAACTGCTCTCACATTTTGGTTACATACGATACAGCCCCGATATAGCGGTGCATCCGACTTCGCGCGTCGCAAACTTTGAAAGCAGCACCGTTGGCTGGAAGCCCGAACCCCTACCACATTCCAGGTTCTGCGACGCGTCGTTGTCGAAGGTCCGCTGCCCGGAGCTTTTCGAACGCCACAAAGCCGCGCATGTGCACAACGCGGGGTACACAGGGTAGTCGACAGGATGGACGGTTGTCTTGACGGCAGAATGTGACTAAGGTGGGGCCACAACGCCCTCATAATCGGTCATCCATGCCCGGGTGCCAAGATGCAAGGTCAAAAACCCGCAAATGGAGAAAGGTTTCAAACAGCAGTAGTGGAAAAAATTGCAGGGCTACACGCTTGGTCGGCCATACATCGGGCACCCGGCATTGTTCGAAGTATTCCTTCGCTGGATCGGACGGAGAGCGGGAGAAATCAAACCACTTGCCTCGCTGTGATGGTCGTCATGCAATTCTGAGGCTTCTGGCCGTAGGGGAAGTCGCGGTTCGGATCCATCCCGTTTTCCCATCTTCGCAAGGCCCCCAGTTGACATGTTGCCGAAGTCAAACAATGCGTCGCACGACGCGGGGGGAGGCCAAAGAAGATAGGAGTGGCATTCAGTGCGTGGCAGAGACGTACACGGTGTTGGAGAGTATTCACATCGCCTGCCGCCTAGCGTAACGTGGAGAAGGCGAGGCAGGCCCATACCGCAGAGCCTTCCTGAAACACGGAATACCGCACTCTACCCGGCACGGATCTACGCCGAAGCGGGTCTTGAAAGCAGGAAGAAAGAAAGAGAGTCGGGGGGGGTGTTCACGTCCGCCTGCCAGGTGGGCACTCTCCTTGGTCACACCTGTCTGTGTTGTAGTACCCGAGAGAATTCGCCATGGGCATGATCACGGTGCTGCGCGTCAGGGCCAGCCGGGCCAACCATGGAACCGATTCCGGCGCCTCTCGCAGGGCATGGTGGTCGCACTCCTAACGCCGGAACAGAACAAAAAAATAAAAGGGGGGGGGGGGGGGGTCGACGTCGGAGTGTGCCTCTCGTCGCCTGCACTTAAAACAATTTTGTAGAGAATGTACGTTCCCATGTCTTTCGGGCGCTTGGTCAACTCCGGCGAAGACGGAACCCGAGGAGCTACTGTAGCATATATATCATACGGAACAACCAGATGAAGCCGCACAGTTGGTGTACAGGCCGACTGCGGTCCATCTGCTGCTGTTGGACGACATCGATTCCCGACCTTGAGTGTATTTTTGTTTTATCGGTCAAGCGTCGTCGCACGGAAGCGCAGCAACAGCAACGTGCCCTAAACAGCCCAAAACCATGTGCCATACCCCGCCTCCTATGGTACCCACTGATCTCCCTCATACAACAAGATACACGTGAAGTGCTACCCGGTCACAAGGCACACGTATGTACGCCTACGGAGCAGTCTTTACACTTCAAAGGGGCAAGACCTTCCTCCGCACAAAAGAAAGAACTTCCTCGGCATAAAAAGGAAAAATACCTTCCTCGGAATAAAATAACGAAAACCTTCTTCGACATCAAAAAGAAAGACCCTGCCCGGCATAAAAAGGGAAGGCATTCCTCGGGAAAACAAGGGCAAGAAATTCCTCGGCATAGAACGGAAACACCTTCCTCGGCACATAAAGAAAGGCCTTCCTCGGCATAAAAAGGAAAGACCTTCCTCGGAAAAAAAAGGAAAAACCTTCCTCGACATCAAAAGGGAAGACCTTGTTGTTGTTGTTGTTGTTGTTGTTGTTGTTGTTGTTGTTGTTATCTATAAACCGTTCCGTTCTCTCTACCCAGTACCTTCTTCTGTTCGTACTAGTCAAACACTTGACGCGGTCGATTCCCGTGGTCGAAGACCTTGCTCGGCATAAAAAGGGGCAGATCATCCTCAGCACAAAAAAAGTTGCGATTGTGATATTTTAGCGTTTGCACCTTCGTGGTGGAGTCGGCGTGGCATACCGCAGCGTAGACCATGAGTTTCGCCATCTCCACCACCGCGGTAGGCCCCACCTGCTCGTCGCCGTGGAGACACCCGCTGAAGAACACCTGGCATGCCAAACAAACACGGCAAAAAAACGTGTTTGTCATTCCATGGGATTCCGTGTCCTCTCCTTCGGTTGGATCATGGCACACAACGTCGATAGGACCTGCGTACTGTATGCTCGACGCTTCGATGGAGACACCCGCTGAAGAACACCTGGCATGCCAAACAACCACGGGGAACAAAAAACGCGTCTGTAATGTTCCATGGTGTCATTCATTCTATGTCCGTCGGATCATGGCACACAACATCGGGGCCTGCGCGTCACTCGATGGAGACAACCCGCACCTGGCATGCCAAACAACAACGGGCTAAAACTCGTGTGCATGGCATTCCATGTTGTTTTTGTCCTTCCGAATGCTCTCAATGGGTTGCATCATGCCAATCCACGTCGACAAGCCCCGCACATGCTCGTGGAGACAATCGCTGGGGACCACGTTGCCTTAACCGGGGGAACATTCTG